GCAATGGGGCTGCCGTCGCCTCGCCGCTCTCAACGCTAATCCCAACGCTCAACCTGTCCTCGACCGCGGTGCCGTTCCTGCTGCAGCGCCCGTTGACCGGCGTGAACAACACCGTCTCGCCCTTGCGGCACTTTCGCCAGACTGCCGACGCGTACTTTACCGGCTGTGGAGACGCCAACAACCAGTTTGTCGCGACGGACATGCGCATCAACATCAGCGCCGTCTATGTCCACCTCGACGTTGCGGACCCCGCGCGCGACCCGTACGCAGGACAGCTCAAGATTGTCGCCATAGGCGCCATCGACGCGAACACCTCCGCCACGGCGAATGGCATCATCAGTGAGTGTTCGACTGTGTGAACCACCTCGGTGTATGCCCTCTGCATCGTTTGCCTGAGGATGATGCTGATAGACGAACATGGCGCTTTCTCAGGCTCTGTCCAGACGCAGACACGCTTTCTGACCTTCCCTGTCGAGACCAAGCTCGAATCGATCTGCGACCGCCTTTATCCAGTGGGGCCTGACCCGTTGCACCCGCTTCTGGGGCAGTATCAATCGTGCACGTACGGCCCAGGCGACGTGGCTTTCGGCGTGTCCGTGCCGATGGACGCGAGCTATGCGCTCGGCACGCTCTCGACGAAGATCCGCATCTCAGACTCATCGAGTCCGCCACTTACGATCTCGTGCATCGACGTGCAGGTCTCGCCGTACTACCCCAGCGCGTGGTACTGGAGCCTGTTTGCGTACTTGCCCATCGCGCTCGTCTCCGCGTACTTCGTGCTCACGGCCGCCGCGCGCGTCGCAACAGCGATCAGCCTGCGCCGACAGGCGTTCAAGAACAAGGCGCGCCCCGGCGGCGCACCCACATTCGTCAAGGACAAACTCGCGCCGACCGTCGTCGCAGCCCTCGCGGGGGAGCCGGCCGTGCGCAGCCCGGCACTGCTGCGCTTTGCGACACCAAGCTGCTGGGATGTGCTATTGCACATCCAGTTCGTCGCGCTCCTCGCCATGCTCAGCGTCCAGTGGCCAGAGTTCGCCTACCCGTTCTTCCGCCAGGCCGCCTGGGCTGCCCTGCTCGGGAACGTCACGCTTGTCCAGCCTGACGGCGTGCACGCGCTGTGGAATCCGCTGACGAGCAACGCGTTCCTCCCCGCCAGCGACGCCGTCGGCATCTCGACCCAGATCGCAAGCAACGTCAGCAGCCCGCTGTTCATCAACAGTACCACCCCCAACACCTTCCTCAACCTCCGCGGTTCCCTAAACGGCATCGACGCCTACGCCCAGATGGTCGGCCTCGACCAGCGCGACGTCTTTGGCATCTCCACCGGCATCTGGCTCCTCCTCGTCGCCGCCTTGCTCGCCGCGAGTGCCACCATCTGGGCCATAGACGCCCTCTGGGCGGCCGTCCTGCATGTGCGCGCGCGCCGCGAAGCGCTCCACTCTTCTGGTCTCGAGGTAGACGACACGGCCGATGAAAAATATGGCGGCAGTGGCGGAGGCGGCACAGGAGGAGGCTGCTGCAGCAGGGGCGGCATGGATCACCCGTTGGAGCGCCTCAAGGTCAAAGCATCTGCAGCGTTCGGCATGCACGGCGCAGCGCTTTTTGGCAACCTCGTCCGCCTGCTCACCCTTTTCCATCTCCCGCTCACAGTCCTGAGCGTCTACCACTTCTCCAACGCCGCCGACAGGTCGACCAGCACCGTCGTCCTCGCCGCGCTGTCCTTCGCCGCTTTCAGCGTCTTTTCCCCTGCATTCGTCCTCTGGCGCATCTCCAAATACACCACCACCAAGCTGTACTCGGACCCTGCCTTGCTTCTCTCCGTCGGACCGCTGTACAACTACTACCACCCGGGCTCGCAGCTCTTCGCAGCCGTCTCATTTGTCCACTCGCTTGTGCTCGGCGTCGTTGTTGGCGCAGGCCAGGCCAGCGGCTCGGCGCAGTCGATCATCTTCCTTGTGCTCGAGATCTTGCTCGCCATCGCCTACGTCCTCTGGCTCCCCTGGGGCGACGGCTCGATGATGGCCCCGCTCAGCTTCCTCTGGAGCGTCTTGCGCATCACCACCGCCGTCCTCGTCCTGCTGCTCGCGCCGATCGTCAACCTGAGCACCCAGGCGCGCCAGTGGCTCACCTACGTCATCCTCCTCATCCAGGCCATCGTCATCGTCGGCTTCCTTCTTCTCTTCCTCGCCAAGTGCGCCGAGGTGGTCATCCGCATCGCGTACAAAGTCACCTTTGACGAGCGTCTCTCCCACCGCAACGGCGGCATCGGCGGGGCCCTCCGTCGCGTGCGCAGGCGTAAGTACAAAGCCCTTCAACACAACGCCAAGAAGGGCCGTTCGAGGGCGGCAACAACGCACAACAGCTCCACGGCGAGCATGAACAATCTCATGCTCGCGCACAGCGCCCAGTCCACACCCCTGCACGGCTCCACGCTGCGCTCCTCCGACCCCACTGCCGCTCCGACCAGCGCTGGCACCGCTTCTTTTCTCGTCGACCGGGATTTTGGCACGTACGCTGCCTACCTGCGCGCAGACGCGCACGACGAGGGTACCATCATGTCCGCCATGCCTCCCACACCTCTCAGCCAGTCGCAACTGACGAGCAGTAGCAGCCAGCCATACGACCCTGCGGCTTCGTCCCCGCCGACGGGCTTCGTCCGCCTCGGCGGTGGCCGCGCGACGGACGAGCAGCCTTATCAGTTGCCGCCACCTTCGAGCGCAGGTACCGCGTATGCGCGTCCGTCCCCGCAGGCCAATGGGCCCTTTGGTCGCCTGGCAAACTCGCAACAGCAGCAGTACCTGTACCAGCACCACCAGCATCTGCCACAGCACGAGGTCGGTTGGGCGCCTGCAGCTGGTACCGACGGGGAAGCGCCTCACAAAAAGCGAGGGATGAGGGTATTCTGGCGCCGCATCGCCATGTCCGACGACAGCAGCAGCGATGAAGACGATGTCGCAGAATGGGGTGCTGGTGGCGAGCTTAGGACGCGTCAGTGGGCAGGGCTTGCGAAGATCAACGCAACGCTCAGCGGTCTCAGATTAGCAAAAGGCAAGCGACGAGAACAAGAACACGACCAGCAAGACGAGCTGTCTACTCCAGCCGAACCCGAAAATGGTGAAAGAGGCTTCGCGGTTGTGCGGCCAACGAGGAAAGCCGGCAACGGAACGCTGCCGCTTTCTCCGTCCCAGCACCTTGATGGTCTGCCAGCATCACCCGCGCCTGCTCCGGTTGACGCCGAGCAACCCACACATGTGTCGCCAGCGCACATTGCAGCGCCGCGCAACTCAACGAATGACCTGCGGCGAACTGAGGCTCGGCAGCAACACAAAGCCTACGCTCCTGCGCCTTCCGACAGCTCACATGACAGCTCGCACGAAGATGCTGCGGCCAAAGAGGACACATTCTGGCTCGCTCCGGAGGTTGCTGCAGCCATGCGAGCAGCCAAGCCGCCGCCAAAGCTGCGCCTTACATCAGACCGAGCGCAGACGTCGTCGAGCTCTACTGCCCCGTCTGGACCCATTTCAGCCGCAGACATGTACGCCACTGCCTACACAAACAAGTCCTCCGGCAATGTCCAAGGCAGCCAGAGCAGTCTGCTCAGCCGATATACTGAGGCACAAAGTGCCGAGATCTTCACGCACGAGGATATCAACTGAGATTCTCATCAGACACACATCTGCATTTGTATCACTAGCCATCGGCACTTCTTGCACATTCCCGTTGTGACTCGGGCACTGCGCCCTTTCATTAGCATTTGTAGGCACAGAAGCATCGCACACACGCATACACGTCCATAGCTTTTAGAGAATATCATTTGTCTTCTATGTACCGAGCCGGACGTGCCGGAGGTGGTCGTCGAGCTGCACTCGTCATGCCCCTTTCACCTGCTGGCCGAAGCAGCGGCGCTCGACGAGATTGCGTTGGTTCTGCTTCGTCGTCTTCTGACGAAGCCGAATCGTCCCACCAGTGGTAGTCATTACTGGACGGGTATGGCAGCCCAGGATCTCCGACATCAAGTGGCCTCAAAGGTGCGGAAAGAGCTATTGGCCTTTTTCGTTCTGGCGCCTTGCATTCGAGCAACTCGTCGTACAGACGCATGCGCTTTGCATGATCAATCGAACGTACTTCGCCGCTAAAGAGAGCAAAGACGGGGCGATGATCGCTAGCTTTGAGCTCTGCACGCCCGTATGCACGTTGCTTGAGGTTGTCTGGGCGATACAGTACGCGATCCGTCCAAGCGGGGACGCGCTGCTTTTCGGAGCTGTCATACGTGTCGCGCCCATTGTCGTATTTGTAAGTTGGGCGGAAGAGTAGCGGCCCCTCTTCGTAGCCGGGAAAGACGGAGCCGTTGTCTCGGCTGGTTGCAAGCTGGTCATGCGCGTACAGCGCGTCGTAATCGTCGTTGGCGGCTAGTTGCCTCGCGTGCTCGTTGGGCAGATCGATGCGGTAGTTAAAGTCGCCAAGCCAGATGACGAGGTCGTGCAATGGGATGCTCTTGCCGCGCGTGAAGACGAGGCCTTGCGAGATTGTCCAGTAGTCGGCATTACGTTCTTCAACGTTTGAATGGCCCGCAGCGAAGTGGGCGGTGACAAAGCAGATGCTAGAATCGTAGCACGTCAACCGGACACCAACACCCCCCTTATTGCCGCTCATGCCTTTCAAGCCTGTCTTCTTTGTCGCCGCCTCCACACCGCGCAAAGCAGGCAGCAAGTCCTCTTTGACGAGTACGATAAGCGCGGTGCCGACAAGCTGTTCGCTGCGTATGAGCACATATCGTGGCGCCTTTTCTGCGCTGCTGCGCCTTGCGAAGGCATCGAGAATAGCGCCTTCCCATACTTTCTTCTTCGTCGGATCGGTCATCAGAATTTGCTGGGGCGTCAGCTCGACAATCTCCTGAAAGCCGATCACGTAAACGTCAGGAGACGCGCGAGGGTCGGGAAACAGCCAAGTGTCGAGGGCATCGCCGGGTGGGCGGGCGTTGAGGTTCCACGTTCCAGTAAAGATAGAGATCTCTATGGTAGTTGAGAACTCATCCAGCCTCGACAACAGCTCTTCTTCGACGGCGTCATGTACGACATCGACGATCTTAACTGGCTGCTGGTTCGCCATGAGACCAAGGAGCATGTCGATGACATTCTGCTTGTCCTTGTCTTGGAAGTTGTTAATGTACGTGCGCGCAGCAGACTTGACCGCATTGCTCAGCATCCCACCGAGCGTCTTCTTTCCCGTCTTTGTAAAGCTCGTGTTGAGTGCACCGGTGCCTGCGTAGATGCGCGAGAGCGCGTCCCCATTGTATCCCCATAGTGAGCGAAAAGCGCTCCAGATATGATGGGATGGGTTCGCAAAGCCAACAAACGTGTCTGAGTTGGCGGCTGATGCACGGGAGAGAAATGCGTCCAGTGCAAACTGCGAGAGGAAATCCTGCACGACATTGGTCCTGTCGAGGCAATCGAGGCAGTTAGTGCGAAAGACGCCGAGCTGCCGCATGCGTATGTGGCCTTCTCGATCGATGATGGTGAACCCGAATGAGGCAGTTTTGGCTTGGATTGCGGTGAAGTTCTTGAGCTGCCCGCGCACGCCGTCGATCCCTCCGACCGCGCGAGACGTGGAGTGGAAGTCAAAGTTGCTGAGGGCAACTCGATCATCGTCGCCTTGCAGCACAAGCGCATCTCTATCCCCTTTCATGTCAGCAGCCCCGTTAGCCAGGCTTTCATCAGGCGGCAGGACATGCACTGTCTCGGCCGAAGTCTGTTCCATGTGATCCGAGTACGCGGCGGTGAGGACGGTCTCGATGTCGCGCGTGCCAAGCAAGTTAAGCGCATGAACGTGCGAGTAATGTGAGATCAGCTCGGCAAAATGCCTGTCAAACGCCAGCTGCGAGGCGACTTGTGGTCGGGTGATCTGGATCTTGGTGTTGATCGCTTGCATCCCGGCCTGCTCCCAAAAGAGCGGTACGGAACCGCGCAGCTGCACATGACTGTACGTGATGCCATCGTGGCAGAAAATGAGTTCAGACTGAGGAATAGCTACGTTTCAGCTCGGTTGATGCCCGGTTCGCAAGCTTCGTGTTTGGGAGAAGTATTCACCTCGACAAAGTTCGCGACGTTCCCATCATCGTCGATTCCACGAGCGTTAAACCTAGTCCCCGCCCGTTTCCAGCTCAATCTACTAATCACCGCCACGCTGTTCTGCGCTCTCGATTTGTCAGAGCTTAACGCAGACCTATACCCGCTGAGATATTGGACGCCGACGTAGCCTTGAATGGCGCACATCTGATGCAATCCCACAAGGCGAAGAACATTAGCATCTGCCAATGTTCGCTGTGGAACTGGGATTCTGCATACGCACGAGGAAGCCACCTGCATCAAAGTTGCCCCGCTCCTCCTCTACGAGACGCGAGCGATACTCGATTAGAGACTCGAGCATGTATGTATTCCAGACGAAGCGACTGTCGTACTCGGAAAGTCCATGCGGTTGCTCAGCACGGGCCACATCATTCGTCGCTGCCAGTCGAGCATCGAGGCGGGTGGAAAGATCGAACGTGCGGTCTTTGGCGTAGTAGAACGTGCCGCCGCTCATGTACTTCTGCAACCCAGCGCAAGGGTGGGTGTAGATGCTGGATTGGACTTCGCTTGTGTTTGGGCCGCTTGATTCATTGAAATGGTCAGGAGAGGATTCGGATACGACCGTGTTGTCCCATAATGACTTATTGATGCAGAAGAATGAGACGGAACCTATTCGCATGACTACTTCACGCGGTCGAATGGCACCCACTTCTGAAGATGCGGTGACGCAGGCCAGGAAAATATCTTTTAGATGGTTATGGGGGATCAGCCGAGCCATCCTCAGACTAAAGAGAATTAACTAACGTCATATCGCTTGCCAAGTTACTCACCCGACCCGGCGTTCATGATACCCAGGCAACCAGCCGCGGCGGTTTGCGTCAACCTTTTCATCGAAGTAATAGGGACTTCTTCGAGATCTACCAGCTTAACAGCGACTTTGGCCGCGGACCTGGTACTCGCCCCATTTCGGTTGCCATCCTGGCTGGAGTTTGCGGCGGATACGACCAATGCGAAGCCCTGGGACGAGACTTGTGACACATTTCCCGTTATCACGAGCGCCCTTGGCGCCTCGCACAGGTAGACGTGCATCTTTCCTTTGGAGGCTTCCGCTTGATGAATGATACAAGGCACGGGTGAAGGGGTCCGGTACTGCTGGTGGTACATCAGCCAACTGTCCGTGGCATTGGTGCGAGGAGGGGTATACCGGAAGCGAACAGATCCGTGCACCGCGGTCGAGGGGAAGCGTGCGCCTCATACGGCGAATATTTCTGGCTTCCTCTTACATTCCTCGAGCTGACGGCGAAGCATCTTGCTCGCACAACCCGCGCTCGGTGCTAAGGTAGATGCCAGAGAGGTGTGGATGACCTTGGACGTGCAAGTGTGAGATGACGTTTCGTGGTCGTTGTCACATCGGCTGGGCAACACCATCGTCGCGTGCATTCATGATTCGGTGCAAAGGGGGCCTGCTTAAAGGCGCTTCTCAAGGGGGGTCACGCAATCAACACATACAAGTACGACCTCCAGGCTGATATCCTGCTCGGTCATGATAATAGCACGCGGTGGACCGTGAACTTGTCTGGCTATGCAAGTAGGGCTGCCCTTAGGTTAGAGAGAGTGTGACATCGAAATGGATCAGACAGCACCGTCATCAGACGCGCCTCCCGGTGCACCTCCAACTCCGTGGCCAGCAGGAGGAGCCGATGCGCAAGCTCATCCTCAGGCTCATGCCCATGCCCATGCTGATCCGTCTCACGCCGAAGCCCACGCTTCAAGACAAGCAAGAACAATAGAAGTACAGGATCAAGCGCAAGTACAGGCTGACGGTGCAGAAGCCAGCATTGCGCAACAAGCACCTGCCGGGTTAAAGTCGTCCGAATCTGGACCGTCCGCTCGCCCCGTCAAGGTGTATAAACCACCCAACTCCTTGGCGCCGATGAGTGAGTCTTTCGTCGATAAGTGTTGCATACGAGCTGTAGAGCGCATAGAAGCCCCATCTGCGAGCGAGCCACCATTGGTTATTCAGGCGCAATGATTAATTCTATCAGCAACGAACAAGGTGGTTCGTCAGGGATCATTCACGGTCACCAGTCTGTTCAACAACTTGCACGCTCAAATCCTGACTGATAGTCATCCCTGCCTTCCACTTCCAAACCATTACACAGCTCTCCCATCTCCACCCACAGAAGAGCCCAAGGCGACACCAGCGGAACTAAAGGCGGCATTCGCGGACCACATCCAGATGCGCCACGGTCCAGACGCACCGTTGATGACGAAGGCCATGCGCGAAAAGGCCGAGGCAATGCTCGGGAAGCAGAAACGGACTTGGGAATATGTGCGTGAATGAATTTGGATTTGTATAATATCACCTCGGGGCGCTGCATGGTTGAGACGCTAAAATTGCTTGGCTTCTTGCATACTTCTGCTGGCGTAGGTAAAGATCCGCGTCCGCTTCTCCGACCGCACACAGATCGAGTCAAGCTTCCCATCCAGCGCTTCCATCAATGAAGTCTACACCTTTGTGCGCGGGGCAGTACGGCAGGATGTGCTAGACAATAAGAAGGGGGGTTTCACACTGTACACTGCTCCGCCGTGCAAAGACTACGTCGAAAGCGATGCCAAGATTAGAGGGAAAGGTCTCGTGGAGCTTGGCTTGGCGCCTGCTGCCGTACTCAATGTGCGATGGGAAGATACGGCCATGAACAGTGCGTATTGTCTGGAAGGTGATACTGCTTTCCATTTGTCTGATTGTCGATCTGCTACCTGTCTGATTGTCGATCTGCTACCTGTCTGCTTCCCCACTCTCCAACTTGTCACCATCCACCTGGTTGGCAATTGATAGGCAATGCCTACCCGGCACCACTCAAAGCTGAGCTGCTTTGCTCCGCCGCCGATTTGCCGCCACCCAAGCCCTTTGACCGACCCTTAGGACACAGCAGCGATGCCGCCGGCGGTAGCGGGAGCGCGGCAAATTCAGGGAAGGCGACAGGACAGCGGGATCCAAAAGCCTTACCGAAATGGCTCAAAGGTTTTTCGAGTGAGTCGGCTCTCGTTGCGGTGCCCTTTGGCCTACCAGCTCTCATGCGTATCGTCGAATTCATGTTGATTCGGTTCGAACAGAAAAATAGAAATTGCATGCAGCGTATCCGTTATCCATGAGCACTACAATTATCTGTTGTTGTGTTCCTCATCAATGAAGCAGCATCACTGTTTCGAATAATCAGGAAGCTGCCATGCCAATCTCCAGGAAGATGGCCATCCAGCGTGACTAGCTCAGCGAACCTATGCGAGGCATCGTGAGGGTATCGGTCAGTAGCTTGATCCCTACTTGATTTGTGCACTACCCTTAACTGTGGGTACTTACAGTCTCGGCGTGGCTAAGCGACGCGCCGCCCGTCCGCGTCAAAGCTGCGCCTCCCATACACTGACTCGGGATCGTACGGGCCCGCTTGTCCCTGCAGTGACGGTAATGGCGCGCCGTAGCCATCACGACCTGCACCTGCGCCCGCACCGGCGCCGGCGCTCCTGCTAGGCGGCGGCATGGACTGCCTATTACCGCCGCTCATCTGGTCGCGGGGGGAGTAGTACGCTCCCGACACAGCTGCCGATAATGAGGAAGAAGGCATCAGCTGCCGCCCGTCGCTGCTCGTGCTTCGAGGGCCGCCCATGCTTGCCGATAGAGAAGCAGGCGGAGGTGCAGTGAAGCGCCTCGGATCGGTGCCCCGGTTACTGCTTCCCCCACCGCTTCCTACGCCTCCTGCTGCGCCACCCCCAGACCCGTAATGACGCGCAGAACACTTAGCGCAACCGCACACGCTTGAATGCTGCGGCTCATCATCGACGAGGCCCATGGTTGGACGCTGTGCGTACTGAGACTGCTGCTGCAGTGGCGGGCTACGATCGGATCGCAAGCTTCCAAACTCGGAAGGTAGGGGGCTGAGGCCCTGCTGAAATGATCGACCGGGAGACAAAGGAGGCGGCATGCTGTCGTGCGGTCTGCGCGGTGGGTCCCCATCGGCAGCCAACGGTGCTGCTGGCGGTGCAGCGCGTCCACCGTACCTGTCATCATAAGCAGATGCATCAGGCGGCGGGCGAGAAGACTGTGATGCGTAACGATAATCATCGCGAGCGTAGCCATTGTGGTGGTCGTAGCTGTGGCGAGGGGGTGGTGGTTCAGAGTAGCGCGGACCAGCACTGCTACTTCTGCTGGCCGAAGCGCGACCAGCAAGTGGTGGCGGGGCGCCATACGATACTGCTCGATCTGCTGGATTGCGATAGTACCGAGCGCTATCGCGCTCAGCGTACGGCGGACCGCGATCCGGCACAACCGTAGCAGGCGCTGCGATCCCTAACTTCTCTGCTTGATACTTTGCTTTCATCCTCGCAACAAAGCTGCGTTCGCTGTCCGTGCTGGTGTTTCGGTGGAGCGTAGGGCCGTCGATGCGACTGCTCCCGACGGCGGGAGCGTACCGGTCCGTAGCTTCGTAGCTGAGATCCGGATGAGAAGGTCCACGCCGTTCATGCGGGGCATCGACAGCAACAGGGCCAGCTCCGACGCCTGAAGCAGGAGCAGCAGCCCTGGTGGAAACGCCTGCGACCTGCCCGCCTGTGCTGCGGTAGCCAGGTGTTACCTTCGTGTACTCATACCCGACATCGTACGCATTCCGGTAAGGCGAATCGCCCACCGCATCCCCGGTGTGCATCGCCGGAGGCGGGCTTCTCAGCGCCGGTCTGCCGTTGCTTGTGTCCTGCTCGGCTGTACGCACTCTCTCGCGCTCCCAAATAGCGGGCGGGCCTCCGGTGCCACCAACCCCGCTTGCAGATTGGTAAGAACCAGGCGGTACAGAGGTACCTTGTTGCTGTGACTGGCGAAGCAAGAGACCGTCTACAAGCCCCAATGCTGGACGCTCAGACGTAGGTCGCTGCGTGTCTAGCAGAGGCGGCGGCGAAGCCGCACGCACATGCGCTTCTTGACTTTGTTTGTCGGTCTCAGAAGTAATGGACTCCGATGGACGCGCTACCGCTGCTGCCGCTGCAGCAGCATTAACCACCGGCGCAGGCGCAACTGCAGCTGCAAAAGCAGAAGCAGACTGAATTGCTGCCTTCGCATTGCCGCCGATCTCGCCTTCTTCTGATGCCCGCTGTTCGAATCCGAATTTTCCGAGCAAGCCGCCTTCGACGCGTACGGCGCTGTTCTTATCATTCGTGAGTGTAGGCTCCGTCTCGGACGCAGCCGCAGCTACACTCCTAGCAGGGGCAGAAGGAGCGTGAAGAGCCCCAGCAGCAAGCAGGTCTTCCACCACGCTGCTATGTGCGTTCGGCGTCCTGGGTATCGGATCGTCTGAACCGATGCGGCTGTTGCTGTTCGTCAGACTAGGCGTCGCGTCCGAGTCGGACTGAGACGGCTGCAGGCGGGGCGTCTCGATGACGGTGCCTTCCGCAAAGGAGGAGTCTTGCCCACGCAGATGCGTCTTGGAGTGGTCCTTGCATATCGCCTCGGATTGCGCTGAGGGTTTGGCGGCAGAAACCGAGAAGGACGCCAATGCAGACACGGTCGCTGATGTAGAGGCTGTCGCTGCTGCTACTACTGTGGGCGTTGGCTTTGTAGCAACAGACGAAACCGCCTTTTGCGTCGAGCTCCGATCGAGCGCGGATGTATCCGCTGCATTGTCACTGATGATCTGTCCATTGCTGTCCAGCCTCGGCAGCAGGCCCATCGGCTGCGAGGACAAGCTCGCGCTCCTCGAGGCTGTGCTGCGCACGCTGCCAGCAACAGAATCCTGCTGTTGTCTTCCTTGCGATGAAGAAGATGGAGTAGCCGACCATATCTCCCGTTCCTGCTGGTGCTGCTGCTGGAGCTGTGCAGCAAGAGCATCGGTACCGGCACTCTGCACACGATGCAGCTCTTCCGGCGGGACCCAGCCCATCTGCCTAGCGGCCCATTCGAGCTGCGCCGTCTCTTTTGCGGCCTCTTCGACGGCCCTGCGCTGCGCCGCAGCGAGTTCGGCCTTCTCCTGAGCCGCAGCGAGCGCAGCGGCGGGTCCCCACTCGTCTTCGCCGCCGGCACAATCGGGCGGCTGGAATGTGGGCATAGCCTCGTTCGTCGCAAAGTTGAGCCACTCGTTGACGCGTCCGACGAGCGGGCCAGTGCGACGGACGCGCTCGCAGTGCGCGCGGAATTCGGCATCGGCCATGCCACCGATGCACGAGGCAATGGCAAGGTTGATGACGTGCCCTTTGCCCCCGAGCGAGAGCGCGTGCCTCTCCTTTACCGCGGCGATCTCGCTCGTCAGCTGACTCACGGACGCAATGTACTTGTCGTGGCTTTCGATCGCCTTAGGCCCGGATTTGGATTTGCTCGCGTTCTTCTCGTGCACCGCGTGCGCTTTCTTCACTTTAGCATCGAGTGACTCGATTGTGCCCATGTAGTTCTTCTCCTCCTTTGCGACACGCTTGAAGTACTTGGCGCACGATTCATTAAGCGCTTCGTATTCTTTTTGTACATATTTGGCGTGTTTGGCAGACACGTCGTTCTGTAGATCGATCAATGACGCGGAGACCGACAGTGTTTGAGCTGGACGATAGAAAAAATGGTTGATCAGCGCACTGGGCATCGTTGAGAAACAAGCAAAGCGATGGCTGCAAACTGACCAGGCACGTCCCGAGTGAACTTTCCTTTGGCCAACTCGTTCGCTGCCTTGGCCAGTCTCTTTTCAGCCTTGGCCATGCGAGCAGCCAGATCTCTATACTCGTCGAGCGAGACGAGCAAGTTCTCCAACGCTTTCAGCGACTTGTGCAGGTCATTCCGATCAAAAGAGTTCGGTGCCACAGCCGCTTGCGGGGGCGTTTGGGTCGAAGCAAGGCCTTTTTTCACGAACCCATCGCCGCTGGGTGTGCTGACCGCGTAGGCGGGGATCGGTGGCCCACTGGGAATGCCGCCGCTGCCTGGCGTCACGGGCTGTCCAGAGACTGGGACGAGGAAGCCGCTCCCGGCTACATTCATTGTCGAATTGATTCTGGAGCTTGTGCCAGATGCCTCGGGGGGAGCAAACGGTCGATCAAAGTACTGCGGCTGCTCACTGGCATTGTCGAGCGCCGCGGCAGCGCCCGCGCTCGCATTGGAAAAGACACGGGTCCGAGCGGCAAGCTGCTGCTGCTGCAAGGAAGATGGGGAGGATATATCCGCTGAATGGCCATACGGTGAAGGTACGTGTACAAGGCCAGGAGAGGACCGGCCTGCGATGGCTGCCGACCCTCCTGCTCCGCCTGAAGCCGCGCCTGAGGCGGAGCCACTTGTGAGCGAGCTGATGGATAGCTTGGATCCATGACCTCCCCCTGCGATAACGTTCGCTGGCGGGCTGGGCACGCCCGATAAGGCAGGCTTATCGTACCCACCAGAGAAGAGGCGCTTCATGGCGACAATTTACCGCCCAAACTTCGTTGCGAGAGGGTTGAGTGGACGTCGGGCAGGGTGCAGCCGTAGCTTGGATTCAGCAGTCCTAAGTGTGCATGATATTGAGAGCAGACTCCAAGGTGGACGCTCTGGACTCGTTGCTTGAAGCGCCTCTGGACCGCTTTCTTCGTACTTGCAGGCAGCTCCAACTCAGAACCTCCCATGTACTTCCATGTGTTGCCGAGCTGGTCGCCGGCGATGGTTTGGGCCGTGATAGAAGATATCCTGATGGATAGAGAGGGCAGGGTGAGGAATATGGGAGTCGGAGTCGCATGGCAGGCGGCAGCACTGCGCCACTGTGCGCGTTCCCCGCATTCAACAAGTGCTAGCGTCGCTACCGCCCTATGGTTCGGCGCCACTTCTTCCCCCTAAAGCGTCTCAGCAGACTCGGCCGAAAGAGAAAGTGATCCTTTCCACGGACCTTTTCTGTAAATCCAACCCCCTCGCTGCAGGGCGGCTCGCTCTGGGAAACAGCTGGGATTGCTCATGGGCTTGCAACCTGGACTTCTTCGAAATCCCCCATCGCCTTCAGGATTATGGTGTGAGCAGGACAGGACTTCAAGATCGTACATCTACTCAGTATCGACGAGTCACCATCCCCGTTCATCGCTTGCTCTCCAGCCATGGCGCTCTCCACCACCATCTACAACACCGTCTTCAAGCGGAACTCGATCTTGTCAGTCGCGCCCTCCTTCTCCTTCCCTTTTTGCGTTGCTCCTATGTAGTAGATACTTACTGACACGCTCTCATTCTCTCTACCTGTTTCTCTTCGTCTCTGACTGTCCGATTCTCGTTGGAACACTGCACAACAGCGTCGGGACCGTCTTCTTTGGTGCCTTTGCTTTCGGTATCGGATACGACACGGCCACCACCGCCTGGTGGGACAACCACAACCGCGGGGTGAGTAAAAGTCAAAATTGATGTTAGAGAGGCATCAGTGGGAGTAGCAACAGCAGGGAAAGTCGTCTTGGAGGCTCAGTGGAAGAATATAGGGGTGGGTTCTTGCAGCAGATATCAGCCGCTGATGGGCACCGAGGCTCGAGACATCCCTGAGCGCAACCCTGCGGACGATAAGCCAGGATGCACACAGGCAGGAACAGGCTCGTCAAGCACGAGGGCAGGATCTTTCTTGTTATCACCACTCAATGATTCACGTTGATGGAACCGCAGATGGTCTTTACGGAAGTCAAGGCTGGGTTATCCTAGCTGGGCTTTTGCTCCTTTCCCGCCGGAGCGTGGTTGATCATTGGCAGTCCGATCATAGCTCGCTGCACACATGAACAGGAGAAGAGGTTACTGACTATGACCTCTATTCTTGACCTATACCCCCCCTTCTTGCTCCATTCGACATCGAATTCAACCTTGGCTCATAATAAAACTCAGAAACAATGGCACGACATTCGTGACAAATTCGTCGAGAAGTCATGAGGCCCATGAAAGGAACCAATGCAGATATATGCAAAGCCAAGCGACGAGTCGCTTTACAGGTTGGATGCATGTATGGTATGCGCTTCATGCATACAATAGAATGAACGCTTCAAAGTGACAACTTGAGCAGAAGCGGGGCTCGCGTGCTCCGCTGTCGGCGTGACAATGTTCGGCCATACAAGTGCCACATTGAAGTACATACGAATATGTAAGGCCACGGGTGACCCACGAGGCATGAGAAGGTATGTGCATCCCAGGGCCTTGTTGCTGTCGAGAATGTTCGCGGATATGTACATGCACGCGACGCCACAGCTGCACCAGACGGGGGGAGTGGCAAGGCAGATGGTGATCGCAAGAGGAAAATGGTCAAGATGGTGATGGGCGGAATGGAAGGTGTGATACGGTCTCACTGATGCGTTGCTCTCGGTGCCTGGGCCAGGGTCTCTGGTGCTACTTGTTATATATAATGCGGTCATCCCGTTGCTATGCGCAACTGCCACATGACCCTCCGAGTGCATGTCGAGAGCGGCACACCGGGGGACTCATTCTGCTCCTGCTAGAAAAGAGTCGCTCGCGCTGCCCACGGTGCCTTTCTTAGCGACGCAAACCTTGCAACAAGACTGCGCCAACGCGAGCAGAATATCATCCTACTGGAGCAATTGCCAGGTAGTCTAATAGCGCACCAGGGTGTGCCTCGATCCACGGCTGTGCGTCTGCAGAAGGGCTGGAGCTACTGGATAGGCAGCGCTCGTTGCTGCTCGCAAGAGGCGAGCAGGATGAATCATTTAGTGTCTGGAGGTGCTCCATCAGGCTCCCACTCCGGCTCAGGCGAAGGAGCAGGAGCAGGAGCATCTCCGAACCTTGAGGGGAATATATCATCTCCGCAGCGTGAATCCAGCATCGGCCCTGTACGAAACACCGGCGGTAGTAGCAGTACAGCTGGCACTTCATATGGTCGGAAGCGGACCGATGTAACAGCTGCTGGCGAGTCGTCCAGTCCTACGAATACTGGCGAAAGCGGCATTGGAGATGGACAGATTCACAAGGCCCCGCAAGTGCCTCCCGTCAAGGCCGCGTGTACCTTTTGTCGGTCCAGGTACATAGTCGAGAGAGTTAGCAAGAGAAAGAGGGATCGAAACTGATTCTTTGCTCCGATACATTGATGCAGGAAATCAAAATGCAACGGCGAAACCCCGTGCAAGGCATGCGTGCTGCGCAACAAGCCGGGCGAATGCACATACACAATATCCAGGCGAGGGGGCAAGCCGAAGAAGAAGCCTGATGCAAGTGAGCGATCGGTTCCAGGCTCATCGGACAGAGCAAAACTGTGCGGGATGACTTGTTTTGACTGACTGTGCAACCGCGGTTGTTGCGATCATAGAAACGATGCAGAGCCATTTGCAGTCGCTGCTCGCAATGACTAACTTACCGCACACAGTGCGCATGCCAGGGGCTGTGCCTCAGTTGCGCGAGTTCCAGAAGGATGAAGCGATGTCGGCATTGTCGGAGCTGGGAGGCGTAGCGGGGGTAGGGCAAGCAACAGCGACAGCGACAGCGACAGCGACAGCGACAGCGACAGCGACAGCGACTTCCCCGAGTGCGGTGCATGTCAGTCCGAGCGACGTGAGCATGCAATTTTTTAATCCTTTTGCGCAGCAGCGACTGCAGCAGCTAGGAGCGGCAGATCAAGGAACGAGTTTGTCGGCGGGTGCAGCAGCCGTTGTGGGAGTCGGAGCAGGGCGAGGTCAAGCGCAGTTACTAAATTCCAATGCTAATGAAATCGCGATGCTTGTCCAAGGGCAACATCCTTCTGCGCGGACGAATGGCTATGGTGTGCAGCCCATCACTTTAGACGCGCTTGGAGGTGGGAGCGGCGCCGGCGACTTGCCCTTTTTAAACCATCATCATCAGCAGGCGGCAACGCAAGAAGATGCAAAGGCGCAGGAGAATGGAACAGCAGCTGATGGCTTGTTGCATTTCGACGTTGCTGCCGCTGTTGGGATCAATGTCCTGTCGCAAACGCATGCGCAGCAGTCTAGAGATGGGGGTTTTCCAGGCGGCAGTGCTCAGCAGCAGCAGCAGCGACAGCAACAACAGCAGCAAGATGCTTTCTCACCCTCCATCGTGCTCCAGTCCCCCGGCTTTTACCCAGACCCTTACCGGGAAGCAGCAACCAATCTCTTCCCACCCATTGAGCAAAGTAGCGTCCGTAGCGCGCTGCTAATCGATTACTATCGCTACCTCTACCGCTTCATTCCAGTCTTACTCCCACCCGAGCATCTCGCCGCGCTGGCGTCGTCATTCTCGCCGCGCTCGCCGTTTTTGCTGGCGCTGCAGTGCATCCTACCACTGCTCATGGACGAGGAGCAGCCGCCGGGTCCACTGCACGGCATGGGCGGCAGCGGGCTCAATTTTGGCAGTCCAGAGAAAAAGAAACGTGTCAGGCAGATCACCGCTGTCTACCAGCGCATGGCGAGCGAGGCGATTGATGCGGCGCTCGAAGCAGCCGATGAGCAGGATAGTCCTGCCGCTCTGCTTGAGATCATCCAGGCGTTGTGTGTGCTAATCATCTACGAGGTGCGTTGGCTACTGGCGGTCTCCATTATGTGATGATTGCTCATGCTCTTGGGCTTTCGTTACCACCATCAGTACGGCAGCGGACGGGCCCTCAAAGCACGACTTAAGGCGGATCAAGCTCTGGGCCTAGCGATGTCAAAGGGCTTGCACCGCCTGACAGGAAATTCAAGCAGCTCGACGTTCGGAAGACCGCACCACCGGCAGCAAAGCTGTTTCAGCGTGGCATCCAGCGCCGGGTCTGCCACCAGCACCAGCACCGCTTTTGCGCAATTCTCCACAGAGAATGTGCACGAGATGATGAAGCGCACGTGGTGGGTCACATGGGGTCTGCTCATGTGGGCTTCTTACAATACTGGTCGCATCCCGACGATCCGCGCGGATGATCCGCGCGTGACGAGCGAGCTGCCGAACTGCAAAGATCAGCAGGCCTGGGCTGGCAATATCCTCTCCCTGCAAGCGCTGCTCCTCGTGCAGGATCGCGTACTCGCACTCGCGCAATCGACCGACACGCCCGATAATCAGTCGGACAGCACCATGAAGGGGGCTTTGCAGCCTACTTCATCGTCAGTTAGGCTCGCGGATCTGGGCCGCAATTTTGGTTTTGGCGCTGTTCCGATCGGATCAGCTGGAGACGATTCGAGCATCGCTGTGGACGGTGCCTCCATGGCAAAACCCGCGACGCCGAGCTCATTCTCTGACTACCCATCGCTCAACCAGTCGTCCAGGCAGCAGACCATGCAAAGCATGACGGCAATCGACCAAGCACTCCAGCAGCAAATCGCAGTCATCGAAAGGGGGGATCAGCCCAGATGGCGGTCGCAACCACCTACCGCTAATCTGGGCGGCATTGAAGATGACATGATCGCGTACCTGCATCTTTCTACCGCCATTCAGCTGTATACAGCATGGCTCACTTTGCATCTCTCTTCAGCATTCCAAGGCGCGACTCTTTTTGAGCGTAAGCTCTGCTTCCTCAGCAGCGTGGGTGACAACAACAACAAGCAAATATGCCAGGTGCCCATGCCGGACGCATTCTCCAGCATTTTCCCTGCGGAAACTAGCGCTGACTCGCTCAACATCGCTGACAACGAAACCGATTGGCTCAATGAGGTTTTTCCTGCCGCATTCGACGGGCCCTTCAACCCAGTGTCGAAGTGGACATACTCTGCGCCAGAACAACCCTCGACATCACCTGCTCAGCAGGCAAAGCATCCAAAAGAGCCGCAACACCAGCAGCGGATGTCCCCCCCCCGCAGCCTGCTGCACTCAAAGGACCCTTCGATGCAAGGTACAGTCTTGATCGATGCGTCTACGCGAGCAAGCGCCTGCTCGAGCTCTCGCGCGGCGACGCACTCAAAGTGAATCCATTCCCGGCATGCTCGCACGTGCTCATCGCTTTTACGCTCTTGATGCAAGCGCTCTCGCTCTCGAACGGACTCGATGATGACGAGCACAAAGCTCACGCAGACGACGATATTGCTACGCTTAAGGCCGGTGCAGGTGTGGGTGCTAGCACTGCCTCTGCCGCGCCCATTTCGGACTTTTCGCGCGAGCTTGTACAATCTGCACAAGGATCAGCAGCGCTGCAGAAGGACTTGCGCAAGATGGCGACGCAGGAGGGTCGGCAGCAGCAGTTGATACAGCTACACGAAATCTGGGAGAAGGTGAAAGAGGCTCATGATACTTTGGCAGAGCTATCCAAATACTGGGACATGTGAGTAGCTTGGCAGACCTCTTTGTCGATCGCTTCCCTGACCGAGCTGGAGGGTTGCCGCGCTTGCAGGGTCATTCCCATGGCGGACGAGGTCAACTTGTGCCTCGCCACCAGCCAGCTCTTGTTCGACGCGCAACAATAATCAGCCAAGGGGCATGTGGAATGCCTTGATATGCTATGAGCATGCACTTTTCAAAAAAGATTCGGTATCCTATCCCCTGCTCCGTATTCAGGCGAGGTCTATGTCAGATCAATGACACATCCGCGATAGTGACACTGTCATTTCGCGCCGGTCCCAAGGGCGGCGACGGCGGCTGTTGAAGATGCGCCAGTTCGAGCGCCATCGACTCGCGGAAGGTCGTGTATATACCTGTGAGATGCCCATAATGAATTAGTGTCCTCTGTCATTGCAAAGCGGCGGACAGACTGTGGGGGGCTCACGTTTCTCCCACTCGCCCCAAATGAGCCCGCTGTACAACAATGTCGTCGCGCCCCAGCCAGCTACGACGCTGAGGAACGTGAACACGACACCAACGCCTTTCACGGACTGGAAACCGCTCCCGATGACGAGGGCAACAGCGATGATGAGGATGACAAAGAATCCGGTGAGCTGCGTGCGCTGCTGCTTGCCTGCTTGTCTCTGGCCCATCGTCAAAGCGTTTATGGACAACTCGAGCGTTCGGATCGCAGTGGATTGTGACGCTGTCATGCACGATGAAAACGCCGAGGAAGGCTGCGCCGACTCTGATGCAATGTCAAAGACGGCCTCGACTCCGAAGTGATCTGTATATGAAAAGCCGTGCCCGGGGATGGGCTCGGTGAAGCACACCTGGCATTCGCGCGCCTTGAGTCGGCCATGCGCGGCTGCCTGTCTACGATTGTACATACCCTCGCCACGGCGAGGACCGGTGTAATAAATATAGTCGAGCCGCTTCCCTGCGCCCTGCTGCGCTCGCGCGTCGAGCTTCTTACCCGCTGTCCAAGTGCACAGCGGCGAATCGCACGTGACGCCCAATTCGTCGATGGCCCGCTGGGGATCGGGCTGCTGCTGACGTTGCATCTGTATATGCAACTGGGAACTGCTCTCTGCGCCCGAGTCGGATGGTAGCGTCGTAGCGTTGGGCGGCAAGGAGGGGTGAGTTTCGAGGAACGCGTCGCTGAATTGGCCAATGTGCCGCATCATGCCCGTCGACAGCGATGGCGGCGTGCAGTTAAAGTCACCCAGAGCGATGACGTGTCTCCCGCGCTCGGCGCTCTCGCGTGCCCAATGTGCCAGCTCGTACGTCTGCGTGATGCGTGGACAGCGCGCATGCTCCGGACCATCTTCACCGCCGGCTGCGACGGTGTGCGTGACCCACACATCGAGCAGAAACCCGTCTTCGATGCTTCCTTCTGGCGAGGACTGCACGCTGATGGTCGCGCAGCCAGCACCTTTGCCGACAATCCAGTCGCCGTGTGCGACGGCAACAGGCCAGCCGTTGTACGTATAGCTGCGACTCTGTGTCTCGACAATGGGAAAGCGGCTAAAGATGGCGAGCCCCATCCCGAAGCTGCCGCCGTAGAAGAATTTGGAGTACGGGAAACGGACGGACAAAGCGCTCTTGAATTCTACATAATCGATCGAGGAGACCCAAAGCTCTTGCAGACCGACAATGTCGTAGAATGACAACGCAAGACGGGCGGCGATCGCTCGCATGCGCACTTGCTTGGCCTTTGATAGGGGCTGCGGGAGGCCCCTTTACGACGCACATTCAAAGAAACAGACGCAAAATCCAACCGTCTCAGCACACGTTAAACTTGAGTAAGCGAGCATGCTCTGCCCTTACTTACCAGCAATTCAGACTGAGGACTCGCAACTCGCCCGCCATCGTTGGCCGTTTCGTCCAAGCAAGCAATGAACAATCCTTTCCTCTCGGTGCACGGCACGGCAGCAGACCTTTCTCTTGCCTCTACGGCCTGGAAGTGCAGTCTTCAGAGGACGCCACTCGGTATCAGACGGTATGTGCACAACGCAATCCATAACCTGGGATGACATGGAAAGGGCATTTCAAGATGGGAGTTGTGCACTCCCCATTGAGGTGACGGCTCAGTGACTATCTACTCTTACGCGCAACACAGTCTAGTTTCCACTTTTGCCACAGCAAGCAACACGCGCAAAAGGTGTGTACATTCTGCGCTGTGGGTGTCACAGATCGCTCTCGGGTCCAGCAGTGGGGCAAATGAAAGGAAAGAAGACATGCCAAGGCAAAGGGAGGCGAGGTGAGGCTGACAAAAGAATTGGAGAAAGGTACAACATCATTAACCGTCATGGCAGCACGGGGCGAGAAGAGGGATGGCATCTACATGTTGCAAATTCATTCCGAGCCGTGCAATTTTCTGGTTTGGCATGTTACAAATGCGATTTGATGCCATGTGCCTTGAGCAGCTGCACGCTCTTCTCTTCGCGCGCGATCTGGCGCTTCCAGAGGTCTTCGGCCCGGCGAAGCTGTGAAGTAGCCGTAGGAAGGAGAAAAGAAGGACGAATGGGGTGGGGGTCAGCTCGGCCAAGAGAAGGTATATCAGGACGCTCTACGCTGCTCCTCGTTGACAACTCACCTCGATCTTCCCCAGCTGCTGGAGGTGCACCTCGTCCGGCCCGTCGGCGTACCTGAGCGTCCGTAGGCCAGACCACATGGCGGCGAGCGGCGTGTCCTGGCTGATTCCTTCTGCGCCGTGTGCCTGCATGGCGCGGTCAACGACATCGAGCGCGGCTTTGACGACGGCGACCTTGCTCATGGCAATGTCGCGCAGCGCGCCCTTGGCGTCGGTGACGTCGATCTTATGCGCGGCCATGAGCACGAGCAGGCGCGCCTTCTCAATGTCGATGCGGCTCTGCGCGATGCCCGCGACGATCGTGCCGTGCTCGCTGAGCGTCTTCCCGAAGGCGACCTTGCGCTTGTCAGTCGCGCGCGTCAGCATGAGTTCCAGCGCGCGCTCCGCCGTGCCAAGCGAGCGCATGCAGTGGTGAATCCGGCCCGGGCCCAGACGACCCTGGATTATCTCAAAGCCGCGTCCCCAGCCCTTGATCAGGTTGCCGATCGGCACGCGCACATTCTCGTAGATGACCTCGCAGTGACCCTCGGGCGCATCGTCATACCCGAACACCTGCATCGGACGCACCACCTTGACGCCGGGCGTGTCCGCAGGGATGATAACCATCGACTGCTGCGCGTACTTGTTGCTGTTGTTCGGATCCGATTTGCCCATCAGTAGATGCACCTTGCAGCGCGGGTCACCCGCACCCGAGATCCACCACTTGTGCCCGTTGATGACGATCTCGTTGCCCTCCTGCCGAATGTCGGTGCGGATGTTGGTGGCGTCGGATGAAGCGATGAAGCGCTCAGTCATGGCAAAGGCACTGAATTCAGAAGGAGGGCATGGGGAACGGTTGGGACAGCGGTTCGATCGATCGCTCGATTCCTTGTCACTCACGATCGGATTTCACCATTGAGAAGGGGCCTGAGCCAGGTGTCCTTCTGCTGCTGGTTTCCATACTTGGCGAGGACCTCCATGTTGCCAGTGTCTGGTGCGCTGCAGTTGAGCGCCTCGCTTGCAAAGTGATGCGAGCGGCCCGTCATCTCTGCCATGATGGCGTACTCGAGGTTGGTCAGAGGGACGCCAACGTCTGGATACTTTTCCTTGGAGAGGAACAAGTTCCAGATCCCCTGCGCCCTGGCCTTTTTCTTGAGCCCCTCGATTATGGCCGGGTAGACCTTCCATCGCAGCGATGGGTCCTTCTCAATCTGTGCGTGGAACAGCTCTTCGGCGGGCAAGCACTCGTCCTGGGTGTGCGAAAAAGAGCGAGCGAAACTCGAACCTGTCAGCAGAGCACGTCACCAGAGATTGGGGTTGAAAAGCGGCTCACATGGATGAAGTGGACGACCTTGGTCAGCAGTTCCTTTGCGAGGGGGCTGAATTTACTCTCGACAAAAGCCCAGGTGGAAGGGTTGATGTACTGTTCGACGACATGGTGCTCGTACTTTAGCGTCGGCATGACGGGCGAGACGGTCATGCGGAATGTGGTGTAAAAATGCAGGTAGCAACAGCAAGAGCTGTCTGGCTTTCGTCGGGGTCGATGGATTCGTACTTCGAGAGGGCAACCAAGGTAACCAACTAACCAGAAGCAGGAGCTGAAGGATGACGAAGGCGGGTGTTAATACTGGGAGGCAAAGTGAACGTGAGGGCGGGGGTGTGCGGCGCCACTGTGCCTGTGTGTCCGCCAAGACAACCCGGCAGTCGGCATATCTTCCACCCGTCTTAGCCGGCACGGGCGCGGGGGGAAATGTCCAAGTTACTCCAGCGGGTGGGCAGGCAAAGTCCAGCCAGATTCGAGACTGCAGAGTGGCGACACGTGGCTCAATCACAACCACCAACAGGGAATGGGACCCCCCCCCAACTGTGCCACACAGCGAGAGGAGAGGACGATGGATCCATGTGTGAAGTCTGCCCCCTGGTGACACTGAGAGACAATGGTGATGACGATGATCGCGCTCGGGTGATCGCCCAGCCAGAGCTATACCAAGCACGAGTCGTTGCTGGGCTGCTGCTTGCCGCCGTTTTCGCGGAAGTTCCCATCCTGCTTCTTCTCCTCTTCCCCGGTCACCTTTTGCCGTGGAAACGTCTGTGGATCCTTCTACTTGGTGGGTGCTCAAAAGTCTATGTCGTGCGCAGGGATCGAGCCAGCCGTACAAGTGTGCAACACGGCATGTACAATGCATCTCTGCCCTTCCCCTCGGTCTGTACGGCATAGCACGACGCTTCTCGTCAGACGGGACGCAAGGGCCGCCTGACGGACGAGTTGACAGGCATGAACAGGCTTGTAATCCAGAGTCGCTTGTGGCAGCTTGTGGCTGGACGCGTCGCGCTGCCAAATTGTTCTGTTGGTGCATAGCATCATGCAGATCCTACGTACAGATGTGATCATGTAGAGGGTAGGTAGAAGATCAGGCTGCATGGAGAACTTGCAGTGCCATAATCGGCTACCAACTGGAAAGCCACCGGAGCCATGTCAACCTTGCTTGGCCTTGCCAACTTTGACATCTAGAACTTGGACTCAGGATGCACGCAGTATGTACCGACACCTCCTGGCGATCACATGTCGTCGCTCAGGGTCGTGTGTCTTGCTTGGACTCGGGCTTGCTGTCAATGTATTAATTTGCATAAAATAAATGCCTTCTTGGGCTTCTTGTACCGCCACCAGCACAACTCCGCCTGCACATTGCGTTGTCATGTTTGCACCGCCATCAGCACAGAGCCCCACTCATCCTTGCAACGTGTTTTTCACTGTCCAGCTACGGGCGGGCGATTCAAGTTGCCATTCGCGCCGCCCTGCATGTCCGTTGCCCTCGTGCGCAGTGGCTGGCGCGTGGATCGAGCGAGCTGCGCGCATCAGCAGATTTGCAACGGGGGAGCACTCTGCTTCCTACAAAGGAGAGACTAGGATACATAAACAGATAGCACGCCTGCTGGCTGCGGCCACGCCGCGCGCCGCGTCGCACTGCACCCCACCCCACCAAGCTGGCGGCGCAACGTGCGAGAGAAGAATTATCAAGCCGGGTGTAGGCTTCCGAGTGCAGCTCGTCGCACTTCGTTGATCGAGAGTATGTCGAGCTGGAAAAGGTGGTGTGAATTGATTTGCTGGAAGATAAGATGTGTGGTCATAGTCCATTCTTTTGTCTGGGCACCCGACAGTTGACAGCAATGCAACAGCAGCAGCAGGGGCAGCAGATGCTCGTACCGCTCCTCGGAGAGCAGCAACGCTACAGCCACCAGCAGTCCCGCCTGAGCTACACATCTTCCGTCGATACGACCGACCGACGGAAAAACGCGAGCACCAACGCAGTGCTGGGTGTTTCCTGCTGCGGTACAGTTCAGCGGCCAGCACCTGCTCCACCTGCGGCTGCTCCAGACGTCCCGCTGGCAGGGGCAGCACCTCCTGCGGCGCCTGCTGGGGCACCTGCCGCACTGCCCTGATTCGAGACGGAAAGGACAGACGAGGCGTAGCGCGAGACCTGGGTGAAAAGAGCAGAAGTAAGCAAAACCGCAGCACGGACAGCCGCCCTCAACAACTCACCAGATCCCTAGCGGTAAGATAGCCCCTGCGGACAGCAGGTGGACACCTGTTGTCCTTGGTTGCTTGATCCAGCAAGTCACCCACGTGTGTGAACGCTTGTCTGGTGAAGCTGCTCATGTAGAAGCGCAGGCGAAGGAAGTGGGCGTACAGCAGCGGGCTGATGAGGCTGTTGCGCAGGATCATCGCGCCGCCGAGCAGGCGGAGGAAGATGAACACCTCCGAGTAGGCGACAAAGCGCATCGCCGGGTCATAGTTGCCCTTCACCCAGGTCTGGATGACCTGGCCGACCTTCTTCGGCATAGGTGGGGGTGTTTGCGCAGCGGTGCCATCTGCGCGCCCACTGCTGCTGCTGGAGGAAGGGGTGCTGGGGAACGCCATCGGGATAATCGTCGTGCGCACAAATGTGAGGACGTGGAAGAGTGAAAATACGACAAAAGGGACCAGTGTGACGATGATCGGCTTGTGCCAGAACCAGTACAGGCTCAGCAAAAAGTACTGGACATTCTCATCCATCGCCGCGCGCTGGAAGTACGCCTTGGTCAGCTGCGGCACGCCAAAGCTCTTGTATACGACAATGCCGTAGCTGACGATGGCACCGATGTAGGCGATGTAGTAATAGGCGTTCAAACGCCTCGAGCTGGACCAGAACGCCAACAGGGAGAGCAGGCAACGGATGCCGGCCAGGAGCAGAACCGCATGGCCACCCGCCCATACTAGATGTGGCGTCGAAGCGACTGGTCGAGACTGTATTTAATGCCAGGGCGAGTGAGGTTAAGTTGCGTCAAACATGAAACCGTGGATCATCAGCATACAGAATTTATTTGACTTGCGCTTTCGCAGACGCGCTTCTTGATAAGAGCATCGCTGCGTGGCTCGCGCCTGCGCGACGCTCCTGGCAAGCCGCAATGCTCCCTTTACACTCACCATGATTCTATCACAGCCAAGATAGCAAGCTTGACAGGTGGCGGTGTGCAGAATCGACCGATCAAAACGAGCAGAGTTCGCGTCTCAGATAGAGCGGACCAGTGAAGCCGATGCTGCCGGCTTGCCTAAAGTGCCCGCTGTCGCAAGGGAAAGAAACCGGATGAGCCAAGGCGCGCCACTGGATACTCAACTGCTTCGTGTCAGCCAGTTCTATGTGAGAGAGCGAGCGAGTGAGCTTGCTAGCGGATAAGAGCTCGTGGGATGGTCGGATGGGTCGTGTGAGGTGCAGTTGGAAGATGCTGGATGACGAATTGAATGCAGCACAACATTATTTGTCGCTGCTACTGTATACCCAACGACGAAAATGAGCAGAGAGAAGCGGTTCGAGCGCAGCGAAGGGCGGAACTGCGCCCAGTCTCTCTCGCACGAGAGACAGCAGACTGAGGTGTGTGCGTGTGACACGCTATCGCCAGTCACCATCAACAAGCATTCATTCTAGAGTGGTGTAGCTTACCTACTGGCTCAATCTCGCTTCATCATTGTTGGTACGAACAAAGAGGTGAGGCATGGTCGGGGCATGCTCAACGTGTCCGTACCGCAGACCGTAAAGGAGGGCTAACCTGACCTGCATGTGCAAAGGCTGTCGACACCAGCGCTGTCGAAGGGCCACCGAGGTCACCGGAACCCTCTGCCAACCGCCTCACGCTTAACCTTGTCATGGAGGCTGACGCCGTGGCCGACTCCTCGGCATCAGGAGGCGCAGCGGGCCTCCTCCCGCCAGAGGACCCGCTGTTCAGGACAAACTTCTTTGACATTGAGCCAGACGAGGATCTCGATCTGTCTGAAGCGCACAACCAGGTGTGGCTCGTCAAGGTGCCCAAATTCCTGGCTGAGGGCTGGGGCAAGATCACCAAGGAGAGTCTCCATCTCGGTACTGTGCGGGTGTACGAGTGAGTGTTTTGCTGAGGATGAATCGAACCAGTCTTTGGGTGCTTGCCCGCTGACGCTTGCTCGTGCTGCAGTGCACCAGAGGGCACCAATCCGCGGATGGAGCTGCTGCTGCCAGCGGCACCTGCAAACCCCATCCCTCTCAGTGCTGAGCAATTCGCTGACTTCCCAGAAGGGCAGCATGTACCGCGCAGCTATGATCTCCGCCTGACAGACCAGAACACCTCGTACGGGAATAATGGCCAGAAGGATCCTCGAAATCTGTATGCGTTCCGGGAGAAGCGACCGCGCGAGGACATCGAGGAGGATGAAGCGCAGAAGAAGGCGAGGAAGGAGCGGGGAGAGGATGCGGATCTGGATGACGAAGATGACCTCGATGACGACCTGGACGGTCTGATCGATCCGGAAGAGGACGAGGACATCATGCCACTGCATGCCAGCTTGAAAGGAAAGAGCAGGGCACCTGATCCAATGCGGCCATTAGGAGGAGCCGCTGCAGCAGGAAGTGGGCAAAAGAGGAAGCGGCACTCAAAATTCAGACGTGAGTCTCACTGGAAGGAGTGTTGCGTGTGGGCCGCTTTGACAGTATGGCTGATACCCTGCGCTTCCACACCAGGTCACACCGCATTGGTGGGAACCGTGACCAATGAGGCTGCTGTCACTCCTCAATTGATGTCCTTGCGTGCAGCCATGGATGATAAGAAGCGCATACAGGCGAGCATGTCAACCGGTACTAGTAGTAGTGGCCGTCCACTTCCTTCCAGCGCCTTGGATGGGTACCGGAAGTTGATGAAAGTGCGCAGCGGAAACACTCGCAAGCCTGGGCACGGTCTTGTCATTCTCGACGAGGCAGACAACGGCCTGACGAACCGTATCTCTAGCGGCATCCTCAACCACGAGCCGTCCTTCCAGACGGGGCGCAAGCCGCAAGCGGGGCGGCGGGGCGGCGAGAAGTTCGCGCGCATACCGCGCAACGAGCTGCTCGACCAGCTCTTCACGCTGTACGAGCGCGAAAAGTACTACACGTTCGCCGAGCTGCGGCAGCGCACTCAGCAGCCCGAATCGTACCTGCGCGAGGTGCTGCAAAGCATTGCCGTCATACAGCAAAAGGGCCAGTACTCTGGCAAGTGGGGCCTCCGGCAGGAGTACTCGCAGAGCGAAGCGAGGCGCAACGAGCAGCGCGAAGTGCAAAGGGAGAAGGAGGAGAAGGAGCGGGCAGAACGAGCTGCTGCCGGCGACAATACCGACGACAACGATGATGCAGATTAAGGTGCTAGTCCTCTATCAGTCCTGCCGCAAACAATAATTGTGTAGAGAGAGAGCCGACGAAATGGGTGGTGGCTCTTGCTGTTGCATGTATGACATACTTCCAAGGATATGTTACATGTTCTTTGCATCGATTGTTGCTGATAGATGCAACATGCGAAATGGCATGGAACTTTGGCCTCAGCCTGCACGCCTCGCTCGTGGAGGTAGACCTTTGACCCGCCTTGGCGAGCCTGGCGTCGAAGAAGGTGCTGAGCCCATGTTGAAGAATGTCCCCGCGGCAGCAGGCGGCGCGCCCGCCGATGTACCCGGCGGCGTCCCCGGTACAGAGGTCCCAGACCCGAACGTGAACGCTGCCAGCTGCGACTGCGAAGGCTGAGGAGCAGCGTTGCCATTGGCACCAAAAGCGGCGGTGGTGATGCTACTGCTGCCAAATGCCGGCGCTGTACTTCCAAAGTTGAAGTTGAACGCAGTACCCGGTGCAGGGCTGGAGGGGGCGCTGCCGCTGGATGGCGCACCGAATGTGAATGCGTTCTGGCTCCCTGCGCTCCCATTGCTGCCAGTCTGCGCCATGGCTGGCGCCTGCCCCTTGGATGCGCCGGTGTTACCACCGAAACCGAACGGAGACTTGGCTGGCGCTTGCGACGAAGGCGTAACGCCAAACCCAGAACTCTGTGAGCCGCCTACTGGCTGGCCGAACGTGAACGACTGTGTAGTAGAGGATGCAATTCCAAACGTTGTCCCTGCTGCTGCACCAGAGCCTGCGCCGACAGGTGCCTGCCCAAAGCCACCGAACGATGGAAGACTTGCCGGTGTCCCAGCAGTAGGAGCCGTATTTGTTGCGCTAAGTGCACCGAAGGAGAAGAGCGGCTTCGGCACTGTTGGTGCGGCCGAAGAAGGTACGCCAAATGAGAAGGAGGGCGTGGACGGTGGTGCACCTGCTGCAGTTGCAACAGCGCCCCCACCAGGCGATTCATCCATCAAGTCAGCTGGTAAAGCTGTTGTTCCTGTCGCAGGTGTCTGCGAGCCTGCAGCTGCTGTCGGTGTCGACGAGGCAGACGACGCTGCTGGTTGTCCAAAGCTGAACGCGGGTGCAGCCGACGAAGCAAGTGGCACCGATGAGGTTGGTGCACCGAACGACAAGGCTGGTGTCCCTGATGCAGGCTGGGAAGCTGAAGTCGCAGCGCTGCCATTGGTCTCTCGCCTGGGCGCCGCTTCCGGCTTTTTGAAGGGAAAAGGCGCTGCGGCTGACGTCGAAGCACTCGTTACGGCAGGCGTTCCGAAGGAGAAAGCAGGTGTACTGGAGCTAGGAGCCGTCGATGCTGGCGGGTTCAGACTTGAGGTTGCAGATGGGCTGCCGAATGAGAAAGCCGGTGGCTTCGACGCTTCGCTACCACCAGCTGCTGTGCCATTAGCGAAACTGAATGCCGGCTTCTTCGAAGTGGAATCGGCTTGAACGGGCGCCTTGCTTTCCTCCGATGCATCATCGGCGGAGCGCTCCTTTTTCGTGCTTGTTTCTGACGCTTCTTCCGAAGATGAGGGCTTGGGCAGCGAGAAAATTGGCGTTGCAGCGGAGGTTTTCGAAAGCTCGGCTGTGCCAAAGCTGAACATTGGCTTGCCAGCTGGTGCGCTAGCTTCCTTCTGAGGTAGCTTCGCGAGTGAGCTTGCGAAAAAGTTGGGCCTGCTCTCTGCACCATCTTCGCTGCTCGGCGTGTCTTTCTTAGATGCGGAGGTGTCCTTAGATGGAAGGCTGAAGAAATCGTTCGGGATAGTAGACTTCTTTTCGCTTTCAAATGTGGGAGTCACAGCATTGCTAGTTGCGGGGGTCGGTGCAAAGGAGAAGATCGGCTTTGGAGTCGGATTGACAGCGCTGACATCTTGACCTACCGCAGCCGGTGCAGCGAAGGAGAAAGCTGGCTTTGGCTGCGAAGCCGGCGCTGCTGCAGGCGCAGAGGGGGTAGAGTCCTCGGCAAAGTCACCCATACGTGCCAGTAAAGAGCCAGTGCTAGGCGCAAGATCTGATGCTTTGCCCACAGCAGCAGGAGCAGACGATGTGGTTGGCTTCTCCCAGCCTTCTTCAGCAACTGCTTTGAAGACGATCTTTGGGGGCTGTACGGGTGCAGCTGAAGCGACTGCAGCCGGCGTTACAGTTGCAGTGCTTCGCGTCCGCGCCGACACGGGCGAAGCAATGTGGGCAGAGGAGGTAATGCCTTCATCCGCAAATTTGAAGCTTGTTGGGAAGATTGCGACGGGCGTCACGCTCTTGCTCGCTTGCAGCTGCTTCAGCACCTTTTCGTCCAATTCGTCACTATCCTCTTCGTCACTGCCGTCATCGGCCGTGAAACGCCCACTCGCTTTCTGATGCTGACGGCTGGTTTTGGTCGCTGCGACGCGCAAACTCGATCGAGAGCTGCTGCTTTCGGTCGGGTCCGAGCGGATAGTGAAGTTGTCATCTTTTGAGCTCGACAGAGTCAGTCGACCCATCGGCGCTGCGCTTGATGCACGTAGACCGTCTCTCAGACTGGGAGCAGCAGTATTCTCTTGCTGCGTACCTTCGCTCTTGCCCACTGCTTTCTGTAGCCCCGTTCGCTGAGCCGCCGGTTTCGGAGGTGGAAGTGCATCATCTAAGGCTGCCTCCTCCTCTTCTTCAACAGCCATCTCGCTTCCACTCGACTCTTGCTCCTCCTCCATGTCAGGAATATAATCCTCATCTTCATCTTCCTCTTCCTCGAACTGCCTTTGGTTCACTTTCCGCGCAATAACACCCTTGATGCTCTTGCCATTGTCCACGCTGCTCGCTCGCGGTGTGGAGGCTTTGAAGCTGTCGCGCAGCTTGGCCCTAAGGCCCCCTTCACCAGCTGCACTGCGCATAGGCGAGTTTTCGTACGCCTTGCGATTCTTCTCCAGAGCTCTTGTCTGTGGGGCAATCGATTTGCGCAGACTCGAGGTTGAGCGTTGCCCCACTCCTGATACACTCCCGCTTGTCCCAGAATCTTCACCAAGGGTGTCAACATAGCCGAAACGTTGTGAGCGCTCAGGCGTCGGCACAGGCACTGGCGCAAGAATGCGATTGGACTGGAAAAAAGAGAAGATGAGCATGGGCCCAGCAAGTTTGCATACTGTGTCGCACCAAAACTGCGCTCTCACAATCGGTGAAGACTGAAGCCCTCGCCGCGCGTCCCCTAAAGGCGTGCGCAAACGCTCAAGATGATTGAGAATGGCTTCCGCCTCATTCTTTGGTGGAGGAGGGGCCGGCCCTGGATATTACGGAAGAAGATCATGTAGCGCAAACTCAGGACGCAGACTCAAACGAGCAATCACGATCGGGCGACACTCACGTCTAGCCTGCAGCTCTTCGGGGGTGACGAAGCCAAGCTCTGGGTCGTAGATCATCTGCTTGCGCCGCTTGCGGGAGCTCCAAACCTAATCGCAAGACGTAATATGTGAAGAGAAGAGGTATTGGAGGTAAATAAGCGAGGGTTGAGATGAAGCGCATTGCTGACACTTACGTAGTCTTCGCCTTCTGCATCCTCTAAGCCACTCGGTTCTCTCGGCCTCTTGCCCAGCGTAGGCTCAACTGCATCAGCACGAGTGGAATCCAATCGTGATGATAGGGAAGCACCCATAACCTCCTCCAACTCTGCATCAGTGCCCTGCTCCCTGGCATTTGCCGCAGCGTACATGCGCATCATCTCTTCCCCTTCCGTGTCCTCCATGCGTCTCGTGCTGCTGGGCGCGTGCAGATTGAGTGATGTCCAGGGCTGCCGGTGGCGCCTGCCAGGCGTGCTAGGCGCTCCGCTGTACACTGAGCCAAATTCGGATGGCGCCGCCCCCGCGGCGCCGTCGGCACGGTAGGCGCTCCCGGCGCGCGAGGGTCCAAATGCGGAGCCAGCGTGTGCCGGTTGCCTACTCGGGGTACCAAAGGCTGCACGCGTAGCATAGCTGCCACCGATCTCACTGGCCGCGTACACGCCCCCGGTTGCAAGGCCGGACGAGCCGAGACTCGAGCGTGCAACTCTTCGGCTGATCGGGCTGCGTCCCACACTTCCCACCAGGCTGGAGCCAGAGATGGGCCGTTGCTGTTGGAGTCGCCTTGCACTCCCGAGAGTAGATCCCACAGCAGAAGAACTGGTCCCACCAAAGCCGATGACGCTGGCAGAGGAGAGCCGGCTTGGTCCTCGCGGGCCGAGCCCGCCGAGTCTACGTTCCGAGCCAAAGCCGAATGCAAACGACTGAGAGCCCGACATTCCCGAGAAGCGGGAGGCCTGAGATGGAGCAGCTGAATACACTGACATAGTTCGCGAAGGCGTCCCTTCTTGGCGATGTGAGTCGAGCCTTTGAATCCCAACCGCCCGGATCGCCGCACTTGCGTCTGTCCGTGACTGAGAAGGGATGCTTGCGAACGTGCGCGAGGTATGCGATCCTGCAGCCGTATCTGACGACCTGTGTTCTCGGGGACGTGGCGCAGAGGACGGAATTTGGCGAGTTGAGACCGCGTCGCTCGGCGCCGAACTCGAAGCGGCAACAGGGGCTGGAGTCGACGTCAGCCATGAGTAAGGCCGCGAGACCAGATTGGAAACCCGTCCGAGGAAGCCTGGTCTCGGAGTGTCACTGGATGGAGCCGATGCGTTTTGCTGTTGACGCTGCTCTTGGTTTCCTAACGAAGGCTGTGTCAGCCGAACGGGAGTCTTGAACCCTTGCACTCCATGCTGATCGTGCTGCGAGTCATCTCGTTGACCGGCAGACTTTGGCCGGTCATACGGCTTTGCCCCGGTTCTCGAGAACGCATTTGCACCATGCTTAGCTCCGAGGCGGCGGACGGGGCCTGTCAGAGAAGGCTGCGGCTCAGGGACGTTGGCCGAGTCCGACTGGCGATAGAATGATCGGTCCATGGCGGACAGCACTGCGCGAAGCTGGCAGTCTGATGGAGCTCACACGCGCATCCACTTGCTATGCACCCGGCGTCAAGGCCTTATACTCAGCCCGTTTTACCACCTGCCTGCTGAAGGATCATGCCGCCCTCCGGACCACGACTCTTCTTTCAAGCTCCGGACGTGCTTTCTGAGAGTCGACGAACGATAGGATTCGAGAAGGAGAGAGAGGAAAGAGCGAAGGGACACACAAGCGGAAGGCCTGCGATTTTGTTTCCATAGTCACGTGATGAAATGTCTCACACTGAAGAGCATAATAGTAATAAGCAACCAGCCGAGCCTGACTGCCCTCTCTCCCTCTCGGGCGTCCGTCGTCAAGCAGCAATGCGCACGCACTCTCTCTGCTCACCGCTTCTGATGGAGTTAATCGTTGAGCATGCACAGGCGATGTACATCTGGGGGCATTTACCTGTGCAGCAACTCAAAAGCACACGCACGGATTCGCGGCCGGCCACAGGCCTACGGCGCAAAGCTGACTCGGTGGCATGGTGATGGCGACGAATCTCAAAAAGGTATACTACAGCGACCACGGGCATAGGCACACGCGGAGCACGATTCGTTGCGAGTGGAAGCATTTGACGAGCATCGCGTCTGGATATCGCTTGTGAGAGGTTAGGGCAGCGTGCTCACACTTGACGCTTGATGACGCTCAAGCGTGGGGTGCGCCGTTGGAAGCATGCGCTTTGGTCACGGGCGGCATGCCAGCTGATGGCTCAGCTGAGAATTTGGTCTGAGAAAATGCGCAAAAGTGAAAGCATTCTCCAGTGCGAGTCAGCATCAGCATTTGCCACGCCTCCTCCTTCCTAACCTCAACAATGCATCAGAAGCATCATCTCACCTGAACGAAGACCTTGAGGATCGGCTTGTCCTTACTCTCCTCAAACAGCTTGCGGTTGTACATCGCGTCGTACAGCTTAGGCAGCTCCTCGAGCGCATAGCGATGCGTCAAGACCTTTGTTGGATCGAACCGGCCCGGCATGATGTACTCTACAAAGTGCAAGGACGCGTTCGTTAGTTTGTTCCCTCGGTCCACTTTTGGTGAGCATTGCCTACTATCCAACCAATGGCTGTCCACTCACCCTCGAGAATCTCTTGCCAGTACCGCTGGACGGGAGGCTGGCCGTGGCCATACAGCTTCACTCCCTTCTCCGTCAGCAGACCCATGTTAAAGTTGCCGAGCTGCCCAGCGTAGTCTGCAATGATCGAGACGCGACCGCCGTTGCGAGCGGCGAGGATGCACTCGTTGAGCGGGTGTGTGATACCGTGGCCGGCACTGAGTGTCTTCATGGCCTTTTGAAGTGAGCCTATACCCAAGCGGCGCGGGATGGCGAGCTCGGCCAGCTTGCCCGGCAGCGTAGCCGCAGCATGTGCCGTGGGCGAAGTGGCCATGGCAGTTTTGGGAGGACCAGCGACTTCAAAGCAAATGTCGAAGCCATGCGGCTCGAGCTCGTGCATCTTTTGGCTAAAGCCGTGCGGACAGTCTGTCTTGCTGTCTGAGTTGGTCGCCTCGATCGCCGGTCCGAGCTTCTGCTTTGCCCAATCGAGGCGCGACTGAATAGAGTCTACCAGCACGATGCGCCTGGCGCCAAAGACTTGCACCCACTGAGCGACGAGTTGACCAACAGGGCCACTGCCGATGATCAGCACGGTGTTGCCGCTCTGAAGACCGACATCTCTGACCGCATGGTAGGCGGACACAGCAACGTCGGAGAGAAAGAGCGCCGTCTCATCTGAGACGCCGTTGGGCACCCTGAGCACGTTGTTCTCCGCGCACGGAATCCTCACGTATTGCGCTATGCACCCATCGGAATTGTCAGCATCGTGTGATGTGGTCATCGCTAGTCCAGAGCACCCACCCTGGCATCCGGCGATGCCCCCAGACGAGAAGTGAGCATGTCCCTCAAGGCTCGAATGTCTCTCGCCATACAGCTTTCCCTGTGCAGACAGTGCAGGTTGCTCGTTACAGTCAGCGAAGGTCCTTGCAATCGGGGTAGGAACCGAGTCCAGGCGACCCCTACCAAGTAACCATTGTGGCCTGCCTTGTCGCAGATTCTGCCAGTTTCGCCCCTCTGGCAGCCTTCACAGGATCCACAGCCGAGCGCAAAGCTGCAGCACACTCTGTCGCCAAGCTGCAGATTCTTCACAGCGGATCCAAGCTGCACCACTTGGCCGACAGCCTCATGCCCTACACAGAGAGAAATTGTGCTGATCTGTCAACTGCTGGCAGCGAACTGAGCTTCGCATTGCGACGTGAGACATACCCATGATGTCACCCAACTTCAGGTCAAAGACATCACCGCGGTAGATGTGCATGTCTGCATGGCAGCTGAGCAGCACCCAAGATTGTGCACGGTCAGCATCATGGTCGACGGGGGAGGACGCGGGCGCTCCAGCAAACAGAAGGGACTGACAGAGACGTTCCGGTGGTTCTGTAAGACGCAAGGAGCGAAGGAATGTATCATCAGCTGACAGTCAGATCCGAGTCTGCGCCGGCTGGAACAACACGTACCTAATGACAATGTCTTCAGCGTTCGTCACATGCGGCACGTCGACTTCTCTTAACGCGACCGCGCCCTTGCCTTGCCAGGTGACGGCGGCCATCGTCTTCTCTTCGATCAGACTTCTGACTCCCGACTTGAATGTCGGGTAGGCAGAGTACTCAGTGGGGACCGTAGCGTACGAAGTTGCGCCAGTGCCAGTGCCGCCAATGCCATTCGCTTGATCGCTGTGTTTTCTGTAAGGCTGTGGGTGTTTACGCGACTGCGGGTCTCCATTGTGCGCCTGCCCGCCGTGTTGCATTTTCTCTGACGGCGACATTGCGGTGCCCTGCGCGTCGTAAAATTGCCCAGGCGCTGACATCTTGATTGGTACCTTGTTGGTTCCAGCAGTGCTGGTTGTTCCCGATGTGCGAAGACTGGAAAATGTTGCGCGGTCGAAAGTAGATTTGGGGATGCTGGTGAAAAAGAGAGGGCAGACAACCTTTTAAAGCGGGAGGCAGGGATCTTCATTCTTTAAAGTTCCTATGCTGCGGAGGTCCCATGTTCCAACGAGGGTAACGGAGTCTGCATCCATTGATAGACGGGACATCGGGGAGCTGAGCAAGCCGGGACCGCTCGAGCGAGGCAAGTGCGTCAGCCGTCGGTTTATCAAGAGCGTCACGCCGACATGCGACACCCTGTCTATTATCAGCCCAGCACGCTTCTTGGTGTACCTGGAAGCAAGGTCCGTAGCAATCTCGAGATCATTTTAAACTGAGTAAGGAACGCGCAGAGAAATGACGCAAGAGGGATCCATAGTTCTGGGCAGCACCAAGCACGTTCGGAACCGTCGCTGAACAGGAGGACTGGGGTCCCGTTGAGCGGCAACGCTGTTGCGACTCTACATTTGATTACCAATTCTTCCAGCATGCAGTTCGTGTAAGCGCCTTTGGCAAGCTGCTGCTGTGAAACCCGGATCAGCGATGCTGCCACAGGTTGGACAGTGGCGGTCCTGCAACCAACGTCAAGGCGTCAAGCAAGGGTAAAGCAGCAGGCCAGTTTGCTGCCTGCTTGCCCCATCGTTGTAAAATGGTATATGGCATCTGGACTGCATGCCATCTCAAATGGAAGCATCACCAGGATCATCGCCCGCTTGGTCGCTGCAACAAAGCAGTTGGGAGGAGGAGGAAGCAGATGCTCGGAAACGCATCAAGCATCTGTTTGTTGCGTCGTGGTACTACTAACCGTGGACTTCGCCCATTGGATCGTTTGATGCTTCCATGTTTCCATGACATTTGTCGTGATACTGGGCGCAATTGTGACACAAGGAACGAAACCCTCCGAATTTCTCTTGGACCTCGCCAATTAGAGCAAGTCGATGTGCAGCACGGCGGCAGAGGGCAGACCGCCGCCCATACTTGGGTGGCCCCACGCAACGCAGAACAAAAGAGATGAGGCACCGGGCCACAGGCAAGAAAAAAAAGAAAGAAAAAAGAAGCCCCACTCCCAACCCCCCAGCTATGCAGTGCATGCAGAATTGATTATTTTCACCGGGTGCCGCTCCGGGCCTAGGCCCACGGCTAAGCCCAGAGAGGAAAGAGAAGCGCAGTTTCAGCGCCTCATCTTCGCTAATTTCAGCGTCCGACTGTGAACTACATAGTCCACTTTTTGTCCCGGTCTGCAACAACTGGGCTGCCAAGGCGCAAACTGTCAGCAACTTGCAGCGAGAAGATGCAAGACAGAGGCCATCGCCGAAGGTTCGCCTGACGGTGGAGGAGAGTAATTTTCGACACCGTGGCCCTGGGAAGAGCATCAACGGCAAACTCTGGGTGGGACAAGGCAGTCCGAGTGGGGAAGATTGGGCGGGCAATTCTAACGCTCGTCTGCAAGCGGCGGGGGACATGTCCTGCGATATCAGCGCATCCGGGCAGCATCGCCGGTGGGGAGTGGGGGAGTTCGCGCCAGGTAAGGAAGACGGCTCGAAATCGATAGAAACCATCATTCTCATCACATCCCACACTCAGCTCCAAGCTGTGAACGCCGACGCTGCCGCTCCGACACATCGGGCCATGGACACCTCCATGAGGGTTACTGCAATTTCATCGAAGAGACAGGCAGAGGAGAGATTGGAAAGAGAGATGTCCAATCCCACTGCAGGCGAGAGCAGTAGCAAAGGCAGCATGACGCTAGAAGCTCGAGACGAGCTACGGGTTGCCGGCCAAGGCATGAGCTTCTCTCCGTCGCTTGAAGCTCACCAGCAGCCGTCTAAGGCCCTCGAAGCCGCTCGTCACACACATGGCACTCACGGCATGGATCAAGAGAACGTTGTCATGCCTCCTGATGCATCAGGCCAGCTCTCCACTCGAGGCGCCAGCGATGATTTCCAAGGCGGTGCGCTCATGTCGCTGCCAACAGCACACGGCTCTCTGTGGGCTCCGAAAGGCAAAGCATCTTCGGCTCTCTTGCAAAGCACCCAGCAGCCAGGGTACGTGCACGGTCTTCAGACCTACGTAGGAGGCTTGCAGATGAGCATGTCGAGCACGCGGACCGGCCTGCATGAGGCAGAGCCCTTTTCTGCGTCTCCGTCCGCGTTCATGGACGAGGATGTGGCGCGCATCTTGCAAGAAGAGCTGGACAAGCGCAGCCAGAAGCGCAAGGAGCGGTCTGCATCACCCACAGCCGTCATGGGCACGAGCGCGAGCAAGGACAAGGGTTCAAAGGCGCTATCGAGCAAGGCGAGAGGCAAGCAGCGACGAATCGATTCCTACGCGTTCGCTGCTCTGCCACTGGCTGCATCAGCGCCATCATCGTCATCACAGACACCATGCCCGGAGACGGCAACGGCACCTGCGCCAAAGGACGACTTCGTGCGCAACTCGGGGTGCCAGGCCGTATCTAGCAGCCTAGGGACAGGCACAGGCACAGGCACAGTTCATGCGCACTCGTCTCTCAGCCTAGGGCCCTGGACAGCGAACGCGATGAACAGCGGCATCGGCCTGGCCCCTCCGGAACGGCCCGTCGACTCTCTGTTCCCGTTGCCGAAGCACGTGCACGACGCCAAGAGCACGCGCGACACCGCGCAGCGGATCAGCTACGATGTCGGCGCCATACAGCATGCCGGCAGGTATGATGATGGAGGCAAGGACAGCCAGGAGGGTGAAGCGGCGTTCGCTGATAGCGCCATGCATGTCAATTCAACCGGAAACAATGATGAAGAAGACGAAGAAGACGCGATCGACCGTGAGCGGCAAGAGGAGCGTGAGCGCGAGCTGCGCCAGGGAAGGGATGCGACAGCAAGAAGCGAGGATGTAGAGCTGGAGAGGCTCCTGCGAGTCGCTAAGCGGGAAGCCGATCTGGATCTCTACAAAGCTTTCCGCAGGTCTACCTCCCTCCAAGCTCAGCAAGTCCAGCATGCAGGGAGCGATGCGAGGTCGCGGCAGTCCACACGACAGCACTCGGCGGACAGCGTCAGCTCCGACCAGCGAGGCAGCGCGAGCTCGGGATCTACCGCTAGGGAGGGATCGGCGCCTGGCGCGCTCCAAGCGCCATCTCCGCCGCCGCTATTGACAGCCGCAGCACGCAGGTTGCAGGTGCGCATCGAGAACGGTCTGCCGGCCGTCAGCCCCGGCTGGCATGTGCCCGAGAGCGGTCTGCAAAGCTCGTACGTCGGCGGTGCGGGCGTTGGCGCTGGCGTGAGCGTGAACGGAAGCGTCAGCCATACGCCGCGGACGAGCACCATACAATCCAATGCTGCAGACACATTCTACCCTTCCTCCTCTTCTGTGGCAACAAACAACTCAACCGCATCCGATGCTCGAGAGCGCGCACCACAGCTGCTGCACCAGCATGCGCTACCCTTGCGCGAGGAAGAAGGATATGTCCCACTCTGCTCCTTCCCTGGAGGGCGCATCCCAGAAGCTCTCAAACCCAGGCTGCGCGAAAGCTTGGGTCTCAGGCCACTAGATGATATCTTGAAGGAGATTGTAGGTGAGTGTCGCTCGCCGACGTACCTCTGAGCAACGTCTTCAGCTGTTCAACTAATTTCTTTTCAAATTAATTTCGCCACACAGCAAAGTCGTACAGCAGGCAGCAGACATCTGCGCAAAAGGCGTCGTCTAGACGCAACAGTACTAATTGGAGCAGGCTCTCCGACAAGACTTCCACCTTATCGCGAGCGACTGGAGTATACGGTCAGGGCATCGCCTGCGACAAAGCCGTCGCAGAGCATATCTCTCCCTCACCGCCCACGCGCTCGCCTTTGCCGACGCTTGGGAACACCATGGCACGCGCACCGTCCTCGTCGGAGCAGCATGAAGTGGAAGATGAGGTGGTGGGGGAGAAACTGGGGGAGGAGAACACCGTGGAGGAGGAGGTGGTGGTGGTGCAGCATGCGCCAGTCGCGTTGCCCATCACTGCCTTGTTAAACGCGGCCGGCAGTACGGATGCGTCGAATGATGCCAAGATCAAAAAGAGGCGCGCCCTTGACGGCGGGAACAGCGCTCCTAATTATGCGCTGCCATGGCTATCGAAAGATGCCAAAGAAGCTATCGCAGCTACCAACGGCCGCGGGCTATTGTGCAACATGGGTTCACTGCGTCTCGATGTTGTCAGTCGGACCGCCCCCACTCGAGACAACAACGTGACCATAACAGTGCCGCCAGGAGCGACCATGCACGACGTGGCTATGCACATGCCAAGGCCGTTCGGCGGTTCTTCTTGTGGTTACCGCAACCCTCTTGACTCGGCCAAGAGCGACATGTCCGCCACTTCCGCCACGGCCCTCTCTCCGTTTGGCGAGATGCACGAGCGACGCGGTGAGCCGAGTCCCTCGCCGTGGCACCCTCCGCCGCCACAGTACGAGCCGCCAAGGTCACATCGATACGCCACGCGATCGTACGAGCACGCACCCGCGCCCGCCGCCGTTGGCGCCGACGGCCGACGTGCGCCCAGACACGAACATGGTTGCACAGACCCACTTCCCGCTGGACGGCCGGCCGTGAAGACGCGGCTGGCGCCGCCACCGCCGGTGTGCGAGCTGCCGTTTTCGCCGTACTTTGACCCGCAACCCCGGTACGGGCTCGACCACTTTGATGTCGTCGACGAGGTGGGCACGGGGACGTTCGGCAAGGTGCTGCTCGTCAAGCTCAAGGGCGCATCGCCGGCCGAGCCGAGGTCGTATTTTGCGGTCAAGGTGCTGCGGAAGCAGGATGTGATCAGATCGCGGCAGGTGGAGCACACGCTGTCGGAGAAGGACGTGTTGGCGCACGTGTCGCACCCGTTCCTGGTTAACCTTTACAGCTCGTTCCAGGACGGGCTGAACTGCTACATGCTAATGGAGTTTGTCCCCGGGGGCGAGATCTTTGCGCATCTGCGCCAGGCCAAGCGCTTCACGGCGGACGCGGCGCGATTCTATGTGTGCAACATTGTGCTTGCTCTCGAGCACCTGCACGCGCGGGACATTGCCTACCGCGATCTGAAGCCGGAGAACCTGCTGCTGCGCGCGGATGGATACGTCAAGCTGGCGGATTTCGGGTTCGCCAAGCAGGTCGTGGACCGCGCATGGACGCTGTGTGGCACGCCCGAGTACCTCGCACCTGAGATCATCCAGAGCAGCGGGCACGGCAAGGCGGTGGACTACTGGTCGCTGGGAGTGCTGTTGTTCGAGATGCTGGCGGGCTACCCGCCGTTCTACGCGGGCAGCCCGCTCGAGGTTTACGAGAAGATTCTACAGGGCATCTCCGGCGTGCTGTTCCCACCATGCATCGATGCGCAGGCTGCGCACCTCATCCGCGGCCTGCTGCAGCCAACGCTCTCACAGCGCCTTGGCAACCTCGCCGGTGGGATCGAGGACATCAAGCGACACCCGTGGTTCGCCGGCGTGCGCTGGGACGCGGTCGAACGCTGCCTCCTGACGGTGAGTGCTTGCTTGCGTGTCTCTTACCGCCCGCTGTGAAAGCGCACACGTCTGATTTGCACACCCTCGCTCGTACAGGCGCCCATCATCCCACGACCGATCGACCTCGCGGCCGTCTGGCAGAGTCGACGGCCGTTTGACGCGGCCGACCTGCCCGCCTTTTCAGCGTGCCATGCGCTCAGCGGCGGCGAGCAGTACTACGACGACCAGTTTGCCGACTTTGGCCCAGCGTTCGCAGTGCGGACGGCCTGCTATTGACATGATCGATACCCATTGCGCGTGGTCCAACTGTATAGCTTATCCTTTCGAAGCGCTTTGCATGACCCCTGTACTGGTTTGCTAGAGACTAGGGCCCATGGCGAGAGATGATGAGGCTGCTGTGCGATGTGTCCGTGTTGTACGGCAAGGTCGGCTGCGTGGGGCTGCTTGTGGCGAGTGCGCAAATAGCCGTGGCGTCAGGACGCGCTCTGGGGTATGTATATCTGCCTCTCCTTTCCTCGTGGGGAGGGCGCGGTGCACGGCACGAGCCCCACCCTTTTGCGTGCATGGGTGCTTGCTGGCTGTGCTGAGGGCGTTGTGCACTGAGTGCGTGCGTGACATTGTGTGTGAGAGAGACATGCATCATCCGTGGCACCAACCGCGCCATGCACACGTGTGCATGTGCATGGCTGTCGGGACGGTTTGCTGGGTGCAGAACGGGAAATGCTTATTGATTCGACCCACGGAGCGCCCTGTGGCTGCGGGTGTGTGCGAGAGAGAGAGACTCCCCCACCTGTGCCCGTCAACAGTGCGAGTCTGCCAGTGCACCACGTCGGTGGGAGGGGAAGCAAACTGAAAATGTCCCCACCCATCCCACTCACTCGAAGCAGACCCGAACATGTGGAACAAACAGGTGATGCAGCCATGCAGCAGTCGGGAGCGGTGGCTGCGAGCATGTGAGTGCTGGGGAGTTTTGAATGTGAGTTGTCATTAGGGTTACTGCAACAATGCATGTATCTGCGGCATCATACCTGAAGCTGGGGTATCTTTGAACCAACGCTTCCGTTCGGCATTATTCTCCCTTCTCACACCACTTTTTTCCTTTGCCGAATTGCAACTGCGAAGCATTTGTGAGACCCCCCCCAGCCGGGACATGACAGAATGTATATGTCACGTGACAACATGTATACTTCCTCTCTCATCCCATCGCACTCATGTGCTGCTCAAGGAGTAGACTACAGCAGCAGCAAAAAAGAAAGAAAAAGAATAAAGCGGTCTCATTGATACACAGACTCTTCCCCCGCCACTCCCTCTGGCCGCGGTAGCCCGCCATCATCCACCTCGACCAGGGAACCGGTGCGCACACCCAGAGCCACACGGATCCAGGGGTCAAGGCATGTACCGCACAATCGCAGGCGCACCAGACTCGTTCCAATGGTACATACACGCTCGTGCAGCGCCGCAGCCAAATGCACCCACGCTAGGGTACCCTACACGCTATCGTCCCAGCTATCCGGCACATCCCCCTCTGGCACCACAGGCGGCGGCGATGGAGAGCCTACCGCGCCGCCCTGCCCACGTGCAGCGGCAGCTGCCATCAAAAGCGGACCCCCGCCTGAGGGCGCATACCCGTGCATCGGCGTCGCCCTGCCAGACACAGGCGCGGAGCGGACAGCCGCAGGGACGACGGCGTGCTCAAGTAGCACGTGGCTGCTCCATGCCGACCCCGTCGCCGCGCGGTTCTCCGTCGCGCTGCTCCCTCTGCGCAGCACCGGCAGCGACGGCGACAACAAGTCCACCGTCGCAGGGCGCAACGCCCTCGCGACAGGTGGACCGCTGCTGCTGCTGGATTTGCCGCAGAGGCTCCGTACCGGCTCGAACGCAGACACGATGGCGCGCCCCGCCGCGTCGATCGCAGCGGTGCCCATGGCGGCGCGCAGCACCGGGTGCACGAGCACGTCCTCGTGTGTCAGCCACTTCGTCCCGTACGCGACCGCCTCGCCGAGGCGAGGGGACAGCACCGCTCGCAGTGACGCCTCGTCCTGTCCAAAAACGCCCTCAAGGATGAAACTGTTCCAGCTGGACAGGGGCGTAGCGGACGCCGGCGCGCTGACCCCCGCCGATGGCTGCCGACGCAGTTGCGTCAGCGTAACAGACTGTGCCCTGCGCGCCGCGCTGGTGCTGAGGAGCGCCGACTCGGCCGCCTTTTCCTTCCATGCGTCGTTCAGCGACCGGGTCGGCAGCGCGCTCGCGCTGCCACCGCCGCCTCTGCGCAGCATGACGCTGCGCCTTGGCTCCTCGTCGACGCTCTCGCTCGCCAGGCCATAGCATGTAGCGAGCTCGTGCGTGAATTGCCGCACCTCCTTGTTCGCCACTGGCAGGATGGTCCCGTGCCGCGGCGACTTGATAAAATCGGTGAGCAGTTGCTCGACTTGCTCTGCCTCCTTTCGCCGGCTGGCGTAGAATGCAAGCACTGAGTCAGGATACTGCGTTGGCCCTGCCTTGTCGCCAACGCTGAGGCCGAGCGCTTCGGCCATCTTGGCATTGCGCTGCGCGATCGCGCACGAGTCGTTGCACTTGAGGCTCCTCTCTGCGTTAGGCTTGTGCATCGACACGCCACACTTGACCTTTTGTTGCACGTGTCCGCAGCCGCATTGCAGAACCGTCAACGCCTGGCATGCCTCGGTCTCGGGGCACATGCCCGGAGCGTGACAAGGCGTCGGGCAAGCATGTCCGCACAGCTTGCGCGGCTTGCCGCACATTTGCGTGCACGGCCCACAGTCGGCCGGCGCCTGGTGGCAGACCCCTTGGCATCGACTAGAGAGCGCACATGTCAGCGTTCCACGTTCAAGTTCAACGCGCCGCACACTCACTGGAAACCGCAGCCAAGGACGCTGCCGCATTGTACGCCACAGTGGACATTCGTGCGGCTGCACGGCACATTCGGCACGACGGTCTTCTTACAGTGGCAGAGGCGATCCGTCAGGTAAACGCATGGCGGGCAATCCTCCTCTTGATGACAGTTGTGCGGCAGGGGCGGGTGGCCGCACGGCGGGGGCGGGCGCGTGCACGGAAAGTTGCACTGAATCTGCGTTCCACACTGGATAGGCGGCTCCATGACGGTGCGCCCGCAGTGGCAGACGGCCTCCTCGAATGAACTCTGAAGGCAACGCCCGCACGGCCCACGATGGCAGCTACGCTCGCACGAATGTAGCTTGCACGACAGCGGTTTGCCGCAGGGGACGTCGCAGGCGTGAAAGCCCATAGGGTCTTGCATCTCCAACTCAGCTGGCGTCGGACGTTTTTTGCTCTTGGACTTGGCCTGAAAGTAGAGCGGGCAGCACTGACGATTGCACTGATGCTTGCCGCAGTTGCGCAGCGCCTTGCACACCATCTTGCACAGCACGTCCTGTTCGCCACCTCCGGCCGCCTGACGCGCAGAGCACACTAGCGTCTGCTTGGCCTCTCCACATCGGCAGGGCCGCGTGGTGGGCACAGCACATGGCGCACAGTCACCTGCATGGCATAAGCCGACGCATTGATGGTCGCAAGGGAGGTCCTTTTTGCACGTGTTTTGGCACGTCGGGATTGCGTCGGTACACGACGTGCGGCCAGCGACGGATGTCGCGCCGCAGGGGCATGTCGACACGAGGGATGGAGAGCGCGAGCACGTTGCTGCCTGGCGCGAGAGGGGGTGGCACGTTCTCTTGCAGGCATGATGCCGGCACTGAAAGAAGGGAGGTGAGCATGGCCGTCTGTCAACCTTACTTGGCGAACCAACTCACATCGAACTTTCTCTCGCAAAGCTGTTCGCACGACCAGTACCCATCCCAGCTTTCGTCTCCTGCGATGCTGTAACTCTTGATCTCCTGCCCTTGTCCGCAGAGCATGATCTTGGTATCTCTCCCACAGTAGCAATTTGCCTCTTTGGTGACCGTGCAATCGCCGCACTTGCCTGCATGGCAGACTGACTGGCAGGTGTGGACGCCACAGTTGAGCGCCTTGCCGCAGACGTCCGTGCACGATATCCCGCCGAGCTCGCTGCCCAGGCCGTTCTCGGCGAGGCCGAGCATGGCGACACGAGATGTGCGGGTGAGCTGTGAGCATCGAATCGTGACGGTCTTTTTACCGCAAAAACAGCGCCGAGAGACAGTCACTGGGCACGGCGGACACGCTGCTGGGTGGCAGAGCTCAGTGCACGCACTATCAAAGGAGTTAGCTAGACATACATGCAGAGTGCTTATCGAGGACTCACTGTGCACAGTTCCCTTTGGTACATTTCTGTCCGCAGCCGTGTGGGATTCGGACACTGCCTGGCGGAGTGTTCTGCGGGCTGGGGTCCATCACTCTGCCGCACCAGCACCAGTAGTTGTGCGGCACGTCTTCGCGCGCGTACTGGCAGCTGGGGCACCTCCATGTGCCTCTCCTCGCGCGGATCTCGGCATTTTCCTGCATCGCATTCTGCTCCTCCATCTGCTTGACGCTGCGTTCGGCCCATTGCTTTGCGCAGTTCAGATGCAGGACGGCCGAGCACTGAGAGCAGGACCAGACCGGTTGGCGCGTTGCGACGGTAGAATAGCATATCACGCAGTCATACTGACCGTGGCTGAGCTCGGCGATGAGACGAGAGCGAAGGTCAGGATAATCGTCACGAAGGGGGAAGGCCGAGGAAGGGTCCGGCGGTCGCCTAGCCGGCTGCGTGGGCTTGTCAGAGGAAGTGAGCTTCGTTCCAAACTTTTGCCGCCGCGAGGCCGCTTTCGAGGCCAGTGCCGAGTCTGACAGATCTGATGCAGTCGTGCTGTTGGGGTGCGAGTCTCCGGACAGAGACAACTCAGGCTTTCTCTGAGCATTGGGCTTCGACTTGCCCCGATTTCGTCCTTTTCCTTGCCCCGTCTGCTGCTGCTGTTGCTGCTGGGCTTCTGAAGGTGCGCCATTGACTGCGCGCTTTGCCCCTCGCCCAGTGCGTCCTGTAGATTTGCGCGCTGGCTTTCCATTGGCGGGCTGGCGCTCTATGGGGCCACAGCCTTGGCCATGTTCGATAGCGGCGCGAGATGTTTGCGGCTGCCAGGAATTAGCTGCAGGATTCAAGACCCCTGGAGTGAGATGTGCAGACTCGTTGCTCATTATGGAAAGCGCCACAAGAAGAAAAGCCGAGGTGCGGTGCAGATGGATGAGCGTGGGATGAGTCGGGAGGCGTGGGGGCGAGGTCGTGCGACACTCGACTAGCAGCCCGCGCGCCGCAAGATGACGCGGTAATTTCCGTCGGGGAAGCGCTTTGCCGCCACACAGTCGTTGGGCCTATGAGTGTTGGGACGTGTACGACGAAGGCCTGCTGTGCGTTACCGAGCCTACTTTATACACGAACGCACACGTCTGAGTCCAAATGAGAGATGGTATGGGGGTCGAGTTTGGAGTTGTGAGCAGACTCTCCCTTGCCAAACAGCGGATGGTGGAAGAACAAGAGCGGAAAGTCGAGAAAAGACTGATCGAGATGCCGAATCAATCTAGAGTGTGTGGCGCAGTGCCGCACTTTCCCTTCGTATGAAAAGCTCAGCGGATGGGTTGGCTGGGGGAGAGTTAGTCACATTGACTCACCGTTTGCGTTCAACGGCTGCTTCACGTTCGAGTCACCATCTTGAAAAGGCCTCCAATCAATGATCGACCCTCCCCAGTCGTTTTCATTGCATCATCAACGCATCGTCGTGCATCTATCGCCCATCATCCGCCGTCGACACTCATGATCCACAGCTCATCGCTGTCCTCTCCCCTACGATTTGAGACATAACCCTTTCCCCACCCCGTCGGGCCCAATCAAGGTGCGTCGTCGCTGGGTCCAACGGAAGGACATTTTTCAATAGTAACGAATATGGATGGCGAACCTAAGGCTTGAATACAAAATAGGTATCGTATGAATCTCCGGAGAGCCCCTACCCGCGAAGCACCAACCAGAACCCTCCTCGCAATTTTAGCTCCAACATTAAAACAGTCAATGCCGACTCTTTTATACTTTTTCACTCCGTATCTATGCTTCCCATGTCTCCCTATGGCATTTTTGGCAACGATCCTTTGAAGAGTCGATGGCATGCTTTGGCAAATCCCCCTACTATGCTTGTCCGTCACCATGTTGCCCTTGTCATGCTGTGGCACATCCCTCCATACGTGCCCATACATGTAACCTTTCGTCTGTGAGGCAGTTGCTCTTCCAAGCGTTTTGCGCACTCCAGTATTTCCCACCATCGCTCTAAATAGAAGCTGCTGTGATCAAGCAATATTGCAAGAATCATTTCCAGCCAAACCCTTATTATGTAGTCTCACATATCTTCCGCAACCAAAGAGCTGTAATCGTCTTCGCAACCTGCGAGGCTCGCATGCATTTGATGCTCCCTTTCGTGATGGTACATGAGTTGGCATAGCTTCTGAAAACGCCTTTAATAGCGATGTGGGCATCACAGTGGACCAACCGGATGCTTGTCGCTCTTGTGGATGGAGCACAATCGGCAGCCAGGGAAGAGCTCATGGCACGATTCGCACTCGAACATTTTTCGAGTATCCATCTTTGGTATCACTGTCACCTTGGCTCACTTCTGGCCGGCAGGTTGGGACCTCCAGAGAATTGTGCCGGACGCCGAGGGATTACATATGAGTCGCTTTCTCGGCCGAGGCTGCGGTGATTTCGTCAGGGACTAGATAGATACATTTGGGGATGCAATGATGTGTGTATCACTCTCATTTATGCGATTCGAAAAGGGCGTTGCACTCAAACAAGATGTGTTGCGCGTGCCAAACAAAGATGCTCATTGATAAAAGCTGAACTCGGTTTGTGTTTGCGCTACTTACTGCGGCGGCCGACCGCCTCTACGGCCGCTGCTGATGATGACCCTCGGTCGGCCGGTGACCATCACCGCTTGAAGCAGAGATTCAAGTGCTCCATTACGCTTTGTCTGTGGTAGTAAATATATAGCAGCAACTGTAATGTGCAAGGTACCTGTGGAGCAAAAGGCAACAAGAGTTTGTAGGTCCGTGCGGTGGTTGGGAGGAGTAATAGTGGCTTCCTATGTTTAAGGAATTGCCAGCACGAACGTTCACGAAAAGACTGGCGGGCCGAGCGGCGCCAATTTCTACAGTCCACCGAGTCTTTGGCGATGATTCAAATCGTCGCGCGATGCTCCGCAACCGCCGGAGATTTAACCTCGAAGCACCCCTTTGGCCATACAAGACATTACGTCACAACTTGAAGCTGATAGGCGTAAGCGGTGAAGCGTACAACGGCAAATTATAAAAACTTATCCAGACAGTGCTCGGTACATAGTCTTCCCGATATGTTCATGGATATATCAGGCGATTTAGCGAAGTGGTTAACGCGCCAGATTAAGGATCTTGCAGTTCATTGCAGAGATTCTCTGGTCCTCCGGGGCGTGGGTTCGAGTCCCACAGTCGTCATTACTTTTTTTATCCTTTTTAGGGCACATAACTTATGTGAACACGTAATATACCATAATGTATTCTCAAACATACATCAGGCGATTTAGCGAAGTGGTTAACGCGCCAGATTAAGGATCTTGCGCTTATCGCAAAGATTCTCTGGTCCTCCGGGGCGTGGGTTCGAGTCCCACAGTCGTCAATACTTTTTTCTCTTTTTGCACGCCGTCATTTTACAGCACATTTTATTTTTATTTATCGAAGGCAGGACACCCTTTTCGTCCGCTGTTGCCTTGATCATTTTCACCAGCGAGTGACCCCCTCGGGGTTTTCTTCGTATCTGTTGATATCTGCTATTGGATTTTCACTCTCCTGTTGGCCCTCCGTCAATGATGCAACGTAATGCATTGGGGGTAGCTGGCGCCGCGGAGCTGGACCCAGCTTTGCTGACCAAGGCATTGAACCCACTACCCACACTGTTGCTTCTCCAGCAGTTCACTACTCCCTGGGCCCCAGCCGCCTCTGCTACCCCTTCTTGCCCGGCCTTTTCTCATGTCCTCCGACTTTGCTTCACGATCGAGACTATGGAGGCACAGCGCCAGGGCAGGCAACCACCCGCCAGGGTCGATGTTGCCAAAAAAGACCGGCCTATCACGAATGGCAGAAAGAACCTCACTCTAATGATCGCTCGGTACGCCCTAGAGTATCACCTATCCCGCATCGAGACAGAGCCGTGGCAGCTCGATGCACTCTTCCTCTACAACCCGCATCCTTCTGGCGGTATTTACCCCTGCCTTCCGATCGTCCTTGTTGGAGAGGTTGTCAATATCTCATCATCAGATGAGCCCTCGGCGCCGAGGGTCGTGGAGTTCTGCATTGAGACGTACACAAAGGCGCGGGAGCTTGTCGCGCTGCTTGGCGAGCCCAGTCGCACGGGTGGCGGCGAGTTAATGCACTTTGGCCCCAGCTTGTGGCTCGAGTGGCGGCTGCGGCTGCGATTGCAAACACAAGAGCCGGGTGACGCTGTGGCGTCGAGAGAAATGTCCCTGCACGTCTCTCTTCAAGGCGACGGCAGCAGGGGCGCAGATCGTTGGGAAAGGGGAAAGGCGAGCGAGTGCACGTGGGAGTACCTGCATCTCCAATAAACATCGTCCAGAGTACATGCATGCATCAGGCAATGCTAATTTTGAATGGACCATGCTGCGATAGCCCATTAATGGCGAGCGCTTTGAACTTCAAGTTATAACTACCCTGCAGTTGCGACACATCCCTCGATGCGGCCTTGCTCGCGTCCTTTCCGAAAAGGATGACCTTTTCAACATTGGTCACCCTCTCCCTTGTAGTCAAAAGACGCCGTCGACAGTTAGCGTGCAGATGGCAAATGAACAGGTCGCCAGGGTGATGGCGGACTGCCGCACGCTGGTCCAGTCATCAAGGTGGAGCGAGCCAGCCGTGCTGCCGTCGTGGCGGGTTGCGACGATGAGCGCAAAGTACGGGTTCTCGACGGCAAACGACCTCTTGTCGGCAGGGTAGCGCCACCACAAGGGCTCCAGCAAGGACGTGCTCTTTTTAATCGACGTAGTGCAGGCTCGTGAACATGGTGTTCGGGAAGCGGTAGCGAATGTCGATGCTGGTCTTGACTGCGCGCGGTGAGCTAGGTCAGCGGTAAAATTCCTAGCTGGCCGAGTGGGAACGCCGCATGGTTGCGGTAGAATGGCGAAGAGGTGGCCATCATCACTCAGCGTACCAGCAGCGAATCGGTCGAGTTGCCGCCAAAGCGACCCATGGCTGCAAAGGGAAGGTGGTAAGCGAACGTGTTCAATGGAAAGATGGCCTGGGGCTCTCAAGCACCAGCACTGATCATAGGGTTGCCGTAGACAGTGTACATCAGCATGTTGCGCGTGTTCTGCACGTACGACTTTTGCGTTGAGAGATTGCCGCCGAGCCAGTGTCATACAAGACTGGAAGTGCCAAGAAAGTTTGGAGCAGCCGATGAGCAACTACCTTTCGGTTGGCTGGCGCTGCTACATTGCGGTGTGCGTGGCGCGATTGAGCATGTGTCCGAATATGTAGTGCAGGTCGTACCCGCACATGCTGCTGGCATGCACCAGGTCGATGCGGAGAGTCTCATTGGACAGGTTGCTCGTGTCGCCTGGACTGGAGTTCTCAAACTAGCCGTCAGTGTGACGCGTAATGTTGAAGTCGTACGACGGGTAGAGGTATGGGCTACTAAGGCTCGCCGCACCGCGCACGTCGCCATGATCGAACAATGCGTAGTGCTTCCGCTTGGCGAGGTAGTGCAGCACTGCAGCGACGCTTCGTCGATGGACCGGCGCGCATAGCTGCCCGAGACGTTCGTCTGCGTCCAGGCAAGACCCGGAATCTCGTACGGAGCGCTGCGCGTCGTCGGAGGCACAAGGGGCCTGCTGCTGACGATCAGCGCATAGCCATATTTCACTCTACATAGCTGAGAAAGCTCACGGTTTCTGACACGTCCAGCCACAGGCCGCCGCCGGGATCGTCAGCGACGTGCCGAATCAGCGACCAATGTCAGCATGTAATTGTCTGCACCGGTGCCATGCGCACGAGATATATATATGTATGCATATTCGCGGAGCTTCTATGCAGCATGAGCGACAGACTCATATAGAACAGCATGATCTCCTTGTTCCCCCAGTCTTGCGTACCGTTGGCCATCCAGTCGGGAAAGACGGTGCGGCCAGGCAAGACGATGCCCTCGTACAGCGTGCCGTCGCCGTTCCAGTTCTTGATGAGCGCGTGGACCATGCGGAAGGCTCGTCTCGATGCGGACATAAAAGTCTTGGGACATAAGCGGCCCGGTGTCGTTCGTTTCGAACAGCACTTGTTCAAGTCCTTGCGGGTGGCTTTAATGTTGAAGCTCTGCTTATTGCTGTAGCTAACGCGGACTGCGCCATGTGCGCCGCGGGAAACACTTTCCAAAACGACGACCACCTCCTGATCGGCATTGGTAATCAGCGCGTGCATGCGCTCGATCGTGTCATAGTTGACCCGTCAGCTGGAGCTTGCTGTAGTCGTGCGCGCCGTGCGCATGGCACTCGTCGCCGATCATGTTGACCGTCACAGCCATGCCCGAGTCCGAGGTGACGATGTCGGAGGCCGAGTAGCCCTTGCACGCGCTCAGGTCGCCTCTGTGCTTGACCAGAGAAGGGCTCAGTTGGAACTGCTCTACCGCATCTTACTGCTTTTCCAGGGCAGATTCGCTGGTGACTTCCAACGTTACCACAGGAAAAGCATGCACAAGGGCGCCGAGGAGGGCCGCGAATGGCCCGCGATAGTAAGGAGATGCAGCAGCCGGGGGATGATCGGCGCCAGCAAGGTAAGGCGGTCTCTGGCAGGGCAGGTCCTCGCGCAATCGATCCCTTTCGAGGACCTGCTTTACAACAGTGCCGAAGCGGAGTGAACTACATAGCGCATACACTCGGCATACACTCGGCATACACTCGGCACACACGATGGACATCTCCACGTCTCCGCCAACGTAAGAGATCCTCTCGAGCACGCGTAGGTCAATTTAACCGTAGTAGAGCGGAAAGAAGCGGAAATGGAGGAAGGGGCGAACGGCTATTGATCGGTGCCTGCGATGAGCACGCATGTGGCAAGAGGGAGCATGACGAGAGCAAGGATTGGATTGGGAGGGAGAACTCGCAGGTCGAGGGATTGAAAGCAAGTGAGTGCGTCATCTCCAGTCCGCTTCATCTGCCGTCTCGCTCTCTCTACTCTGCGGGCTTGGAACCCTGCGTCATGGTGACAAAAGGGGCCCAGGGAATATTATCACATAACCTAACGAGGCAAAGCTCTCCTGGTGCGATCGGGCGTCGGCCCTCTGCGAATTCTCCGAATCCACATAATAATAATAGGACCTTGCATGTACTTACAGGATGAGATGGACAGCCTGCAGTGACTCCAGCAGGGGTCCGTGCCCCTTGTTTCATGTTTGTGAGAGTGTGCATCAGGCTGCAGGCTACGCGATGTGATCGTCAATTTCGTGGTCCATGAACAACGTCTTTAACATCTGGGCGGCCGACAACTCGTCACAGAGCTCGGCAGCAGACCGATATGATCTATGGGCTGTGGAGGCTGTTACAAGTAGAAGTGGTGTGCACTATGTTGCAGTCAATAGTCAATGTGAAGAAGCACAAGTCAATCGGACGCGGAGAACAGATGATGGCGTTCGCTGTGCGACGTCCTCGCGCTTCCGGGTTTTACTTGTGCTCGAGACTTGGTAACAGCACCCGAGCTATACCGAGGCTCCGAAGCGCGCCGATCCAAACCCGGTGACATATCTCCCCTATACAGACGTTCCCAGCTGGGTTGCAAGGAGATGTCCATGCAGCACAACTCCAGCTGCTTAGCCAACACATGTGCCACACCATACACATAATAGCAGGCTGTTGCGAGGCGCCAGCACTTGCCTCTTGCAACGGGCTCCTATGTAGCGGCTACCATTCGCCCATTCATAATCGCCAGTTGCTCGGACATGCGTCGGATGTTGGAACGATTGGTCCTTTGTAAGCTGCAATAGGTTTGCATGGACACTGTCGAGTCTTTTCGCAGCATCGCGTTCATCTCGGCATCCCCCAACTTGTCCTTCGTGCGTCTTGTTTTCGTCGCGACATGCTTAAAGTCCGATTCACACTCCCATCGGATGATCATGCGTGTAAAAACGGCAAGCTCGCCGAGGGTGTGCAGGATAGTGGCCAGAGTCAGACCCAGGAGCCCCTCTTTTCTCCAGACCTTGGTATACCCAAGCACACCTAACCCGCGGCACGACACATCCATGCGTCTCAAAATCGATACTTATTACAACGTTGCAAGGCAAACAATGGTCTTACGTGATCGCGTGATCGCGGATCGCTCGCGACTCGCTCGGTCGCTGCCACCTGTCTTCCGTAGAGAAACCAATGTATGGATGGAGCCACCATCGGACCTGCTCACTAAGGATCATCGTCGCAGCTGTGCGAAAGAATGCAACAGCAAACTCCGTGTCACGTGTGCACCGCGGCATGGTTTCCCCAGCTTCGACGCTGCACTCGCTCTTCCCCTCAGCTGCACATTGTGCAATCTGGAGTTCTCTCGAGCAGGGCGCATTCATCTTGTCCGCTCCTGTAGCGAGTGATGGAGTCAGGTTCTTTTGCTGCTCAAAAGCGCTCGCACCGAGCTGTTCTCGACCGGATTGTTGTTGCAAATAGATATATCTGCAAGGATGAACCTTGTTTACAATGGTAGATATGCCAATGTGGGATCGCATGCAGCGCGCGGTGCCACGTCTTTGCGAATGGTACAAATGTAATCTCCCTAAATAGATGTTGTGGCCCCATGACTTTGTCGGTCGTAAAAGTAAAATGAAAAAGGTGCGCGGTACCTTCTGCGCGGAATCTTTCGCTACTACGCAGAGCCGCCCTGGGAGAGCATCCACTTGATTCGTTCCTGCCGGTACTCCTCGAGCTTGTCGGCGGTCTGGGCGGCGTGCGCACTCCCCGTCTTTTCCAGAGCTCGCAGCAACGTGATGAGCGTTGAGCCGATGCGCCAGAAGCCGGCGATAAACTCGTTGAAGTTGAACTCGGTGATGTCCGCACTGCTGCTTGGCGAGCGCCTTAGCGGATCCGGCGAGCTGACTAGCTCCGACCAACTGGATCCGAGCGCATGGACCTCGGCAGCCATCGCAAACGCGTGCTGCCCAAAGATGCGCAGGTGCCGCGGCCAGCGCACCGCCCGCACGCTGGCATCGATTGTGACGCCGGCCGCCGTGCCGACCTCCTTGGCGTTGGGAGGCACGGAGGAATGCAGCATTGCGATGATGACGTTCGCCACTTCTTCCACCTCCCACAGCAGGCTGCAGCACGCGACTTTTGGGTCATTGCTGAAGCGCAGCCGTGCGGTGGGATTCGGACTGTCAGACTGGCGGCGCTTGGGCAGCGTTCCCAGGTGCGTCGCGCCGGACAACTTGTTGAACGAGGACAGCTTGTCGCTGTTGTCTTGCAGGAGCGTCGCACCGATACCCAAGTCTTGATTTGCATCACATCCAAAGCACATCTGCATGTACGAGCTAAGCACACTGAACAGGCGGTACGTCTTCAGTTCCACAATGCGCGTGTGCATGAACAGCGTCACCCGCAACGTGTCGTGGAGGTCTGCGCATGGAGGAAACAAAATCAGGTCTCATGTAAGCGTAAACCTGGCTGACACACTCACTGCCAACGTGCAGCTCTTGGGCGTGTCGCTTGACCCAAGCAATGCCATCTTCAATCTCGTCCACTGCGCCTTGAATGTCCGTCTCTGGCCCCCTGCCGTTAACGAGGTCATCCAATGGAGTGTGCAGCATCCTTGTCACTCGGAAGAAGAGATTGTACGCATACTGCGTGCTCCGCAGCAAGCTCTCTCCGCGGCTGCGCCGCTCGGGCTGCCACGCCGAGTCTGCGTGAATCATATCGTCGTCGGCAGCAAACTGCACCTGCATGCAGCACATGTCGAAAGCAGGCGCCGAGCAGTCGATCGTGCTCGTCCAGACGAAAGAAGCGGAGCTGCAGTGCCGCAGGTCAGGAAATGTGCATGCTATGTCCCTCACTGACGCTACTCACATGACATGAACAATCCTGCGGATGGACTCCTTCTCCACCGCATCGTTGACAGAGAATCGTCCATCACCCAAAGCGCACGGTGATTCTTTGGTTGGGGTGAGCGCTTCTGGGATCAGCGGCGAGGCCGCGTCGGGTGGCGCGTCCATCAGGTGCAGCTTCCAAGCCAGGACGATCCGAACGAGGTCCACCTTGGATGCAGTCATAGTCGCAGTCCCCGCGCCGTCTTCGGACATGGCAAGGTCGAGCGCCCACCCGGTAATCAAGATGCGCGCGTCGATGACGCCGCGTCGAAGCTCTGCATCACGGAGCTTGGCAGCGTGTTCGTATGAACGCCTTGCGAACGATAACATGCTGTCCCGCGATTTCCCTACCAGGTCTACGCCCTCGTAGCCGATCAAGGGCGGCAAGGGCAAAGTAATAGGCAGCCCTGTAGAGGTGGTGCATGAAGTATCCGATAAGGTAGATGCAGACGTAGCCGCCGCAAGGTCCAAGTCCCGCGAGCTGGAGCTGGCGGGGGTCAGCAAGGAGCGATGTGCCAATAGGGAGAGAAGCGCAAGTTGGATGTGATCAGGCACGCTCGCGATACCATCGGCCGGATTGCTGCTCTTATTGTCACCAAAGAGGTATTTGGACGGAAAGAGCTTGCACATGGCGTCCATCCCGCCAAATTGTGCCATGGAGAGTGCAATGAAAGGCAAATCATCCTCCGCGTAAAAGCGCGAAAGCTTGGCGAGGAGCGCCCGAGAATGCGAGGCTTTGCGCTTGGTCGGTGCCCCGCCATGTGGCGGAAAGGTAGTGGGTACCCCCCCAGATCCCATGCCGTCAAGGTTGCCATTTGCATATGGCTGTGACCAGTTCGAGCGTGGGGGCAGCCCAAGGACAGGGTTTGAGCGAAGAGAGAGCTCTTGCAAGGAAGGTAGCTGTATGTGGCTGCGGCTCCGAGAAGCAGCTGACGACGCGCCACTAATATTCCCGCTGCCCGGTGACGATTGCGCGCTGTCGGGCGAATCGGAACCCTGCTTGCCAGCGAACAGGTACATCGGCCGACAAGGTGGCGGTGGTGGCATTCGCTGCTCAGCCACGGGTAGGAGCGTCGCCTTTGCGGTCGCACTGTCTGTCGCACACCTTGGGAGCAGCGCGGCCCCCGGTGGCGCATACAACCGCGTGTGCTCACACTGCGCAGGCCCCTTTGCCTCAAGACCATCCAGCAAAGGCTCTGAGAGAGCAGACGGGTGGTCAAGAGGTGTGATGAGTGCAATCGAGTGTTCGCTGGACGGAGTCAATTCAGAGCTGCTGTCACTGTGGTATAGTGCGGGCATCTGAGCCAGCACGGGCGACCAGCTGGGCTCGCACCCATTCGAAGACAGGGAGGCAGAGCGCGGCAGGCTTGTCGCGCTGCTGGCGCTCGCGTATGCTTGTCGCTTAGCTTCGAGAAAGGCGAACCCAGCACTCTGAGCCGAGCGTGGCATGCCAATCTGCAGGCCGGATGGGTTCCTTTTCGTCTTGTGTTTCTTGATCGGTTGTGCTTCCGTCGCTTCAGCCTGTCTTCCTTCTGCCCCGGCAGCGCCGCGCTCGTCGGACGTTTGCACACTCGCAGTTGCTGCACCCAACCCATCCACTGCTCCTGTCTTTGATCTTGGGCCTCGCTTCTTCCTGTTCCAGTTAAAGTGGCACCTCGCGGCACTGTTGCGGAAGATCTGCTCCCCCAGCGCGCTGCCAGTTTGTCCTCGGTACTGCTCGAGCGTCAGACCAAGCTTGCTTGACTCGCTCAGCAGGCAGCCAGAGCAAGGCAGACTGCCATCGCAGCGGGCTCGCTTCCCCCGGCATGGCTCACATGCCGCCCAGATGCGCTTGGTCGCTCCTTGGGCATTGCGAGCGGTTGATGGGACTGCAGGCGTCGACGAGGGGGCGAGCTTGCGTACCTGTGCCGCGGAGCTCGCAGGGTCATCTGCCGCGGTTGGTTGATGCCCTTGTGTTGGCATCGCCGCGAGTCCATTGACGAGAGACAGGGGTGATGGCGGCCGGCTGCGTCAAGCTGTCGCTCGCAAGAGTTGGTGGTCATAGGGGTGGGTCTTGAAAGCAACCACGATGGATCAGTCTGACCGCAACGAGCGTTCCCGCCCCGATTTTCGTCACCTCCAAGCAGCAGCGACCAAAGTGGCCCTTTCAAACTGGGGCTGCCAGCTGCGTCGAGTTTGCTGCGAGATCGTTCGTGTTGCAAACAAAGAGGAAGTTTACCCGCTTGCTCTTGTCCAATTGATGGCAGTAGCCAGCTACGGCAACAAGGAGAGCATGTGCAGGCTCTCGGTGCGTGGTGCACTGTGCTGACGAAGGCTCGAGGGCGCAATGAACGAAACGACAGGAGAGGGGAGAGAGAGGGTTCAATATGTGATTGTTGGCCGCTTGCTATTGGTCCCGCCAAGCGCGATCTCTCCCGTTCCTGGCGGGCGCGCACTTCTGGGGTGTAGATTAATAGTGGTTCTCGTGTGGGGCAGTCCTGGGCAGCCTGCATGGCACAGGGCGTTACAGCGTGATGGATAGACCAAGCCTTATCAAGTTGATCAGTCAATAATCACATTGTTCCGACTTCCAAGATGTGCAGGGCCAAAGGTCGCAGCCAGCCGCAGGCCCGCAGCCTGTCGTGGCACATGCTAGCACATTGCACATCACAGGACGCATGTATCACTTTGCGAGCTGCGAATTGCAACGTTTGCAGGCGGGAGTCTTGATTCCACGATTGATGCAGGCCCTCAGACACTTGGAGGACATCATCGCTCATCGCTCTTTACTCTTTAGGGCCCCGTCCGGCGAACATATTTGAGGGGCTACAAAGATAATGCAAACCTGGGCGTTACCGCCGTGAACTCAAGGCATGATCGGCCAACTGCGATTGTCCAACTCAGGGTAAAAGCCGCTTCAGGGATTTAGGCTGCATTCTATTCTGTCTGCCCTCGGCAGTGGCTTGCTATGCAAGCAGCCAATGATTTCCCAATCTCTCAGGGCGGTTCATTATAGACGACAGGTAAACGAAAACATTCGCGCTGCGTTCATGTGCCCGCGCGGTACGAAGTACCCTGGGGACCTGGCCTGTTTTTCTCATCTTCTGGCGCCTTTCGACTTTCGAGAACTCGGCTTTCCAGTCTCGTTGCCTAAGAGTGAGGGCAATTGGGCAAGGCCCTGCAGGTGTGCACCGTGGTCCGTGGGGCGTGGATATTTTTGCAGATCTCCAGAATCTCAACCCAGCCCTCTCCACAGAACTTCTTATTCAGATCACAAATCTCGATCTTACATCTCACAGATTCTCTAAATATCTAGTCCTCGATATCGTTGTATAGCAACTTGACTACTTGGAGCCATAGAGGATGCACAGCCATGAGTATTTGCATATACAACACAATACGTCCCGACCTGAGAAGCAAGACATACTCAATCACATACAGTGAAGACAAACTGACCGAGAGACAGGCGGATGCCTCATGCAGGATGCACACATGCAGGCGTGAGACGGCTCGGCGCTCTCCAAATGCCAGGCGCGCCTCGGACCTGCCACCCTATCACGTGCAAGCAGTATACAAGCCCCCAGACCAGCCAGGTCAAGAAGCATGTCCACGTTCAAAGGAGGACCTGGGTAATGGGAGGGAATATGTCTCAATCAGCGTCGACCTGTGTTAGGTCAACTTTGGCAGTCCTTGGTGGACATTCCCTTAATGCCTGGACCCTTCCAGATCCCTCCTCGCGACCTCGCCTCATGCCGGGCCGCTTTGCCAATTGTAATCTTCTCATAGATCTTTCACCAGCCCTGGCGTCTCAAAGAGGTCAGAGTTTGCACGCGCATGGAGGAAGAACTGACGGCAGCCCGCCATTCCTACTTAATCGTCCGTACACGAAGATTGGAATACTCAAGGAGGGATCGACCGCTCGACGGACCCCTTGGGGCGTATGGTCGGCGAACTAGCGGCAACACTGCAGCGGCTGCATCTAGCTCTCGCAACAGAATGATTGCGACAAACCCTGCTGACCGCAACAACGTCAAGAAGAGATGTTTTCGTAGCCTTTGAGATCGATGACTGGTAGGCCTTTGGACGCGTAGTTGATGACCCTTTCGGAAAGCACAAATCACGCTTCCAACACTCACACCTACGTCAAGTTACATCAGTGCTTGATAACCCAGCAAATATAGACGTCACGAAGTAGACTGCGTTGTAGCAGCCTAATAAAGGGGAACTTGGAGCAACATTGTCGAGCTTCGGATGTCGGAACGGAGAGCCCCAAAGATTCGAGCAGATTCTACTTTTTGAGAGAGGCTTCTTCCTCCACCTTCTGGGACTTTCTAGCAGCTCTGCGTAGATTTACGGAATCTGACGTCACAGTGCTATTACTGAAATATTTGCGACAGAATTGCTGGCACGCCCATGCTGATGGCGTGTCAACCATTGAGCAGTGCGCATCAGCTCATGTACAGAAGTCGAAGGAATGACACCGAAGGTTCTCTTTGCGCGCTGTCGTTTCTTCTCATGGCGCGTGCTGTACACTGTCCAGGCCCAACTGTAGTGGGCCACGCTTGCAACCCGATGCCTGCGCTGATGTGATATATTGAGAACATCTTGCATCGGTTCCTTCCTTTGCTGCTTGCAACCATCACCTCATCGAAAAGTCTTTGTTGCTCCAGCACGACTTCACGCGAGGACATTGCAGATCATCACTCTCCCTAACAACACTTCAAAGCAGCAGCCAAGATGACCAAGGTACGTCCCTTCGTAAAGTTGTCGTGCCGGTGCACATGCTGACGATTCTTTGTGGATTCGCTGTGACAGGCCGTCGGTATCGATCTGGGTACAACATACTCATGTGTTGCTGTTTGGCAAAATGACCGTGTCGAGGTCATTGCCAACGACCAGGGCAACCGCACCACGCCATCATATGTCGCTTTCACCGACACGGAGCGTCTCATCGGTGACGCTGCCAAGAACCAAGTCGCAATGGTGAGTGGCTGCGTGGCTAAAGATTCCCACAAGCACACCAAGCTCTAACACTTCTTCTGTGTAGAACCCGCACAACACTGTCTTCGATGCGAAGCGGTTGATCGGGCGCAAGTTCGAGGACCAAGAGGTGCAGAGCGACATGAAGCACTGGCCGTTCACTGTCGTTTCCAAGGAGGGCAAGCCGAACATCAAGGTCGAGTACAAGGGCGAGGACAAGATCTTCACTCCCGAGGAGATTTCATCAATGGTCTTGCTTAAGATGCGCGAGACCGCAGAGGCATACCTTGGCGGCACGGTCAAGGACGCCGTCGTCACTGTCCCCGCTTACTTCAACGACTCGCAGCGCCAGGCCACCAAGGATTCTGGTATCATTGCTGGTCTCAACGTCCTGCGCATCATCAACGAGCCAACTGCTGCTGCTATTGCCTACGGTCTTGACAAGAAGACCGAAGGCGAGCGCAACGTCCTCATCTTTGACCTTGGTGGAGGTACCTTCGATGTTTCGCTCTTGACCATCGAGGAGGGCATCTTCGAGGTCAAGGCCACCGCCGGTGACACTCACTTGGGTGGTGAGGACTTTGACAACCGCCTCGTCAACCACTTCGTCCAGGAGTTCAAGCGCAAGAACAAGAAGGACCTCACTACCAACGCGCGTGCTCTCCGCCGGCTCCGTACCGCCTGCGAGCGTGCAAAGCGCACTCTCTCATCGGCCGCACAGACCACCATCGAGATCGACTCGCTCTTCGAGGGTATTGATTTCTACACCTCCATCACCCGTGCGCGATTTGAGGAGCTCTGCGGTGACCTCTTCTCGCACACCATCGAGCCAGTCGAGAAGGTCTTGCGCGACTCGAAGATCGACAAGGGCTCTGTCCACGAGATTGTTCTCGTCGGTGGATCGACCCGTATCCCGCGTGTTCAGAAGCTGCTCCGCGACTTTTTCAACGGCCGCGAGCCCAACAAGTCGATTAACCCGGACGAGGCTGTCGCGTACGGTGCTGCCGTCCAGGCTGCCATCCTTTCTGGTGACACATCGGAGAAGACGCAAGACTTGCTGCTACTTGACGTCGCGCCTCTTTCCATGGGTATCGAGACTGCCGGTGGTGTCTTCACTCCGCTCATCAAGCGCAACACCACTGTGCCGACCAAGAAGAGCGAGATTTTCTCCACCTATGCGGACAACCAGCCGGGTGTGCTTATCCAGGTCTACGAGGGCGAGCGCGCACGCACCAAGGACAACAACCTGCTCGGCAAGTTTGAGCTCTCAGGCATTCCTCCTGCGCCTCGTGGTGTCCCCCAGATCGAGGTTACCTTCGACGTTGATGCCAACTCCATTCTCAACGTTTCCGCCGCTGACAAGACTACAGGAAAGAGCCAATCCATCAAAATCACGAACGACAAGGGAAGGCTCTCTAAAGAAGACATCGAGCGCATGGTCAGCGAAGCCGAGAAGTACAAGGCAGAGGACGAGGCAGCGACCGCTCGTATCAGCGCGAAGAACGGCCTCGAGTCGTACGCTTACAACCTGCGCAACAGCCTCAACGACGAGCAGTTCTCTTCGAAGCTGGACGCTGCCGACAAGGAGAAGCTTAACAAGGCAATCGACGACACCGTTTCATGGTTGGACGCTTCTCAAGAGGCCAGCAAGGAAGAGTACGAAGAGCACCAACGCGAGCTGGAACAAGTGAGCAATCCGATCATGCAAAAGGCATACGCAGCGGCTGGCGGTGCTCCCGGCGGTCCAGGCGGCTTCCCAGGCGCTGGCGGTGCCCCAGGAGCTGGTGCTGGCGGCGACGATGGCCCATCAGTCGAGGAGGTCGACTAAGCGGTTCACATCGAAAGCAGCTGTAACATTCCACTTGCTCGACTGTAATGCATTGCGAGAACGTATCTAGATTTCCACACATGAATGATCATGCAGTAGACCAGTGAAAGTAACTTGCGACTGAACTGCAAACCGATTGCATCCACGAGGAGGCTGTCTTGGTTTAATCGCCAAACCCATGTGCATACGTTCTAGTGCTCACAGGTCACACGTCAGAAAAGCTGTACAAGGACGCGTTCAGCAGCAACCCCGTTTCACGGTCTATCTGATCCAGGCACGCAAGCTTTTGTTCGTGGTGCGGCGCCGTTGAGTTGGAACATACCCTGGCGCAGCTCACAAGCGTTGCGAGGATGAGAAGCCTTCGCCATTTCCAACGGTGATCCAGCACACTTCCTTCAGATGTTGCCGCGGCGACGGGCCCCAGTCGAAAGCAGTCTCCCGTGCTTTGTAACTAGCCCTTACACGCCATAACAACAGAGGATGGCCGCGCGGGTGTACGGTGGACTCCGACCCAGACATTCGGTGGTATCCTTGGCGGCATACTGGGACAGGTGGAGCAGATGGGATGCGGAGAAGAGTTCCACTTCCGGTGGCGTCGATGGGTTGAGCTTTTCGACTCGTTTGATCGAGCTATGCGCTCGTCTGCTCGGCCTTCTCGCTTTGAAGCTGGTTTGCGAGTATTCGATGTGCCTGCAGATTCGGCAGAAAGGCATCCCTTTGACAGCGCCCACATTTCGACCACCGGCCCTCGGTGCACAGCGAAGTGGCATCTATATTTATACTTTTTAACAGTGAAAGTGTAAAAGCACGACCAGAGCCAGTGGGCTCGAAAACATGCCAATGAAGATGCCCAAATGGGACTGGTGGGGATAGTCAAGGCGAGAGGCGGTAGCGAGCGCGCATGTGTAGTGCCAGGACTGGGTGCCACGAATGCAACATCATCGGGTGTCACTAGCACAGGCACCTTGTGGGCCGGGGTTTGACCAGCTGCACTTCAACCTGCGAATGCTTCGCACTTGAAACAGACCCATGGCCCAAGTTCTTTTATTCTTCACTTGGCAGGCATTGCAAGGAAATGAGATGCACTTGTGTAGTGTCAGTACAATAACAATTCTCTATGCATAGGTGTCGACCAGAGCATCGCGAAGCTCGTTGACGACGCGCCCGCTCTCTTGCCCTGAGAGCTTGAACGTCGCCTCAATCACTGAGATCTCAGTTGCAGTCGCTGATAGAGAAGGGGATCGCAAGGAGGGTTGTGTGAGCACCCTCAGACGACCTCTCTCCACTTGAAAACTCTCCGGATGTTGCATCAGACTCACTGTCAAACCCGCAGAACGCTGCCCAGTCATTCACGAGTAACCCTGCGCCGACAAGATCGCTACCGCGGTTCACTGTCCCTGCGACGAGCGGGACTTGCAATAATGAGGAGAGCTCATCTTGATCCTGAATCGAGGTTCGTGGGTGTACCAGCGCGCCTTGATTGGTGATGGCTGCGTACGACCCAACCAGCACGTTGTCGCTGAGAATACAGGCAGGTGAAGGGGCTGTCAGCGTGGGTCTTTCGATGATTTAGAAAGCAATGTGTGCTCACCCTACTGTTTGCCTGAATACTTCGACCTTCAGCACGTCTGCGATAATCTCTTCCGTTTCCCGATCAAGGTCTGGATGGACGACTGCAACGTAATCTGGGGATTGATACTTGCTAGAATTAGCCATAGCTTCTGACCACAGAGGAGATAAGTCCAGCAGGTGGACTTTGCACACCCACCATTGCAAGCAATTACATTTCCGAGCGCACTCAGTCGCTCCTCCACTCTCTGTATCGCAATGCTGTCCGGCAGACTATTTCGCAAATGTTGCAGCTCTTGATCAGTCGTCGTGCTGGGTACGAGCAGCCCATGCCGGTTGCCAACTGTGAGCCTTCCGACTAATCGCGTTCCAGCGATCGAGCAATGTACTACCGGAATGAGGTCTCCAAGCTCTGCGTCGAATGTGCCGTAAAAGTTGGCAGAGCCTCCGATGGCGACGAGGCAATAAGAATTGGTGAGGCGTGCAAACACGCCGATCTCGGATGAGTTTTCGAATTGGCAACGGACCGCCATGGTGCATATATGCGTTCAGGTGACGGTAAAATGGGTGTCTCTTTTGGATGTGCGGTGTCGTTTGCTGCTGAAATGTCAACCCGTCTGCCCTGTGAAAGAGGAAGAGACAGATGCGTGGAGGCGATGGAACAGGAAGGACGCACGGATGGTCGTAATATAAACTTCGCACCTAATCTTGAAAGACGTATGTGTGACCATCTCCCTCTTCTCACAAAAAAAGTGTGACGGCCAGCGGAGCGGAAAGAACTTTTTCCACTTCGCTTGCTCCAGGCTTGCGCCCTGCTGCTGATCGTCTCTCCAGCCAAAATAGTCTTGCTCTACATATCTTCTGTGCAGTGGGGTGGGCCTTGGCTGTGACTCGACCGTTCACATTCGTCATCCATGCCATGCATCATTGCCGTAGGGAAGTTCGACAGGCTCCAGAGTAGAAGTGAGCCAGCTCGGTGTGTATCACCCGGCCCGTAAGCAAGGACCGGAAACATGGACTGTGAGTCTTCTTGCTTGCCAAGGCATGACTCGCTTCCTCCTCGGCCCTGCGTCTGACCAATGTTGACCCTGCTCAATGATTTATTCACATGTCCACCACGCAACCCGTCTGACTTGTCATGATCGGGCACCAGTCTCGCACATGTCTTCCGCCGAACAGGCGGGCATGGCGCGAATCATCGAGCAGAAGCAGATGAAAGACTTTATGCAGCTGTACACGAACCTTGTCGAGAGATGCTTCAACAACTGCTGCAACGATTTTACCAGCAGAGCATTAACAACAAAGGAGGATAAATGCATCGAGCACTGTACGCTGAAGTTCCTGAAGCATGCCGAGCGGGTAGGGGCAAGATTTGCAGAGGAGAATGGTGAGGATTCAGGCGGCTTCATCTACAGGATTCTCTCTCTGTTGTGCTAACGCTTCCGAACATGCTTTTCCGTGATAGCAAAATTGATGTCGTCCCAACAACCACCGCAATGATCGCCAAGATAAGAGCTAGACAGCCCAGCATGTAGCTCTGCCTTCCTTTTCACTGTGTAGCATAGGAAAGAACCCCATTCGCAACATTCTGATCTTGCTGGTGATGCGTTAGAGAAGGGACAAGACTTGCTTCTGCCGGCTCTGCAGTCTTTTCACGGATATCGAGACTGTTGATAGAGTCTTTAAGCCGCCCATCTAGCGCACCACCACCGCGCCAATGAAGGATAAGGGTTCAAAAGAAATCGACAGCCTGGACTACTGTGCAGACGCTGGTAGATCCTGTGGCGATTATTTATTCGGGAAGAGGGAGAAGCGACATTTTGGACTATGAACTTGCAGTCACTGCACCGTTCGCTTGCGACTGTGCCTGGGAAGCCCCGACCGTCTTCTCAATTACCGCTTTCGTGTTCTCCACTAAGCTCTCAAATCCACCCTGCTGCCCGAGCTTGACATCAATGACTCTTCTTTCCTTTTCGAGCAGGCCATGCATCTCCGGCGGCAGCACGTCTCTGTCAAAGTCGAACTGTGCGCCAGCAGATTCCAGCGAGGAGACGACCGCCTCGGAAAACTTGGCGGGATGTGCAGTGGAAAGGATGATCTGGTGCGTGGCCGAGCGGTTCGAGCTCACGAGTCGGTTCGCTGCGCACATGCCGACGGCGGTATGCGGATCAACAAGATACGACTTCCGGTGCATTGCAGACGGCGGGGAGGAAAAGTACTTGAGGATGGTCTTCTTGGTCTGTAAAAGATTCAGTCATTTGTCAGCGAACAGCGACATGGTATGGTGCAAAAGAGGAAAGAGTCGACCCACCTCAGAGTCAGAGACCCTCTCCGCAGAAAAGTCTCGCCGCGCAAGCTTGTGCTGTTCCTCTGACACTGCGAATCTTCCTTTTTCCTTCAAGTCCTTCATCCAGTTCCCGATCTGCTCGCCCGCTCTTGATGCCCGCTCCTCATCTGATCCAGAGGTATCCGTCTCAAAGACCAGGTACCACAGCAATCGCTCGAAATTGGAAGAGACCAGAATGTCCATCGCTGGGCTCAGCGTAGCCTTGACGCCTCCTGCAGCACTGTCAAGCGAGCTTTGTGCAAGTTCCACCTGCGACATTGAAGTATGCCCACTCTGTGAAGATGCGCTATTCTTTTCATAGGCACCGCTCTTCCAGAAGCGTTGTAGAATGTCGTTCTCGTTCGTTGCGACCGCGAGGTTCTGAACCGGCATGCCCATGCGCTTTGCATAGTAGCCAGCAAGGACGTCGCCGAAATTTCCAGTCGGCACAACGAACTGGATCTCTGGCGGGAAAGAAGAGGCAGTTGATAGTCCGAGCTGCTTCTGCAGTTGGAAGTAGGCGGAAAAGTAGTAGACAATCTGCGCGAGGATGCGAGCAAAGTTGATGGAGTTGACTGCACCCAAACGGTACTGATCGTTGAAAGCTTTGTCGGAGAAGAGAACCTTAACGATGTCCTGGCAGTCATCAAACGTGCCGTCTACCGCCAAATTGTGCACATTGGTATCGAGCACTGTCGTCATCTGGGCCTCTTGGATCGGACTGACCCTCCCCTTGGGATGAAGGATGAAGATGTCGATGTTCGCTTTGCTTCTGAGACCAGCGATAGCTGCGCTGCCAGTGTCCCCCGAAGTAGCACCAACGACGGTGATGCGGTCAGGGGTGGCGCCTTGCGACTTAGCGGCATTGCGGCGTTGCAAAAAGTATTCGAACAGGTTTCCGACTAGCTGCAGCGCCACGTCCTTGAAGGCAAACGTCGGACCATGCCAGAGTTCGAGGCACCACTCGTGGTCTGCAAGCTGTACGAGCGGGCTGACCTGCGGGTCGCGGAACGTCGAGTAGGAGCGCTCAATAAGTGATTTGAGGTCTGCATCAGGAATACCGCCTTCAGAGGCCGACACTGGGATGAATCTTCGGAGAATCTGAAAGGAGAGCTGGGGGAAAGTGAACGATGACCACTCGGTGGCCCAGTTTGGCGGCAGCTGTGGTATCGCAGCGGGAATGTAGAGGCCACCATTTGGCGCAAGGCCTTGGATCACTGCCTACCAACGCCAGGGGTATAATGCGACCGGGAGCACTGTGAATGAGTTGGTGCCAACGAGTAACGCGGTTCTGGTTCAAGGTCGACTCACCTCCTCAAAGGACAGCCGCTCGGGGCCGCCGCGAGTGCTCAGATACTTCATGCTGCCTTTGGGCAGTTGGTATTCGGACTGCTGTGTGATAACGTGAGAGCCTTGTCCCACAAGTGACGTGAGCTGAAAACTTGCCCAGGTTGAACTCGAGTGCTTTCACTTGTTCCATCATGCTGTAAAAGGGTTAGAATTCAGAAGGCCGTTTGATCGAGACAAGTCCGCGGTGCGCTGTGTTCGGGGTAAATGGCACTTGCAGTTCAGCCAGCCTGCACATTTTCTTGCCTGGTGGCACTGAGAAGGTCAACCCTGTATAGTCTGGCGACTCGCAGACCAAAAAAGGGCGAGTCATACTTCCGCGTCTTCACAGATTCGGTGCAACACCCGTCACTTCACCCCGTGCGCGCGGGTTGCGGAACCGTGGCGCGCTAAGCTCTCGTGGAGGCACACACACTTGGCGCCTCTCCGCGATGCTGCCCTGCTGCAGACAGAGTGCAGCAGTGTCGGGCTCTATTCTCAATCTTGTTCTTGCGCGGAAGCACTACGTACGCGGGCATGGCGGCAGTCAGAGAGGTGCTATTTGTTGACTCGATTTACTGGCGCCTGATGTCGATTCAAGGAGAAACCATCGCACTTCCATGGTCCATCAGCAAAGGATATCTTGCTGCGCATCACGGTGGGAGAACACGAAGGAGAGAAGCGCAAAGGAGCCAGCTGGCTGCATTCTTGCTGGCGTGAAGCTTGGAAGGCTTGCTTGCGCCAGTCAGGAAGTGTTCGCCTGCTCGCAATCCTGATTCGACACCACTTCAAGCCACCCGTTCATTATCCATTTCGGGAGACACGCGAGCAACGCAAACAAGATTGTGCTGTTGAAAGGTGAGTTGGCCCGGATGGATAGCGAACCTTGGAAGCTTGGTCTGTTTGCTTCTGTAGTCCCGCTGCCCTCAAAATGTTGTGCGGAAAGGCCAGAGGCTCGTTCGACATTAGTTCGGAAAAAGAGGTGCCTTCGTCGCATCTGCTTCTACGTGTAACAAGCAGATGCACCGCTTGCCGTGTTGCAAATTGGAGCATCTCGCGTGTCTCCGAACAGCAACCTTAGCATGCCTGTCGCATCCGTGCCCTTCTTTTGGGATCAATGGCTGACTCTGCCTGTTTCTTCCAGACCTCACCGCTTGCACAGGGTATCAGCACCAATAATTTGGGTCTCAGTTGTTGATATCAGGGAAGAAACGCGAGCAGAGAATTGGCATTTATTCTGCTCGAATCAAGGCGCAGGTTCGCCTCAGGTTCTTGGGAAGCCTCAACAGTCCATCACCAGCTCTGCTTGGATGCGAAACAACAATGGCAACGTCTTCACCACCGACTTCTGGCAACGGCAGCGGCTCGTCATCTGCGCCATATCAACCAAGCTCCGCAGGACCTTCCCCTTCCAGACAAAATCGACCTAGTATCTGTGGCTCAGACGCACCAGAGCGCCCCTACCCAATCTATCTGCATGGCGACGTGGAGCGTGGATTTGGGCGCGGCGGCAAGGATCTCGGTTGCCCAACAGCCAATCTGCCTGCGAAGATATTGGGGAATGCAAGCTCAAGTCAAGGCCTAAGTCGGACAGGTATTTACTTTGGTTGGGCACGGGTGCTTCCGCAAGACCCGGAAGACCCGGAACTGAGCGAGGAGAGCGAACAGGAGACTGGTGCTGCACAAGAGGCAGGTGAGGTTGAGGAAGACGAAGATGACAATGAGGTGGTACTGGGTATCAGCCCCATCAACGAGGGTAGTCTGGATTCATTGGGCCAAGGCGGGCAGTCAACACACACCGGCAATTCCGGATCTCAGCTGTCTGCTTCGCTCTCACGAAGTTTAAAGCCTCGACAGGGCAGCAGAAGCTCAGTTCGCTCTGCACGATCAACATCAACTGTCGTGGATGTGCCCAACAATGCATCCTTGCTGAGCTCTTCCCAATGCAAATCGCCTTCGTCAATAGCAGTGGGGGCTTTCGCAGGCGGCGCAAACGTGAATAGATCGCGACCACAGCAAGACTCATCAATGCTCAGTCCGCTGCTCGGCAACGGCAGTGAGGGAGAGCTGATTGCTCGGCCAGCATCAGTGTTGAGCGACAAGGAAGCTCAAGTCGCGCGTGAAGAGAAGACCGCGGAGGCACAGAGTAGCGTGCTCAAGCCGAACGACCTTGGGAATGAATCCACGAAAGGAGCGACAACCTCGGTGCATGCTTCAGCACCAAGTTTACACTTGTCTTCGAGCGAAGCAGCAAGCACGAAGCCAGAGCTGTCCGTGACGACGGTGACGCCGGTACCTATCGCAAAGCTAGCCCAGGCTGGCGAAAAGCATCCGCGCGACTTGAGCGCGGCAAGCAGCACTGCATCCTTGCGATCAGGAAGTGATGATGCACAGGGCAGCGCCCTGAGCAACCGATCGAGCAGCAGCAGACGCAAGAAGAAGCTTCGGGTAAATCTTGCGGAGGAGGATTCCTTGGTGTTCCCGATGGTCATGAGCGTCGGATGGAACCCTTTTTACGGAAACACCACAAAGACAGCTGTGAGTGAGCGTATACATTAGCGCGTGATGTGCACCTCACGAGTTTTTACCCTAATATGATCGACTTGTGGCTTCGCTGCGGTTCCTACAGGAGGTTCACATCATGCACAAATTCCAGGCTGATTTTTATGGCCTCGAAATTCGCGTGGTCGTTTTGGGATACATTCGTCCGGAGTACAATTACATTAACAAAGGTGAGAATGTCTGCCCCTCCACTTCACTGTTGCGATGGCATCTGAGACCGCTTTCCTTTGACCAACGTAGAGGCCCTGATAGAAGACATTGAGATGGACAAGCGCGTCACCATCGCCTCCCTGGCACGGCCAATGTACCAAGACTACAGCCGGGATCCGTTCCTCTTGAGCAGCTTTAGCATCTCTTAGCAGCATCCCCAAATCATCGAAAACTCATTTCCAGCCACAGCGCCAACGTCAGGCTCTGCCTTTTCCTCCCTTCAGCAAATTTGAACCCGCTGCATTCGTTTCTATAGACTACCAATGGTCCTTTCCCAACTTCGTCGCATCTCGACCGGCGCCATCACCCCCATAACGCATCGCATTCAAAGTTGATGCTCTGGTCACATTTGCATTTGAATTTCTTACGTAGACATCCGCCTCATCCGCAACGCCCGGATGGCCATCATTGTTTTTGCTTGGCTTTTGTTCTTGGATGAATCTGACACACAAGAACCAGCCCGTACGAGCTGCTTGTTTCATTATTAGCATGTTGCACGGTTTGCAAATGATTGCAAGGCTCTGGTCCCCTCGACAGACCGGGTCGGCAAGCACAGGGAGCATGACGGGAGCCCTATTCGGCGAACCTGTCTTTCAGAACATGATGAAATGCAATGAGAAGCTCTGCATTGGTACTCCGTGCTCGTGTCATTTGACCGCTACATAAAACGGACGCGGTGATGGGTTTTTGAAAACCTCAACGGTGCGGGAGTTTCTTTCTGGAATCTGGTGTGTATTAGTGAGGGTGAGCGCCGCTCGGCCCTAGTGTCGCGAGCGCGCGCATGAGCCGCCGATGGCACTCATCGCGAAGCAACCTCTTGAAGGGCACCTTTGAGCTTACACCCACTATACTGCGTGTGTTTATCATCCCCGCGTTGCATCCATCCTTGTAAGACTATTCCTCCGTGCGAGCGATTGACGAGCCAGAATTGGATAGCTAGACGCCAAACGCACTGCCGCCGCATTCACGCTTCCGAAATGGCGAATCTCTCGCTGTACACAACGACAGCGTGTAAGTTCCTGGCCTTGCCCTCGGCCATTCTTGGTCTGCGTGCGCTGTCGAAATCGGTGATGTTGACTCACCTAACCTTTCAACCCGCCTCCAGTTCTACTGCTCGACTCGGATGGAGATCGAGTGATCTCAAAGTACTACCAGCCGCCACATGCCGCCAATGCGCCGACGGGTCAGCAGGCGGGGTTGCAAGGGCCACCACAGCTGAGCGCGAAGAATCCATTCCCTACTGTCAAAGAGCAAAAATCATTTGAGCGAGCTGTATGGGAGAAGACACGAAAGTCGACAGGTGAGGATTTCTCGCAGAAACTTCTTTGGTGTCACAAGCTAACCCTGACCCTCACCCCGCCGCTCGCGAAACCCAGGCGACATTCTTCTCTACGACTCACATCTGGTCCTGTTCCGGCCCTCGCTGGATGTCACACTCTACGTTATCGGCCCTGGGGATGAGAACCCTCTGATGCTTTCAGGGCTCATGTCGGCCATCTACGACTCGATCAGTTTGCTGCTCCGAGGGCAAGTGGAGAAGCGCGCTATTCTTGAGAACCTAGACCTTGTCACACTAGCGATTGACGAATGTGTTGACGACGGGTGTGTATCGCTACATGGCGTTCATTTCTTCTCGGCGGTCATGTTCTGACAGAAGTTGGGTTTATTCTTCTCAGCATCATCCTAGAGACCGACTCCACAGCCATCGCATCACGAGTGTCGCGGCCAAGACCGGACGTGACCGAGCTGCAGATTAACGAGCAGAGTAAGCCCGACATCAATCGACTTCATCCAGAATGCATCACTGACACTGCTCGACCTTTCTATTCCAGCCATCATGAATGCCTACTCGACTCTGCGGGACAAGTGTGTTATCCTATGACTGCCTCTTCGTGCTCATAAGCTGATCATCGCATTTCCTGATAACCCACAGAGTCGCGCAGCGGATCCTACAAAGTTGAAACTCGATGCTTGCAGCAACCGCTACATGAGCATCTCACCCCATTGTACCATAGCAAGCCTCTGTCATTGCCAAACATCAATTTTGTGGCTTCCAGCCCAGCTTCACAGGCTCATTAAGGATACATTCGCGATGGTTTGCTGTCAGCTTAGTCGGCCTTCTTCCTCAGATTTGCAAACTGGTGCTTGCCGAAGTTGTTCCACCAGAGCGAGCCATTGAGGTACGTCGCGTAGGACAGCCAAGCAATGTACGGGGCAAGGAAATAGGAAGCTGTCGGCTCGACGTCCTGCAGGACGTGGATCAAGTAGCCGACTGCCCCCGTCAAAGAGACGATGTCAATCAGCGCCAGACCGAGGTTGCCTGGAAGTGCATCGGGAGGGTGACAAGGGGAGGGCACGATGAGCTCGGACGCTGTTCAAGGTTACTTGCAGCAACAGTGCTCACCGGTTCCGAAAGAAATGGCGGACCAGGCCCTAAAGAGCAGAAAAGGTGTTCATGGGTTATGATCTGCATGTATCGACTTTCCAAATCATCTTCCCAGCTTACTTGTTAAGGGCCAACTGGCCCCAGTAGAGGCCGAGGGCAAGGTGCGCCCTGTCACGTCCGAAGCCTGGCAACTAGTGGAATAAGATGCCTGTACGAGGTAGGCAAGCCAACCACCACATGTCCTTCACTCACCCGGAGGAGTCCTTTCTAGTGCCTTAACCATCAGATGAGAGCTCCATCCCATGCAGACGTATAGTGTGGGCCAAACGACCTGCAAATGTGCAAGGACGGTGCAATAGTGTCAATAGCCCTCCTCCTCCCTTTTGATGCATTCGAAAGGGCCCAAATGCCCAAACTAGAAGACGAATCGCCAACTCACTCCGAAAGACCAGTTTGGCGGGTTGCCGCTCGGTTTTTGCAGCGACTTATACCATATGCTTTGTGGACCATACTTGCTGTTACGCGTGAGAAAGCCGGTCGCGAAGCCAAGGCCGACAGGCACGCCAATTGCAATGGCCGGGTTCCGGGGCTGGACATCACGCCAAGTTCACATCGCATGGGTCGTTCGTTAGTACCACCAGAGAGCAGGCATCGTCGTGCAATATGATCAAAGAGGGAGTCAGCATCGGTCCAACTGGTTGGTGCATGGTAGCGTAGCTCACGATATGGATCAGGATTTCTGGCAGGGCTGGCATTTTGAGCACGTCTGCTTCTCGGATGCGAGCAAGGACAAGGTTATGTGATCTCTGTTCCACCTTCGATAAAATGTCGTTAGACAAGTCTTTGAGCTATTCAGGAGGTACATGAACGCATTGGCATTCGGCAAGGACGAGCAAGCCGCTTTGGGGGCTCCACGTTCTAAGCGACATCTATGACGTGGGCATCATTGGATTGCGTAATGAAAGTCAATGCCGCGGTCGTGTTCCTTCCAGTGCAGCACATGTGGCTGCGGCGCTGTGGCTGTGACGAGGCGAGACGCGACGCGATTGTTCCGGCGCGCAACCAACAACGACATCATTGTATAGTCCAGTCAAGTCTTTCACACACTCCTGCAGTCGGCATGCAATCCGAGGCGCTTCAGCTTCATAAGTTACCCGGACGGCAGCCAGCCGGCATTAAGCTCGGCTTCCCACAATTAAGCTATGCCACTTCTATAGGCTTTGCTAACCGCTCGCAGGGAGAGTCGGTAGGAGCGCTTTCTTACTTCCGAGCCTCTGTGCGTGTCGGCTTACCGCCCATTTCATTTCTCGATGGCAATCGCATAAGGCAATACGCTCATCGCGGCAACCCCAGTCCTTTCGGGGGCCACTTGTTCCAGTATTGAATGCGCCAGAACGAAAGCCACGCTTGCCACACAACTCCTCGTTGCTCAAGCTGAAGCAAGGCACATTAGTTGGTTCAAGGTGAGCACACTGTTACCTGTTCACGAGTGTAGACTGATCAGCTAATGCTGTGTGGTCTTGTCACAGCCAGGTGCGGCGCTACGACAGTTCAGGACACTGACTCTCAGCGCGACGTAGCCCAGGATTGGTTTCGCCATTGACTTACCTGGCGAAGCGAGGAAAGCAATCGAGTGCACCCGATGAGAAATGCGAGGGATTGAATTGTTCACCAGGGCAGGCAAGTCTTCGCGCCTTCGTGATCCTTCTTTAGCATAGTCATTTTGCAATAAAGGATGCTCGCGAATTATACTATTTGCTGCGAACATCTTCCCAGCTGTAATACACACCATGCCCACGCACCGCCGCACTTGTACAAGTATGCTCAGGCCTGAGCAGATGGGTCCTTGGTGAATCTGAGGTACGGTTTGACAGTCTCGTAACCAGGGAAGAGCTTCTCCGCCTCGGCGCCCTGCACTGATGGGTGTACGATGACCTTGTCGCCCTTTTGCCAGTTGACCGGGGTGGTGACGCGGTACTTGTCGCCGGTCTGCAGCGAGTCAACCACACGCAGGATCTCGTCAAAGTGACGACCAGTTGAGGCAGGGTAGGAAATCTTGAGTCGGATCACTTTTTTCGGGTCAATGACAAAAACGTCGCGCACAGTCATCGGCATGCCCTTTGCGTCGACGTTGGTCGGGTCAAGCGCGTCGAGCATGTCGTATTCGGTTGCAATCTTGCGGTCCTTGTCGCCAATGATCGGGAACTCGACTTTGGTCTTACCAACCTCATTGATGTCCGCGATCCACTTGTCGTGCGAGGCAACGTCGTTCGCAGAGAGCCCGATAACCTTAACACCGCGCTTTTTGAACTCTTCGCTCTTGCGCGCAACCTCGCCAAGCTCAGTCGTGCAGACCGGGGTGAAGTCGTCCGGGTGCGAGAAGAGAATCGCCCAAGAGTCACCTAGCCATTGGTGGAATTGGATCGTCCCTTGAGTGGTCTCGGCGGTAAAGTCCGGAGCAACAGATCCAAGGCGAAGGTTCGGCATTGTGATATGGTATTGATTATCTGAAGAGCAAAAAAGATGGTCAGCACGAATGTGACGAACACAGGGGTGTCTTTGGGTGGATAAATCTGGTCCAATCCCCCATCGAAAGATCGCCCTCCAGATACTACTCTAGCAGTGATCTACACGTTCAGCTTTGCCAGCTTTCGCCAGCTATGGACGCCAGCCACGTTGCCGCAACAGATAATTTCGCGAAGTTCCTCAACTGCTCGAAAACTGACAAAGGCCGAGCCGCAAAACTTGCCATCATGGAAGAGATGCACCCATCGCGAGATCTTGACGAGATATCACGGAACCTTTGCTGGTTTTCACGCTGCAATCCTTGCAAGCGCTCTTCGACTCGAAGCGCAGCACACCGTGTAGCGTTCCACGGCGTGTTAATCGAGTCTTTCTGCTTGCACGCAACCTGGTAACATTGCCTCTCCCTATCCATTCCTCCAAGTGAAGAACTGGAGATTGCCTGACAGCGTCCCGTATGCCATGGGCCGTGTCGCCATCCTGTTGGATTGCTACAGGTGAAAAGGCAAGCGCATGCGAAGAACCAATGCTTACCTGTTGGAATTTGCTTGCGAAGTGGACGTGCATAAAACGTGATGTGGGAAGGGAGTGGATAAGGAGTAGAAGCAGGGGTGCAACAGGCTGCAACTATTTATGACATGGGGAAGTTCCTCCAAAAAGGCGGCTTGCCTGCAGTGGTGTGGCTCGTGCACTGCTTCACATATTCTACAAATCACATTAAAGAGATGAGCAAGCTACTTCTGTGGCGCCACCACACGCACCTGGCAGTCCCGGGTCTCCATCTGACATGTCCGAAGTCCCGACGATGGTTTCCAGTCAATCGTTGCTGTTGTGCGAGTGTCGATCAAACGGTACACCGCAACGGCCGCAAAGCAGCATGGCCAAATACATGCAAAAGTGGCGATGGCGTGCTTTGAGAGCTGCTTATGTAACAGTTCCCCAAGGAGGGTCGCAAGGAGACTGCGATCAGCTTCGCAGTGAATGGTGCAAACTAAAAGCCATGCCTCCTACCACAATGTCCGAGTGATAATCTGGCAGTTAGCACAATCTCCGAGGGTATTACATAAGTAATCTGCTTTTGGTCGACTTCGACGCCCATGATGATCTTCAAGGACACGCGACGCGCAAGCCTGTACCAAAACGTCAACTATGCCAATATTTTGAGGTAGTCGGTTGCCCTATCTGTCCGTGTGGTCATTGTTTCATAGAGGAGTGCGCTCCCAAATACGATTTGATTGGTTTCTGCACCCAGTTGTTGACATCCTTCTCCTGGAAGGTGCGGTGCGGCCATCCGGGATCGAAACGGGCGTTCAGTGAGAAAGCGAGCGCTCCCCACTCCTGATCGTCTCCTGCTACGTCAAGCCGCCTTACTCTTTATCGCAGAGTGGCTCTAGCTGCTCTCGTACTTGTGCAACTATGAAACTCAAGGTTTCCCATCGTGGGAAGCACCACGAGATATCGTTCGAAGAAAACAGCAGCCCAATCCTTTCAGATCTGCAAAGAGAAATCGAGAAAGCAACGTCCATTCCGCCACACCTCCAAAAGCTACTTCCGAGCAAGGTCGCAGGCTCTCCCAGCCAGCCGAAGTTGAATGGACAACGACCAGAAGCTACACTGGAAGAACTAGGCATCCGAGACGGGATGCGCATCATGCTGCTCGGCGTCACTGGCGACGAGCTCAAAAGCGTCACTAGACAAGAGCTTGCGGCTGCCACTCGACAATCGCCAAGGAAGCTCCACGAGTCGCTGCTGAGAGGTGCACGAGTAAGTTGCTCTCTTTATTTGCGTGCCTATCCGTTTATTGACCCACAAAACCGGCATACGCTTCTCCCGCAGCCGCGGAACACGACCATGGCAGCCATTTCGCCATTCGGCAATATCTACGCGCATCCCAACTTTCCTGCGTACACACCCGAGGCGAATGAGCGTGCCGCATCCTACCTGCGCAGGCTCGCCAACGACCAGGGGGTGTTGCATGTCATGGCACTGCACAGCTACCATGTCGGTGTATTGACGGAGCTGCTCCCGCACGAGCATCCGAACCTGCTCGGCCTGAATGAGAATATGGGGCAGCGGATCAGTTTGCGCATACGGACGGATCGCTACGATGGCTTTCGGGACTATGCCACAAGTCGGCGCGTGCTGATGCACGAGCTAGCGCACATCGAGGTGCACGACCACCCGCCAGAGTTCAAAGAGCTCAACTCGTTGCTCAACGCGCAACTGGCCGCTTTCGAGCGCGCACAACGCGACGGGTCGCATCTTCTCAGCGTCGATGAGGTGTACGAGCCTGAAAGTGGAGGGAGAAGTTCGGGGAGACAGGTTGGCATGTTTGGGCAAACTAGGGAAGAGGAGGAACGCGAGGAGCGAAGGCTGCGCATCCTCAGGGCGACGGAGGAGCGGCTCAGCCAAATGGAGCACGACATCGAGCTTGGATGTGGTTCGACTAGGAAGGGTGGTCAACAGCGGGATTGAAGGAATGCAGAATCGACGCCTGTATTTTAGTTGTTGCATCATTCTCTTGTGAGAAACAGGTCGATGCCAACACGTGAGCAGCGATCGACACTTTGGCATCATATACCTGCATCATCGCCAACCCTATGGTCTGGTCAGAATAGTTCACTTTGTTCTAAGCGTGGGGTCAAGCACCTGAAGCTGCACCTCTGTTATAGCAGCTTTATTCCCTGCTGTCGTCCGCTCTGAAATGACCTCATCGCAGGATTTCGCTCTTCTCTTTGGTGGCTTGCTCCTGGCTCTTGAGCACCTGCGATAGACACGAGCGTATTTGAAGTGCTCGCGAGCGATGTCTTCGGGTAGGTGAAGTGGGGGGGAGGCAAATGAAATTTACGTAGGAGCTACTCCAGCAGTGGGCAACCTGCGAAGCAAGGATCGGCTTACATAATAATCACGTTTGTTTTAGCGGCCACGAGCGTCAGGCATGTTGCTGAGCACGCAATTGCTCCACGTTCGACTGATCGCATGATCGCTCTGTGTCTCTCGCACATGGTACCCCGCAGTTCTCCTTCGTCATTGTTGCGAACAAGAGCACAACTGTAGAAGCTTATCTTACAGCATCAACGACAGCCCGGCGTTGCTGCCTGAAGGCGGGTCGTTGTCTTGTGCCGCGGCGGTGATTAGATGTTTTGCTGCTGTGGTCAACCTGCTCTGTCTCGTTCGAAGCCGACCTGTGCGTGGTATCGTATATATCCATGTAGTGTGCTCGTTTCTCCTATGCATGACGTCCCTCCCCTCGTCAACGATTACACTGTGAAGCAGAACATCAGTAGTCGCTGTTCATCTTTGTGTTGCAGACATGCCTTCTTCGACACTCGACATTCCTCGCTGGGTGCCCCCCGAGCCAACCAAAACGTCGGGTGAGCATCATGCTGCGACGCTGTCGTTTACTCTTCTCCGCTGACCCTTTTCGCTGCAACTGGCGTATTCAGACATCGACTGGGCTCCACTCTGGACGCTGGACCTCTCGGAGATCAGGGGTGAAAACTTTACCGAAGTGTCCGAATCCCTCGTTGCACGCGTCGGCGAGGCGTTCCACAAGGACGGTTTCATCTACGCCGTGAACCACGGCCTATCATGGGACGAGGTTCTGCGGCAATTCGCCATTGGGCAGTATGCATTCAATGCGGTGACGGAGGAAGAAAAGCAGAAGTTCAAAGCCGACATCCTCCGAACCGGTAGCTTCGCTGGGTACAAGGAGATGGGCCACTGGAAGATCAACGGTGTCAAGGACAAGATCGAGCAGTTCAACGTTGTCTCTACGAGCTTTAGCAAGGAGAAGCGTGAGGCCTCGTTCCCACCTGGCCTAAAGGCTCTCATTCCGGAAATTCAAACTTTCGCCAAGGTGAGTGGCGCTTGCTTGAACAATGGAATATCTCAAAACGCTCGTGCGCTGACAATATTGTTGCACAGTTCAACCACGAGAATATCTACCGCAAGGTCCTCACATTACTCTCCCTCGTACTCAAGCTACCCGCAGATTACTTGTGGAATCTGTCTCGGGACCCAGAGTCGAAGGGCCTGGACCTATTGCGGTATGCCGCCTACCATACGCCGAGCAAGGAGGATGACCAGGCTCTGGGCGGCGTCAGGCTACAGGGGCACACGGACTTCAACGCCGTTTCGATCCTCTGGAGCCAGCCGATCACAAGCTTGGAGGTGCTAATGCCGAGCAACGAGTGGAAGTTGGTCAAGCACATCGACAATGCGCTCGTCATCAACTTGGGTGACTGCCTTCAGTTCCGTGAGTGCGCCACATCCCGAGTGCATTGCTATCTGGTTCAAGTAAGAAGCTGACTCCTTGTCATCGTCGTCATGGATTGTTGCTCGCGCGCCTGCAGTCTCCGGCGGCTACCTCAAGCAGACGATCCACCGTGTTATTGCGCCGCCCGAGGACCAGGCGCACTACACGCGCCTGGGCATCTTCTACTTTGCCTTCACCAATGCCGACGTACCGCTGGAGCCACTGCTGGAATCGCCTGTGGTGCGCCAGGCGCTCAGCGAGCGCGCCGAGGGCCCCGACTTCTGGGCCGAGAACCGCAAGACGGGTGAGCGCATCCCCACTGCCGGCGAGTGGGAGAGTCTGCGCGTCAGAGCGTACGGGCAGCAAGGGACCAAAAAACGTGAGGATGGGCACGAGACGGAGAAGATCGGAGGCGTCGAGGTTACGCTGTACAACGATGTGCAGAAGCTGAAGAAGGACGAGCTTGTACAGTTGGCACAGCAGCTGCAATCCAAGGCGCTGGTCGCGGGCGCGTGAACGTGCACAAGCGCATGCTCACGGACGCCCGGCTGGACGAACAGGTTCGGCTTGTTACTACTCCACCAGTTGCAGCCGGCGCCATAACCACAGCATTTCTTCGCTAATGACCGTGACGACAAGAGCCTTTCATGCCTACCTTTCTCCCTGGCATTCAACAGCAGCCCCTCCCCCTGCCACACACTCACACGGCGCAGAATCACGGATTATCGAACGAAAAGCCCTGAAACCTCACACGCGCCTGTTTCAGTTACGCGCGTGCATATATTATCTCATTTGTAGCATATTTCGAGCCTCAACGGCCCTCGTGGTTCAAAGTTGAACTCCCTAGTCTGGCATAGGTCCATACGCCGCGCGCAGCGGAGCTCAGCGTGTACAATACTCTACTAGTCGACTCGACGCGTCAGCCTACAGCGAGCGCCGAGCCTGACCAAGCAGCAGACGTCGAGGACAAGGTCAAGGTCAAGCTGGATGGTGCTGTGCATGCTCGAGAAAGTGTCCTGTACCTTTTGTTGCCACCAACCAGCCAGCGCGCCGGCTCCTTCTGGCCTGCAACGTGGGTCCGTGCGTGCAATCCAAGGGTGCAGTTCATAGTTCCTCTCCTACATACATAGTTCTGGTCAATCACTGAAATGGATTTAGTCATTACACTCGTCCAATGCGTTGAACCATGCATGTCGCATTACGTGGGCGGAGTGCCCTCTCCCGCTTGGCATGCAGTCTGAGACTACACTGGTGCAGTGCTCGGTGCTCATGTGTCGCCCACCTCCCGTCATGGGTCGCAACACAACACCACCTCACGGCGTACTCTCCGCCTAGCGTAGTGGTATTGCATCCTCCGTATAGACGCCCACGTCGTAGGTTGGCTGTAGGTATAGGTAGCTGCCCTGCGCTTGCTTGTACATAGGCTCATCGCATCGTATCGCCTCTCATCCCTCCGTGCGCATATCCAAGCGGGCTCACGCCGACACCCACGCCTGGGACTCGAGATTGGCTGCAGAGTGCTGGCAGCGCACCCGTTTGGGAAGCGCGATAACCGTCCAAACAACACACTCACACTCGTACTTATCCCCTGCGGCACACCCCGCAGCATTCATCCCATCCTGCGTCATCGCCCGTCCTCCCCCGACAAGCTCGGCTCGAACTGTACATAGCATCTACTGGTAGAGAGAAAGAGAAGCTACATCCTGACGACTGTATCAGGCATCTCCAAGGCGCTTGCGTGAGTGACCACTCAAATAGACCAAGCAATCGAAGTCAAGATGGCGCTCTCCTCCGAGTACGCCGCCATACTCAACGAGCTCAACCGCGAGGTTCTACGTACCAGACCTATCGACCCACTGCAGTTCTGCGCCAACTGGTTCAACAGACGTCTTGAAGAGCAGCGTGTCGCTCATCGAAGTGCTGCTGGTGTTGGTGCGGGCGCAGATGCAAGCGTCGACCCCGTGGCCCCCGCACCGACCTCTGTCGTCCTGCCGTTGTCCAACACTCCGAGCTTGACCTCGTTCTTCTCCTCTGCCAGTCCCTTTGGCGTTGACGTGGCTGGGGCCTCAACCCCAACAGCATCGCCACACCGCGGCTCGCTCGACAGCTCATCCAGCACCGATACGGGCGACGAAGAGATACCCGCACCAGACACCCCTGGGGCTTCCTCCGCCGGCATTGGCCGCAGTGGCAGCACCTTCATGCCTCCGCCCTCGTTCAACTTTGGCCGGCGCACGTCGGTCTCGGCCGAGTCGCTCGCACGCGCCTCGGCCTCGACCCAATCGAGCAGCAAAACGGTTATCCCCAAGACGGACGCACAGCTGGCTCGCATCCGCGCGGCGATCGGTAACAATCTGCTCTTCCGCAACTTGGAGGAGGACCAGTACAACGATGTCCTGTTCGCCATGAAGGAGGTCAAAGTCGACCCTAGCGTAGCCGTCATCGAACAGGGCGCACAGGGAGACTACTTTTATGTCGTTGAGAGCGGCACGCTCGACGTGTACATCAAGCCGACTCTCACGAGCAGCTTGGGCAATAGCGGCTCTGTCAATTCAGAGTCGGATAACAGGAGCAGCTTTCCTTGTGCAGCCGCCACGGCCAGCGACCTCTCGATGGCTAACCTGGGCGAGAAAAAGTCCAGCTACGGCCCCGGTCACTCGTTCGGCGAGCTCGCGCTGCTCTACCTCCAACCGCGCGCCGCGACGATCCTCTCAACGTCGCCCTGCACGCTGTGGGCGCTGGACCGCGTCACATTCCGCTCGATCCTCATGGAGACTAATAGCCGCAGGCGTGCGCTGTACGACAGCTTCCTCAAGGACGTCGCACTGTTCGAGCACCTCAGCGACGCTGAGCGCGCCAAGATCAGCGACGCGCTCGAGGTGCGCACGTACGACATTGGCCAGCGCCCCATCAAGCAGGGCGAGCGCGGCACCGAGTTCTTCATTATCGTCGAAGGCTTCGCAGAGGTCAAGAAGCGCAAGCTGGCGCCTGCGGCCTGCTCTTCGACTTCATCAGTAGCTGGGCCCGCAGTCAGTTCCTCTACAGCATTGGATGATGAGATGACCATCGGCCGCCTCGGCCGCGGCGACTACTTTGGCGAACTGGCCCTGCTTAACAACGCACCACGTGCAGCATCCGTCGTCGCCGCCGCCGCTCTGCCCGGCGAAGTCGCATCCGTATCCGCAGCATCATCATCAGCAGCAGCAGAGACAGCAGCTCCTCCGCCTGCCAAGAAGCTCAAGGTGGCCACGCTGAGCGAAAAGGCGTTTACGCGCCTGCTCGGCCCACTCGCAGGCATCATGGGACGTTACGCAGAGGAGCGCTACGGCCCGTCTTCCACGGCCGGCGCATCGCTAGGCCCCGCAGCAGGCCCATCCGGTGCCGGCGGCGTCAGCAGCTTGCCCATTGCCGTGTCCGGCGGGAACGTGCCCGCGTCCATCGCGCCGCATCAGACAGCCACTACAGCAGGCACATGGATCGGCGGAAGCCCGTTCGGACAGCCGCCGTCTGTTCGGACATGATCTGATAGCTGTCGTTTGCGCGCAAGCTGACGTGGTGAAACACAGCGTGTCGTTGGCCAGCAGGATAAAGAAACGCTGCGTAGGCGCCTGCTCTCATTTCATTTTATCGGTCTACAGAAAGCAAGAAGAGTTCGTGTGACCTTAAACCTGTACGAGCGATGGAAATGCAGTCTAAACCAAGCTTTGCAAATTGTATACACTAAAGATCCAAGGGTGTCCCGCGCCGCCCTCAATTTGCTGCTGGTGCTGTCACTGTCGACGACGCTGCTATCGGAGGCGCCGCCTCTCTTCGTCGCTCTTTACGTGTCGCTTCGTAGTGCTCATTGAAGTTGAGTCTGGTGCCGAGCTCTCGCACAATCTAGCGGAAGGCGAAAATTGGCGGCAAGGAGGGTCAGAATGCCAGCTCTTTAGACGCGGAACATGCCTCGCGCGCAATCGGCACGCCGCACTTACCAAGTTGGAATGCTTCTCAAGCCTGTCGACGATGTTCTGCAAACGCTCCTTGAACCTGACCGATTGCTCCGTAAGCTTCTCAGCGATGCGCTCGTGCGCATGCTCTGCGCTACTCGGATCTTGCTGCCCTTGTGCAAAGGTGAGGATAAAGTGTGAAAGTTCGGTCCCGACGGAGCAGAACGCCAGGATGATCGTCAGCGTCGCGCGGACTTCGTTGGCGAGGAAATCTGGATCGTTGCGCCTTGTACTTTGTCGCAACAACACTTTGCTGACCAACGCGTTGACGTATTTTTGATGGCGATCAATCAGCTCATCCAGGTCTAGCTCTCCCTTGAGCGAGATGGTCAGGTCTTGCCAAGAATAGGCGGCGCATTCCAGCTGACAGAATCCTTGGATCTGCCTGACCATGTGGTTCATCTCTCCCAACATCAGAAGCGCCTTGTTGAGAGTGCGCAGAATGGCTGCATGGGAAATGTATGAGCCGCATGAGCTGACGCGGCAATAATTACCTTGTGTGTACGCAGCAGCCCACTTACCCTTGCTTTGCGGGTTCTGTTTCATGGTCTTCTGCAGCTCAAATCTACAAGAAGTGGTTCTCGCCCAGGTCTCAGCGAGCGCAACTTCGGCGCGCTTGATGCGCCACAGATGCCCAAAAATCATCTGGTATGCCTGCATTGCTGGCCCGTCGAGGATGGTATTGACCGGCGAGTCGACTTTGTACTCGAGCGTAAACACATCCCAGCCCGTATCGCCCGCAGAGTCTTCGAGTAGTCGCGCATCCAGTCGCTTGATGACCTCTGGATCGTCGTGCTGTGCATTCGAGCCCCTGATCGCGGTCTCCAGCGCAATGGTCAGGTTGTGGCGGTGCAGGCTATTTGATGGGCGGTTGAGGTACTCTTCCAGTTGGCTTTTGAGCAGGTCCACAAAGTCGCCTTTGCCCAGCATGAGGTAGTCTTGCAACGCTTGCAAGTGGTCCAACAGCTTGAGCTTGGTCAAGAAGATCTCGACCAAGTGCTTGCTCACAGCCTTGTGTGCGCTATCTACCGTCCGCTGCAAGCCTTCGATGTCTGAGTAGCGAAGGAGAGTCGCCTCAGCCTGCGTGCTGACCCACTCGTCGGCACCGCAGGCGTATCGGATAAAGTTCAAGCTCTTGCCTGTGGAGAAGATTTTCCTCCCAAACTCTGGGCTCAGGAAGGAAGGTAGCATGTCCGCCCGGAAGATGAATTGATGTTGCCAGAAGGAGGCGGCATCATCGTCACGGAGACTCTCGTGCACCATGGACAGTGTTTCGCTGTTCCTTGCGCCAGCAAACTCTCTGTTGCTCTGAACGAAGAATTCGTTGAACGGGTCTTGCAGCTCTCCTTTAAAGATCCAGTTGGACAGCGTGTCAAAGAAAGGACGTGACACTTCTTCAAGAAGGTCAGCTGTCATACTCTTGATCAGTGGGTCGCCATTGAAGGTGTATGTGTGAATGAGCGAAGCTAGTGCGCCACCCTTTGCGCCTTGGCATTGCTCGATGATGGTACTGAGTAGCCGCATGCGCAGTAAAACATCGTGCGTCCAGACCGCCACGCGTTTCAGCGTCAAATGGGAGTTTGCATCGCGATTCGCGGACGAGCTTGCCTGATCGGACCGCTCAGAGTCAGCCGAGTCGTTCAACTGTGTTTCCAAAATGGCAATCAGGCGATAGTAGTCGGTCATTTCGCGGGAAATGAAGTGACATAGACTCTGTGAATGTTGAACTGAAATAAGCACCATCACCTCTATCGCCTCGCTGCAAGCGTACTTACCTGCGTTGCCAGTCCAGATTCACGCTCGCTGCTCTCCTCATCGGTGAATTGCGAGATGCGTCGGTAAAGGCGTCCGAGCTCGGTGATCTGCAGGATCAACCGCCGGGTTGAACGTGGGATGATTGGCTGTGAGAGTGAATGGGCCATGCCACGTGAGTACAGACCTGCACCTTTTGCGACCGAGCAAGTCGAGCTTACTCCGCTATTCTGAGGGAAGATGACCTTGATGACCTTTTCGGGCTGGTCCTTCCTTGCCGCACCTCCCTCTGTGACAATCACATTGGCCCCAGCTGCATCGTTGGGCATCACAAACATTTCCTTGAACTTGACCCATTTTCCATCGATGCCCTGTAGCAGGTAGATCACGTCGCGCAGCAGCTCCTCTTCTGGCACTTGCGGCTGGCCGGCGCGCAGCCTCCGTTCCCTGACGCGCTCTGCTAGCGGCATTCCACGGCGAGATTGCGGCGCTGATTCGGTTGGCTCGGTAGCAGGCCGGGGCGTCCTTGGCGTCGCAACGTCACGCTGGGGATTAGGTACAGCCGACCGCAGTGATGGCATACGGATGTGGGCATCCGAGCTCTTGAGAGGACGTCCATCGAAACTCAGCTGATCAAGCATATCCAAGACAGACACGAGATTCCTGGGTTGCTCCGGCTGCATAAACACGAGTGAGGTCAGTGAAGGAGAGACGAGGGGAAGTCAATATCTCGTGTCCAGCTTCCACTCTCGTCGGAAATCTGCGCACATGAGACTTGAGCCGTGAGACGAGATTGCTGTATCGAATGCTGGACCCTACGCCTCCATCAACAGCGTATTTTAATACTGGTGGATACGCCCAGTGAAGATTGGCTTTAGTATATGAGGAGGTACAGGCTATTCAACGGCACTCACGTCGTTGTTTAATTGACTCGGCGATCTGTATTTCACTCCGTGCAAGTCGCTGATTTACCTCACTGCAAGCAATGTTAATCATAAGCATTGCTTCCGGCTTCGTACAGAGTTTGAGCCATCACTTGTGCTTGCTCTCTGTCGGTTGGAGACTCACCTCTCTACAATGTCCCATGCTGTCTCCTCCAGGTCGCGCGCCAACGCCTTGCGCGCTCTCCTTTCGCTCTCGGTCTCGTCGCGACGCTTACGAGCCGCAGGCACGACAGCCAGCGCCAGGCTGTGAATATGGTCGACGTGCGACATAACTGCTATGTGTATGGCACTCGAGGCCAACCAGCGTGTATGTATAAAGCATACAGGACCGCAGTCGATGATGTCTTGGGTCGAAAGTGCTGATAGTGTTGATGCTGTTGCGTGGGTTCGTTGCTCGAGCTCGACGCGTCTGTCGGGATTCTCCTCTCTTCTCACTCCCCCCTCGCTTCTTCCGCACAGCGCGGGGGACGCGTCAATTCAGTCGCAGAAGCATCAGTCGAGCAGTTCATCATTAGAACCCTACGCGTCAGAAAATGATGACATGCTAAGAAAGCATCCTCTCCCAAGACGTCGATGTTGCTTTCCAACTCAGCTCACTCGACAAGGCACTACCGAGATTCATGCTCCTCTCACAACCGCTCGATTGCGGACAATTTCAGAATACAGGGTTGTTGGTGGGAAAAGATATAACAGTGCAGGGCGCGCTTTTTGCTTGGTGGGAGTGCGGCATGTGGCGTCAACAAGACGAATGAAAGGAGGTGCCGCGCGGGGCCAGGCGCGGATGAGAAAGCAAGTCAGGGGAAATGAGGGACCCTCTCTGATGTCACACAACACCTGCTGTGGTCGGTACGTCTATTCAATTGCGAATTCGGATGCCGTTGTCCTGCTTCTGCGCGCCTATCCTGCCTGTTCGCCCTGAGCGGTCGGGGTGGTCGAGACCCAGAACGTCGTCCACCGAGAAGCGATGGTCGTACCTGTAATCCGAAAGTAGCGGTCAGCGGACTTGTGATGATCGCATGAAGAACGCTCAGAGAGGCAACTCACAAGACATCTGCATCTTCAATATATGAGGGCTGCTTGTACGTCGACGACTGAACAAGCGCGAAACGGAACTTGGCGAAGTCCTTCTCGTTCACCGCTAGATGGGTTTGCAGCCGCTTCTTGGTGTCTGCAAAGCGCTCGCCCTTCTTGACGACAAACTTGAAAGGAATGCCATGCACCCGATGCACTTCCTTGGTGAAGTGGAAGACGTTGATAACCTTGTCCTCGTCCGAGATGTTGATCTCCTCAAGTGGGATCTCCTCACCAAACAGCTCGGTTGACTCGGCAATGTTGCCGATCATATCCATGCCGGTGAATTCCTTCTGCTGCTTCCCGCTCGGTGTCACTTCGAAAATGCGGATTCGCTGCGAACCCTCGGGCGTCAACTTGACAACCTTGGCGAGGTGGTCCACCAGCTCGTTGACAGGTGTCGTCTTATGCAGCAAGAATGGATGCACGGACTCCTCCTTGTTGTTCGCGCCGCACCAGTAGATCTTCAGGCTGCGCTTCACTTCGAGCTCGACGATGCTGACATCAAGCAGCTCGTAGTACAGAAGCGACGCCTGGCCCTGCAGATAGCTTGGCGAGACGATCTCGTTGACGGTTTGGTTCGCTGTCCGCTTGAGAACAGTCTTCGGTGCGCCATTGGGCCCGTTTGCTGTGACGAAGCGGATCTTGAGTGGATCGTGCTTTAAGCGTTCGCCTGCTTTGGCCGCCATCTATATCAAGAAAATGATGCGTCAGTTTTCAATGCCATTGAAAGGGCTGCGAGACATGCCCAGCAAAGAACGAAAAACTGACCATATCGTATGTCATCTTCTTGGATAGCGTGACCTCGAACTCCTGCTTGTAGTCGACATCATCATATCGTGGTTTGAAGAGCACCTTGATCTGGTTCTGCAGGAAGTCGTAGAACTGCATCGGATTCGAATACATCGACTGCGCCTCAAAGTCATGCGCGCTATAGACGAGCCAACGGGAAGCAAAGGCAGAGTCAACGACCACCATCCGAGGACCAGCTCTCTTGTGTCAAAAGGCACTCACTCGCGGTCCGAAATCTCCATCTGGAAGCAGATAATGTCGCCGTCCTGAATCTCGCTCTGCCCAAAGGTGGCCTTGAGCTTCATCTGCTCGATCATACCCGGCTTGATCTCCTCATAAAGGCGGACTGTTGTCGTTGGCGGCCAGCGCATCAGCTCGTTGATCGTTGGAACTAGGTCCCCGACCTTCTGGTTGCTGTGAATGAAGACGCGCCCAACACCTGTCAGGGTCTGCCGTGAGACGTCAAAGTACTTGAGGAAGATCATAGACGTCGTCTGCCCTTGCTGCGGCTGCCCAGCGTCCGGCTGTGGTGCTGTGTGCGTGTCCGTTTCAAGGTAGAGCCGCAAGTCATTCTGCCTCGAAGCCATCTTCTCGCGCACCATCTCCAGCGTCAAAATCGGATCGTTCTCGGGGACGACCGTGTCAGGGCGCACGGTCTTGTTCTGCCTGTTGACGAGGACCCAGAGTCGGATGTCCTTCTCCGGCAGCTTGTACTGCTGCGCCACCTTTGCCTTGAAGGTGATGAACGGCTCGTCTTTCTTGACACGGAACGACGGCAGATCCGTGGCCGGCAAGTTGCGCTCCTCAAATGTCGCCAAATCGAAGCCTTGGTGTGTGCGGAATGTGTCCTCTGTGACAAGCTTGACGGTGAGGTAAAGATGCTGCTCCTCGCGCTCCCTTCTTCTCGTCTCGAGCTGCTGCCGCTCCTCCTCGAGCCTCTGACGGAGGTGCGGGGGTGTGTCGTCCGGCGTGAAGGGCTTCAGGACAGTATCGACCTCGGGGTCGCGGACATATACTAGCATGTACGCATTGGTGAAACGCTTCATCGCCCGGACGGGCGCGCGCGCACCCACCTGGCCACCGAGGTGTCCGTTGGGGATCTCTCCGCCATAGTTGTCCTCCAGCACCTCCTTGTCCGTCACTGGGGTGACGCGATCATCGTCGAACTTAAACCACCTCCCATCCTTCTCGGGCTTGATCAGCGCAAAGTAGTGACCGCCGTGCAGATCACCCGAGTGGACGAGGACGCCGTGCAGCCGATAGCGCCAAGACTGGTCGCGCTCAGGTGAGCTGGGATCGAGGTATTCTTTGAGGTCAATCTCGAAGGGGAACTCGTGTCGGTCGTTGATCTTCACCATGGCATCCTTTTCGATGTCATACTCGAACCGCTTCAGTTGCAGATGAAGCACAGGCGGGAACTTCTCAAAAATGACACCCTTCTTGGCATCCTGCAGGCCATACCCCTCTGCTTGGTATTTGTTGTCGCCTTCCAGCATCTCGACCTGGATGTAATCCCGGAACGACTCTTGCAGGTTTGCCATGCCCTTGACGTTGAGCTGGATGTCGTAAAAGTCCTCGGAGCGACTAGATTCGTAGTCGACATTGACGCAACGGAGATAGCTCTTCATCCTGCCGACGAAGAGCCGGCCGATCGCACCATCCGCTGCAGTGCCTTTCATCTTGGTCTCAAGCTTCTCCTGCAACACGCGATTGAACTCCTGCACGTCATGCTGAAGGAAGCTGTCGAGCGACTTCCAGCCAAAACTCTTCGTCAGCTCGTTGGTGCCCACCGGTTGATCTGATGTTTGCAGCAAGTAAAAGACGCGCTGCAGCGCGAGCGCGACGCTTTCCGAGGGCGTGTCACCCTCCGTAGGGATCTGATAGACGGCTTTGCGGAAGAGATTGGTGCAGAAAAGAGATTGTAAAAGTGAGTTCATGTAGCAGGTGGCGCCTTGGTTCTTAAGGCCGACGTAGCCGGTTTCTCTTTTCGAGTCATAGCTGCCGCAGGTCGCAGAAGAACAAGACCTATCAGTATCCGTACCCTGCACATTCCGCACACGACACTGCTCACTTGATAAAGTTGTGCCATAACACGCCAGTTGGGTCTTTGAGTACGCGTACGAAAGCACTGATTCTGGCCGATTGGTTTTCGATGATGGGTCGTGTCCGCCCCTCGCCGACGGATGTCAACTTGCGAAGCTCATTGAAGCGAGTGAACCCCCAATCCATCTCCTCCAGTGTGAACCGATGGTGCGCCTCTGCGAATGTTCGAAATGCGTCAGCATTCTGCTCTGCATGTTCAACACGCAAGGAGACGACTCACGACTGCTAGAAAAGATTGTCGGATCGTTCGGGTTGGAGATGACGAGAGCAAATTGAGCGCAGACGTGCCATCCTTCCGGGCTTCCTTTTGGATCGGCATAATCGAGATAAACCGAGACCATATCGTTTGGTTGCCCATTCGAGTTACCGAAGGGAAAGAGAAGGATCCGCCATTTGTGCCCGCCGCATTCGAACTCTGGACCGGTCATGCGCTTGTCCAGCGCTGCCCATCCCGACACGTCCCAATGACACACTGCGAATGCCTCCTCCTCCTGTCCTAGATCTGCAAGATGCTTGGAGGCGAATGCGCGGTCTGCGGGTACAGGTCGCGGTGAGTGGCAGGTCAGTGTCGAGCGTCAAAAGGCTGCAAAAGGAATCGGCGGCGGAAGATGGGCGACCACTCACGATTTGTGACGGGAATGATCTCGTCAACGGCGTCCATCTTCTCGTCCGTAAGCATCGGCTGTGCAGCCGGCACCTGCTGGAACTCCATTGGCGGATCCTGGGAGCGACCGAGCGACATCATCAGTGAAACTTCTGGATATCATACGAGATTGCTTCGTTGCACGAAGCGGGTGTGCGACCCACCATCTTGGCGACAGCTGCGCTTGCGTGTTGTAATAGCCTCAGCACAAAATCTCAAAGCCTACCAGCAGCAACGAGGTGATCTGTCCTGCGAGCGTCTGCCCTTGAAGTGGAACCGAATCGAATCGCTCACGAGGAGAGATGTGCGCGCCAAAGAGCTGCAGAGGATGTCTCCTTCCAGGGCCGGAAGGACGCGTGAGTCGCGTCGTATCTGCTGTGCAACGCTGTGCGTTTCCTTTTGAGCCGAACAGTGTGGGCTGTCCTTGTTGCAAGTCAGCCGTGGTCCGGGAGAGTGGATTGGTGAGCTGGATGTGCTTGGATGCGATGCCGGTGTGTACGATTGAAGAAAGCATCAATGTGAAGACATCTCGCGTGGATGGTGCGTGCGTGGTCTCATCGCTCCCTCTCAGCAGTAGAGAGCGCTGGGAAGCGGCGTGTCGTCCGCGCCGAAGGAGACGGGAGCGGGAGGGAAAGAAGGAGAAGAAGACAGCGGACCTGCCGCCTGCCTTGCCCGGTGCCCAGCCTACTGCTCATAGTCACAGTGCCTGCGTCCTCGTCGTCCAGCCAGAAGAGCGCAGCGTCGCACACCACCATGGAACGGTGCAGACTCAAAAGCTGCTGCTCCAGTCAAAGTGCTCCTTTTCTTGCAAAGGAAGCAACCCTACTTCAGATATGGATACCCACTCCTGGTGCTTTCCCTGGCCGATATATGTACGCATGATTCCAACACAACCCCCCCTTCAGCGGTAACCTGCACAGGCGGACGCCTCTAGGAAAGCCATCCTTCGACCACATCTTCTGGCCCGCAGCGGATGGACGCATGATCCACATCTGCATGCAGCAAAGCGGCACCGTCTTGCTTTCAGCTTGAAGTTGGAGCGCTAAGCCGTCAGAGCCATGTCTTCGAATATTCTGACGATCAACATTGAATTCGGGTGAGAGCCACTGATCTTCTTGTGTCGATCGTCTGGGCTGAAACGGTGCTGGGGTGCTTCGATTGCGATGCTCGTTCTCAGAGGAGGCACAGAGCTGCTCACTGCACCTCCTCACACCAAGCGGCACGTCCTGCAAATCCCTGCTCATCCTCCATGCGGGAGCGCAGTGAAGGCTACTGGCCCAAGTCTACTGTCCCCGGTCATCACCGCTCCTGGCGGTCCTGCTGTCCAAGGATCTGATGCGCCGCTACAGCAGAAGCAGCACGAAGAAGATGCTGCCTCGCCGGCAGATATGGCGTTTTTGATCCAATACATTAAACAGAACCTCATCGTCGAGCGGCCAGAGCTGTTCGTAGATGTAGACGGCAACGGCGTTCGGCCTGGCATCCTGGTGCTGATTAACGATGTAGACTGGGAGCTGGACGGCGAGACGAGCTACGTGTTGCAAGATGGCGACGAAGTTTCCTTCATCAGTACCCTCCACGGTGGCTGAAGGTCACGTTAGCTGACAAGCAGCCGACCGCGAAGGATGTCCCAGCACCACAACGACACCTAACTTCGCACCCTCGCGACTCCAGGCCACGCCTACACGTAAGTAGTGGGCGTGGCCGCGCAGCCGGTGTGGCCATTGCTCGTCCGCGAATTCGCCGCGCGTGGAATCCGCTGCGAGGCCGTGGACATTTTGCGCCCATTTACAGAGCTCACCGCATCGGTGAAGGCGTCGTGGCCTGCTTGAACAGCCATGACACGCGTCACCCTTGGCCATCACATTCATGTGCTACACGTTTCCAGCAGCTATGGTATCGAGCCTGGCAGCACCCGCTATGGCGTGAAGCCCTTCCACTGGAAAAGCCCGACGTATCGGACTGTAGCGCTTTAGCTCACGGAACCTCGCGATACAGAACCGCTCCTGCATCTGTCAATGTATCCACTTCCTCTGATCAGGAATCACGGATCTCATCTGGGCTCTCCTCGATTCCACGATAGCAAGTTTGTGTCAGCAAAATGTATATATAGAGCTACAAGATGACAATCGTATGGGATGTTTTTACACATGTGAAACACTGCTCGTTTGACTCGGAATCCATCTGATCTGTTTGATTGTCGTGCACACCCGTCGCCCCGCCTCGATCCGCTCACAACTGCAATCCAAATATGAATGTGAGAAGGCTGTAAAAAGCACAGCGAAAGTCATGGGCCTGAGCATACACTGGATATAAGTGAACTCTTTGCACCGCCACAGTCCACGCGCAGATGACAGATCATAGGGCGGAACTCCGGCCACATTCAGAGCTCTCTTTTTCTCGGAGCCGGCAAGGAGGAGGATCGGCAGGGCGGCAGTGTGCGGTGCGCGGTGACGTCGCTGGCACACGAGACACTTTTGAGTTGGCAAACATATACTTTCCCGCATAAACCAGCTTGCTGCAACATCTCCACCAGCCAATGCGTCCATTGCCCTTCCTCCTACATCCAGCTCGACTGATACGCTCACATTTGCAACTGCAGACGATCAGTTGAGCGAACAGGCTGCAAGTGGACAGGACATCGGCGCGACAGCATCCACCTCTTGGCTCTGCGCTTGCCCCATAACCCTTCAAGCATTCTAGAGCGCTTCGAGCGTCCAACCCTCCTGCAACCCCCCCTTTCCTTGCTCCGGCTTCCTCTTCTCTCGCAAGAGGGGAGGAAACGAAGAAAAAAGATTGGAATCGCAAAACGGCGCCACCATGTCGTTCCTCAAAAAAGCGCAGCAGCAGATCGCGCACAACACCGTTGCGCCGTCGCTCATGGGCAACTCAGACCTCAAGTCACTGCAGGCTGTCATCACCTCCGAAAAGGAGTTCATGAAGAACAACTCCAAGACTGGCGCTGACTTTGGCAAGAATGTCGAGGCCATCAAGAACTGGGGGAATGAGCAGGGCGAAGACCTAAGGGTTCGTTGGGAGGCTTTTCGCGATTCCTTCACTCGTACGGTGACTGACCCGGTAGGCTTTGGTCGACCACTCCTCTTTCCGATCGCAGGACGTTCTATCAAAAGTGTCAGTGCTGTGGGAAACCTATCCGTCGTCGGTGCAACGCTTCAACTCGCACCTCTCCACGATTCGCCTGCACTTCAAGGCGGTGCGCACGCGCGAAGAGATGCTGGCCGAGCTCAAGTCGCGCAAGCGCTCCCTAGCGTCCAAGATTGAGTCGGTCGAGAAGAAGCTGGCAAAGATGTCGCCGGAGAACAAGGAGCTGATGAAGACGACATCAACGCTCAAGGAGCTGCGTAACGAGATGAGAGGCCTTACGCATGAGGTCGTCGTCGAAGAAGCTGGCCTCGAGGACTTTAAGCGGCGCAGCTTCAAAGATGCTCTCGGCCTCAAGTGCAGCGCCGTGGTCGAGATCGCCGAGAAGATGATCGTCATGGCAGAGATGGCTGGCGCGATGCTCGAGGAGTTGGACCTCGAGCAGAGCGTGCCCGGGCAGCCGCGGAGAGTATATCAAGGCGAATCCCGCACCGAGGGGATTCTGCAGGATGGCATCCGCTGCCTTGCGGACGTCGCCTTCCGGCCGATCAACTGCCCCACTACCGGTGGTCCCGGGGACGCAGCAGCAGCAGCAGCGATAGGCCGACCAAGCCACCTGCAGCACCGGTTCAGCGCCAGCGAAGTCACGACGGGCCCGTACCCGTCCCTCACGTGTCCGCCGACCGGAGCTGCAGTCAGCGCTACTGGAGATGCTGCGCACGATGCGTACGACTATGGCGGGACACTAGGAAGCAAGAACAACAATATCAACAATATCAACGGGTACGCGGACACCCAGTCCAATTGGGATCCACAGATGAATGCATTTTTCGGCGTCGACCGCCCGGTGGACGAGTACAAACAGCAGCAGCAACAGGAAGCGAGCGCCAGTACGGTCCACGCGTCGCCAGCGACTTGGAATGCATCGTCAGGCGCAGGTCCAGGCCCGACAGCGCCTGCACAGCACTCGACTGCGGCGGCAGATGCAAACGCTGCCGATTGGGGGCGACAGGCCCTCGGTGCTATCAGCGGTGCGGGCCAGGATGCCCAAGAAGAGCGATCGGTATCTGCGCGGGTTGCCGATCCGGCAACAGGCGTGGGCGCAGGTGCAGATGCAGGCTCGACTGACGCGCACCTGACGCCTGAAACTGGAGCATCTGCCGTGCTGGCGTCCTCCTCATCCGCACAGCAGCAACCGGGCCACCAAGCGCCGAGCACAGCTGTAAACGACAGCCGCGACTCAATGGAGGAGCTCAACAAGGACTACGGAAGGATCACAACAGGCGGTGTTCCGATCATTGCAAACGACACGTCGTCTAGATCGACTCCTGCGCCATCGTACGACACGTCGACTGATCCTGGTACTGCGCCCAAGCCCTTGTCGCAAGGGAACTCTGACTCCGCTCTGGCCGGCGGCGCAAGTGTTGCTGCGACCACCGCAACCACCGCAGCTGGTACCGCTGCGGCGTACGAGAGCGGTGTGCACTCATTTGCGCCGCAGCCTCAAGGCGCAGCACGCTCAGCATCTGCGCCACGGCCAGCCCAAAGCGACGAGGAATCGCTGCACGAGTACTTCAAATCCGTCGGCTCGACACGTGCGGCGCAGCAAGCTGTCCGTCGTCCCGGCTCTGCGCAAGGCGGTGCGACGTCTTCTGCGATGCTAGCGCGCTACGGCGCCTACATGGGTAGCTCTCCGCTCGCTGGTGCTGGTGCTGGCACTGGTGCGGCGGATGCTTCCTACAACTCCAACCCATCCGCCGTTTCAACCGCAGCAGCGGGCGCTGCCGCGCCAGGGACAAATCACAGCAGCAACGGCGGCCCTACGCTGCCGCCGCCCGCGCCTTCCTCCGGCACAGCAACTTTCCCGGCTGAGGACACGAACAATGTCAAGAAGGTCACCGCAAGCGCGTTCAGGAAGGGCTTCTCGCGCACCACGAGCAGTCAGGGTAACTTGAACTACACTCCCGGCACTGGTGGTGGCGCTGGAAGTCGGCCGGGCAGCGCGGCTGGGTTCCCATCAGCCGATGTCGTGCCTAACAACGCAAGCGCGACAGCAGTGTCCAACGTCGGCGTCGGTACGATCGCCGTGCCACTCGGCAGTCAACAGCAGGTGGAAGGTGCAGGTACAGGCACGCTCTCCGCGCCGAACGCAGACACCTCCGGCATGTCGACGAGCCAGAGCAGCGTCGCGCCACTGCACATCAACAAGCGCGCCTCGCAGGATATGTCGCGAACCGAGACGATCCTGTCACAAGCGAGCGGCAACACGGACGCTGCGCCACCTTACACTTCTGGCTTCACCGAAGCTGCGCAGCAAGGGCAGGGCCAAGCACAAGGTAGTAGAGCCGATCATCCGCACGCTCACAGTGTCTATGGCGGCATGGCGCCGCCGCCAGCTAGCCCAGGAGGCTATGCCGACCCGAATGCCCCAGGACCTGGACAGTACGGCGCACCTTCGCAGCAATCGTACCAGCGCCCTTCTTCGCCAGCCGTAGCCCAAGGTGCAGTGGGCGGATACCCTTTCGCTGCCAGCGCCGGAGCTGTTCCGGGAGGCGGATACCCGGCTGTCGCACCAGGCCAGCCGGCGCAGCCTTACGGATACGGCTACCCCGGCGCGCCGGTTCAGCCTGCCCAAGGCGGTGGATACGGTGGTTATGCGGATCCATACGCCACGTATGGCCAGCAAGGAGCACAGCAAGGCCGCTATTCGAGTCCTTATGCTCAGCGGTAATGCAAACGCATGACTGGTTTATTCAGGAGAATGCAGCTAATGACGCACCCTCGAGGATATTCTTATCTTATGATGCAAGGCAGTGAGATCTTTTCCGTCAGTGTTCCGCTATTGGACTTAGCGGTAGCCTTCGACGGCAATGTTACGTAGTGTATTTCGCCTGAATTAAACCCATGAAAGTATGTAAGCGGTAAACGTTTGGCACGGATTCAAGCAAGACTCACCATCTCCACGCCTGCTAGCTTGTACCCGCATTTCTCGTAGAATCCTAACACCCCCAAAGCAAAAAGTAGGACGGTGACAGGGCGACAGCGAACCTGTCATCAGTAGGTGAATACTGAATCCAAAAGGCTAAAGTTCCAACCCACCCTTGTTATCCCCACTGCAATCCAGTATTGTCTTGTAGGCTCCAGCTTTCTCTGATACGGCCGTGAGCGCAGCGATGATCGTCTTCCCCAGGCTCTTCCCCTGCATGTTTGCATCGACGGCAATGTCTTCAATGTGCCCGACTTTCCCTAGCCCTCGGATGAACTTGTACTCCATCAGGACGGTTCCGACCGCGACGAGCTTGTCGGTTTCTTGGCTGATGATGGCAATGGTGTAGTACTGCGCAGGAGATGTGGCCGACCCAGAGGCAGAGGCGGATGATTGTTGTAGCTTGAATCGCTGCACCCACTCGTCTTCCCCTGGATCGGGTACTTTTGTTAGGACGGTGAGAAGCTGGAGATGCCCACGCTGGTAGTCTGTGGAGGCCAGGGGTCGGATCTGAAGGGGTTATATTGCGCGCCGAACATGGTTTTTGTGGGCGTGTATGGTCAGCTTGTGGTACGCCCGCAATGGAAATCGAGGACACGCGCCGGAGGCGGATACTGGTACATCAGCCAGCATGCCTTTGAGAGTGTCAGTGCACTTGACGCACCCGAAGACCCTTCACTGTTCTCAGCTGGGTGAGGCACCGGGGTCTCCTCACGCCGTCATGCAAGGAAAGGCACACAATAGACGCACATGTAAGCCATCAGCCAACCCATCCTTGATCTCTTGCGGGATTAGCGAAGGGTCGAACGCCAGGTCGAGTTGGCTGTCCTCTGTGAACGGCATCTTGAGCATAAACGCGGGTTTGTCAGCGAGCAGATTCGCGTTGAGCGTACGTCGGCTTGCGGTCGTTCAGGGTGCCCTGGATGCTGACGAGTCGCATCGACAGCATCTCGAGAGCTTCGAGAGGATGGGGTTGTTGTCCTGCCTGCGTGTGCAACCGTGCATTGCGAGATGTGGAGCGGGACGTAGACATGGTATTCAGGAAGACTGCACAAGACCGAGAAACAACCCTATTCCTTGGAGTAGTGACTCAGCTGGTCACCAACTCTTGAATGCGGGCGAGATCAGCTTCCTTTACATGGCAGCGACGTTCTATTTCTACTTGCACACACGTACACCATGCTTTCCAGCGCATATCCACCTCTAGCTGCAAGCCGACAGAGCCACTTTCAAAGAGGAAAACCAAGACATCGGCTCAACTAAAAAGAGAATAAGAAAGATAGTCAAGATGTATAACGGGGTGGGACTCACAACGGCTCGTGGAAGGTAAGCGTCAATGGCTATCCGCAGTCAATTCTCAACCACGCCTCTGACTGTCTATGTTGTCATTTGACAATTCCCGTCCGCAGCGGTACCAATGGCTACATCCAGCGCAGTCTCGCTTTTAGGTCCTTCCGTGATGACAGCTACGGACGTTCTTCGGAAGACTCCAAGCGAAAGGAAGCGTCCTCCTCGCTTGACCGCAAGCCGGACGCTGGCATCCTCGAGCATGAGCGCAAGCGCAAAGTCGAGGTGCGATGCATGGAGCTGCGCATGGAGCTGGAAGACAAAGACTTACCAGAGGCTGAGATAGAGGAGAAGGTCGTTATGCTGCGGAAAACATTGAATGAGGCGCTCGAGAATCCTCGCTCTGCGATGGGCGGCTCATTCGAACAAAGTAGGTCTGAAGTAAAAGCTCTCCGGCCTTCAGATGTACATGCACTTGCTGCGGCAAAGGCCAAGGAGACGGAGAAGATGGCTCGTACACTTGGCATCAGGGCCGACTACAACGAAGGTGATGCCTTCAATCACGAACTGCAAGAAAGAAAGAAGCAGGAGCGGAGAGAGGCTTGGAAGATCAAGCAGGAAGAACGCGCAGAGAGGAGCAGGTTGCAGAGTGAACGCGAGGACGATCGCCGCAGGATCGAGCAAGAGAGGAGGGAGTTCGACCAGGAGCTCAGACACCGAAGGCGCGACGATGAGCAACGACAGCCCCGAGCTGGCAGATCCCCACACCGCGAAGTGGGCGACCACCACAACGAGCGCGATCAAAATGTCAGACTCTCTTATCGTGACAGTCGCGACTATTATGATAGACGAGGCGACAGGCGTGGCCGCGGTCGCTTGCCATCACCTGGTTACAGTCGCTCTCGCTCGCCTATTTCACCGCCACCAAGAGCGCCACCTAGGAGCTACGACGATGATGGCGACCTTCCTTCGCGTCCCGCCGCAAGTAAGTCTCGTCTTCGATCTCTGTCCCACTCATCCGCACGCTCCCACTCGCCGCCACGAGGAGTCAGGGCAGGCGCGCCGCCTCTCAGGCGTCCAGCTCGCGAGGCCTCGATGAAGGAAGGTTCTGTTTCACCTCCCAGGCGTGATGCAAGAGATCGGAGCTACAGCCGGAGTCGCAGTCCCATCCGAAGCCGTGGTCGAAGCCGGAGTTACAGTGGCAGTGATAGCGACAGTAGCCGTGGCCGAAGACCTAGTCCTAGCCGTAGTCGCTCACCACCTCCTAGGAGGCGTGACTGATGCGACAGTCCACTCGCGATCTCGCGGATCCATTTGGAAAGGTGACCTTGTATGATAGAGAGTGCAAGATGGAAGACCTCGATGCATGATCAGCATGTACTGTATAAGCATCAGCAGCGATCTGCGACTGCACAGAAGGCCTGGCGTGTCCCTTTCCAGCATTCATCATCCTCCTGCCCTCCTGACTCCTCACTCGGATCCGGTCACCCCCGCTGGTCGAACGCATAGCCTTGTCTGGGTTCATCCTGAATACAGCGAGTGAAATGTCTATGATACGTCTTAGATCGCGCTGAGGTCTGTGAGGTCAAAGAGAGGGCTATCAATATAACGCCAAGGTAGTGGCCTAGTGAGGCAAAGCGCCAGCCAAACTCACTGCCGAACTTCTCCGTGTATCCTGGCGTTTCCCACTTGCCCTTCTTGACCATCTCCTCGACTGTCTTTCCAATCTCTGGCCTAGCAGCGATGACCTCGTCGGTGGTGAGCTGGTCAAATGGCCGGGCGTCCTCGATGTTCTTGAGCGTTGCCCTGAGGTCCTTGAGTTCAGACTCGATCTTTGCCGCTGTTTCTTGTGCTTGCTCAACCTGCAGTCAAAGAATTCATGCCAAAGTAAGCATCCAAATCTGGCGGAGGAAAAGCGTCATCGCGGAAGGATCGATGTTGAGTCATGCCCTTGTGGGTGCGTTGTTCCTGACAACATCAGAGCACTCCATCCATCTGCCGGCCCTTCAACTCACAGCCTTGGCCTCGAAGGCGTCAATTGCCTTCAAGTGGGCAGCGACATCGTATGTGACGGGCTTGAAGTCTTTCAGGATCTTCTCAGCCTGGTTTACGACGTCTTGGTTCTGGAAGAATCAGGGGAAATGGGAGGAAAGTGGGTGTGATCATGGTGAATTGAGAGATCCTTCCAAGACGTTCTCCCGGCGCTGGTCTTAGACGACAGCTGTTTCGATATGGCAGCCAGCTCACCTTCAAGAGAGCCTTGTAGTGAGCAAAGTCGATGTCAGTCCTCTCAGCCTTGAGTTGGTTGAGCTGACGGCGGGCATCGTCAGCCCTCTTCCGGAAGGCCTGGAGGCCAGACACGGTTTGCCTGCCAAGCTGCAAGGAAGAGTAGACCTTGGCAAAGTCAACAGCAACGGTACGTGTGGCCATCATTTTGACGCTAGCTTTCCGTATTGTCGACAACAGGATAGGGCCGGGTAGCTTTTCGTGAGACTCCTAGCAGCATTTCAAGCTACCAAGGTTGAGAAGCGCATGTTCAAAGTCTCTGTTTCGGCTGCAGGAAGATGGGTGAGCACTTGCCAGCCAGCTCAACGCTCGCCGAGGCGCTCCGGGCGCAGAATGAAACTACAATATTTACGGGCTCCAGCCTGCCCCGATTCGCGAATTTGGACAATGCTTCACGTAAATCCCGCCTTTCGACTGCCACACCTTGCCTGACGGCACTAGCCTGGCGCCGCATGGCCACTTCCCATTCCATATTAGCGTATCGATTTGACCTTTTGACGCAAAAGATCACACGGGAGTGTGACCTGAGCCGCTATAAGCGAGCTGTTGGTCTGATCCAGGTTACAGCGTGACAAGATGGGAAAGATCGAAGAGGTTATCCCAGACGAAGAGATCGAGCGTCTCGCGCAGCAAAGTGGAATTTACGAGCGGTTGCCTGCCGACTTTGTCCCGTTCAAGCCGGGGGTCGAGCAGCGACAGACTGCGCAAGCGCACGCCTGGGCCAACTATTCTGACTCTGAAGAGGACGAACCTGACGACGATTCGGATTCCGGAGATGACGGCGAGGATGACTATGGCGCAGATGAATACTCGGTTCAGGGTACGAGCGCGCAGCAAGTCATGGAGGATGCGAATCGAGATGGCATGAACCCACAAGTGGAGGAGGCATTTGATGTCATTATTTGGACCATGCCATTTGGGTTCCTGTTCTTGCTGCTAGATATCATGATACAGCAGCAGTACGCACAGCATCCGAGTTTCCTGGGTGAAATGACGAAGATGCTCGCAAATGTGCCGAGTGAGTGCCTTGGCGCACACATGTACATCCTATGGTGTGAGGGCCATTATTGACACGATCGTCCCCTCCATCTGCCTGCCAGTACTCGGAACTTTCGTATATATTAGTGCGTTGGTGAGACCTTCTTCCGCACTGCGCCTGTCTAATACCTAAGTGGGCGCACTCCTGCAGCAATGCCCAAGAAGGGGAAGGATCAGCCTTTGCTTCAAGCAGGTTTGTTCCTGGTCGGAATCCTCAGCGGCTGCTCCTTTTTGTGGGTCATGGCCAAGGTGATTGTTTTGCTCTTGCTCGTAGATTCGTCATATTATGGAACCCCGTTCTCATCTCAGTTCTTCTGCAGTCGGACTGGGAAGTTGTCATGCGCCGGACGCCGCCGTTGGGCACCGTGTGGGTCTACTCTATCGTCCGACTTCATCTCTTCCCCGCCTGTGTCAGCTTGGCTATAGTCGCAGCCTTCGTGAGGTTCGCCGATTTGAATCTTAGGATCTTCAACATGTAGCATACACGTAAAGCATTCGGTCTTCACATCTGGCACCATACAAGAGAATGCTACTGTTCCAAACTAATCCCAAGTCACCACGAAAGGTGTATAGTGGCGAGGATTCTGGTATCTTTTTGGCTTAAGAAAAGTCAGAGCAGTAAATGGCTGAACGATGCTCTACACTTGCCACGCGAAGACGCGCCCCTTGCCACATTTAGCACGGCGCATGAGTTATCCAACTCTTTTACCACACCCAGTGGTAGGTCTTCGGGAGAAGTTTGCTGTTGCATCCTGGATGGGCGTTCTGAAATGTAGCTGAATTGGGACCTTGAGCACTATTGCCACAGTCATTGCTCCGCTCTCCACGGGCACCAGCTGATTCAGCGCTTGATGCGCGTTGTGGGTGCTCCCAGCTTCGACGGTGTACACCATGGGCGTGACTGGGCTTTGGAACCATCTCGATCACGCCTGCACCATCTCCAGCTTAGAGGACGAAGCATGGCGCTACTACCGAGCCTCACCGTACAAGGCTTTGCGGCTCGGCATCGATTCCTCATTATGGATGTTCCACGGTAAAGGCCTTCCGGGCGAGGTCGGCCCAAACGCCAGTCTTCGCATGATATTTTACCGGCTCGTTAATCTCTTCAGCTTGCCCATTTTGCCCGTCTTTGTCTTTGATGGCCCCCGAAAGCCGAGCTTCAAAAGAGGAAAGGAAACGAGTAGAGCCTTACATTGGAAGGCACAGAAAGAAACAGACGAATTCAAGCTGCTCATTAGGGCTTTTGGGTTTCTAGAGAGGACTGCGCCGGGGGAAGCAGAAGCGGAGCTGGCTTGGATGAACGAGCACAATATCATCGACGTCGTATTGACAGATGATGTGGATGTTCTACTGTTCGGCGCCAAGCGCGTGTTTAGGAAGTGAGCAAGGCGCCATTAGGTGATAGATTTCATTCGATTTACTCTTGCTAACCAGCTCATCGCTCCTCTGGTAACAGCGCTGGCGCAGGTCTACCAGGCACGCTTGCTACCAAGAAACGGCACATGGCCCGCACTCTTTCCAATGAGAGCAACGGCCTCGCAGGCCCGTCCCGTAGGCAAGCGTCGGGAAAATACCTCAAGTCTCAGGACATGCCCATGTACACGGTTAAAAAAGCGATTGCCGTGGACAAGAACAAGCCATGCGAATCATGCCAAGGTTGGCTGATGAGCGCATATGCATCTGATACTGAAGAGGGCGATGCCTCCGGTGACGAATCAAGGGATGCAGAAGACGAAGAGCTAAATCTACCTCTGGATCGGGAGGGCTTGATTCTCATCGCCTGCCTCTCGGGTGGAGACTACAATTTGTCAGGCGTGATCAGCTGCGGACCCACAATAAGCAAAGTGCTCGCTTCACTTGGGTTTGGCACCCGCCTGGTCAATGTACTCAAAGCATCTGTCGCATCGGACGCACCACCAGTACCGTCATACGAAGGTCCAAGATGGATGCCGCGTCTTGAACTTAACGAGGCTCTATGGCGGCGCCAGCGGGACGCCGTATTAGCGGAAATTTGCCAGGAACTGGAGACCAACGAGAGTGGCTTGCTACATAAGAGGCAAAAGGCTGTGGCACAGAAGGTCAGGGACAATTTCCTGACCACACCAGATAGTGTGTCCGTTCTCGCAAGCTACATCTGGCCCAACACCACTTTACACTGTCTCAAGCTGGGATGCACCAGCGCGCAATTTGAGCTGGATTGGACAAAGAGCGGTGACGCTAGTCACTTGACCGAAAATACATTCGACGTCGACCGGATCGATCGGAGTAGCGCTTTGGAATGGTCTTCAACGCAAGACACCATGTGCCTTGATTTGGTGAGACTGCTAGTGCTGTTCAGGAAAAAATTTGCATGGACAGATGAACAAATCCGGCGAAAAACTCAAATGATGCTGGCTGAGGGCATCTTGGTACGAAGCATGCGAGCGGAGGCACTATTGGAAGATGCAAATGGCAATCGCGCACTCGTGTATGATTTGCGCGAAAAAGTGACTCTTGCACGTGTTGCCAGATCTTACAATGCCGAGCACCGAGCCGAGTCTCGAGCTGGCTGCTCATCGGCATCGACATCATGTCCTGCTTCGAGGCCGTCTGCCATCTTAGCACGGTCCTCGAGCTCCACTCACAAGACCACCAAAAATACTCTCATTCAGCTTAAAGAAATTGTGCGGACACGACCTATGAATGGACGCCTTGAGTATCGCGTCAGCCTTGACGACAGCTCCCTGGATCAGCTTGTGCAGTCCATCTTGGACAAGCTGCAGATGGAGCCACCGCCTCCTCCATCACCAAGCACAGCTGGCGCGGCATCCTTGCTTCAGGATTTCGATGTAGTCGAGGACGAGTCTCAGGGGCCTTCTTCGAAGCCGAAGTGCAAACCGCAAATGAAAGAAGGTCCTAGGTTGGAGTGGATCACTCAAGAATTACTAGCCGATACGCGACGAGGAAAAGAGCTAATATCCGAATGGGAGTCCAAGCAGAAGGGAAAGGCACAAAAAGTCCAAGCCAAGAAGAAGGGTTCCAAAGGCACGACGAGTCGCAGCTTCTCTAGGAGTTCCTCAGTCAGCAGCACTGTGATGTCCAAGCAGTCGCTTCTTGCTGATGCCCTTAGTCCTTTCCATTCTCTCACCAAATCTACAAGCTCGAAGTCTTCCCCTCAGGCGACGCCGAGGAAGAAGAAAGAGATGCATTTCGGGTTTCTCTCCGATGACAGCTTGGAAGACGATACACGAGGCGACCTGGTGGAAACCAGAAACCCTTCCAAGGATCGCCTGCAACGGCCAGCATGGATGAGCCGCGCGAATCATGGGGCTCCAAGGACAGAGCCCACCGCTTTGCCGTCATCACCAGCTACAGGCCGCGATTATGTCTTCTCAAAATTCTTTGAGGCCGCCTCGGACGATGACAAGACTTTTGACGCTAAATCGCAGAGTGTTTCTCAAGTTGAACGCATCAAAGGCAAAAGCAAGGAGTTTACTCGCACGTTGTCGGTATCCTCCGCTGGCTCGCAGAAGCGCGAACATGCGGCTTCATCAACAAGCGCCGAGGTTCAAACACCGAGAAAGCCTGTGCCACTACTCAAGAAAGGAAGGAACGCGTCGCCTGAGGACGCTATCGTTCTTTTTGACGATTCGCCGCCCGTCCACGAGCCGGTCAAAGCGACACGCATCGCCGCGTCACAGCCCGCACGAGCACGACATCGCGAAGGAAGCGCATTCCTTCAGCAACTGGATAGCTTGGTCGAAGGTGGTACTCTGCTACCCTCGAAAGAACGTGCTAGGCATCCAATTCCTCAGCACGCTTCGGCCGCATCGCGACCAGAGATCCTTGACCTGACTCAGGACGATTGATATACGAGTAAATAAAGTCATGGCTGTCTGCCACACCGTCTGCGTACATTCCACTGGCTCTAATCCAATGCTGTTCGATCAGGTCTATTGCACCTTCACAAGGCCGGCCTCGACGGCCATGGAGAAGAAGATCGATGTCTTCTTTAGCAGAAGATTTTCTGGTGTGTCGAACTCAGCCACCTCTCCGTCCTTCAGCACGAGAATGCGGCTTGAGTCCATACTGCGTAAAGGGAACAAGGCGGTCAGAGAGTTTGAAGCCGGGCGCGAAACTGCGAGGCAGCACTCACATGGTGTTGAGGCGGTGCGCCACAGTGATGGTGGTGCCTTTGAATTCAGACCTAACGATCTTTTGTAGCTTGTCGTCGGTTTCCAGGTCGATGTTTGCCGTCGCTTCGTCCAAGATGAGGACTTCGGATTGACGCAGGAACGCTCGCGCAATACAGATGAGCTGCCTTTGTCCGGATGAGAAGTTCGTGCCTCCCTCGCACAGCTTCGCGTCGAGCCTACCCTCTAGGGAGTTGACATGCTCGCGAAGATGTGCAGAGTCGAGGGCCCTCCACAATGCAGCATCATCAGTTTCGCCAGTGGGATCAAGATTGTCTCGAAGTGTTCCTTCCCAAATGTTGGCGTCTTGAGGAATGATGGAAATAGATCGACGCAAGTCTTTTAGGCCGATCTTTGTTGCATCAACACCATCGATGATGATCCGTCCATTCGTAGGCTCGATGATGCGGAAAAGCGCAAGGGCGAGCGAGCTCTTGCCCGCACCAGTCCTGCCGCAAACGCCAATGCGCTCACCTGCGCGGATGGCGACGTTGATACCCTTGAGGACCAAGGGAAGCTCGGGCCTGTACCGGGTCGAGTATTGCTCCAATGCAACGTCGCCTTTACTTGGCCAACCTGCCGGTGGTTTGTTGTCAGGAATTTCCAAAGGGGCCTCGGGTGTGAGCTCCGAATAAGACAAAATACGCTCCACGCTGACGATGTTCTGCTCAACCTCAGAAACGCTGCGGACCACCCAATTCAGCGCTTGCGTCGTGTTGAGCGTCTGAGACATCATCAGACCCAAGAGACCGGCCTCCATGTTGCCGTTACGTGTCTTAATGACAACAGCGAGCATACTGGCGATTAGGATGATGACAGAGCCGACGAACTCGATCCTGACGGCTAACCAACGATTACAGCTGACGCTTGGGAAGTAGCACTGCTGATTGCGATCGACTCTTGCCAATGAGGTGGCAATGAAGCGCGCCTCTTGGCCAAAGGCGCGGACGGAACTCAGGCCGCCCAAGGTTTCGCTGAAGAACTGGAAGATCGGTGACTTGGAAATTGAGTCCAAACGCTTGAGCTCTCGAGATGTTGCAAGGTAATATTTGAGGATGTAGTGGTAGCCAATGCCGAGAGGAATGACCGCGACAAGGAACGGTGGGACGGAGTAAGACACGACAACAAGTACACCAGTAACGATCATGCCGGTTCGGATAGCGCTGTGCACAACACGTGGAAGCGTCTCGTCGATGACGTTGATATCCCTGCTGAATAGGTTGAGCAAGCGGCCGGTCGGAATGGTCTCAAACCACTGCAGCGGCGAGCTCATGACCGAGCTGTACATACCGTCGTGGAAGCGGCGGGCAGAAGAGATGACGAGCCACGACAAGAGGATGAACGGTGCGACGCACATCATCAACGAACCGGAGAGACCGACTGTAGCGTACATACCAAGAAAAAAGGTCGTAGCGCCCTTGTCGACCCCACCTGCTGCCAAGTTCTTTGCGGCGTACTGCTTCAGAACGACGTCACGGCCGACCTGGAATACCTGCGTGAGCACCTGCGCAGCTAAGTAGAGGGAGACGCCAATCAAGTTGCTGCTCTTGGCGTACTGCTTGTATACCTCCCATGACACGGAGCCAGTGGCGCGATTTTCCTGTGGAGTGGAGGTTTCGCGCAGCTGTTTGAGTGTCTCCGCCTTGATCTGCTTGCGAGACAGCATCTGCGGCCTCCTCATGGACGCCGAGCTCGCGCGACGCGACCTCATCTCTTCCTTTTGGGCTTGCATGAAACCTTCATCGACGTTCTGCTCTTGCTCCGCAACCTCTCCTTCGGACTTAAGCCCTGTGTCGTCGCTCTTGTCGTTGGATTGCTTGCCAAGACCGGTGATGAGGGTGTACAGCTCGCCCTTCCTTGCCATGACCTCAGCATAGGTACCGCGCTCGTCCAAAATGATACCGCGGCGAACTGAGATGATCTGATCACATTGCGGGAGTGCAGCGACTGAGTTGAGCGTCAAGATCCTCGCTTTGCTCTTGAGCATCCCATTGGGCCCAATGACATGCTCAAAGATGTGACTGGCAACGTGCGCATCAACTGCAGCAAGAGGGTCATCCAGGAGATAGATGTCTGCACGAGCATAGCAGGCGCGGGCGAGCGCAACACGAGCACGCTGACCGCCAGAAAGCGAGACTCCGCGTTCTCCGATCTCGGTCTGGTCTCCATTTGGCAAAATATTGAGGTCGGGGCCAAGTGCGCAGGCGTCAATAACGCGCTGGTAGAAGTCTGGTTCATACTTGAGGCCGAAGAGGATGTTGTCGCGCACCGTGGCGCCCATGGCCCAGCCGCCCTGACTAAAGTAAGCAGTGCGGCCCTTAACGACGACTTCTCCATCCGTGCGGTTCATTTCACCAAGGATGGCAGCGAGCAACGAGGATTTGCCGTCGCCGACTTTACCAAGGACGGCGAGCAATTCGCCTTTCTTGACGGTCAAATCGATGTCCTGCAACGTCGGCACCGGCTGGTCCTTGCTCCATTCGAACTCGCCGTTGCGGATAGTCACAACGTCGTCACCGATTTCGGGCACGCGGGCATTCTCAACCTCCTCAGGTGTGAGCGCCGCGCCATCCGCAGACGCAGTGGACTGTCCGGGGATGATGACTTTGCGCGCTTCAGGATCCAGCTCGCCGGCGTCGAGGAATTCGGCCAAGCGGCGGGCCGAGACTTGCGCGGCGATGACGGCCGTGATGATGCTGGCGAGCATGGCGATCGGGAATTGCAGCAATGAGAAGAGCGAAAGCGCTGGGAAGATGACGTCGGCGGTGAGCGGGACGTCGCTGGTGAAGGCGTACGTTGTGAATGTCGCAAGAGACACTAAGAAGGGGATGGCGGTCCAGAAAAAGTTGAAGAATGCCGAAACAGTGCCGACGACCCTGAGGAGGCGCAGCTCTTCAACGTTCCGGACCTGGTTCAGTTTCTTTGCAAAAGCGTCCTCCCATGCAAAGAGCTTGATCGTCTTGATGTTTTGCAAGATCTCGTTCATCATGCGCGTACGACGGTCTTTGACCACCATCTGCTTTTCGCTAAGCTTCTTCATGTAGCGCGCCAAGACAGTGTTCAGCGGAACGCTAACGACCATGATCGCAACGCCGACAAAGGCTTGCCAGCCCATGAGCGAGTACAAACTGATGAACGCGAGGGTCATCTGGAAAAGGGCGCTCCAGATGATGTGGCCGTACTAAGTAACAGATGCGCGGGGGACAGAGGGAGTGGCTGATTAGCGGTGCAGTATGACTAACACGTATCACACAAGGTATACTCACTGTGCAGAGGTCCTGCAACCTGGTGGCGTCGACGCTCATGAGATTGACAATGTCGCCAGTGGCACGCTTGCCCCGCTCATTGTTGGATAATCTAAGGCTCTTTTTGTAGATGGCGCTGACGAGTCCCGCGCGCACGCGCATGCCGGTCATGAAAGCGAGCTGGAAGTACTGGTGCAAGAAGCTGGTCTGGACAATTGCGACGAAGAAGAGCAGAGCCGAGAGGACATAGCCCTGCATCGGGACGAGGTTTTTGTGGCCTTCCGTGTCCCAGTTCTGCACGAACTGAAGCAGCTTGCGTAGTACCTGCGGCTGTGCAAAAGCCAGCGTATCCTGTGCGGCCTTGAGGACGGCAGCAAAGAAGAAAGGACCGCCATACGCTTTGGCTAGGGTGAGCCAAATGCGTGGTTTGCCGTCACGAGTGCGTGTTGTCTTCCAGTGTTTCGCAAAGCGCTTGCCGAGGGCTTCGGCGTCCTCGTCTGGAGGAAGACTCCACATGTCATCCTCGCCGAGGAACTTTTGGGAACCAAGCGACATCATCGGCTGCATCCAGTTGAACGTCAAACGCGAGAAAGCATTGGCCGTGTTAATCGGACATTCCTTCTCGACGTTCAACGCATCGTAGCCGCCATCTGTGCCGCCCTCGTCGGAGAAGACGGACGCGAAGCCAGAGTCTTCCGCCGCGCTGATCGGAGCCGACGCAGCTCTCGCGGCGCTACTGCCATTCGCATGGTGCTGAGGCAACTCGCTGTAGCCATTCGATTTTTTTCCATTGCGCAACACCTCCCTTCGCTGCTCGAAAAGCTGTTGCCTACGCTGCTTGAGGTATGCCTCCTTCTGCTCGGGTGCAAGGCTGCCGACCTCGACGCCGGCACACTCGAGGCCGAAGACGGACAGGAGCAGGACCAGCTTGAGCACGAGAATTATGAAGCCTGCGGTGTCCTCGCTGATCGGCGAGCTGTGACCTGAAAGCGTATTGTGCAGCTCCAAGAGATGCGCTATGAGCTGTTCGAGCCAGAAGAAGAGCAGGATGGTGGAGCTGCGCCGGGTTCGAGTGTGGTTCAGACGCTGCACAGCCAGGATGAGGAGGTAGCCGAGGAAGGTGATGAGGGGAGTGATGGATTGAATATCGAGGAGAACGCCACCAAATATACCGTACGATAGTGACAGCTTCACAGCCGCAAGGACCGCCAATGCACAGACGATCACTTCTTTTGATCTTAGCAGTGATCGAGAGAAGCGAGAGAGCGGTCTTTCTTCCTTCTTGGCGAGGAGTACCAGATTCGCAGCGCCTGATAAAATCGTGAAGACTGAAGATGTCAGATACAGCTAGAGGAAGCTTACATAGCAAGGAACCCGCCATTCTCACTCACCGAACAATGCGAGCAACAGGACCGGAGCGGCAATGAACACAGCTTGCAGGAAGCAAGGCGTGAAGTCAAGATCCCTGTGCTGACTCAAGGGCCCCCAGCCCTCGTAGTTGCGGCAAGTATTGCGGATCCATCGCGGAGGCGTGCTGCCTTTACCGACATGCAGAAGGATCGAAGCCCCAGCTGCGGCGAGAGGGTCGGCGATGACGGTCTGTGCGAGCTGCCCGCTGCTGTTGCTTGCGTCGGGAGAGGGCGAGGAAAAGGCTTGGTCAAGCAGCACATTCTGTGCGGTGGTACCGAGACTTGGGTGTGCGTCTACCCCAAAAGCGTCCGAGGGCCAGAAGGCAGCGTAGATGGACGACTGCGCCCACTGCGCGACGGAGGAGCCCGCCATCCTGAAGGTCCGCACGCAATACCAGACTGCCTTGGTTTGCGATGTGTTGCAGGTGCAACCCTTTCTCTCCAACCGACGTCAGCTGAGCACTTGAGCTTCTCCAGCGGAGAGAAATGAGAACGAAGTGAGATAGGAATTCACTAGAGAGATGCCATAGGGTCAGGCAGCAATGAGGACCGCAAAAGCCTGTAAGACCGAGGCGACGATCAGCTTTACCACGACTACTATGGTCGAATCCTCCACACTAGCTAACCCTGCGTAGCGTCTCGTTGTTGTTGACCACTACCGAGACTCAAGCTCTTGGTAAATCCAAGTGCAAGCAATCGCAGCAGTTAAGGGAACGCCGTCTAGAAGCTATCACCGACCACGGTGCTGCGTGTTTTCTAACCCTGTTACTTGGACTTGTACATGTAACAGGGGCCCTGTCTGTCTGTCTCGGCCGACGCCTCGCGGCAACTTTTTTTTGTTTCCAATCATGATTGGTTACACAACACCCGCGGACCTAACCCCCCCCCCTCGCACCGCTGTATCGCCGATCCATCGTAGCATCGCCCTAGGTAGACTGCTCAGGCGCCTATCCAAATTGATCTCTCACCCTCCTTTGACTCTCTCTCGGCCCCAAGGGACGGCGTTGTGAGTGACAGTTGTGCGCAGACTCAGTTGTTTGTTCCTTCTGGTAAGATAGATTTCATCCACTGACGAGGGTTTCGTTCTCGGCAACAAGTGCCATCTACATCTGCCACGTACGATCTCCAATTTCGCTATTTCCCAGCATCTACCTGTATTGCACGGCGCTAATGGCACGTAACGCCCACTTGGCTGGAGATACGCATAAATGTATGACTCATACCTCATGATTATACTCGTGACAAGATCCAGTTTCGATCAAAGTTGGGATATCGACCTGTTCAACCGGCTACGTGGCGACTCCATGTCGTCATGTAAACATGAGGCAGCGATCCTTCTCGATAGGCTTGGCCCATATCGGTTCACATTAAATAGCAAGCAGCATTGCTTGCAGCCGAGCGGGCACTTTGACATGTCCTAAGGAATGTAGACGGTATAGTAGAACCATGTACTAGCAATCAAGTTCAACCGCCCGGCTAACCTCAGATGAAGTAGGGCTCTACATCAATTATTGAAAAAACTGCTACTACTACCTTTTGCGAGTGCTATGCGTACCACAGGTCACCGACGATCCTAGCGAGCGCAGGTGTGAAAGAGAAACTCGAAGCGAATCGATTCATCACTAAGTTAAGAGCCTTCGCGCAACTTGTCGCTGTCTTGGAAGTTGGCAAGCCCGACCATCTTGGATGACATAGGTGGCGACGTCTACATCTGCTGCAGTCACTCATTCTGTCGCTTATATTTGGTTTGAAGGATGATACCTTGGCGCCCGAAGTGAATGTTAACATGGTTCACGTCACCACGCGTGGTCGTCGTAGTTCATGTTTATTAAACGAGGAAACACAGCGTAAAACGGTCATTGCGCACCCAACTCCAGTCCTACATATGCACAGCACTCAACCCTTCGGAGCTTCACATGCATCTGCGCAGTTGGCATGCAAGATAGAGCTTCTTGAAGTGCATTTCGGCCATTGGGATGTCATTGTGGACCAAGTCTGAGTGTTATGCCTTGCGCGCGTCATTGCAACGTAGTCATGGCAAATGAGGAAAGCCGTTGTAGAGATGTCGCGCAACACGCGACGGCTGGCTGCTGGTTGACGGCCGCATGGTCCTGTGTAGTGCATAGTCTCGCACACACACAACTTTGTTGACGGTGCTGTCTTCACCATCTCGACGGACAAACATCCTCCTTCCATTCACCTTTTGTGCACCTTGGAAAACAATAAAGTCGCTTTCATTCTGGAGAGGAAAGCGTATCCCATGCTAAGCAGATCCAGTCACGACGCCTCGAGTTGAGTAGGCGGAAAGGAAGAGCATCTGTCGTCGGCATTGCGCGACGCGGCTACGTACACTCTGCAGTGCCTCTCTCTGAGGTCTGGCGGCGCATTCACGACCAAAGTCATCCAGCGCCCCGCCTTGGACACTGGAAGGATCATCGCTTCCGCTTGCGCCTGCGCCTGTGCCCCTGCTTGCCTCGTTGCCTGCGCCACGCTTCTCGCTATACCACAATCTCGGGCGGCAGCAGGGCAGTGCAAAGCGTCAAATTCAAATCCATCGATCATATATCTCTGTCTCGGGCTTGCTTTCTTTCAATTTCGAGATTTCAACAAAGAAAGAGCTTGAGCAGGAAGGTTGACCGGCAGTCGCTGCTCTGGTCGGTGTAGCCCGTGGGTGAGAGCGGGCAAATTCTCGGCATCCTCTCCTTACATGGCATTCGGGGCCACTACAGGGACCTATTCTCAGAGCTTCAGCCCCATCCTTTCCGTAGACCCACCTCACCTGGTCGTGATCAAGCTCTGGGTATATATCCAACATGGCCTACAACCACCGTCCTCCTAACCGGCAAGGATCAGCAACACCTGTTGGAGTTCCCAGAGGACAGTTGGAAGGGACAGCCCCCGTATTTGTGAGTCACAAGGCTGGCCGCACAAAGGGGCGGAAGGGTTAGCGTATGGGGGTCACATGGAACCGAAAAGGTTGTCCATTTCATGCATCTCTCACAACGATAGAGAACTGGGAGCCTCCCTGTAGCGTGGAGGCGCGGATCCCTGCTGGCCATTGCATTTATGTATAATGCGATCCCCTTGCTGACCGACGTTGCTTTCCGTTGCCCTTTCAACATTGCAATCGTAACCCGGACCACCGGCTTGCTACCACGGCATACCTTCCTCTCGGCGATACTTCATACCCCTCCGACCACCTTCGCTCTCCTCCGATGCTCGAACCTGATACCCGTGCTGCCTTGATGGATCGCGAAACGATACATGATCACCACGACGGTGCACAGCGCGGCCACGAGTACTACGAAAGCCGCTCAGGCAGCGCAGGCATGTACAACAACGGCTACGCCGCCTCCTCCAATGGTGGCCATGGGCCTTCTGGCGGCTCAATGGACCACTCTTCTGCGACGATGGTCGGCGGCCATAGCAATCCTGCTAACCATGGTCGGCAGCCGTCGGCGAGCGGCAACCCGTTCTACGCGCAGGGCGATGACCCGAGCTATGCGTCCAGCTTCACACACGGCCCACCCGCCGAATATGCGGCTGGCTACGATGATGAGGCTAAGATGCCGCTTACTGAAGAGAAGTTCGGCCCCAGCCCAGGGTATCCGCCTTCTGCGCCGTATGGGTGAGTGTAAGCTATAGCTTTGTAGAATAACAGAAGCTGACACCGACATGTACGCGCGCCTTCATAAGCATGCCGGATCCAAGCAACTTTGCTGTGCCAATGTTGCAGTATGGCCAGACGAGCACGGCATTTTCGGGTCTTTCGGGCGGCGAGCTCGGGCCGGACGACAGCGCGTCGCAAGTGGCGTGGGCGCGTCGTCAACAAGGTCCCAAACGCGGGCTGACGCGCAAAGTCAAGCTGACCAAGGGCAACTGGATCGTCGAGCATCGCGTCCCGACGGCCATTAAAAACTCCATTGAACCCAAATGGGCGCAGGGGAGTAGGTCGACCGAGTTCACCCACATGCGCTACACGGCCGCCACGTGCGATCCGGACGAGTTTACGCTGGAGAATGGCTGGTCGCTGCGCGCCAACTCTCAATACCACCGCGATACCGAGCTGCTCATCGCCATCACGTGCGTGGCGCTCGCGCTACCGAGCAAAGGTTGATGTATGCACACGTGCTGACCGCCATTCCTTATTTTTGCAGCTATTACAACGAAGATCGCATTTTGCTTGCGCGCACGCTCCATGGCGTCATGCTCAACATCCGTGACATCTGCAAGAGCAAGTCGTCCAAGTTCTGGCGACGCAGCGCAGAGGAAGGCCGACCGGGCTGGCAGCGTATTGTCGTGTGTCTGATATTTGACGGAATCGACCCTTGCGACAAGGAGGTGCTGGACCTGCTCGCGACCGTGGGTGTCTACCAAGATGGAATCATGAAGAGAAAAGTCGATGGCAAGGACACTGTGGCGCACATCTTCGAGTACACGACGCAGCTTTCCGTCGACGCCAAGCCGTCGCTGATCCAGCCGCATGGCGACGACCCGGCGAACCTGGTACCGGTGCAAATGCTGTTCTGCCTGAAGCAAAAGAACAGCAAGAAGATCAACTCGCATCGGTGGCTCTTCAACGCCATCGGTAGGCACTTGCAGCCCGAAATTTGCGTCCTGCTCGATGCCGGCACTAAGCCCGGCCCGCGCAGCCTGTACTACCTCTGGGAGGCGTTCTACAACGACGCGCATCTCGGCGGCGCCTGTGGAGAGATTCATGCAATGATACAGGGCGGCAAAAAGCTGATCAACCCGCTCGTCGCTGCGCAAAATTTTGAGTACAAGATGTCCAACATCCTCGACAAGCCGCTCGAGTCATCCTTTGGCTACGTCAGCGTGCTGCCTGGCGCGTTTAGCGCATACCGCTTCAAAGCGATCCAAGGCCGTCCGCTAGCGCAGTACTTTCACGGAGACCACACGCTCGCGGATCGGCTCGGCAAGAAGGGCCTGCATGGAATGGGCATCTTCACGAAGAACATGTTCTTGGCCGAGGACCGCATCCTGTGCTTTGAGCTGGTGGCTAAAGCGGGCGCCCGATGGACGCTGACATACGTCAAACCCGCCAAGGGAGAGACTGACGTGCCGGAAGGTGCTGCGGAGCTCATCTCGCAGCGTCGCAGGTGGCTTAATGGCTCGTTCGCCGCGTCGATCTACTCCCTGGTCCACTTCTTCCGCATCTACCGGAGCAACCACTCGATCCTGCGCCTGTTCTTCTTCCACATCCAGGCGCTCTACAATGCTTTCACGCTTCTCTTCTCCTGGTTTGCGCTTGCCAATTTGTGGCTGACGTTCTCGATCATCATCGACTTCGTGCCGAACGTCCTGCTGAAGAGCTCGAGTGGCACGGTGCAGGACATTCTGCACTGGGTCAACCTCGCGTGCAAGTGGGTCTACGTCTTCTTTCTCGTCCTGCAATTCGTCTTGGCGCTCGGCAACCGGCCCAAGGGCGAGAAGAACACGTACATCATCTCGTTCATCGTCTTTGGGCTGCTTGGCAGCTACCTGATCGCCATCTCGCTCTGGCTGACGATCAAGGCATTCCTGACGACCAACTTTAGCTCTGGCGCCGAGTTTTTCAAGACATTCATCGCGGGGCAGAACTCAACGCTGGTGTTGATCGCGGCGCTGACGGCGACGTTCGGCGTGTATCTTGTCGCGTCCCTGATGTACGCAGACCCGTGGCACATGGTGACGTCGTTCCCACAGTACATGCTGATTGCGCCGTCGTTCATCAACATCCTCAACGTGTACGCGTTCTGCAACCTGCACGACGTCTCGTGGGGGACCAAAGGCTCGGACAAGGCGGACGCGCTGCCGACGGTGGACACCAAGAAGAGCAAGGGCCCCGACGGGACGATCGAAGAGATCGAGCAGGAGCAGGAGGACATTGACAACAACTTCCGCAACGTCGTCTCGCGCGCTGTCGCGCCGTACCACCCCGTTCAGGTGGCGGAGAAGCCGACGATCGACGACAGCAACAGGACGTTCCGCACCCGCCTCGTCGCATTCTGGCTGCTGACGAACGGCGGACTGACAATCGCGATCGAGAACGTTAACGGGCTCAACCGCGGCGTCTCGCAGGACCAGGTCGACGCGCAGCAGCACAACAAGCAGACGACATACTTCCAGTTCATCCTCTGGACCACGTTCTGCCTCTCCGTCTTCCGCTTCATTGGCTTCTTTTGGTTCTGTAAGTTGCGCGTCGTGCTTATCCACGGCGAGGTGACGATGAATGCATTGCTTACCTCCTTCCTCTTGCGTCCGTGTTGTCGGTCGCATAGGGATCAAGCGAAATACGACTCGTTGGTTCCGCAAGACGTAGACGGCCGCGGAGGCATCGCTGTTGTGGCTCCAGGCCAAATGGCCGCTGCAACGCGCAGAGCTCTGAACAACAAGAGCTGCAAAGAGTTTCAACGGACGCTTATTCCATGTTTTGGGTGCGTTGGATGGTAACGAACACGCTGTTTCGGCCGGGTTCGAGCACGCGGCGTGGATACAATAATATATAGCATGGCCTCCATTAATCATCAATGCATTTCTTCTCGTCATGCATAGTTGCATTCCCATTTTCTTTGTCCTGCTTTGAGTCGCCTTCTTCCGCCGCCGCCCGTGCACAGGAGCAGCTCTTCCTGCTTGTTGGTCAAAGCCCGTGTGTAGGAAGCCCTGTGCCGCGGTCCAACGCGACAAGCGACAGACCGGTATCCATTTTTTGACGGGGATGGCGACGATATGGACGGACGGGTTATCGAGACGTTAGTTGGCTGTGCTCACAGGCACCAAGCGGGCTGCGACTGTCGGTGTCCTCATGACTGTGAGCCAGTGAGTGGTGGAAAGCAGAGGGAAAATGGTTGGCGAGGGCGCCGAGGTTGACTGTCACCGGACCGTATTCCGTCCCGTCGAACCCACGCGCGAGTGGCTGGCGGGGTCCTCCTGGATATCGGAGTGTTGGAAGCCTGGTCTGTTACCCGGGTTGGCCAAGCCAATATGGGGTATGGTCGCGGAGTTCCGCCGCTATACTGCTGTGCTGCTGTCTGTATAGTGCTTGGCTGTCTCCTCCGTTTCCGAGTTCCGGGCTATGACTTCTGGTTTGGGAAAGTTGAGTGACTGCACATGGCTTTGACTTGGCACTCAAACTTCCTTGCTGTGCAGTGCCCCGCATCTACTTGCCGATCCTTTCTCGCTCTCTGCCTCTGCGCCTCTGCCTGCCCGGCCGACTGGAGAGAGACAGGCTGCCTGTTTCCGTTGGAGCGCGAGAGAGAGAGCTGGTCAACATTATCATCAGAAGGAGCGTTGTGGTTGTGATTGTTAAGGATCCCTCGTCCGATTGGCTTTCGCAGCGTCGTCGTGGTTGTTTGCAATCCACCACTGCATCCTCCTCCTCTTCACCGCCACACCACGCCAAGGATTTCTTACTGTTGACGCCTGCAGAAGGAGAGGAGCACAGCGTGCTGTCTTTATTCCGCGGTCCATTTGACGCATCATCATCACCATCACCACCACCACCTGCCCACCCGCCCGACAAATAGACAGAGAGAAGAGGGTTGTATCCTGACTCAACTGCGTAGCGAAAACAAACACACCCTTGCTGCTGGCCAACAATGGTAGTGGCAGCTCCGCGCGCGACAGCCGCCCCGGCTGGCCTGTTCAGGCGACGTGAGTACCACGCTTCCATCTTCTTTCTTGCGCGCGTGATCCCATCCTCGGGCTCCCTTGCTGGTCAACGCGTGCGGAAGACACTCGAGCCATCCGAGCTGCATCCGCACCATGAACCTGCTTGTGGGCTTACCATGCGCCTCCTCTTCTGTTCTGCTCGAGCTTGTGTATGCTAACAACTCACCTGTCCGACCTTTTCCGATGCTTCACGCCGGAAGAGGGCAACGGAGGTGGAGGGAGTGGATCGATCACTAGCAATGCCACCACAAGCAACGGAAATGGTAATGGAGGCGGTAAGCATGCACCACTGGCACTCGTCCCTCGTTGTCTTTCCTCTGATTTTGATCTTCCGATCTATCAGGTGGCAGCTCTAGCTCCAGCTCTACAACCTCTTCGAGCAGCACATCCTCCTCTTCCACGTCATCGAGCTCTAGCACAACGTCTTCTACCTCTTCCACAACATCGTATGTGTCTGCATCGAAAACAAAGGCCGCCTCCTTGTCGCTCTACTGACCCCATTTCTGTGCTTTGCTCGGCAAAGATCATCGTCCACATCGACATCTATAGCTATTCTGACGACTACGTCGACCGTCCAGACGACCGTCACCCCCTCTCGTTCGCCCATCATCGTTCAGACAACCGTCCAGTCGACCATCTCAAGCTCCGTCCCCACCAATACAGGCGGCCTGAACAATGGCAGCAACGGCTCGTCGAGCTCGTCCGGCTTCTTTGACAACAAAGGCGCCGTCGGCGGCACGTTTGCCGCCGTCGCCATCGTCGCCATCGCGCTGATCACGCTGCTGATCTGGGCGCTGATGAGGCGGCGGAGGAAGAACCAGATGGACGCAGACATTGTTGCAGCCACCACCGCTGGCCCTGCGACGACGCGGACGCCGTTCGACGATGACGACCCAGAGATGATCGAGGATCCCAACTACGGCACCACCGCCATTGGCAGCCCTGCGTTCAACGGGGGCAGCCTGTCGCAGGGTCACTACTATAACGAAGGCTATGAGCCGAGCCACTTCTCCAATGCCAGCCCCGGCTACGCGGGCATGGGCGCGTATGGCCCGGGTCCAGGTGTGGGCATAGGGGCAGCAGCAGCAGGCGCAACAGCAGCTGGTGCGGTCGGCAACGCGTTCGGCGCGTACTATGCAGGCCAGACCGGCTACGGCTCGCAGCAGGACCACTACTATGACCCGAACAACCCGCAGGCGGCAGCTGGCGGCGGCGCATACAGCCACGAGGGAAGCTACTACCCAACCAGCCCGCAGATGCACAGCGCCGACACAACCTACGCGCCGCACGACGCGCAGTATGTCAGTGCTGCCGCGTGGCCCACCGCGGCGTACCACCCCGGCACGACTCACTCGCCCCCGCCGCAGCAGATGCTGCCAGAGGGCGAGGGCATGCCGTTCGCGACGCACAACTCTTCGCGCGCGCTCAGCAGCGGCGGCGGCCCGGTGGACACGTACGGCGAGGCGCAGCTGCTTGCACCCGGTGTGTTCAACGATGCGCACCAGAGCCAGCAGCAGCACTCGCCGCAGCCCGATGCCGCCGGCGTGCTGCAGCACCCGCACGGCACGGGCTCCTCGTCGCACACCACGGTTGGCATGTCCGGCCCCAATGCCAGCACTGGATCGCTCAAGGAGGGCCAGGATGACGGGCGCAAGCTGCAGATCACCAATCAATAGATGCTGCCCGACCGACTGACTGGCCGACCGAGCATCGCCCTTTCTCTTTTTATTGGGCCGTCCCACATGCAGCAACGACGAAGATGAGGAGGCGGAAGAGAGCAATGCTATAACGCAGCGGCATTGTCTTTAGAGCTGTTTCCACGCCGGTATTTACCCCACCCTTTATGGACTGTATAAGCCATCATGACCCGATTCACCCTCACGCATCTAACGCGAGCCCAGGTCACCACTTGTTCATAGCTCCCTTCGTACATTATCAGTCCTCTTCCTGGCCCATAACATGAATTCCCTCTTAGTCCTTGCTGAGCGTGCACCATATTCATCGACTTGTCCGTTATGCGCCTGGGCATCACACCTTCGTTTCGCTCGCTTGCACGAACGGACAATTCAAACAAAACGTTTGGCACATTGTTTGCGGGGTGCACAAGGGGGACAACGAATTCGCTCTCGCCTTCCTGCACCCTCGCGCCTTGCGCTCCCGCTCGCGCACTTCGGCCATACTCCTTCATCTATATCATTACATTCCTCTTCTATTTCCAATTTATTAATGAGATGACTGCCCCTCGGAAAGTCTACGCTGGACCCGATGTGCGATGCGACGGTGCCTTGTGTGCCAGTAAACCGCGCCGCGCGATGCAAAGTGAAACACGATGCAGGTTGTCACCTGAGCACGTCCACTTTCGAGCGATGGAGCGCGAAAGCAGGCGTGATCCACGCGCCGCTGTATGGACAGGACAGAGTCAGTGCCCTTTTGGATGCAACGCAGGCGTGCTCGGCAGAGCAGAGCACATACTCACCATCCGCACTGCATCCCCGCCCAGTCCCAGCTGCCCAGCTTGGCGCCGCACTTTGGCGCCGGGCAGTCAAGGCGCCCGGAGACTTCGCCGTTCTTCAGTGCCGACATCCACGACAACGGCTCGACAAAGTACGAAGAACATGCCGCGGAAGGCAGCAGGCTCAACGGCGACGGTAGTGATAAGGACACCGCTGCGCGCTGCGTGCACACTGGCCTGTTGTTCCCTTGTGCTTGAGCTTGCGATGTGCTATTGCTGTTGGCATGCACCAGTGAATGCGGTCCAGCTCGCCCCATCCGCAGCGCCGCAAGATGCGGAGGCAATGAAGCAGACAGACTCGCAGCTGATTGGATCGGCCGCCCGCTTGCCGTTAGCGATGAGGATCCTTGCGACAGTTGCGCTTGCTGCACGGTCCCAGTCGCTGAGCCGGGTGTCTGCTCCAATGATGGCGCGGCATCTGGTTGAGCAGCCGGTTTTGTGGCATACCCTGGTTGGTTAGGCGAATTCGATGCACTTGCGCTTACGTTTGTTGACGATTGCGCTGCTGTCATGGCGCCCACTCTAGCGCCGTCACTCCCTGCATCGCTGCCTGATATGCCAACACCAAGACGCGTCCCGGCACTTGCATCCTTGCTCCCAGGCAGCGTGCGTTTTCGATGCTCAAATGCCATCTGCCCCTTCCCTGCCTCGTGCTCGATGAGATGATCGACTGTGCTGGCCAGCTCGCGCCTGCACATTTTGCAGCGCAGCTTCGGCCCGCTGTAGACCGGCCGCGAAAGCGCTGACGAGCTGCCCGCCCCAGACCCGCTTACGCCTGCGCCTTCGCGAACTGTGACAGTGGGAACACGAGCAGCGAAGTTTTGACCAGACGAAGAGCCGCCGGAAGGGGCACCACGGACTTCATTTCCACGCAACGAGCTGACACCACCGGGAAGCCGCGCGTTCGCCTGCGTCTCAGTTACTTTCACCTCTACGGAAGGCGGCTGGGCAAGGCTCGAGGAGGGGTAAGCAGGAGGCAATTCGTGCGTTGCGCCTTCCGAAAAGTAGCCGACTGGCGACGAATCAGCTGCTGCTTGATCCGACTGCACAGGAGAAACGGAGAGGTTGATCGACCTGTGCCACGTGGAAGTGGTTCGCGAAAATGTGCGGGGACGTCGCGCGGGTGTGGCGTTGGCACTGAGAAGATCGACAGAGCCGCGTCGCGAAGCATTGCGCGATGCCTCGCGTGAGCTCGGATCGGAAGCGGTATCTACGGCACTGAAGGCGGAATGACCGTCGTATGTAGAAGCCCGAGAAATTGATGGTGAGCTTTTCGTTGGCTCCTCGCTGCTGCTGTTACTTCTATTTCCCTTTGTGAACGTCATGCTCATGCTGTTTCGATGCATGCCCGGTGAAGGATACGGAGAAGGGTAGTAGCTGAGCAGCATATCGTCCGCCGAGTCGCCATCTAGGATATTTGTCTTGGACATGAGGTACCTTCGCACTGCCTTGTGTCTGAGATCGACCTGATGGTCGCACTGCTCGTACAATTCCAATTGTGCGACGAAGCCAGAGTTCGGATCGGCCTGTGGCCTCCTTGCGCGAATGAGTTCCAGCGCAGCAGAAGTACTTATACCACGGCGCCACATCAGATACGCTGCGACGAGGGTGGCACTGCGCGATATGCCGGCTTGGCAGTGCACAAGCACGGTGCCAGTGCCCATCGTCTCCCAATGACCCCATTGACCGTTTACATTTTGTTCCCTGATGCTATTGTAGTCTCCACCGGCTGCTGACTGGCCTGCTTCTTCTTGAGACGAGGCTTGTGCAGATCCCTCAGTTTCTTCACCGTGCCACTCTTCCTGCAATACACTGTCGACTAGCTCATTGATAGAGCTGAAGTGGACGAGGATCGGAGCGCCGTCGACGTCGTCGATGCGCACTTGCTTAATATTCTCGTGGGGAATGATGCGTCCCGAAGGGAGCTTGACACCTGATTCATCGTTGAGAAGCGATGCGGGCGACTGTTTCAGTGCGCTGACGATATGCGTGACGCCGGCCAGATCAAGATAGTCAGGGGAGAGTGCACACGCGAGGTCACCGAGCCACAGCCCAGGAATGATCTCATCCATATCGGTCGATCGTTTGCGTTGTTGGAAATTGGCTACTGTTGGCGCGCCTGAATTGCAGCAGTTGATCTTGTAGCTTTGTCTAACCTCTTTTGCTCGGTCCCGGGATAACGACGTATACCAAGAAAGTTGACAACTGCATAACACGGCTTCAGTGACTGTTGTACTCAAAATTACTCTTTGGGATCACAAGCGGCAAGACGCTGCAGGCAAAAGAAGCGAGACTGCAGACACAGTAGGACACGAGTGGGTGTCGAATTGCACCGAATGGCAATCATATGCTCACTTCTCAGTCTCTCAGCAGAAAAGAACAACGACCTTTCCATCTTGCAAAATCCTCGTCAGAAAAGAATTACCAGCTTCTATGCATCACGCAGTTACGAGCAGCTGAAGCTGGGCAGAGAGGAGTTGATCGAATAGACAAGCACGTCGGGCCCAAACTCATCAAATCTTCGCCAGTTGAAGACGGCGCATAGTGCGGCCAAGGTCCAAGTATAGCAGAGGCGTACATCGACATCGCATGGCGCTGCGTGCCCTTCTTCTGAGCAATCTACCACGGCACATCACTTCCTCGACACGAACAGCATCATTTTCCCGGACGCTTCAAAGTGCACGCAGAATGTCCGGTCTCGGCCTGCCTCCGCTGGCTGCACCGCCGCGCGTGCTGGCTGCAGCCGAGAAAGGCGCCGTTCAGGCGACCGCCGCTGGATCATCTTTGTCGCATAACGGCAATGGCAGTGGAGGTGCTGGTAATGGATTTCGAGGTCGTGGAGGTCGTGGAGGTCGTGGAGGTCGTGGAAGGGGAGGAGCAGGGCGGAGAGACAACCAAAGGGGTGGAGATGGACACAGCGTTTCAGATCCATCTTCTCGCCCCTCGTCCAGTCGCCAAGCTGGCCAACCTGCATCGATCACCGACCGACCTCTTAGTGGCATTTTCGCGATCCACAAGCCGTCGGGACCGACGAGTATGTCGCTGCTTGACCAGCTCAAACCGCTCTTTGCCTCGAGCAGTCTGTTCCGAAATGCAGACGGAAGTACCTCGCTCGAAAATGCAGGCGGCGCATTTCGAGGCAGAAAAGGGCAAGGGAAATGGGCCAGGAACCGGGAGGTAGCGCCTAAATTGGGGCAAGGGGGCACATTGGATCCGCTCGCTGATGGTGTTCTCGGTATGTGTGCAGGGCGACGAGAAAAGTACACACAGAGCCATGACCTGACGTTTTCACCCTTCTTCATACAGTCATCGGCGTTGGACAAGGGACAAAGCACCTCTCCCGATTCCTAGACTGTACAAAAGAGTATTATGCCGTCGGCCTGCTTGGCACTTCCACTTCCTCATACGACGCAATGGACCCGATCCTGTATCGTGCACCGCATCAACACGTCACACCCTCTCTTCTCGAATCCCACTTGCCGACATTCACCGGCGACATACAACAGGCACCGCCGCTGTACTCGGCGGTCAGGGTGGACGGTATGCGCCTGTTCGATTATGCACGCCAAGGGCGCGAGCTACCACGTCCGATCGAGAAGCGCGCCGTCACAGTCGAGCAGCTCCGACTCGCCGGCTGGTTCGATGCGGGCGAACATGGATGGAAGGAGCCGCAAGAGGAAGTGCCTGAGGAGGAAAAGGCGCTTGTAGGGAAGGTCAGGAAGCTAGCGGGAGAAGAAGCACCATCAGGCAGTGAGGCTGCTGTCGCGCCCTCCTCTTCTTCAGCACCATCAGAGCCACCACCAGCAGCGCAGGCAGTACCTTCATCTTCTAGCGAACCTGCAACCGATCCAGCGGCATTTGCGCTGGAAATGACGGTCTCCTCTGGCACCTATGTTCGCTCGATCGTTCATGATCTGGCGCAGTCCGTAAGCAGCGCGGCGCACGTTGTTGTGCTCACACGTACACGGCAGGGCGAGTACTCTATCGGGTATGACCTTGAGGCGCGTAGCGCAGGCGCCGGTAGCGGTGGTAGCGAAGAGAGCGACGAGAAAGGGAAAGCCGATGCAGGCGGACAGGTCAAGGAGCGCAAGGTGCTCAAAGGGAATTGCATACCATGGGACGTCTTTGCGAAGGCTATCGCGGAGTTAGAAGAGGAGCGTGGACGCGGGAGCAAGCCGAAAGCGCGATCAGAAGTCCAGTCGCAGCGTCGGGATCAGGACAAGGCCAGTGACGCCAATCCGGCGCGAGACGCTGGCGATGATGACGAGCTCATGAATGGCAGCGGTACCGCTCCGCCAGCTCATGCGAGGGATGAGGTGGACGATGATGAACTGATGAATGGCTGCGCAAGTGCTGCTGCCACACCAATTAAGGGTGGCGCGGAGGAAGGGCTGAAGCAGTGGGAGCAGGTTCTGCTGGCGCATATCACACCTGTGTGATCTTGATGAAAGCCTCGAGCTGCGCCGCGAATGCGATTCCAATTTGCTCAACTGTCTTCTGCTGCAAAAGATGATTGCCAAAGTATAGCCCTGAGACACCCGAGTAGCGCTGGGGATTCGACCACTTCTGGGCTTTGCAAGGTCGAAAATGGTGGAATATCCAGCTAGAACATCGCAGAGACCAAGAACCAAACCCCGCCGCCGGCTAGGCTGGTCAGTATTTTAGCTGCCTGTTCCGGGTGCAAATGCTCTTCCGGTCCAGTGCGCGAGCTTTTGGAGCTGATGCGCTTGACTCTCGACCATGCGGCCGGCCTTTCAAGGGATACGGACGTGGCAACGCAACAGCAACAACATCGATGTGACGCCGCATCTCCAGACGTTCGAGAGTGGTAGCAGGTTATAGCATGTGCCCAGAATGCAGACGTAGGAGTCATTGTGTAGGGTGATGGAGAACAGATAAATGGATGGTGACTGGATCATTCGAAATAGCAGGGCCGGCCCAGAAACTTGGCAAATACTGCGTCCGAGAAACAAAAGAATCCCAGAATCCTCTGCGACTATTTTCGGGGAAGCAGCTGTTCGAAATCGCGCTCTGATGATCTCCCGGAAAGCCTTTGTATTATAACCTTATATTTTGGTAGCAAAAGATGGATATTTTCGGGGGCTGCTCCCACTAGGCGTCCAGAGCACGAACCTTGAGGTGTAAGTGGCCCGAGGAGACAGTTTGCGCTTCCTGGACCTCCCCTCCCGACGGGAGCGGCTCGGCATACAACCCAAAGCCCAGTGACTTGTCCCAGAAACCATGTGGGCCTCCGCCGGAAATCCCGGAACCCCAGGAACTTGCTGGAGCGACAGAAAGGCCAGAAAACTCTAATAGCTTGCGCGCCTGATTCGTGGTGGCGCACGCACGCAGCAGGCGCCATACGACTGCCTGGTCTGACGTCTGGGGGCGGCTGTCTGCCAGGCGTGCAGACAGCCACAAACTCCACAGGTGCCGCTGCTGCTGCGTCCTGGCTGCACTGCCAGTGGTGGTCCCTGCCTTTTGCCGCACCGCCGGCACCTGCGACCCACCCCCACATCTTCATCTTCTTGATCGCCTTTCGCACGGGCCATGCACAGGCAGCGTTTGCATCATCGCCTATGCAGTCTGGATACGACGACGTCATGCACCAACCACTTTTTTTAACTCCTGCCGGCAGCCGGAACGCCAGGCATGTGCAATCAATCAAACCAAATGTGCATCATCACCGACAATGCCGCCACTCCAGAGACGACGAACCAGCCAGCGGCCCGCTCGCACGCACGTTTTTGCACCCGCTTCTCAGCGACCAAGAGGGGTGCTCTTTTACATATAGCAAGGATTGCATCTTATTCGCCCCATCGACTTCCCTTCCGTCGACAAGTCCCTTTGTCGCAGCAGCCCTCGCGAGCGCTCCATGCACAACCATAGTTTAAACATACGACGACCACACAGAAGAAAGCAAGCTCGACCGACCGACCAAGATGACACTCTCCAAGCACATCGACGCGGATGACCTGATCCAGCAGGCCCAGGATCACCCCTACCTCTCCTTCGTCCAGCGTCCCGGTGGTGCCAAGAAGCGCGCAGCACACTCAGGTCCGTTCGGCGGACGATACCAGACACAGGAGCTGCCAAAGTACAGCTTCCCATCTATTGGGTGAATCTGCGCTTCGTGAAAGACAAGCATACAGGGAACTGCGCAATGTGCCTGAAAAAGCCCCCCTTTTTCCCCGACAGTATTTCTGACGATGCCGCGTACCAGCTCATTTCATCTGAGCTCGCGCTTGACGGAAGGTGAGACGGATCTGATGGGGCATGCACCACCTAAGCATTCGTCGGTCATCTCGATCGCTGACTTGCCTCCTATCCTGGCGGCTTACTCAGGCCTACGCTCAATCTTGTGAGATGGGACTACTGCCCTTTCCCATCGGGCCAGAGCTGATACTTTGAGCATGGCTGGAATGCAGGCCTCTTTCGTCCACACGTACATGAATAGTGCCGCCACGAAGCTGATCATGGAGAACATCAGCGTCAACCTTGCTGACCAAGATGAGTACCCCGCCACGATGACCATCCACGGTCGCTGCATTTCGATGCTCGCCGATCTGTGGCATGCGCCCAAGGAAATTGATCCGGCGACCGGCAAGCGCCACGGCGCGATGGGCACCGCGACAGCTGGCTCGTCCGAGGCGATCATGCTCGGCGGCCTGGCTATGAAGAAGCGCTGGCAGGAGAAGATGAAGGCGGCTGGAAAGGACTACAAGAACCCCGGGCCCAACGTCGTCTTTGGCAGCAACGCCCAAGTCGCTATCGAGAAGTTTGCGCGGTACTTTGACGTCGAGGAGCGCCTCGTACCCATCAGTAAGGAGAGCCACTATTGCTTCGACCCAAAGAAGGCGATCAAAATGGTCGACGAGAACACCATAGGCGCCATCATCATCCTCGGCAGTACGTACACCGGCCACTTTGAGCCGGTCAAGGAGATGGCCGACCTGCTCGACGAGTACGAGAAGAATGCGGGACACGACATTCCCATCCACGTTGATGGTGCCTCCGGCGCCATGGTTGCTCCATTTGCGTTCCCCGACCTCGAGTGGGACTTTAAGATCCCGCGCGTCAAGTCGATCAACACTTCCGGGCATAAGGTATGTCGTTTTGCGCTGTGAGGCGCTGCACTTGAATTTTGCTCAAGCTGTTGATCCTGACTTGGGGGTTCACGGTTAATACAGTTCGGTATGGTGTACTGCGGCATTGGGTGGATCATCTGGCGATCGGCCGACTTTCTTCCCAAGGACCTCATCTTCGAGCTGCACTACCTCGGCTCCGTCGAGTACTCGTTTAACTTGAACTTTTCGCGCCCTGCGGCGCCGGTGCTGGGCCAGTACTACAATTTTATCAACCTCGGCTTCGAGGGCTACCGCAATGTCATGATGGACGACCTCAAGAACGCGCGCATCTTCTCGCGCGCGCTCGAAGCATCTGGATATTACGAGGTGCTGTCGGATATCCACCGCCCCGCAAGCGTCATCGCTTCTGCCGACACCAAGGTCGGTTCATTCGACGAGTCGGAATGCAGAAACTACGCACCAGGTCTGCCCGTCGTTTCATTCAAGTGGACAGATGGATTCAAAACCAAGGTGAGCGAGCGATCCTGGATTTTCACTGATCTTGCCTGACATTTTGCGCAGGGTGCTGACGTGTTCGCTCACAATATGCCAAATAGTACCCTCATTTGCAGCAGCACTGGATCCAGACGCTGCTCCGTGTCAAGGGTTGGATCGGTAAGACTTTCTGATCGACCCACAAGCTAAAATTTGGTTTCCTCGTTAATTCGTTCTTCTGTTTTTGTGCCGACGCGTATAGTGCCCAACTACAGCCTGAGCGCACCGATGACCGACGTGGAGATCCTGCGGGTTGTCGTGCGCGAGAATCTGAGTGAAGACATGATTGACTTGCTCGTGCACGACCTGATGAGCATCACCGAGTCGTTGACCGATAACTCTTCGCCTGAGGCCTCGCTTGCATCCGTCATCTCGAAGTCCAACAAGACAACCGCTGACAAGCACGCACATGGACCCACCAATATCCCCCACCATAAGCACCACCCGCGTCACCAACATTCGCTCGAGAAAGGCTCCGGCACCAAGGCTGTCGGGTACGCCAAACAGTGCTGAGCGGCACGCGATGGAAGCAACCTCTGGCAGACGCGATGCTGGAGCATACGCGGCACTGTACACATTTGAAGAGAGCTCTCCAGCACATGTACTGGACAAAATCGTCACGGAATTTGCATAGGAAATGTTTCGAAGTCCCCTGTCACGGCTTTGGCTGCGCTACGTGGCTTCGGATATTATCTCATCTGAAATAGTCCTTCGCCTTGCTTGGAGCCAATCTCGGTTGCAGGCTCGGCAATGAAATGCAGACAGAAGAAAAATCAATGTCGCCATTTCAATAATCATGCATTGCATCGCAACGAGGTATTCTGGTTCTCTGACATACTACGAATATTTAACCGTCTCCCCCTTTGACTGGACCTTCTCATTGCCGCGCAGACAACAAAAGTGCGAGCGAAAATCGAGAGCGCATTCAAGTTTCCTTCTTAAGCGGTATGGTCGGCAGGGCGACGAAGCTAGTTTGTTTCGTAAAGGGAGAAGCCATGCCAATACTGCACAGCGGCGAGACGAAAGAGGATTCCATAGAGTTCGAAGGGCAAGCTCCCCTGGATAGATTTCACATTTCAGTCTCCAAGACTCAGTAGCAGGCGCTGAATGCGAGGGGACAGCCGACGATACGGCCTACCAGCTGCAAATTTGAGTTACCAGTGTAGAAGGAAGCGCGGAAGAGAACAATTTAAGACTTGGTTAGCTATTTGGCAGCAGGAGACAAAATAATAGCCCCATCACGTACTCAAGCAAGTTGAAGGCGAGGTTCAAGAGATTCAGAAGAATGATGAGAGCAACGCTAGCCTTGAAAGTGGCTCTAAGTGGGGCAAGAGAAAGAAGGGAGAACAGTTGTTAGCTCAATTGGCTCGGATTGGCTAATAGTCTGGACATCGAAATTGTCGGATCGTCAAGAACATGGTGATTTCCAGCCAGATTGAAACGAGAAATAGAAAGGTTCGTCAGTAAGGCCAGGACCCCCGATGCTTGAAAAGTGAATCGTTCAATGGAGTGAACTCACGAAAAAGGAAGAGACCAACAGCGTTCTCTGCGTCCGCGGCGCCTATACCGCCTGCCAAATAGATACCTGGCGTGTCCCCATTATAGTTGGATAGCTCGATAAAGAAGAGGATGAAGAACATGGCGAGGCCACACCAGACCATCCCGTACGTGCAGAAAAGCGTTGCTCCGTAGTGTTGCTGGAGGAGAGCTCCCGCAAGCCGCCGAGATACTAACAAATAAGTGAGGGTCAACCCGCCTGCACGTATCCGACGCTGAGCTGGCCGCTACCAGCTTGCACGAGAGCCGCACCTCCTGCTAACATGAACGAATGCATCATGGAAAGCGCAACGCAGATACCAGCATTGAAAATGGGGATGCCATGGACACCGCAGTTGTACTGGGAGAGCGTGGGCGTGGTGGTGGCGAAACAAAAGTGGCTGCCTGTACGGGGTTGCTGATCTTGCGGTGTGAGAGCCAGCAGTGATGAGGTTATCGTTGAAGAAATGGCAACCCGGCGTGAGGGTGTGCTGCGCACTGAGTCCCCCTTGGTAGCCGTGGTTACCGTTAGCTTTTGGTCTGAGTGACCGTTCTGAAACTCGTTCTCTTGGACGACTGGTATGTAGCATACTTACAAGCTAAGGTCTTCTCGATCGAGGTCACGAAGGGGAGAGAGAAGTGCGTAGGTGGTGGCACGGGGTTAGCGGCGATGATGGTAAAGGTAACAGATGGATTAGATGAATGCCCATGTAAAGGTCAATGAAGAGATTCTAGAGATGGGAAGAGCGGGGAAGAAATGCAATGGCAGCACTTGCAAGAGCGATGAGGGCATGAGGCGATGAAAGCGAAGTCATTCGTTGAAATGCAGTAGAGAGTGCTCTGGAGCGCTGTATGGGTGCTATAGCCTGTAATTATTCAGGCTTTTAGGCAAGTTACAAAGTACCCAATACATCAATCTGCGCTGGCTGCACCGTGCACATGGAACCTTGCATAGTCCTCATCCTGCCCACCGTGACAGTTTACATATGGGCTATAGCAATCGCATATCGAGATTTGTGCTAGTATCACAACAACTTTAGCCTACTGCTGGCCAAATGCGGGTGAATCCAATGATTTGGAATAGTGTGAGCCCCCAGATGACCATCGTAATCCTTGATTCTGGACACTGATGATCACTGATGTGGCTACGTCGTTCTGTATATACATTTACAACAGACCCCCTCCGATCCCGCTCGGGCCGAGTCATCCGGAGCTGCGGAGGGTTACATATTTTCGACAGAGAATCCACAAACTCGAACAGCGCACATGCCAGGGACCACAAATCCTGTTCTGCCGTTCTGCGATCGAGCAGGCGCTAACCAGACTCAACCAGACTCTGAACAACCCACAGATAACTGACAAACCTGTATGTAAAATTGATGTAGTACATGCATACCCATCTGTTGCGACCTGCGCTTCGGATTGGGGTAGATTGGGGTTTCGTACATAGTGCGTTGCAGGGGCATAGACTGCACTAGATGCCCATGTCGATTATCCAAGGCGAACGCTGAGCTTGAGTCGCGAGAGCCGAGAGGCCCCAAGGCAAATTGATCATACTAAGGAGTCACCAGGGCTCACCTGATGGGCCTTGGACTGGCGGAAAGGCTACTGCTCTGATGCAGCCCGCATTAGTTTCCATCGCCCCAACCTCCGCCCGCCTCTGACTCAACGCCTCATCGACCTGACATTAGTTCGTTGCACTTTGCCGCATAAGGGATCAGAATGTACATGCATGCATCTATGAGGCTGGAGTTGTAGTCGATATTGCAGCCGAACAGAGTATCAAGAGTACTGTCGTCTAGCGTCTTCTCGATTAGCTGCCAGAGACGGGATCGGATTGAATTGGTCAACGAAGACAGACTGCACAGAATCGATGATGACTGCCACAGGGTACACGGTTGCCGTGATTTCCGCTCCGCGTTTTGGCTGACTCGTATCCACCCTGCGGCACCGGTTCAGAGCGTTGCATTTCTGAACCATATGTTTGTTAAATTGCTAAAATGAAACGGCGGGCACACCTCCGTCACACACGGTCGTCCACACTCCACACACCTGGCGCCAGCACTGTGCCAGCCCGCACCAATTCGCCGTCCTCACTACATAGTGATATGGTTGATATGTATATGCTGAGCATGCTGCCACTTGATCCATTTGCAATTGATCGACGCCACCCCAACGCAACCGAACAAAAATTTGTCTGAAACGTGTGAGATACGTATGTTCCTAATGATGAAGCCCTATTTTGGCGCAATTGTGGTCCTTAAGAATAAATGTTGTTCGCATGATTTCTGATATCTGACATTGCTGACATCGATGGTTTGTCATCTGAGTGACCTGACGCCTAGAGTCTGGAGTCTGGATGACCCATGACAGCTAATCGCTCACACTCATATTTCATACTTCCAAGTTCAAAAGTGACGTCCAGTAGATCTGACCCTGACTTTGACTTTTCCTAGACTGCCTTCAAAGTCCAAAAACATCGGTCTCCCATAGTGATGGTGGCCCAGCATTCGACGGACTCGTGCACCATTCAAGCGTTCTATCTTACGTCTGTATGTACATACAGCACGCAAAAGCATTCGTCAATGGGTATTGAATACAGGAGCACAAGGGCCACCTCTATGACTGTCGTAATAAAGCTGTAGGTATGCACATGCATACGTCGTCGGATAGTCTCTGTTTTCTTGTCCGTACGAAAGGACGGCTCGTGGAAGACCAGAATGGAGATAGCGGCTTTCCCACCAACCATTCCCCTTCGTTCCCCAAAGAGGCCCATCAGATACCTCCCATTCCCTCCAGAGTGGTGTCTGCAGGACCAACAGCACATCAACATCGCGATCGAATGATTTCCTGATGCATCATTCGACGACTCGGTCAGCCATTGGCCAACCTCGGCCAGAAAGCAAACCCTTTTTGGATTTGCGACGAGTTGGCTGCCTGTCTGGAAACGCATCATGGCTAGTGCCCAGTCTGGTCCTCGCTGAAGCTTACCCATACCTGCGCGTACCCTGCACACCCCGTAACCTCAACATCCATGTAATGAGCCTGTCGCTTTATGTCGCCTGACTGGAGAGTGGACCTGTAGAGCAACATTTGGGAGCATGTTTCTCAGCATTCAGCGTCACAGCCTCCAGGTCTGCGGGGGAATGGACTCCATGCAATGGCTGCCGCGGACGGTGGGCCGTGAATTCTTGCAAGTACAGTTCTTAGTCTTCGTCAAGTGTCCCATTAGCGCATCCTCTTCATCGGTCCACGCTTGTCAGTAACCATCACGTCGAGCCTCCTCTCTTTCAACTCCTCTGTATAAAGGAATCTCGCTCTCTTCATCGTCAATTTACCATCCTACCCTCCCCACCATCACCGCAACATCCTTGACTAGTTGTAAGACGTACGTCGACTAGCAAAGCTCCACCCCGGCTTCTATTGCCATTGATTGGGTCATCATGTCGAAGCCATACCAGCGACCATCGCTCAATGAGCAGATGGGCCTCGAGGCCAATCCGAATGCGCTCGAACACACCTTCGTTGGCGGCGTCAGGCTGACTAAGATCCACACCACCGATGGTCATCAGATCGATACGGACCAGTATGATTTCCCCGTCTACCATATGAGAATCGGCAAGTGAGTATATATTGTGCGATGATATGTTTCGTGCTTGGAGCAATTATTGACTGATCTGCGATTGGTCTGAACGCGCTTAGCCCATACCCGTTGATGGTACTGTCAATTGGCGCCTCCTTCATGATGCTCGGTCTTCTTTTGGTCGGTCTCCGTAACATCACCACCGTCAATGTCGTTTAAAACCTCGGACTACCATACAGCGGTATCGGCACGATCATGAAATGTATGTGGGTCTTTGCCGAGGGCAACGATTTCTTGGCTACCGTTGGTGAGGTTGCTTCTTGGATCATTCTCGCTTCCTGGGGAGAAAAATGAGGCTGATAGCATCTTAACACCTTTTGTTCGCTTCTCTTTTCGCCCCTAGGCATAGCCTGTGTGTCCATCCCACTTGGGTGACGGACATCCCTACGACCGCCAGCACTGACAGGATTGTCTCTTTTGACTTGTTTCACGCAATTGGCGCTGTCAGCATTGTTTACCTCCCTTGGATCGGTGTTGCGAGGGCCTATATCCTCCCCACCATTGAGGCGGCTGGCGGCAACCCGCCACTCGGTTTCCAGCAAGGCGCTTTAGCTCTGTATAAAGCCCTCGGTATCATGTGGGCATCACCGACATCTCCAGTCAGCATCTAAGGTCTATTCCCTTCCTATTGACATCATTCCTATTTTTATCTTTGGGCTTCGGTACTTTCAGGTTTCCTGGCTTCCAAAGTTCTTGTCTTCCTCATCTTCATCTCGGCTCTCCGTACCGCCGTCCCGCCGTCCCGCCGTCCCGCCGTCCCGCCGGCGAGTGGAATGCTCCTTATTGTTCTTGTTCTTATTCTTCAAGGCGTTGCATACCTCCAGTAACCGTCCGAGAACCTGTCGACAAGTGCTGGTCCAACCTTTATCACCGTCGGTCAGTGGCTTGTACTTCCCCGGGGTTCCCCCTGGAGTAGGTCTTGAGTGCACTGATCCCCCCAAATGCGTTGCTGTTCACTCTGCTCTCACCTTTCATGGGTTTATGTGTTTCCCTTTGGTACTCTTGAGGTGGGTGCTGGGCCACATGACTCGGGACCAATTTTTTGATGTACTCTCTCCCTTGCATTGGTTTCCGCTACAGAGCTGTCGCAATCATGATAGAAGAGGAGGGCGTCATTCTTTCAGCCGTTGCTTTTCAACACAACGACGACTAAGCGGGTGACAAAAGCTTGAAGGTTTTGTGAAAAGACGTGTTTTGCAAGTGTAGCTCAAAGATGGTGGATTTGAAAGAGGCGGAGGCTCAGGAGGAATTTGCGTCTCTTTACGATCCTAAAGACTTCGCAGCTTGTTCAGAGGTGAACAGACATGTGTTGGCAATTTGCCAGCACGAAAGCTGTGTACGATCCATTCATTTCTTGTCGTAATCGGAAATCAAGTGATACCTTTGGAGTTCAGGCTGACAGGCTGAAGGGGATCTCCTGATCCCTGTACACGCCTGGCTCGGCGTGAACAGAGCCGGCTGGAGCCGTCTCTTGCTTGGCGGGGAAGCTCCGGTCCTCATAAGCTTCTCGCTAGGCGTTTCAGGAAAGCACCTACCTTTCCGTCTTTGGAGCTGCGGCCTGCCCCGGTAGCGGATTCCCAGTAATGGAATTGCAATATGAACAGCGACGTTTTGACTCAAGGTCTCAACATCAGGCCTTCGGTCCTGATGGTCTGGCCCCTCGAGACTAACTCAACCTGTGGTATGGCGAGCCATTCGTCGAGTCAGCGTTGTAGGGCTGTTTGTTCTACGCAGAGCTGAAGTCGCGCGACTCCGTTATATTGAGGATGGTAAGTACCCCCCGTATCAATCAGGATGTAGGTAGGAACGCTCTTCCCAAAGGAAAAGTGTGGCCCCTGCGGCCATTCATAGATATCGCACCGAATTCCAACACTTTGCAGTTTGGCAGGTAAATATTTGGTTCATCCAGCAGATCAAGTGGCTGATGCACCGAATGGGAGCAGCTGGTATACTAAGGAAAGCATTGGCGGAGGGGCTGTGTTTGGGTGCCATCACCCTTGCTTCACCATGTGGATCTCACTGCTGCGCTGAAGCATCAGCTGACGACTGACGCTATTGGGTCGCGTGGCGCGTCCCAAGGGAAACGTCTTGTATTCTACCACCAGCCCACAATCATCTTTGCCCAAACATCGGCGATGGCCTGGACAACTGGAAGGGTGTGAGACGGACGGATGCCCTTTGTGGCATGCAACGGTGTGATGTGACGCGCCTGGTGTTGCCACACTTGGCTAGAGCGGTGCGCATTCACTCGGGCAATGTAGTACAAATACCGCAAATAAGCCGGATGCGAGCAGATGACTATTTCTGTCTGTTGTCTACAAATACAGGCCTTCGGGTGTGCCTTCCTGCTTGCGATCGATTACACGCTCGCGCGCGGAGGTGAAGTCCTTCTTGGTGACGCGCATCCGCCTTTCTCGCAGCGCAAGAAGACCAGCTTCCGTGACGAGCGACTTGATGTCTGCGCCCGATAAGTCGTCCTGCACACCAAGAAAACGAGAGTTCGAAACGAATATATCAGGCTGTATCCCTGATTCCTGTACATGTGCGATCTGGTCACTCACCTTCATGGCCACAAACTCTTCGAGGTTGACGTCCGGATCTAGGTTCATGCGACTTGTGTGCAGCTTGAAGATGTGCATTTTTGTCTTCTGATCTGGCAGCCTGGATTTGGGTAAGGATAGAGCGCCAAATGATTAACAGAGAAGTTGGATTGACAGTAGTGGGGCAAGGTGACTCACGGGAACTCAATCTTTCTGTCGATACGCCCCGGTCGGATGAGCGCTGGATCGAGCGACTCGATCTTATTTGTTGCCATGATGACCTTGACATCATGCCGTGTGTCGAATCCATCGAGCTGGTTGAGCAGCTCGAGCAGCGTCCTTTGGATCTCACGCTCTCCACCACTGTTGCTATCGTACCGTTTTGTGCCGACAGCATCAATCTCGTCGATGAACACGATCGATGGCGCGTGCTCGTCGGCGACGCGGAACAGTTCGCGGACCAGTTTGGGTCCGTCTCCGAGGTACTTTTGAATTAACTCGGAACCGACGATGCGAAGGAAGGTGGCGGAGGTTTGGTTGGCGACTGCTTTGGCTAGCAGCGTCTTGCCTGTTCCGGGCACACCATAGAGAATGACACCTTTGGGTGGCCGGATTCCCATTTCCTCGTACAGTTCTGGATGAGTAAGGGGCAGTTCGACAGACTCTTTGATCTCCTGGATCTGCTGCTCGAGACCACCGACATCTGCGTAGGTCTCCGTCGGCGCCTTGTCGAGCTTCATGACGCTGACCATGGGATCGGCGTCGTCTTGCAGCACGCCGATGACAGCCATGGTCTTATGATGAAGCAAGACGCTGCAGCCCGGTTCAAGCAGGTCCTTGTCGACGAAGCTCATGATGCTGACATAGTACTCTGGCCCTGTGGCGCTGCTAATGATGGCATGTTCATCGTCGATGATCTCCTCGAGCGAGCCGACCTGCATCGGGCTGCCACGCAGATCATCCACGCGCGTCCGCTCCTCCGCATCCTTGTCCTCCTTGGGCTTGAGGCGTTCCTGGTTCTGCACAAATTCCTCCTCCAGCAGCAGGTGATCCTTGATGCGCTCCATCTTTAGCAGCTTCAAACGGCATCGCGTGTTGGGGTATACCGGTGGCAGCTTGGTGGCTGCGTCCGGCCCGCGTTTCTTTTTCTTGCCTACCCGTGTTGGCAGCGGCGGCTCCCACTTCTTCTGCTGATCTTTCTTCTTCTGCAGGAAAGCGTCGCGTGCGCAAGAACGTACAAGGAAGAGAAGTTGTCAGAGTGGCCGAGCTGGTCAGTAATCCTGCTCTGCTGCGACGTCTCGAGCAACATTGTGCCTGTGGCTTATGCTCACCTTGTCATTATTATGCCGCCCGGCACCACCGCTGGGAGCCTGACCCTGTAAATGCAAACCGAACAGGCGAGGTCAGTCAGCACGCCAACCCAACCCGTTGCCTATGGTCGATATAGCTCACCATCCTCGGTGCCTCGTTACAGCTGTCGCCGCGAAGTCTGTAGCTGCGTTTTCTTCGACTTCCTTCGGCTGATTTGCCTTCTGAGCACTACCGCCTCCCCGGTATTTCTGTCAGCGGGCGAATACGACTGGTTCACGTACAATCAATGCGTTGGCAGCGAGAGGTCGACGTCAGTCAGTATGTGTTGGTTGTCAGGCGGTAAGACGAGGACGACGACGCGTGTTGCGCCGAGTGACTGACAGAGGGCGGAACGAGGCTTTCTTGTCTATAGTGTGTGAGACCCCCAGGCGACCATCGGCGTCTTTTGTCATATTATATCCTGCACGCACACATCTTCGTGGAAGAGAGCGGCGCACGGTGTATGCATCTGAGAAGCCAGAAGAGTGTGATGGTGACTGCGCGAGTTCTTTGCTCATCCGCGCATCTCAGCATCGAGCGCGCCGCCATCATCAGTTGAAACAAAGAAAGAGAGAGGGGGGAGCTCACATTGGCACACGACTCGAGGGCCGCAAGGGCTCTGGTCTATGCTCGCAGCCTTGTCGCTTGCGGGTAAGGCTGCAAAGCCATTGCAACCACCTCGATAGGTGGCATAGCACTGCATCTCGTAGACAGTCTCAGCATCGGTTCATAGTCCGGGGCGCTGCTCTATTTCGGCCTCTGTCCATCGCCATCCCTGGTGCAAACACAGGGGCCGCAATACACCTGCTCACTACTTGCGCTGCTCATCCTTAACAATCCCTTCTGACCGCTCCAGGAGTCAGCTGAACACCAGTTCTGATCGGCTGGCGACCCTCCAAGCGACCCGCCCATTGGAGCGTTTCCGTTGCGTCTCTCTACTATGGCAGCACTCTCACCCTCGGCTGGAGGGCACAAAACAAACCCTCCCACACCCCCAGTCGGCAGCCGCAGTGGCAGCGGCAGCGACGTCATCCACTTGTGCGACTCGGATGACAATGAGAGTGTCGCGCCTCTGCCAGTGAAAAAACGCAGCTCAAGTGCCAGCTCGGGCGGTAAGAGCCGATCACCAGACGTCAACAAGTTCAGCAGTCTCGTCAAGACCGAGGCAGAGGAAAACGATTTGGATGGGATCCCTTCCGACGATTTTGCACATGCCAGCGCTTCGTCCTCCGTGCAACGGAGAGCATACTCTGCGGTCTCCTCGAGGTCGCCGGCAGAGCTTGGGAGGGACATTTCGTCTTTCGCTGGACCTGCGTCCTCTTCCTCTGTTCATCCTCATGGCGAAAATGCGAGCGCAAGATCTTCTCTCTATTCCAATGCCATCGCGAACCCTAGTCCGCTGAAGCGCATGACAAACATGTCGCGCTCCACTTCTCGATCTGATGATGGTGACAGGATGGACAGGGACGAGCGGGATGAAGGAACGGTGTCCGCTGCCGACCCTCGCACGCGCGAGCAACAGTACCGCGACGGATCCATCATGTCCACGTCCTCAGCAGCTGGATCGGCCGCCGGATACATCGCAGACCCCAGACTAGCCTTGCGAGCTGCCAAGACCCAACCAGGCTCACAGGGCTCCGGGTCCAGTGCGGGGTATAGTGCTGGCTCTGGTCGCGGAAGCATTGGCGCGGCTGCCAGCTCGCAATCAAGCTCCTCGGACGAACTCTCCTTCGAAAAGCATATACCAAGTGCTGTCATGTCTGCTCGTCAGCGTTGCGATGCCGAACCGGTCCTTGTCAGCTCTAGGGAATACGGACCAGCTATGGATCTCGTCGATACTACTCCGGCAATCCCATTGCCCGAGGGGGAAGTCAAGAAGGAGAAAAAAGGAAAGGTGCGCCCTCTTCCGCACTCGTACCTATGGCATGGATTGGCTTACACATCCCTCGCAAACAACCTGTGTTCTTGTCCTCAGGACCTCTCCTCTCGCGCCCAAGACACGATGGCTACGACTCAACGAGCGGGTATGATCATCAAGACGGAAGTGCAAGAGCGGCAGCAACAGGCACAACGAGCGGCTGAGTACCCTAGCCCCAAAAAGCATCCTCTTCGCAAGGTGGCCCAGATCGGCGTGGCGGAGAGGCTTCCGTTCGACGATGCCGTTACGACGGATAGCAGCGAGCTTGAGCCCCGTGTCCCGACCGTGCACTCTACGCCGCGCTTCCCGCCGCCGAGGACGCGGCCGAGGGTGTTTGGCCTGGAAGAGGCACCGACGTTCTATCCGACCAAGGAGGAGTTCCTGGATCCAATGAAGTACATCGATTACGTCAGCAGTCCGCAGGGTGGCAATGGAAAGGAGTACGGGATCATCAAGATTGTCCCGCCGGAGGGTTGGAAACTGGACTTTGTGCTCGACGAAGAGGTGAGCTTTCGTCATTCTATCTTCTCCGCGCCGTTGCATGCTCATTCGCGGAAACCGTTGGCCACCAGAAATTCCGGTTCAAGACACGCGTGCAGCGTCTCAATTCGCTGAGCGCCGATGCGCGTGCAAGCTTGAACTACCAAGAGCAGCTTCAGATGTTCCACGCGCAGCAAGGCCAGAAGCGCATCGCTATGCCCATCATTGCGGGCAAGGCACTAGATTTCTATAGCCTCAAGCTGGTCGTTAGCACACTCGGCGGATTCGACAAAGTGACTAAGAACCGTCGATGGACCGAGGTAGCTCGTGAGATAGGCTACGATGAAACTAGAGCGGCCCACATTAGTACACAGGTCAAGCAGGCGTATAAACGCATCATCTTACCCTTTGAAGTCTTCCTCGTTGAGGCAAAGGAGATGGCCAAGAGGGACGACAAACTGGCCAAGGCGGCGGAAGGCGTCAAGTCTGGGGCTTCGGCTTCGCGTGCTGCCACGCCCTCGACCACCGTCGACGACTCTGATAACGACCCTTTCGGAACCGCCGCAGCGATGACTGCTGCTGACAAGCGCAGAGCGCCTCGCAGCAAAAAGAGTGGCGACGTACGTGGGAAAGGCAAGAAGAATGGTGAGGTAAACCACGTCATCACAACCGAGCCTGGGTACGAGGAGCAAGTCTGCGAGATTTGCATGAGTGGCGAGGATGGCGTTTCGATGCTACTCTGTGACGAATGCAACAGGGGCTATCATATGTACTGCCTCAACCCGCCCATCGCCACTGTGCCCAAGTCGGAATGGTACTGCCCGCCGTGCCTCGTCGGCACAGGCAATGACTATGGCTTTGAGGAGGGCGACACGCACAGCTTGCACTCGTTCTGGAAACGTTCCGAAGCATTCCGTAAGGACTGGTTCGAGAAGAGGCCGGAACGTGTCTTCAATGGGCACCCTGGCTCACCCACGTACGAAGGCCCGGACGGGGATATCGTCATGGCGAAGCCCAGCGGCGATGAGGTACCACCCAACGGGGTCGTGCGACAGGTGGCAGGGACCAAGGTCTGGCTCAGCGAAGATGATGTGGAGCGCGAATTTTGGCGCCTTGTTCATAGCCCTGACGAGTTGGTTGACATCGAGTACGGCGCCGACATCCACTCCACGACCCACGGCAGCGCTTCTCCCAGCATGGAAACGCATCCGCTTAACAGGTATTCCAAGGACGTATGGAATCTCAATAACCTGCCCATTCTCCCGAGCTCGCTCTTGCGGTACATCAAGTCAGACATTTCGGGGATGACCGTCCCATGGATCTACGTCGGCATGATATTCTCCGCTTTCTGCTGGCACAATGAGGACCACTACACCTACTCGATCAACTACCAGCACTTTGGGCACACAAAGACGTGGTATGGAGTACCGGGCGCGGACGCTGAGAAGTTGGAAGAAGCCATGCGCAAAGCTGCACCAGACCTATTCGAAGCCAATCCAGATTTGCTCTTCCAATTGGTCACTATGATGGGACCTGCGAAGCTCAAGAAAGAGGGCGTCCGCGTATTTGCTTGCGATCAGCGACCGAACGAGTTCGTCATCACCTATCCGAAAGCATACCACGCGGGCTTCAACCATGGCTTCAACCTCAACGAGGCCGTCAACTTTGCGCTGCCCGATTGGATGGACTACGGCCTGCAGTGCGTGCAACGATACCAAAAGTTCTGCAAGTCGCCAGTGTTTTCACAGGACGAGCTCATCATCACCGTCGCTCAGCACAATCATGCACTCACCACTGCATTGTGGCTGCAGCATCCGATGGCCGAGATGATCGAACGGGAACTCAACCGGCGCCTGCGCATGCGACGCGAGGCCCCTGGGATCCGGGAAAAATTGTCCGAGTTTGACAAGCCCGAGGAACACTACCAATGCAAGCACTGCAGCATGTTCTGCTACCTGTCACAAGTCACACTCGAATCGTACGAGTCCGGAGTCGCTTGCCTGGATCATGCCAGCTCGGTCTTTAGTGGACAGCCTCAGTCGCGCTGGGTGTTGCGCTTGCGCGTTGGCGACGACCAGCTAAAGGCTATGCAAATCAAGTTGATGGAGCGCGCCAACGTACCAGGCAACTGGAGGCGTCGATTGCACAACGTTCTCAATAACAACCCGCGACCGCCGCTCAAGACACTTCGAGCATTGCTAGCAGAGGGCGAACGGATCACGACACCCTTGCCAGAGATCGAGCAGCTGCGAGAGTTTGTGGAGAGAGCTAACACTTGGGTGGATCAGGCATCTGTCTTCATCACACGGAAAGGACGTGTGGCAAGCTCTACTCCTCGAAAGCTGCAGTCGCGGACTTCAACAGGTAGCGAACGGCGGAGCCCATCGACTCGCATGGATCTGTCGTCTGATGTGCCAGCGGCAAAAGAGACCAGGACACCGGAAGCGCTCATGACGCTGCTCTCTGAAGCGGATCAGCTTCCCTTTGATGCGCCTGAGATATCCGCAGTCCGTCACGTCATCGAGAAGATGGGGGAGATCCAGGAGCGAGTCGAGACGGTTCTGAGGCAAGTCAATGCCCCCAGCGACGTCAAGAAGCCATCTCTTGTCGAATGCGAAAAGGTGATTGCCGCGGCGAGCGAGATCAACGTAGATATAGCTGTCGTCGACGATTTAACTAAATACGTCAACCGTCGGAAGTGGCTTGATGAGATGGACGAGATCCACAACAACTTTATCAATCTCTCCGAGGTCCATGAGCTCCTCTCTGAGGCAGAGAAGAGCGACGTGCCATCCGGTCATCACTATGTCGTTGATCTTCGTCGGAGAGAGCGGCTGGGGAAAGCATGGGCGAATAAGGCGCAGCAGGTCCTCGACGCAAAGGAGGCCATCCAAGTCAGTCAGCTTGAGGAGCTCATCACTGCGCCCAACGAAGTCGCCATCGTTCCTGAGCTGCACGTTCAAGCTGAGAGGCTTTACAACAAGGTCAAGGAGCTTAATGCATCTGCACAGCAACTTATTGCATCTGGCAAGGATCAGGATCCTCGAACAATGCACAAGTCTGAGCTTGAAGCTCGCCTTGCAGAAGCCAAGCAACTCAGCCGGACAACAGTAGCGTCTCGCTTATTTCTTCCAGCATTAAAGCCGATCGCTGATGGGTTGCAAGAATGCGACGAATGGCTCCAACGCCTCACTGACATCCTCAACGCTGCCTTTCACTCGAATCGACCTGAGCCAGTCAGCAAGAGCGGCGCCACAATCAAGGTCTTTTGCGCCCAGATCGAAACGACTGCCTCACCAGACGACGAACAGGCTTCACAAGTCGCATCTCCTCCGAAGCAGCGTTACTGCGTCTGTCGCACAAAGACCCCGCCTGTACTTGATGGCCAGGACGGAATTCGCTGCAACAACTGTCAGACTTTGTACCATCAGATGTGCATCAAGGTGGGTGGCAAAACCAAGAAACTCACTCCAAAGTGGGTTTGCCACATTTGCGATCCGGTCAAATTGCGAGACCTGCTGCCACATCGGCGTGCCGTCCGCTTTGAGGACGTCAATGAGCTAGTTGACGACAGCTGGTTCCACGCAGAGAAGTGGAGCGACAAATTCACTTGCCCACCGCCGGAATACATCGCCCTCAAATCAGCAGTTGGAAGAGCTTCCCGCCTCGGCAGCTACGTGCGCGGATTCATGGCAAGCGGGAGAGATCCTTCGCGGCCGGAGGACAGGACTGCGCTTCACCATCTGTTGCGGAAGACTTTGGCATGCCCTCTTAACATCAATCTGGCTGGCCAAAGTTCGGTAGTCGATGAGATCGTCAGAACGCTGCACTCTGCGGAGGCACTGCAACCTCCTAAATTGGGGGAGATGGGAACAGAAGGAGAGCCAAAGAAGCGCAAGAGAGGGAAACGGGCCAAGTTTACTTTTGAGGAAGAGGCTGGTCTCTCGCCTACATCCGACTCGCTCTATTGCATCTGCCATCAAGCAGAATCCGGCAACATGATTGGCTGCGATCGATGTCAATTATGGTTCCACACCAACTGTATGCACCTGCCAGAAGACCTCGATCTGGGCGAAGAAAAGTGGATGTGTCCAATGTGTTGCAGCAAGACAGAAAAGCGATACGCTTTTGCAGATGTTAGAGTGCTAGAGAAAGGTAAGTGTCCGTGATTTGGCTGTTCACGCTGGGCAACATGCTGACAGGTTGCTCGCACAGGCCGCTCGGAAGCTGATGGTTCTTTCGTGGACCTTCGGCTTACGCTCCGCTCCGAAGACAGACCGATCAGCCGCTGTCAGCCTTGGACGAAGGAAAAGCGCATCCTACTCCACTTGGCGAACTTCCAAGCGGCAGTGAAGCCTGAGCAATCTCCTGCAGAGCCGCCTGTCAAGAAAACGCGCACAGAAGAAACAGGGAGTTACCTAAACCAGGCTCCCGTGCAGCAAGACTCGATATCTTCCGTGGATCCAGCTGCGGGTTCGTCGTCGACTTCATCACCAATTCCCTCATCGTCCAGAGCCACTTCGGCGATACCCGCTGCGTCACAGGTTAAAGTCGAGGAAAGATATTCGACAGCTGGCTTCTATGCCCCCTCTGTTTCGAACCTGCCGAGCGCGCGAAAAGTACTTCAATCTCACGACCTCGGCCGAAGTGCTTCGCCTGCCAATGTTTCGGCCATCTCTATGCCCCCCATGAGCCCAATTCGAGGTCCTCAGCCCGATAAGGCTTCCCACGCGTGGACACAGCAGCTGCCCCAGGGGCAACCCTCGCAGAACATCGACTCGCAGAAAAGTACCCCACCGGTCCCGAGCAAGAAATCATTGTCCCCCAACAGCCGGACTGCGGCAGAACGACACCGTGCAGGCATGGCAAATTTGTACGCCCGCGGTGTTACAGACGAGATGATTCAAAAGTGGTACATCGGGTGGAACGGCAAGACCCTCGTCTACCCTCGATACACATCTACTGGCGAGCTTCAGCAGATTGAGCTTGGCCCACGGATCAAGCTCGCGCCTGGCGACCGCGAAGGGACTATTTTCATCACCAATGTCCTCAAAGGCTTGACGTCTAATCCGCGCTCGCAGAGCTCATTTGCATCGTCACAGCCTGGTATCAGAGAGTGTTCAGCGCGACCAGCCGCTTCTGCTTCCTCAGCGCCCCATCCCCCAGACCCACACGACCATGTCGACGTTCAACCATCCCATGTCACGTCCGGAGCTCAGCCATCAAAGGATCGTGCGGATGCCACAGCAGCTACTGCCTCCGCTCGACCTCAGGTGCAAGCCACCGCTCCATTCGCTCCCACAACCGGTTTCAGTGGCAGTGCTCAGAAGCAGACAACAGCGACTGCAACTGCAACTGCAACTAGGTCATCGCAGGCGCTAGAGCCCACTGCCGCGCCGCGAGTTGGCCCCGAGCCAAGCTCTAGCGTGACTGCTTTCTCAGCTCTGGCGGGCCTCGCAAGCGCGCCGACTGCAGCGGAAGAGGCATCAGCCCGGGCGATGGCGAGAAGAATGCGACCTACTGCAACAGAGTCCGAGCTGAATGACATGGTAGCGGCTTTCCTAGCCAGCGGCTGATTTGGAACTACGAAATGTCGTGTGCAATGTCCGCTTTTTGATCTGTATTTTACATCGGCAGGCGGTCAGGATATTCGCCTTTATTCTACATTGTCACTTTCTAGTCTGATTTGTTACTTTGCATCACCTGTCAAGAACTTTTCGAGATCTTTGCCTTGCTCTTCGTGCTTTTGCAGCTCCTTAGACCAGTGCTCCACTTTTCCATACGTCTTGACTAGACGTGCGAGCTCCGCACGCTGCTCTTGCAGGTTGGCCGGTAACTCGGTGTATGTGTCCTCGAACATGGAGCTCAGCGTGGGTCGCAGCTTCTTTTCGGCCTTGGTCATGGCTGCGATGACCTCGGCTCTGTATCGCTTGGTGGTCTCCTCCTCCTGCGCGTCGGACCACCAGCCTCTTTGTGTGAGGAAGTTGCGCATCCGATGCAGCGGGTTGTCCATCTTCTTCCAGTCCTCAACCGACTTTTTGGAGCGGTACGCGCTGGAATCGTCTGACGTGCTGTGGTGCCCGACGCGGTAGGTCATGCATTCGATCAGCACAGGCGTCGAGTTGGCCAGCGCACGCTTCTTGGCTCCACGCACGGCAGCGCGCACAGCAAAGGCGTCGTTGCCGTCGACGCGGATTGTCGGTATGCCGTAGCCCGGCCCACGGCTTGCGATACCATCACCGACGTACTGCTCGGTTGACGGAGTGGAGATTGCAAAGCCGTTGTTTCGGACAATGAATCTGTGTTTTGATGGGGAACGAAGAAGGGCATAAGTGTGCGAATCACTGGCAAACGACAAGAGGCTGGCACGTCGTCGCTCACAGAACAGGACTCCGCGTTGTGGCGGCGATGTTCAGGCCCGCATGAAAGTCGCCTTCACTAGCTGCACCTTCTCCAAAGTAGCACACTGCCACGTCGCCTTCCCTTCCCTTTGAGCGCTTCAGTGCGAAGCCAGCTCCAGCTGCTTGTGGTATCTGCGTCGCTAGGGGACTGGAAATGGTGTGGAAGTGCAGCTCTGTGGAGGAGTAGTGGCAGGGCATCTGTCGCGCTCGGTTGAGGTCATCGTGCACGCCGAACACTTGGCTCATCAGATTGTCAAGAGGAAACCCACGCCAGAGGAGGACTCCAGACTCGCGATATTGCGCAAAGACTTCGTCCGTGGTGGCCAAGCCCGCTGCTGAGCCGATGACCGCTCCTTCTTCACCGTAAGATGTCATCATGAAGGAAATGCGGCCTTGACGCTGTGCATTGTAGAGGATCACGTCGATGGCCGGCAGCAGGAGCATTTTCTCGTACATCTTTACCGCTTCTTCTTGTGTAATCTGCAGAGATGAAACCCATGTGAACTCACGATTGTCGAGCGAAGTAAGACATGCAAATGAAAGCGCGATCGAGGACGAACCTCTAGTGCCTCGTCCGTGACACCCTCGAGTAGACTCCCCGTGCCGTCCATGAGCCTGAAAGTCGGGATTCCCGTGCCCGGGCGGCCATCCGGTCCGTGAACTTGGCTCTCATTAGCTCTGACGCTATCGAAGAAGCTGCTGTCGAGCGAGGTGAGATACGGCGAGGTGGGGTAGCCAGGCAGATGCCCTTGGAACTGCGCCTGCAGCTGGCTATTACTTGCCGCAAGACCCGAGGCAGCCGAGCGAGAGAAGCAGCGACGTTGCAGCTGCTGAAATTTCCTACTTTGCTTGTCTGCTTCGTGCGTGCTCGGCTTGATTGACTCACGGGGAGCAGCGTTCCTCAACGCGGTCAGCGACGCAGCGACTGTGTCGCACCTCGAGCCCGAGGCGACAGCGCGAGCCGCATTCCCAAGGAACCCTGTACGAAGCATACTGAGTATTTCGGCAAAAAAAAACTCGGACCGGCCACAGGAGCTGCTCTCTGAATCGAACAATAATGATGACGAGGCTTCGTCCTGCAAGCATGAAAGTCAGGTTACACTGCTATATACAACATTAGTGAGTCAAAGCCGACCATAGTGTGGCCGAGGATGATCCACCCCACCCTCGGCTAGACGCGGACTTTGCGATTCAGAGAGTTTCTACACTCTGCGGACTGATCCTCTGATCCCACATTTCACACATTGTCTCTCACGTATCTCTTAGTTTCGCTCGCATTATCTTAGATAGTCCTCAAGCAGCCAGCCAAGAGCAACAGATATCCGAAGAACCCCGAGTATGTAGCTGGCGATGGAACGGCGTGCCACGGTCGAAGGCACAGGGCAGGTGGCATCTCCGCCCAACAGGTCGCGTCAACGGCCTGATATTCCCTCCAACTCATTAGTGGCCCGGCATGCCGCACGAGGGAACCTACAAGGGCACGCGGGCGAGGCGGTTTGGATAGCAATGTGATGTGCACTGGAGTGCTTCTGAAATTCTGTGTCAATCCCTGTTGCTGCTATGCTGACATTATTCACAAGCATGCGCTGATCAATCGTCGCTGGTATCGCTCGGCTGTGCTCTGTGCATCTTCCCCTTCTGATAATGCACCCCTGGAAGGGCCGGGTCCCTCGGCCTACAGAGCTGTGTCGTCGACTTGGCGCACGGAACCTTTGCATGGAGCCACATGTTAAAGGAAGCGAAATGATACGAGCGACGAGCTGCGTGCGAGGGAGCGCTGCTCTAGCAGGATTCAACAAGTGGATGAGGTCCAAGACGCCGCGGGTTCGTGTGAGCAGACGCTGCCACATGTAGTCACTCTTCATCTGTATCAATCTTACGTACGAGAGATATTTGCAACAATAATCGCTCTGTCCTTTGGAGCCCAGCACGCCCGAGTCCGCGCCATTGCTCTAAATGGATTCATTTGGGGCACTGCTGCTTTCTGGTGTTAGATGTTGAGAAGCAAGCGCACAAGCCGACGCGCTCGCTCATGTTTATTCGTGACCCGCCACTAACTAGTTGGCCACCGTCATCGCATTGGTTCAAAATGTATGGCTTCTCAGGCTACGACCTCGCTCAGGACGCCCAGCGGTGCGGGTGCAACTTGTCAGTTCATGCGAAGTTCACACCCTCGGAGAGAGAAGTTGCGGCAAACGCTTGTGATTCGGTGCACACGGTCAAAAACACTCTTGTTACCTCGGGGTAAGTCTGACAAGGACGGTGACTCTTCCGTCTGAGCGGCCCTAACCGTAGAGGGCCTGTCAAGCCGGCAATGAACGAAAGCGCGGAGGCTCGATTAGCGAGATGGGTCTGAAACAGGGTGGGAGGACGACAAGCAATGAAGTTCTAGACCTTTGTTACATACTGCATGTATTGCGCTCTACACTGGCGTTGTTTAAAAGCCTGGCGTCTACAGAAAACAGGTGCGACGCATGGGCGTCCGTGCGCTCATATAGCCCCGCCTTGATGCCCCGAGGACCATGTATGCACTCTCGGATGGGATCTGTTCAGAGGGCGTAGACAAACGCGCCCATGGCAGCGGCGGCGACGGCAGCGATGGCAGCGGGCTGCTGGACGGCGACGGCAGCGTTCTTGCTTGTCGGGCTGGCGGTGGGGATAATCGCGGCACTGGAGCTGGTGGTGGTGGCGAGGAGGCCTGCGCTGCTGGCCTGCGCGAGGGCCGAGCTGATGACACTCACCTCCTCCTGCAGAGCCGAGTTGCTCGGGCTGGCCGAGGCGGCAGCGGCAATCGAGCTGTAGTACGACTGCGCGAGCGGCAAGAGCGAGGCCGCCGCCGACGGGTTCGCCTCGGCGCTGCTGATGATCGACTGCAGAGTCGCTGGGTCAAGGCTGGCCTCTGAGGGTTGTGGGTGTGGGCACATAGCAGACGGGAGCAGACGTATGCGTCACATCAGCGTCACATATCAGCGGGGGTTTACCATGCCGTGATTGCACCGTCCCAGAGCTGCTTGCTGCGCGCAGACATCATACTCACGGCGCTTGGCCACCGAGGTCGGCTTGAGGCTCGCCTCGGCCGAGGTCACGGCGAAGCCGAGCACGAGACTAGCAAGGACAGCAATGGAGGTAAAGGTTTTCATGATGGTCTGTGGGGGTGAGAGTGTTGTGGTGACAGGGAGCGTGGAGGAGCAAGCGATGAGACGGTCAGAAGGGGTGGGACAAGATTCATGAGACAAGGGCATGCGCTGTTGCCACGGTGGTTAAGTACATGCAGTGTGGCTCCATGTACTTACCAGGAGATGCCTTTGCTATACGTCGGTGATCGTTGCGTGAACCCCGCAAAAGCTTGGGTCTTTCCCGCACCGCCCAGATTCCAGGTGGGGTTACGTCCGTGTTGTGCTTACACTGGAGCAGTGCCTGAGCCAAGAGTAATACTAAAGCGGCATGGAGACCGCATCTTGACCGGAATGTTGTGAAGAACGGTGGATCACGTAATCATGCATACATGTGGCTGGGTAAAGGCAGCGATGCATTTGTTCCGCCGCATCATGCTTGAAGCTGAGCGTCATTGAACCATCGCTTCCATTCGTTATCACATCTCTTTCCCCTGTCTTGCAGCCCTTACCAGTAACGCCAAACATCTTTCCTTCGTCTAGAGCATCTTCTCGCATGCACTGCAGACGACTTTGGCCTCTTGGCCCCGATCCATTGCAGGACGGCGCAGTGGTGAAGGCGGAGTCCGCCCGATCCAAGCAACCTAGGAGAAATGAAAATGAAAAAAACCGAAAAAAGAATAGCATTGCATGTAATTATTTCATCGAACAGAGGGGGACCAAGTTTGGCTCCAGTACACATTCGCTACATCTTTCATTTGCCGAATTGCGTCTACAAAGCATTCGCGAGGCCCAGGACATGCACGACGTTCAGCCCTGTCGCGGCATGGGCCCCACCATCGGCACATCCACAAACGTTTCCCCGCTCCCCACTCATGCTCAACTTTGCTATATGCATCTGCATGCTCCTGAGACTTGTATTGACCTAGCCATTATCCTTGCCTTCGTAGTTTGCCTCTGCACCTCTAGGGATTGGTCTACTGTGAGCGCCGACGGTGGCAAAGAATAGACAAAGGCGCGGAGACGTGCACCAGCGGACTGCTGTACTTGTGGACTATACCGCAGAATGTATGCTGGCGGGATGTTGATACTGCCGCTGCCGGCAGTGACTGCTGCGCTGGTGTGTCCGGTGCGCCACTGTATACAAGTCTCCAGGTTCTGGGTGCTCTCGGTCTCACCTCGGGTATGGCGATATCCAAACAGCACCAACAAATACACTGGTACATACTTGCCTTGACTTGACACAGCTCAAGGGTCATTGTAGTCTGCATCTCTCCAACACGGGGTGGTAACAACTACCAAATTTCCAGTGCAATAGAATGCCTTCCCGGCCTCGGCCTCACACATGTTGCAACAGTCACGTGTTGAGCACACACAAGCTTCTCGTCTCAACCCAGAGCGACTCGTCACCAGTCCGTTGTACCTCAAGGGGAGGTCCAAGAGGGTAAAGCTCTATCATCTCCTTCGCAAGGATATAGGTGCGGACAGTTCAACAGATCTTCGCCATCCCATTTCTCCGCGTCGATGTCTCCGTGTCATAAACGTCATGAATGCCACAATGAGATGCGTCAAGGGTTGCGTGCGACGAACAAACGGGGGACTTGGATGCCGCAGCGCTTCCCCCATGTCCCAAGAAGATAGGCAGCGCATAGCCGGCTGAGAGCAGGGAGACAGATGGGAAGGCGCTGACGGTATGAGATGAAAGTGATCGTTGCATGCTGATGCGGTGGATGGAGCAATCGGAACGTGCGAGGCATGAATGAATGCATGAATCATAAATATCGAATGCATCTAGTGGAGTAGTATGCACGCACATATGAATGCGAGAAGTCCGCTGGCTGCTCCCTCGGGAGCCGGGACCTCAGCATTCCTCGCTCAGTGCTCGGTGCGCACGGTATATATAGACTCAATAGCCCCACGGCCTCTGAGCCATTCGCCCCCGCTGAGCAGTCTGCCCACCGTACATCGCCAGACTGTGTCCAGAGGAAACGCAGGTGTCCCCGGTCAATGCCATCGGCGGTGCTTCCGACTTTTTGAGCACGTTCTTCTCGCGCCCCTTCTATGTACATGTCCATTACATACTCGCCGCCGACCAGGCGGTGACCTGTGAAGGACATGTCTGGTGCGGTCGTACGGTAATGCACGAGCCTATGAAATGGGATTGCTGGTAACGGCACTGGATGTCAACGGGGAACTTCATTTGGAAAGCAATCTACTTAAATGTTACAGATACTCAGAGCTAGGATGAAGGACACCTGATGGTTGATTGATGACCAGTGGTCCATGTGATAGAAGGACAGAATGCGGTATCTTGATGAAACAATGAAGTGTCCATGAGTGAGAATGTATGTATGCTGTGGAAAAAGAGAGAGAGAGAAAGGAGGGGGGAAGGCTCTGCGTGTCGCCACGTCATTCAAAGCGACGCCAGCGCCCATCGCCTCGTCGCGACGAGCGACTGCGCCTCGACCATGCCGAGCTCGCCCTCGTTCCCGACGTCCTCTTCGCCCCTTTCGTTGTAGCTCAAGTCCTCGTACGTGTGCCATGTGTCCTTGGACGTCGGCTGCGGGCAGCGCCAGTCCTTGCCGTACTTGCTCGGACCAAAGTTGAGCATGCTCTGCCCGCTGTCGATGAGCCCCCGCGCGACAAGGTCCGAAGCGATCTGGGCCTTGGACGCCTTACGTGAGTGACCGAACTCTTCGGAGCCTGAGATGAGCGAGCCGGTGCCCGTGGCGGACTGAGAGATGAACATGGTATGCGATGCAGAGCAACCGTGGCCCCCGAGCTCCTTTTCCTCTCTGTCGAGGCTGCCGTTTCCTGTTGCAGCGGCATCATGGCGCATGCGCTCGGCGCGGTATGCCTCACGCCAGCGCGCGAGCTCCTCGGCCTTCTGCCCGTCAAAGACGCGCCCGATGGCGCCGATCTTGCCGAGCGTCTCGAATGCGACGACGACGACGAGCATGGCGGCATGCACGCCGAGGAAGCTGAGCGAGGACCAATCCTGTTTGAGCGGCAGAAGCGCAAAACCCCCAGCAACGAGCGAGCGGAAGCCGATGCGCATGCGTGTCGACGCGAACGCCGAGCCGTGCAGATCGAGTGACTCGTGGATCAGCGCGATGAATGCGATGCACGCCATGGCCAGAGCAAGCGAGCCGCTGAAGAACCAGCGGAAGCCCTGCTGGACGTCGTCGAGTGCGATCAACTTCGCCAGCGCCGAGCTCATCAGGATCAGCGCCGCGCACAGCGGGAAGTGGATGTTGGTGAACGTGATCGACGGCCACCAGTGTCGCCGCAGCGCATGGACGAACGTGCGCGAGCCGTCGGCGTCAAAGTAGATCCACATCAGCATGAACGCGATCATGATTGCCAATGCTGCGCGCCCGAACTGCGGGCTGAAGCCGTACGAGCCCGCATGCGCTGTATATGTCGAGTTGAGGATCGACTCGCCGATGATCAAGATCGAAAAGAGAACCATGCGTTCCTGCGATGCGGTCGCGGAGGGTTGGGAAGGGCGGTCAACAGGGAAGGGACACCGCAGGAAACTCCTTCTCGCGCTCACTCACCTGAAGATGCTCGACAGAGACAGCAGGGAAGAAGGTGTGGTGTCCGCGGTGCTTGATCCTGCCGTGGAGCCACTGGTTGGCGGCAGCGATGCAGTACTTGATGTTGAGGTCAACGACGATACCGATGACGCACAGGATCATGACAGCAGCGGTGTTGGTGGTGAACATGAGCGGCATGAACACGGACGCGATGAGCGTCAGGAAGAGGCCCTGCAGCCAAAGCGCCTTGCGGAAGCGAGGGAGGAGCAGGCCATAGATGAAGAGCATCAGCAGCCGCGCACACTTGGCGATTAGGAAGAAGGCGATCGCCCAGAAGACGGCCGTGTGCCAGCCCTCGGCAAAATAGTACGACTTGAACAGGCGCGCGCCCATGTCCGCTGCGAACTCCGGCTCCCCCTCCGCCCCACCTTCCGATGCGCGCTTGATCGCCCACGCCGCGCCAAGGACGACTGCGCGGGCGGCGTGCTCGCTAACGGTCGCTGCGGCTGAGCCAGTGGAACCACCGTCTGGGGGATCAGTGAGCGCGGCGGCGGAACCGCCGACGTCCGTGTGGCCGCTCAGGTCGACGATGTTGACGGCGGTTGCGTTGGCGGCGAAGCCGGCGAGGAGAATCATGATAAAGAGGATGTATAGGCGCTGCCAGACATCATCGGTGCCGCTTTGATTAATGTAGCCGCGCGTGTCGGTCCAGACGGAGAAGGCAAGATAGAAAACGATGACGAACTTGGCGACGTTTATTCCCGTCGCCGCCTCGGCCGCGCCGTCGGCAAGGCGATGGACAACGCCGACGAAGACCAGGTCGAAGAATAGCTCGAAGCGCGAAGGGATGCGCTCCGACGTCTCGCGGTAGATCTTGCCGTCGTGGATCCATTGTCGGATCAGCGGGCGCTTGAATAGGTGCGACAGGGTGATCGGCACGTCCGGACCCATCTCGGCCTGCAGCGACGAAGTTGTTGAATCAGATCACAAGCACAGCGTACATCGAATGGAGGAGGAGGGGGCGAGCAGAACTCACGATGTAGCCGCCCTGCGAACCATGCGCCAAGTCGAACTCGCTTGGGCCGCGCACCATGGCGTGCGCTGCGGTTCCTTTGGCGATGTCATTGTGCTCGGGTGCCGAGTGCAACCGGGTAAGGTCCTCTCCGCGCTCGCGATGTGCAACGCCATCCTGTAGCAACAGCCGCGTTCCTTTCTCTGCGCTTCCCAGCTCCGCGCGTAAGGCGGAGCGCTGAATCAGCTCGATCTCGTCGGAATGCGCGCGATACTGCGTGGGTGTCTCTTGCTGCTGTTGTTGTGGTGGGTTGTCGCCCAGCGAGAGCGCGGCCCAGAGGCCCTGCTCTCGCTCTGCACGTTCCTGTGCAACTGCCTTGACTGGCTCCCAGCCGGCGGTGTGCTGGCGGTCGACATGGTGTCCTGCCGGATAAGAGTTTGTTACCGAGTGCCCCTGCTGCTGCATCTGCGACGACCGACGGGGGCTGCGCGAGGTATCTTCCCAGTCGCCCAGCATGCTCTGCTGGTTCGGGTCGATGACGCCTCGCGCTTCATCCGGGTGCGGCGGCGAGTCGATCGTGTCGTGCATCAGCGTCGAGGCGTGGCGGAAGGCGGAGCGCATGTTGGATCTATTTGTATGTCTGCCGGAGGCCTGCCTAGGGTCGGTGTTTCTTTTGGTGTGTTTACGAGGGTGCTTGTCTTCGCGTTGAGGATGGCTTGGGTTATGTGATGGAATGGGCGATTGTGTGCCTCGGCCTCTTGCTGTTATGCGTGCACCTGTCACGGGCCTCGCCCCTGCGGGGGTGGGTTACTGGGTGGGTGAGTGAACGAGCGAGCGAGCGAGAGTGTAGTGAGAAAATGAGTGAAGAGGGCCGTCGACGACCTGCGTCGAGTGGGGTTCTCTTTGTGGACGAATCGATTCCATGCAAAGGAGTGTGGTCGGTGTCGAGGCAGCGAGCCGGGGATTGCTCCTACCCTCTACCTTTGTGCTTCCGAGGAGGCTCAAGCTGATCAGAGTGGGCTGTGAAAGAGATGAACAGCTGGGTGCCGCTTTAACTCCCTCTTTCCCGATGCCACGATACACACGCTAGGCAAGGATGGGAACATGAGATGGGGGAAGGCCGAGCAGCAGACGACGGACGACAGTTGCGCGCACTCACAGGGAATCGATGCCCGTCTCACACATGTGTTCGTGGACATTCAATTTGACTGGTGGTGGTGGTGGCGGCTAGGCTGCTCGAGTCAAAGTTGAAACCCCATGCAGCGATCAGATCAGCATACCAAACATTCATCCAGTGCCGCCAAACAAGGATAGTGCCGTGTCCACTGGACGACTCTCGCTAGCCACGCCGCACCTTCCCGCTGGAGAAATGTGGAAGAGTGGAGTGGAGCCCAAGAAACGCAAGGGGGGTCGGATGCTCCGAGGAGGCACTGGATCCCAGTACGACCCGCTAATGCCTCGTCCATTCGATTTCCGCTCCCCCGGCAGAAGAGAACTCTCCTGTGCTGTCGGGTGAGACTCGCAGGTTAGACAGCTCATCCAGTCGTCAGACCGTGGGATTCAAAGATATGGGCATCGCTTTGTAGGCTCTCTTGGCGATTATGGGAAGCGCGCGTTCCCAACCTTGTCATGGCGCTGCCGTGGTGGACTGGTGGCTATCTCACTTCTCACAGTCTGAGCCTATTGCACGACCACGATGCATTGGAGATGCGACCGGTGACATTCGTTGAGTTCCCATTCGCAACGTCACAATCGTGTGAGATTGTGAAAGGGTCCTTCTTGGTTGTGCGCAGCTGTGGTTCTGGATACATAAATCTGGCAGTTGCGACTCGACAGCTCGAGGTTCCTGCTTCATTCAGTATGCACTTCCATCGTCTGTGTGGCTGTCAGTCGTCTTTGTGTGGCCAAAAAAGGGTCCGCTTAGATCTCACCTGCGGCGCTCAACACTCTTCGCTATCACAGGTACCAAACGGACGGCTTTCAAGCAGAGCGCATGCACTTTCTCCACTGCGCCAACCGCGTGGAGTTCAACAACAGATCCATTGAGAGATGCCTTGGGATTAGCTCAGTGCAAAATGTAGGCTCCTTGCATCAACCGTACCCATTTTCTTGGCGTACAGCAGGCTGCGGCGGGCAAAGAAAGCTGCCTGGCACGTTGGAAGCTGCTCGGAAAGGCACATGGCACTGGGTATCGTGGATGGATAGAGGTGGCTACAGCCTACAATAGTAGCGATTGGGCATGTGGCATGTGAAGCGTCCTGCGGCAATATCTTCAGTGCCAATCTGCTCTGCGCCGAGCTTGCCGACCTGAATGCACTTTGGCCATCGTTCCAAAAGTGTGATGGGCGAAAGATGTGAACGTCGCTTTGGCGTCGATCGCCGACGCCGAGACGAAGAAAAATAATGGCGACGCGAGGCTGGGTGTGTTCATCTGATTGACATCGGCCTTGCACAAGCCGGCAAGTGCATTTGCACGATCTTCAACATACACCTTCCATATGTGCCTAAAGATGCGGCTGCGCCGGACAGTGAGATGGCCGGTTCATTCGAGGAGGAATACGCCCAAGGTAGAGGCTACAAATGAACAAAGAGCGAAGTAGGAGAAGATGGACAACCAGCAGCGCGACATATACGACAGTGACAGATCACAATGTCACAAGCACGTCAAGAGAATCTATTTCGTCAACGGCTCCGTAGGGACCCAGCAAGACTCCGTTTTGTAATTTATTTTGGCGATCTCCTCAACCATGTACCCCACAATCGCCGCGCTGCTACTGATTGACAGCAGGACCGGGCACTCGCAGTGCAATTGCCCATCCGCACGCAGCTGCATCTGCACTCAACGTCACAGCAGAAGCGCAATCAGAAGCTGGTCATCATCGAGCTGTCGTTCTTGCATTCAACGTTGATGGTTCGCCATTGATATTTCCACAGAAGCTTCAAGCGAACAATAGCATCGCCTCGAGCAATCAATCGCTATCGCTATTGAGCTCAATCAGCGGATCCTCCAGGCGCGCAGACAGCTTGAACGCGTGATCATCGTCCGGATCTTCGACGAGTACGATGCGCACCTGCTCTTCCTGCTCTACCTCTTCCAGATCCTCCTCATCTGCACTATCCACTTGGTGCATTGACGCGTCCCCGTCCGTATCCGTAGCATTCCCATCGCGCACTCGCTTTCCAGGCTGCAAGTACCTCTGCTGCGCCTTCTGGATCGACGCGCCAGCCCGCGCGGTCCTCGAGGACGACGACCCGCGGCGGCGCAGGATGCGCTGGAAGACTGAGCGGCACTCAACTTCGAATGTGCCCTCGCCGTCAAAAGCGCCGATGCCGTCCCAGAAGCTATCGTCTTCGTCGTCGTCGTCGCTGTGTTGTTCCCTTAGCTCGTATTCAAAGCTGATGCTGTTGTTGAGAGCAGCGCCATCCCCACGCGGCCCCACATGTGACTGCAGCCTCCGAGGGCCATGTCGGACCTTGTGCCCCGCCTTGCACTCCGCCCTGCGCGCCCGCTCCCTGACGTGTCGCTTTGCGAGCTTGATCAGCTCACCGGCAGGGTAGATGTCCACCAGGCCTTCCTCCTCGTCCTGCTTTCGGCGTGACACCTCGTCCTCGTCCTCGACGTCGAACTCGTCCTCGTGCTCTTCGTACTCCGCGTTCTCCTCGAGCTCCTCGAACCCGGGCGCGTACGCCGACCAGATCTCCGCCGTCGGAGTCGACCACAGGTTGACGTTCCCCGTCGACGAGACAGACGCGGCCGCTGGCCGGTGTGGATGCCACTGCTCATGCCAAGAGTTGCGTGTCAGTCGTACCATATTTCGTAGGTATCCCAGCCCCACAGCACCCTCTTGGGCGCGGCGCGACTCACATCAAGGCCAATGAGCGGCTCCTTGGGACCTTCGAGAATCCTGTTGAGCGTGCCCGTCATGCGCTCCCAGATGTAGATATTGTGCGCAGTAATGTTTGTTGCACCGCCAAAAACGTACTCGCCATCACCGGTGAAGCCGATGCCGCACCACGGTGTCCGGTTGACGCGGTCCTGCACCTTGTATAGCAGGCGCACGTTGAACGGCTTATTGACGCGCGGCTGCGGTGGCGCCGAAGCAGAGGGGGAGCAGGACGGGTTGGTAGACGCAGCCGTTGCGGCGAGCGCGGCCGGCTGGTCAACGTCGGCGTCCTCTTGCGCTGCTTCGAGCACGGCAGCGATAGCCTGTGCACTGCGCTCGGCGTGTGAAAGATCGTTGCCTCCCTGTGATACACTGATCACCTGTGCGTCTTCGTCCACTGCCTGTAAAGACGTAGGTGCAGCGACTGTCACAGCCGTTGCCGCTACCGCTGCCGCCACATGCACAAGCGCCTCAGGTGCCGGACTGACCGATGGCATTGACGACCACGTGTTAGGCGACTCTGCGCCGTGGCTGCGATGCTGCTGTGATGGCTCGGGCGGAGGCTCGTTGTTGATACTGATGCTGAACGCACGAATCGCCCGATCGTTCGAATTCACGAGAAGCATCTTGCCCGTAGCGTCAATCGCCATCTCCTTGATCAGAGCCGGGCCTAACAGACCCGCAGCTGCCGCGGGTGACGCCGACGCGTTGCCCATTCCGCTGGCACCACCACCTTCGCATTGCACAAGCTGCCGCGAGCACAGATCATATACCAACAGCCCGCCTCGCGACGTGCCGGCAAAGATGTGTCGGCCATCGTGCCCGAAGATGGCACATGAAATCTTCTGCGGGATGTGCCCCTTTCGCCGAGTAGGCGGTGGTGGTATGTTGTCGCTACGCTCTTCTTTGGCGCTACCCATGTCAGCATCACCTGCTACAGCCTCCGCCGAAACAGAAGGAGATGAGGGAGAGGGCGGAGGCTGCAGGTAAGGTGCAACCGGCGTGTCATAGTCACCGCCGAACGTCCACCGACGGACAGGTAGCGGAGAGAATTCGGGAGTGTCCCAGGGTTGGTCACTGCCGGACTTGTTTGCCCCTTCCTGTTGGATCACCTGCCCATTGCTATTGTGATTGCCATTCTGAGCATTGGCGTTGGTTTGATGCTTTCCTTTGATCCGCCGGCGCGTGACCTGTATGCGCTGTTGCAAATCGATCCAGACGGCTTCTTGCGTCTCAAGGACAGCAAGAAGGTGGTTCCTGAATGTCAATTGGCAATGAGAAGCATCAGCAGGGCGTGATAATGTATTTGTTCTGTCCCAAAATGAACGCACGAATTCTTCGGGTCGTACTGTACACTGAGGACGGCGGTGTCGAACTTGATGTTTCTGAATTGTGTGCCGGATCCTTGCGAGAGGTCCCAGATGATGATCGAGCAGTCGTACGAGCAGGAGGCCAGGAAGCGATTGTTAGGCGACCATCTGAAAGAGGGAGCGCAGATTCGTGTGGTCAGCTGGCGCCACAAAGTGATACCGGAAGTCCAGAAATGATAAATGGAAGTACTCACGCAACGCCCAGCACCGTCTTTGTATGCCCAACCAGCCATCTTACGATCCGTTTCGTCTCTGCATCCCAAATGGCGACGACGCCATCTGTCCGACCCGTGGCGACAAGCTGACCGGAAAATACGAGGTTCCAGTGCCCTTTGTTGTACCTGCAACACGTCGCGGCAGCATATGCCAAGACGGAGTCGACGCTGTCCGGCGTGTCGTGTGCGAACGGGTCTGGAATGGTAACGAGCACGTCCATTGATCTTCGTCAGCAAGATGTCCTTTCTACATCGCATCCGACGAGCTTCCTAGAGTCGAGCGTCTCTCCATTCGCACAGGAAATGCCAGGTCACTCCCGCCTGTCGACTCACTCTGCAGAGTACCATTCATGCCGGCTGGGATGCCAAGCAGGGATCGTCGCAGTTTGTCCGCTAACTGCGGCTGGGGTTCACTGCACCCCGGCAATAATCGCCGACAGCCAATAGCATGTGATCACAATGGAGCATATATGAGGCCTTGACTCACTCCCAGACGTGTCGAAGCAGACATCGATCCATCGGCACTCCCTCTCGTCTTTCTTGCTCTGCGAAGAGCAGCTTAGGCGCGTGGCCATGCTTTCTTTTTGTGCAAGCCGGGTACATCCTAGTTGATGGCGCGTCGCGTGTTCGAGTTGAAAAGTTGCGTTGGACGCGGCGAGTTTTGCGTGAGTTTACAAACGATCTGAATGCACCGATTCGTTCTCTGCCCGGTTGTTGCTAGCTGCATGTGATCGAACATTCAAAATGATTTTCGAAACAAGCGGTCTCGTGCTCACGAGATGCTTCCGGCGGCTTCTAGCAGCTTCTAGGACCTTCAATCGCATAGTAGGGTTATTCTTGCCCGGATGACATCGGTTGCGCTTTGGAAGACGAGGCTTCGATCATCCCAATCACTGCAGTCCAGCTGGGGAGGGCATGGTAGGGTATATAGGAGCGGCATCGCTTACACATTAATACGATGTTTACTTCGCCCCTATACCTCATCGGCTCCGTACGATTGATACCCGCCAGCACTTGACACAGACAACGGAAGTATGGCCTTCGAATTCACAGACCGCGCACAAAGCGCCGTTGGCGCAGCATCACAGCTGGCCAAGGATTACGCTCACCCACAAGTCACAGGATCACACCTCGCCCTCGCTCTCCTGCTCGACTCCAGCGGCCCGACCGTAACGGGTGTAACAGCTCCTGGCGCTGCAGGGGCCGCGGGGGCCGGCTCAGGATCGGCGGCGACCGAATCGCTGTTCCACTCCGTGCTCAGTAAGGCCGGCGTGGACGTGGCAAAATTAGAGCAAAGTCTGCGCGACACGCTGCGCAAGATTCCGCAGCAAAACCCACCGCCCGATGAGACGTCGTTCAGCCGAGAAGCGCTGAAAGTCATTCAGGAAGCCGACAAGCTCAAGAAGACGCAGCACGATTCGTACATCGCGCAAGACCACCTGCTGCTCGCGCTAGTAGATCACGACACCACGCTCAAAGGCTTGCTCAAGGCCGCCGGCCTCGCTAACTCGGAGCTGCTGAAGACGGCCATCACAAATGCACGCGGCGCCAGAAGGATCGAAAGTAAGGCCAGCGAGGCGGGTTTCGACGCACTCAACAAGTACTGTACAGACTTGACCATGCTCGCCGCCGAGGGCAAGCTCGACCCTGTCATTGGCAGAGATGATGAGATCCGCAGAGTCGTGCGAGTTCTCTCGCGACGTACTAAAAACAACGCAGTCTTGATTGGAGAAGTGAGTCAATTCTTGGAATGTTGACTGTGATTCGGTGTAATGACGGTGACAAAGCCATTTGTTTATTTCACAGCCTGGTACCGGAAAAACTGCTGTCATGGAAGGACTCGCGCAACGGATCATTGATCGGGATGTCCCGCCAAATCTTCTCGGACGCCTTCTTTCACTCGACATGGGCGCACTTATGGCAGGCGCAAAGTACCGCGGCGAGTACGAGGAGCGCGTGAAGGCTGTTCTGGACGAGATCGAAAAGGCTACCGAGAACGGGACCAACATCATATTGGCAATCGACGAGATGCATCTCTTGATGGCAGGCAAGGGCGGTGACTCGGGTATGGACGCGGCGAATCTGATCAAGCCCATGCTTGCGCGCGGCAAGCTTCGTTGCATCGGTGCAACGACCCTTGCAGAGTACCGGCAATACATTGAGAAGGATGCCGCGTTCGAGCGACGCTTCCAGCAGGTCCTTGTCGAAGAACCGGATGTCAATGCCACCATCGCCATCCTCCGTGGTCTGCGCGACAAGTACGAGGTGCACCATTCTGTGCGCATTCTCGACTCTGCACTCGTCCAGGCTGCCGTGCTCGCCAAGCGCTACCTTACCAGCCGCCGCGCACCCGATAGTGCAATCGATCTAGTCGACGAGGCTTGCGCAGATGTGCGTGTGCAGCGCGACACTGTACCAGAGGACATCGATAAGCTGCAACGCAAGAAGCTACAGCTCGAAGTCGCCATCCATGCCCTCGAGCGTGAGAAGGACGCTAGCAGCAAGGAGGACCTCGAGAAAGGACGCAAGGAGCTGTCTCAAGTGGATGAAGAACTCGCGCCGCTTATCGCCAAGCACGACGCAGAAAAGGCAAAAGGCGATGAAATCAACAATGTCCGCAGGCGCATCGAGGAGCTGCAGCAAAAGGCACTAGATGCGGAAAGGAGGTACGACCTGCAGACGGCAGCCGACCTGCGCTACTATGCCATCCCGGAGCTTGAGGTGCGTCTCAAGAGCCTGCAAATGGAGGAGCGCAAGCGTGAGGAAGAAGGCGTGAGCAATGGCGCGAACACAGTCACTTCCGAGCGTATCGCGCAGATCGTCGCTCGCTGGACGGGAATCCCCGCAGCGAAGATGATGGAGGGCGAGAAGCAGAAACTGCTCAAGCTCGAGCACTTACTTGCCAAGGACGTCATTGGGCAACCGGAAGCTGTCAAAGCGGTTGCGCAAGCCATCCGCCTCTCTCGCTCCGGCCTAGCCAACCCCAACCGACCGATCGCATCTCTGCTTTTCTGCGGCCCGAGCGGAACCGGCAAGACGCTCCTCAGCAAAGCTCTTTCCAAGCAGCTCTTCGACGACGAGAACGCCATGATGCGCATAGACGCATCCGAGTACAGCGAGAAGCACTCGATCAGCAGGCTCATCGGCGCGCCGCCTGGCTATGTCGGGCACGATTCGGGTGGCCAGTTAACTGAGTGGATCCGCCGACGTCCGTACTCAGTCGTGCTCATCGACGAGATCGAGAAAGCGGCCAAGGAGTTCGTCACTCTCTTCCTGCAGATCTTGGATGACGGGCGCTGCACAGACGGTCAAGGCAGAGTGGTCAGCTTTAAGAACTGTGTCATCATCATGACTTCCAACCTCGGTTCCGCATCGATCAACGCTGACCCGTCCGCAGACGAAGGCGGCTCCATCTCGCCTGCCACGCAGCAGCTGGTGCAGTCAGCGATCGCGCAGCACTTTGTCCCCGAGTTCATCAATCGGATCGACTCGACCATCATTTTCCGCAAGCTGAGCCGCAAGGACATCCGCAGCATTGTCGAGAGCAGAGTCAAGGAAGTGCAGCACCGACTTTGGTCCAATGGCCGGCGCATTAAGCTGCAGCTCGATGACGGCGCCAAGGACTACCTCGCGTCGATTGGGTACAACCCCTCGCTTGGCGCGCGGCCACTTAACAGGGCCATCCAGAGCAGCCTGCTCAACCCTCTCTCGCTGCTCATCCTTCGCGGTCAGGTACGCGACAATGAGACAGTCACTGTCACGTTCGATGGGCCCGGCAATTGCCTCCTGGTCAACCCAAACCACCCCATCCCTCCAGAGTTCGAGGACATTAACGAAGATATCGACATGGACTCTGACATGGCGAGCGATGCCTTCATCGAAGAGGAGCCGCTTGACTAAGGCGGGTCCATAAGCAAGCGCAATGCAGGCGACACAGATTGGTGGCCGCCCTTTCGATAATCGACAGGCTGTGAGGAGATATGATACTGGGGCGAGGTTCCCAAAGCATAGTGCTTTGTATTCAAGACGTGGTTCAGTCGCAAGCATCACACCAACGCAACTCTACAGTTTCACACATATGTATACAAGCTGCAACTTGCAATTCATTTGGTTCGAATTGAGGTTAACCTGCGATTGGTCAGGAAACGAGTGCGGTATAAGCTTCTCACTTGCTTGCTATAATGTATGATACACAAGGTACTGGTGACGACGTGAATGCACGGATCTAATGGGCTGCAATGAAGTAGTAGTGGTGGTGACTGTGTATGCAATTCGCCCGTTTTCTCCTAACACTCTTCATAGCTGGTGCTCTTCGTACTGCGGCTTGCGCTGACTGGGCGGCAAGCTGGTAGCCGCCTGAAGTATATCGTCCGGGATCAAAGGAGTCTTTGACTGCAGCAAGGGCGGCGTGCCCGGCGCCACCTGGCTGACCTTGACCGGCTTGGGTCGGTGTGTGTCGACAGCGTCGATGGGCAAGCGGAACCGTTTCTCGTCGCATCCGTACGCTTTCGGCGTCAGCTGGATGACAGTGTGTAAAGGTATCTTGATGTACGGCAGTTCTTCTTGCGAGAGCGAATGGAAGTAGGCGTACAAACATCGCAGGATCGCCTGGTGTCCAATGATGAGAATATTCTCTTGTCGTTCCAGCTCCATGATGACGGGCTCGAGACGTACGACAACGTCGCGGTATGACTCGCCGCCTCGGTACCGGTAGTTGAATTTGTCATCGTCGCGGGAGGCATAATCCTCGGGGTAGTACTGCTCGATCTCTTCGTACGTCATGCTATCACAGACACCAGCGTCGAGCTCATCCAGCGACTTCCACGCAAGCTTGTTGTATGGCAAAAAGGAGGACGTTTGCGCAGTCCGCTTGAGGGTCGAGTGCCACACAGTGAGAGGGGCGTCGCCGATATTATCCTTGATTAGATCTGGTAGAGCGCGCGCGTAGGACCAGCCTCGCTCGGATAGGTCGCTATCACCGCCAATCTTCCCTTGGACGTTGTACTGAGATTCTCCATGCTGTACATGGTTGATGGTTCATTTCGAAGCTGTCAATATGCCTTGCTCTGTCTTTCTCAGAGCATTTCAGTACTCACCCTTGAAAAGAAGATATTACGTGGAGTAAGGTGCAGGTTCATCAAATAAAACGCGATCCTCGACTCGAGATACCCTCGAATCTGATTGACGACGACGTTCTGGCCGACGTCGAAGATCTTGCAGTAGCTCAATTGACTCTCGCTACCGTCCGCATCGACAGGCTGATAAGCATCTTCGTAATTCTTGATCCGCGCCAAGAAATCCTTTTTCGCCTCCTCGGGTGACACGTTGGCGTAGTCTGGATCTCCGCTGCGAACTTTGACCGCGATATTCGCGGCGATGACCGCCGGGTCGGTGCAGATGCTCTCAAGGAAGACCAGTTTGAGGTTCGGCTCCTGCGCTACGCGCTTGGCTATCTCCTCGCGTCGCGATTTGGTGGTGTTCGTTGCATCGTGGATCCCCACGTTCCCCCCGGCCTTGAGCCATATAATCAGCTGCTCCAGGCACTCGGATGCCATCTGTGACCGTAGCGCATAAGCCTCTGGATTAGCAGGATCGAAGAACGAGGCCGTGTGATCTTCGGTGATGCCAGATTCTCGCAGCTTTGTCCGTGCTAATGCTCGCCGCATCTGTCCTACGTTGAACACTTTGACATCGTACTCGAGCCACTTGGGGGCGGAAGGTGAGAAAGTTAGCAATGAATCGAACAGCTAGCAAATGGAAGTTTTCGATTCACTTTGAGATATCGCATCAGTTTGTTACTAAGATAACTCTTCCCTCGGGCCGGCAGTCCAACCATAGCAACAACGATCTTCTGCTCGCTGTAGTCGGGCTTTGCACCTGGCTCGCCCAGATCCGCAACGAAATCAGGCGGCATGTCGGGACCGATGGCGATTCCATTTAGATGGTCGACAGGTGTAGAGGCGACGGGCATAAGTGAGGTGTCATGCATGGAGTTGCAGCCAGCGGGGGCCAACAGGCGGTGATGGCCAAAAATGGGGATCACGGGAGCGCGTGAGGACGAGGCGACAGGCAGGGAACCGGATGAGAAAGGGGCAAGGAGGAATGTCTCCGGTCAGCAAGCAGATACGTGTCTTGGTTGAAATGACCCCAAGGCAGCGTAACAAGAACGAGCAAAAGATGGTAGGAGTGTGACTTCCACACTGATGACAAGGTGATGTGGGTCGCGTGACCGATGGGTCGTAAGATGGCCCGGTCCTCGTGCGGGGATTGCCGGGCTCCACTAGTAGTCGGATCCCGGCTGACCCGAGGGAGGCAACCCTAACTGGCCACTGCATCGTAACCCTACAATGCCTAATATCGGGCCTCACATGTTAACTCACCCGGGGTACCAAGGTTCATGCCTCCAGGAGACGCGCCAGATGGAAAGGCCGAGTTTTCGAGGATGAGGCTGTTGCACACACTGCCTCGCCCGCTTTCCAGCAGCGGTGTCCCTGGCTCGCTGCCCTTTTGGCTGGCGCGTGCGCTGATGCTCTCGCTGCGCTCCATCAACGCTGTACCTGCGGCGGCCTTCAAGCTGCTGCTGATCAATTCAGGGTGGTCCCTGAGAAGCGCCTGCAGCCCGTCGCTCGACCTGGCGAGGTTGGATGACGCGACAGCTGCGCTGAAAAGATCGCGCTGCGCCGCATCAGGCTGAGGTGCAGGCCGCGAAGCCGCATAGGCCCCATGTGAAATGTGCCGGCCGGAAGAGGGTGTGTTGTTCCCGCCTGTTGTGCCGCTCGAGCGCGTGCGCGGATGCAGACCAAGGCCGCTACGAGCTGATATAGATGATGTGCGACCTAGTCCTCCTGGGCCTGTCGCTCCAGGGCTGAAGCTCCCCGAGCCTCCACCGTTCGAGGACTGCGAGTCCTTTCGTCGAAGCACGCGCGGCCGACCAGGTGTCGCAGTACTGCTACTGATGCTCGGCGTCGAGAACGCCAGGCCCGCGCCAGAGCCCGGGCTGTCAGCGGTGGAGTTATTGTTGCTCTGCTGCCCAAGGCTGCGGTTGGAATCGGTAGATGGCAGACGGGTGAGGGGCGTGAAAGGTGATCCACGCGGCGGCGAGGTCGTCGCCTGGCCTTGGGCGCTGACGCCGCCAGTGCCGGGAGCGAGGTTCGGTTCCGCCATGGTCTGAGAGCCTTTGTCTTAGAACTTCTATGAAGCTACTGTTTTAACAAAAAGGAGCATTCAATAGCCTTGGCTTGATGAAAATCGCTCGTCTGGCGCGAAAGATAGCAAGCATGCTCCAATCAAGTTACAAATTACATGCGACACGCGGTTCCCCCCTGCAATCGTTTGTATCTATGCGACGCGCGTGCTCGCGAGAGAGAGCAGGGTGATCACAGGGGCGCAACCCTATTTTACCCCCTGGGTTGAAAGGTCTTGGAGCGCCCCACACACACCGTCCCCTCCTCAACGCCCTTGACAGCTACCTTGAATGCTTTCGCTCGTCCCGATTCCGAATGCGACGCTCATCTGTTCGCAACTGAGCATTCCACGTGCAAGCTGCATACACCATAGCTGCATGGGGTGGCGCTGCCCAGATACCAGCAGCGTGCGATAGAGATGGGAAATACAAACTCGTCTAGACCCTCCGCCGACGCGGGCGGCGCCGCCACAGTGGCCCATCGGCCAGGCGAGACGTCACGCCCAGGTCTTTCCAGCAGTGCTACCAGGTCATGTCGTGTTCAGCATATCGAGGTGAGCCTCTTGGCAAAACAAGGGCCTTAAAAGGCTAGCATCAAAGCTCTTGCTTGTTGCTGACCGTCGGAGTGCATTCATTCCGCTTTCGATCGAAGGTGATCGGCGGTGGCCACGGTCACGGTCACGGTCTGTCTCCTCTCCCTCATCCCGCTCGCGTGCGCACCCGGACCCGGACTCACTCGCTCGGCTTGACCGTAAAACCGCGTCTTCCAATCGAACTGCGTCGTCACATCTACGGAATGACTGTTGCGATGCTCTTGCGCACCACGGAGGACCATACCGACGAGAACCATACGCAAGGTAGCACCGCGACAAGCGGCTCGCGGTCGGATATTATCTTGGACGTTGCATTAGTCGAACGTTCTGCGCGCACAGAGGTCCTATCCGCTCTGCTTTCTGAACTGACACTCAGCGGTATGTCTCAAATGCGCTCTTTCACGCGGTTCCTCACGCGTTACAGCGCAAGGGCCGCGTCTCCCAACGGCTTTGGACCATACGAAAGAAGGGGCGGCAGCGGCGAGTCACTCCACTTGGCTCGCACGTGCGTACGCACATTGCGCCTGCTGCAGAACCGCTCGCCATTCTGCGTCTCGGTTCGAGCGCAAGCCTCCAAAACCAGTTTGTACGACAATGTCGGTGCGACGAGGGCGTTTGAGCGCTCTCTCCTCCATGAAGACACCCTACCGCTACATCTCCTTTTTGCCGCCGACGATGCGCGCGGTGCCGCGCTCGAGACCCTGGTACTTCAGGGTCCACCGAGCGTTCTCTGTGAGGTCAAGGGCACTGCGCCAGCCCACCAAACTAGACAGAGGGTACTCGTGCAGCTCCGAGCAAATCTGAAAGAGCTTGTGTGCATGCTTAGTCTCTGGGGCAACGGTGATGCCTTTGAAGGCCTGTGGGAGATGGCCAGTGTCAGGCCTCCCGCTCCGTTCCAGTCGCTGCCAAGCGCCTGGTCCAGGTTGACCCACCTGCAACTCCATGGCCCCCGCATGCGGTTCACGACGCGCACAGCACACTCGCTCGGAGACTTGCCGGCACTCACACATCTGGCGATAATTCTCCCTCGCTTCTTTCCTGTGGATGCGACGGCAGATCAGCCATCATGGACCCAACAGCATTTCTCCGGGAGCACTATTGAGCAAGCCGAAATAGAAGCCGAGGTGAAGCGCTCGCGTCGCCATGGACATCTGCTCCTGCGTGACGCTGCGGGCCGCTCCACCGTGTTGCAAGTCCTCGTGAACGTCTGTGCACGTCTCCGCGAGCTGCAGCTGATCGGGCACGAGGAGAGTGAGTATGCTGGACATGTTGGCTCCCTGCCTGGGCAGGCGGCTGCTCTGCGCTTGGGCTCCCTGCGCGGGCCAGGACCCATGCATAACAGCCTGGATCGCAGCGACGGCGAGACCATTGGCAATCAGGAAAGAGCACAGCCGCTGCGCGTGCACGTCATCACGCTCCGACGCTCCTCCTATCTAGCCGCAAGGCAGGCGACGCAAACGCACGGGTGCGTGGTGGAGCGCACGCACCCGACTTGGTACAGCCATTATTTGTACGCGCTGTCCTGTGTCGATCGGCATTGGCAACTGCCTCACCGAGCAGACAGGCGACAAAATGGAATAGGGCGAGAGGCTGATGCGTGCGTAGATGCTAACTGGGGCGTCTGCTCTGCAGTGGAGACTTTCGTTGTCCCCGTGGTAAAGGACGGCAGTGGCGGAGCTGTGCCCTCGCAATGGGGCGCAAGCGCAGGAGGGGCCTCGGTCTATGCGCTTGCGGGCGGCGACGCGGCGACCGAAAGCGCGACAAGCAATGAGAGCGCGGCGCCCATCGCTGATCTGGCCGGCGACCACTCGGGCTTTCTGCTGGACGAGCAAGACGCCGGCGCAGAGGCTGAGGCGGATACGGGGATAAACTAGAAATTTAGAGAATCTCAAGTGAATGCCAGTGAGCTGTGCAAGCATATCATAGACCGCCCAATTGTTGAAGACATCTTACACGGACGCCTGCAAACCATGCTTTCTTACGCCATACCGGCAAAGAGCCCACGAAAAGTTATTGCCAGACGTGATCATTACTACAGTACATGCATTAAAGCGTACAATGTCCGTGCACAGAAGGCGGAGTGATATTTCAAAGGGCGATATCGCGGCGGAGTAGCGCAAGGGCGCGAAAAGAGTAGTGTCGATGGTTGTGAGTGTCCGTGTCCCACCCTGCCGTGATGCCCTCACCAGGAGGAAAGGGGTGTGGAACGTTTGCGAGGCATGCGGACTAGCTGGCTATCGTCGGGGAAGTCGAGTAGTTGGGCCGCGCCGTCCAGGTGTAGCCAGCGGTGGCCCAGACGTTCCCGACTGAGGTGGAGCAGACGAGAAAGCGCCGCAAGCCGGCCGTGTGGAAAGTGACCATCGATTGAGCAGCAAAGTACGAAAGGGGAGTGGGGAGGTGCAAACGCAGAGCTACTTCCTCGTACAGCGAAAGATGGAAAGGGGTGGCTATGGGCGCTCAGGAGTGCGCGCAGTTAGGAATGACGACGCCGCTCTTGAGCGTTTTGTTCGAGTTGAACAGGCCCCAGTGCGCCTCGACGCCGCCGTACAACGGGTCCTTCCACGGCTCGTCAAATGCTTCGAACCAGAAAGTGTCGCTGTGCGCCGAAGGGTACAGAGAGAAGGAGAGAGAGACAGACGTCAGCGCGGGTTCCGCACACCATACCTCGCGACAAGAGCCAAACAAGAAGACGCGTGCAGAACTATGCCACTTGCGGATCGCCCGAGGCCAACTCACGCGGTGGTTCCATTGGCATTGGCCTGGCAAACAAAGGTGGAGAGGAAAGTGTTGAGCTCGTCGACGCCAGCAATGGCGCCCTGGAACGTCTCGAACGCCGTCGCGTTCGCGCCGGTCGGCCAGCCGGTCTCGGCAATGTACACGGCCGGCTTGTTCGGCGTGCTCAGCGCTACGGCCGGTGTGTTCGTGTTAAAGTAGTCCCATGTCCAGCCTTTTTGGGTAGAGCACACATTCAAAGGGAAATGGCAGGAGGGGAAGGGGTGCAGCGGCGTCAGCACAGCACGTCACAGCGTGATCGTGAGGAGGCTTAGGGACGTTATAGAACGGGACGCACCGGCAGCTTGGTCGACGGGGACGCCACCGAACCAGGGATGGACATTGGACATGACGTAGTCGCATGTCGCCGCGAGTGCCTCGGTGATCTTGCTGCCAGCGTCGGCCGTGCCAACGGGGATGGGCTTTCCTAGGCCCAGGGCGGCGATGCGCGAGCGCATGTCTGCGATCTTGGCGCCGAGATAGGTGAGGTTGCCGCCGTTGAGCATGTACTCGTTGCCGACCGAGATTCCCGCAACGTGGTCCGTGCCGTAGGTCTGCAGCGCACTGATGATCGCGTCGGCGCCACGCGAGTAGATCGTGTCGTCGCCGTTGATCCAGATGGCGGGGAAGATGGTCAGGTTGGTCTTGGTGCGCTGGATCGCCTCGAGCGTCAGCGCCGTCACGTTGCAGTCGGCGCCGTACAGCCGCAAGCGCGTCGTCAGTTGGCTCAGCAGCTGCACGTCCTCGATGACCGCGTCGAGCGTGTCGCCGCAGGCGGGATATTGCGAGTTGAGTGGCGTGTAGCACATGCCAAAGAATGAGTTGTGCAGCCGACTGTCCTTTTCAAAATTGGACGGGTCGCTGCCGGCTTGCTTGACGACACCTTCGACGCCGGCGTTGGAGCTTGCACTGTTGCTGATCTTGCGCGACACGACAATGCCGATGACGACGCCGACGATAGCGAGCAGAACGACGCCGCCGCCGATAAGCCACCACTTGCGCCTGGAACCGCCGCCCCGTTTCCCGCCAAGGGCACCGTAGCTGTAACTGTGATCGCCGTAGTCGTCGCCCTCCTTGGCGCCGCCACCGAATAAACCGGCTTTCTCGCTGGCAGCGGCCGCCTGTGCCTCCTTGCGCGCGAGGTAGCGTTCTCGCGCGAGCGAGCCGGATGACGAAGACTGCGGTACGCCCCACGTGTCGGCCTCGTTGCGGTACGAAAAGTCCTCCACGCTGGAGCCGGGGGCCGTTGGGGTTGCCAGTGGGCTGCCCCCGTACGGCAGGGCATGCTGGCCGTAGCCGTAGTTGTAGAGCGATCCCGGAGCGGGCGAGGACGTGCCGGCGCCATTGGCGTAGTGGTGGCCGGACGGACTCGGCGGGTAGAGGCCCGCGGGGTCGTTCTGTGGATAGTAGCCCATGCTGCTGCGCCGTAGCTGGTCAAAGCTAGAATGCGGGCTCTGACCGCTGAGGAAAGGGTCGGACGGTGCACTCTCCAACGCTGCTGCTGATGGTGATCGCTGGTCTGCGCTCAAGCGATGAAGAGGAATGGAAGACGCAGACGCGCCAATGTTGTTGATGTTGCTGCTGCTGCTGCTAGCGATGAACGGGTCGGCGTACGTGTTGTTGCCTGAGCTCGGTCCTTGCAATGGCCTGTCAAAGCTGGCGCGGGGCTCGGGGTAGGGGGATCCCGAGTAGCGCGAGGAGAGACGGTGCGGTGCGGGCAGACCTAGGGATTGTGGTGTGAGAGAGAAGGATGTGTAGTGTCAGTCCAACGATGGCGAGGTTATGGCCCGAGTGCTCGGTATGGTAGGCGGCCCACGTCTGTAACAGTGATCAAGTAGATGGCAAGGGGTGGGGTTTGGGGTTTACTCGCTGACTGGCCCAGTAGCCAAAAAGCGCTGTCCGCTTTCCATCATCAATGCCAAGGCGCCACGCTTGTCTAGTTTTTTATTATGTTTTAGCGCTGCCGCGCCCTGGCGCCTTGGCATGCGGGCTCTTCGCGGGAGAGAGAGCGAGAGCCGAGAGCGACGGGACTGCTTATTAGCGAGCCAGGGCTAGCAAAGCAAACAACAACACGCTGACTGGCTGCTCGTTGACACAGAGGGGAAGAGGGGACACCACAGCCACTGGCGGTCTCAGCACATCACAGCATCGGCACCCACCTTCCGGGCCATCGTAGAAATCGGTCGTCTCGGCGTCGATCGACGGACGGATGCTGCCACTGTGCATAGCAGAAGCAGCAGCTGTGAGGTCGTGAGATGCCGATAGGCGCGACATGGTTTTGTCAATGACAGAGGGACAGATGGAACGAATGAATGAATACGCGCTGCGCGCTCCGCTTGTGCGCCTGTCGCACCCCGTTCTTGTTTCGCCGCTGCGAGGCTTTCTGGGGTCTAGACCAGCTCGATGCAGTCAGCAACGGTGCTCGATGGATCTGCTCAGCAGCAATACCTGGTGTGTGTGTAGTGCACTGGCGTCGGCGGCGGAGTAAATGGTTGGATAGATCGGTGGATAGTTGCGGGCGGTGAACATCCATCCATATGGGGATGCTGAGAGTGCGACACATGCCTCGAGATGGCGGGTCAGCCCGCTGGGGCATTCGCACAATGTGTGAGACAGCCTCTGCATACCTTTGACTGTGCCGCCGTCTCATTGCAAAGTCCGTTCAGCCTCGGCTTGGTGAGACAGGGGCAACCCAGCCTGCACTCGGCATCCCCGCCGACGCTCTCTACTCCACGCTGCTGTTGCGAGGCAAGCCAGCAACAAACCTGCATAGGAAGGTCTCGTCACCAACATGTCCAAAAGCGCTCCAAATGCCTTGGGCATATGCTCAACCCAGAAAGACAGACGGGGACTATGACAGCGGTGAGGACGGACTGCCAGCACAAGTGGAGCATACACACGGTTGACAGCTTGGAGATGCGTTTACGAGCGCCGAGAGGTGTGCTTAGCGGCAGCGACCGCCGACCGCGACGTGCCTTCGTTGCATGCATGGCTGATAGATGATGCACAAGGCAGAGACGCTCGTACACAAAACGTCGAATCGCCACACGGTACGTTGCTTGCTCGACGTGCCCCCACGCCATGCCGTACTATGCCCGTCCATCTCGGTCCTGTCAAGGACCCCTTGCTCAGTGCGCCGCCGCGTGCGTCGACGCATGGTCTACCTGTACATTTGTGGCTCATCTGGCAGCCAGCCAGTCCACACTCGGCCGCAGCTGGGTGACCAGGATGGCGAAATGCGTACAAACAGGGCTCGCTTGCTTGCACGCGCGCATCCAGAACGCATAGAGGTGACGCTGACATGCGAACGCGACGATACATGACACGTCCATTTGTGGAATTAGGCGAGCCAAGTAAACACGCACGCACGCCGTGCAACATCTTTCCCCTCTTATCCCCAATTTACGAAGCAAGTGCCCCAGTCCCAGCAGATGCGGGCGTTGCGAGCAGGTAAACCAAAGCAGAGAGCGTGCTGCCTTCGACATGCAAAAACGGCCGAGTCGACGAGAAGTGAGGTAAGGAGATCGGAGAGGAGGGCGGGCTGCACAAGTCGTGCAGCGGCGAAAGCGACGCCGGATATATGTACCAGAGGGTGCCTGTCGAGTGGGCGCAAAGGCGGGGACCTTTCCGCAAATAAACAAAATGTTCCTTTCTCCCTCCACACACGCACCAGCGGCCGTGGGCGCGACAGCCACCTTTTGAACAGTGCACAGCTCAAGCCCGGCCGTTCCTGCTCGGCGTCGGCGGGTTGCTGGCCCTACCCACCGCAGCCTTCTCGGGCGTCGTCTTGGGCGAGATGGCGTCCTTAATCTTGCTGAAAAGGCTCTGCTTGCGCCCGCGCGGCGGCGTGCTCGGCGCCTGCGTCGCCAATGCGCCGAACTCTGCTGTTGCGGCAGAGCTCTTCGCAGAAGGAGAAGAAGTGGAGCTGTTGGGCGTGCCGAAGCGGCTAGCGCGCTTGCCGGCCTGCACACCCACCGTGCTACTCCTCGCCGACGATTCCTCGTGACCGCTGCCGTAGCTGCTCGTGGAAGCGCCGGCGCTGCGCCCTAGCGTGGCCGCGGCGCCGCTGGCGTTGCTGTTCCGCTTCTTGCTGATGCTGTTCGTCCGCTGGGCCTGCGCACCAGCACCACCAACACCCGCAGCAACACCCGCGCCAGCACGTGCGTTCGCAGCGCTGGCAACAGCAGCAGAGTTGGTGCGCTCATGGCTTCGCCGCACGCGGCTGCTGTCGCTGCTCTTTCTTACCTGCACCGCTGGCGCATTTCCGGCAGATACAAGCTGCTGCGGCCGCGATGCGTTGCGGGGTGGCGGCGCCTGCGCATGCGGTTGCACTTTTGCCGCTTGCTGCTGCTGTTGTTGAGAGGAAGCGCCGCCATTGGTCGTTGCTACAGTACCAGCCTTGCCTTTTTGGCTACTTGTGCTCCTGTTGCTCCGAATGCTTGCTGCCCTCTTGGGACCGCCCACCCTTCCTGCATGCGCTCCCGGAGCTGCTGCTCCTCCACCAGCACCACCCGTGGCCGCAACCATGCTCTTGTCCCCCTGGCTCGTCGGCTGCGTCGGTGCAACCGTGCTGGGCGACTGGCTTTCTTTCGCCGCAGCACCCGCGACGAAAGTCTTGCCCGCATCAGCGGGCGATGGATCCTTCTGCATCGCCACGTCAGCCATGGCCCTCTGGAAGAGCGCGCCGCCCTTGTTGGTATCGATTTTAGCCAACACAGACGCCTTGCTGTTGCTGCGTGTCAGCCCGACGGAAGTGATGTCGGAAGAGAAGGGCTCTTTTCGCTCCAAGGCGGCTGCGTTGCCCGTAAGTGGCATAGCGTCCTTATGAGGGGCTGCACTCTCAGGCTGCGAGGAGGCGCCCGAAGCATTGGTCACAGCGGCGTCGGTAACAATGTCAGCAACAGCAGTGGCCGGGGCGGAAGTGGTGGCAGAGGCCAACGCGGCGTCTACTGCAGTCGTCATGCTGGTGATGATGCCTCCGGCTGGGTTTATGGCGAACAGATGTTAGCTTACATTCCCTGATCACATGCGTGCAGTTACGTCAACTCACCAGTGGACTGCGACGCGCCAGCATCTTGCCTCAACTTGTCCTGGACATCCTTCTTGCCCTCTTGGCCGCTGGTGGCTTGCGCCGGATCAACCTGGCTGGACGCCTGCAGGCCGTGGGTCGCAGCGGCCACGATGCTGCGCTTGCCTTCGTCGGCGGGTTCATCGGTCAGCGCGAACTTGGCGATTTCTTCATGGCGAGGCTGCGACTGGTCCACTGTGGATTCAGCAGTAACTGATGTTGCAGGTGGAGTGGGAGTAAGGGCTACGACTGCTTTGCTGGTCTCAAGCCAGTTGTTGACATTGCCGCTTGCATCCGACTCGGTGGGGTGGTCGTTGCGCGTGAGCCATTGGTCGCCATTAATGACATACTTGAAGTGCACCTTGGTCGACGCTGGAAGGTTGATGGTCGTGTGCCACCCTGCTCCCGGGCGATGCGTCAGGTCGTGCCGCGAGGACCAGTTGTCCCAGTCGCCGGTGACCTGCACGGTGTCGGCGTCGTGCGGCCAGATAAACTCGGTGGCGGCGGTGGTGTGCTGCGCCATGCTTGCCATTGTCCTGTTCCTCGACGGGCGGCGGTCAAAAGACAGGCAACTTGCAAGCCAAGTCGACGAGATGGGCTGCGGGAGAAGGAATCGAGTCCGAAATGCTCGATGCACGTGTATATAGGGTGAGTTGTCAAGAAGCAGAAGCACTCATACGTCTCCACAGGGGGGGGGGAACGAAAGGGGGATATCGGCATTCAAAAACCCAACCGACTCCTCTGAGTCGGCCTCTTCTTCTTTCAGTTGAGCTCCTTACGTAATGTCGGCATCTTCTCCTCCTCTCCCTTATGGGTGCTTCCGGGAAACCACTCGACGGCTGACAAAGTGGGAGAGAGAAAAGAAAGACGCCGACGAGATGCGCATAAGAAGACTGTCGCAGGCAGAATTATCTCCTGTTCCATCTGGCTGGAACCAGGATACGCTGTGTGGTGAAAAGACTGCACACGACGGCGCTGCACCATGGCCCCATAACCAACTACTCGCGCAGCTCCCTTCGGCAGACGCAAAGCCCTTCCGTCTCTTGTTCAGCATGAGCTGCACACACGCGCTGCGGCACGCCGCCGCTGCATCGCGGTCTTCCCCATCCGCCGCCGCCATCCTTGGACCGAGCTCGCGACGTTCCCTCGTCGCATCGACGTCCAGCGGCTCTGCAGCGGGGGAATGCTCGAAAGCCGCGTGCTCGTCGGCGCACATTATCACGTTCCGAAGGAAACAGAGCGCCTGGGCACAAGCGCTCAGCCACGCGAAGAACCTCGTTGCCGAGGCCGGGATACACGCCGTGCGATCCGCCTCTGCGCCACCAGCAGTGCCGGGTGCTGCCCTCAATACGATATTGCCGACGACGGATGAAGGCGCCGCGTCCATTCCTTCGCATTCTGCATCACTCAAGGCAGCAGGCAAAGCGCGAGCGGCAGATCCAACAGCAACGTCGTCATCATCGCCACAGCCAAGCAGAAGCAGTTGTCCTGAGAGGAGCACTTCGTCCACCGCCATTATCCGCGATCCACTAGAAATCGTCGGCGCAGAGCTCTCCTCTCTGCGCAAGAACGTCTCTTCGCTCCTCGGCTCAGGCCACCCCTCGCTTGACACGATTGCAAAGTACTACTTCCAGGCAGAGGGCAAACATGTCCGGCCGCTGATCGTGCTGCTGATGGCGCGTGCGACCAACGGGCTCTCACCGCTCTGGGACCAGCTTGTCCAGGGCGCCGGGTATATCGACCCTGGGCATCGCATCGGCGGACAGCATGGTGCAGGAGCGGTAACGGCAGCATCAGGAGGACTGGACGTCGACGAGCCTCTGAGCCCACGTGAAGTGCTGAACGACTTTAATCCAGATGTAGAAGGGATTGAGTCTCCCTCGTCCGCATCGCACACACACACACATGCACATGCACCCGCGCCTAGCCTCCTTCAGCAAGGCGCGTCGGCCCTCGCGTGCATCCCGTCCATCGGTGGCCAACTGATCCTGCCGACACAGCGGCGCCTCGCCGAGATCACCGAGATGATCCATGTAGCGTCGCTCTTGCACGACGACGTCATCGATGATTCGTCCCTGCGCCGCGGCGCGCTGAGCGCGCCCGCTGCGTTCGGAAACAAGCTCTCTATCCTCGGCGGCGATTTCCTGCTCGGCAGGGCCTCCGTCGCGCTCGCGCGCCTGCGCAACAACGAGGTCGTGGAGCTCGTCGCGACCGTCATTGCCAACCTGGTCGAGGGCGAGGTGATGCAGCTGCGCGCACAGGCGCTGCAGCAACAGGAGGGAGCGGCCAAACCGCGCAAGAGCGCATTCAGCACGTTCTGGGAGGGCGCCATCTCCGCGACGCCAGGGCCGTCAGAGGCATCACGCGGGCCGACGCCAGAAGTATTCGAGCACTATCTGCAGAAGACGTACCTCAAGACCGCCTCGCTCATCGGCAAAGCGGCGCGCGCTGCCGCGATCCTGGGCGGCAATGGCTCGGAAGCGTGCGCGTCCCTGCCGCCCGCCGCGCAGCAGCGCGCACGGGAGATCCGCGACGCGGCGTACGCGTACGGGCGCAACGTCGGTATCGCCTTCCAGCTCGTCGACGACCTGCTTGACTTCCGCGCCACCAGTGCCACCTTCGGCAAGCCCAGCGGCGGCGCCGACCTGCGTCTCGGGCTGGCCACTGCACCAGTGCTGTATGCGTGGGAGCAGTTCCCCGACAGCGGGCTCGGAGAGATGGTCGCGCGCAAATTTGCCGAAACGGACGATGTAGAAAAGGTGAGTCGCGGCCTTCCACACTTTCGTCGCGTGATCTGCTGCACAGACTGTTCTGCGTGCTCACTGTCTCCCTTGGATGGGCTTTTCTGCCAAGGCACTCGCAATCGTCGCCAAGTCCAACGGCCTGCTGCGCACCGCCGATCTCGCCCGCGCGCATGCAAAGAAGGCGTCCGATGCCCTGCTCATCCTGCCGCAGACCGAAGCGCGCGATGCACTCATCAAGCTCAATGAGGACATTGTCGAACGCGTCAAGTAGCCGAGCGTCGACGCATTGTACCACTCTACTCACTTATCTACACTGCTACATCGAACCCTACACAGCCAGTAACATGGCGGTCACTAAAATGGAAAGACGCATGTATGTATAGAACCACGGTGACATATCTGCAGCAACGCATGGACTCATGCAAGCACAACAAAGGTATCTCTGCTTTGCTTTTTCTCCTGCTCTTCTAACTACAAATATCACAATCAGAGTTCGTACCCGCTTGCAGCCAGCGCAACCACCATCTCCGGGTCGAGGTACGACGCGACGGCAATCTGATCGCTGAGGCCCTGTTTGCGATATAAGTCGTGCATTGAGTCAGCATATTGCTAGCCTGATCGCAAGCACTGCTAGCCACGCTCTACACGTACCTTTCGTCGTCTCGTCTTGAGCACAAAGTCCCTCGCGAGTCCCAGCGGTGGTGCAGGCTCCAGCGGCCGGAGCTTAATGGAAGCATCGAGCGGATCGCCGGGTACGACGGACCAGTGATCGAACGTCTGCAGGCAGAACGCCTGCCCTTGAGTCACGGTCCTCAAGTCCGTCTCGAACCCGTTCGCATCCATGACCGGCACGTACGCCTTAACGGTGTACAATGGCGAGCCTGCCTTTGGGATATCGCGCACGACGTGGCCACGGCGCCGCGCGAGCGTCGTGTACACCGCCGCGACGCACTCCTGCGGCGCCTGCACTTCGACAGCGTACATCGGCTCCATCAGCCTGGGCGTGGCGAGCAGGAAGCTCGAATAGCAGACGCGTCGAGACGTCGGGATGACCTGGCCCGCGCCCCGATAGATGGGTTCCTGCGCGATTTCCGAATCGAGGATGCGAAACTTAACGTTGCGGATCGGCTCATCGCACAGTGGGCCTTCGCGCGCTCCCCACTGGAAGCCCTGCTTGATGCTCTCTTTGACGCTGTACAGCAGGGTCTTGTCCACCTCGGAAGGAAGCGTGTCGTCCAAAAGAATATTTGGGCCGTTGTCTTCCGGCCCAAAGGCCCAGATCGATCGCGATGCGAGAATGTCCCAGTCGTGGTTCTCGACAAAGTACCGCCCGAGCTCCTTAGGTGGAAGCCGGATGCTCACTTTACCAGACTCGATGTCCTCTGCAATACCCTTTTCAAGCGGTTCGGCGATAATCGTGAGCTTGTTCCTGGAGGACGCAAAAAGCAAGAGCGGAATTTAGTATGACTGGACCAGTGGAAGCCAATGGAGGAGAAAAAGTGGGTTAGCTGAAGAATTTACCTTTTGTTGGGCGTTTGCGCATAGCATTTGACCGCGCTCGTCTCAACGACCGTCTCACTAAACTTAACAGTTGGGTCGCTGACTTTGATCTCCACCTCACTGAACAGCTTTCGGAGATCATGCATGATGCAATCCAAGTATAGCTCTCCAGTACCCAAAATGATATGCTCGCCGCTCTCCTCGACCTTGGTGACGGCAAGCGGATAGCTCTTGTTCACCTTACGCAGGCCGTCAAGCATCTTCGGCAGCTCGGACGGGTGCAGCGGCTCGACAGCGATCTTGAGCACACTCTGCGTCATGTGCGCGATCGGTCGGAAGATGTGAAGCTGGTCCGCCTCGAGTGCGGCATCGACAATCGTGGCGCTCTTGCTGATTGATGCATCGACGCCGGCGAGGAGTACTAGGTTACCGGCCGGAATGCCCTCGGCTGGGACGGTATAGCGCGTCTCGCTGACGCTGACGCCCTCAATGGTTGCTTGGACCATATCCTCCTCGTCGTCGACAGAGTAGCCTTCACCCAACACCTTGACACGGGCGCCGGACCGCGCAGTCCCACTCACGACGCGCCCGAAAGCGCGGAACTCGCTCGCATCCTGAGTCGCGTAAAGCTTGCTGACATACACGACAAGCGGCGCATCCGGATCCACCGCTTTCATCGCGTCAAACAAAGGCCCGGCTTGCGGACCAGTATAGTACCGGGAGAGCTTCCGCTGTGCGCCTTCCTTGGCGTCCGGCAGGTGCCCACTTATGGCGTCCACAAGGCCTGTGCTGGGCCCAAGGAAGTGGTTCAGTACGATGCGCAAGAGCGGCCGTACGTCGACTTTGAATACCGCTGGCTTGAGGTGTATGTCCAATTTGGCGAGTGTCTTCTGCAGAGCAGTCGAGTCGGAGGAGAGAACCTGCGTGTAGAGCTTGTACAAGGGCTCAAGGATGAAGTGGACAAAGCTGCGGGGAGCGGACGGATCCGCGGGCTTTCGCGTGAAGTTGCGCGACTCAGCATTGTACCAGATATTGCCCCATAGTCTCTTTGCGAAGGCATCGACATTTAGTCCACCTCCTCCCGCTCCTGTTTCTGCGTCGCGCCGCGCCGCTGCTGCTGCTGAAGAAGTATCTGCGTACATCTTTGCAAAACTTCCAAGCGTAAAAGCCCAGCCCATTTGCGCACACGCGAACACGACGTTGCCGCGCTCGGGTGATAGTCGCCTATCCGGATTGCGAGAGACGGATGCGATGGCATTGTTTACCTCTTCGAGTGTGTGGCGAATCTTAAAGTACGCATCGGTCGGGGGGAGGCGTAGTTCCAGAATCAGCCGATCAAGCTTATTGAGGACCAGGACCATTGGAAGGTCCTCGCGCTAGTAGCGAAAGGATTAGGGTATGTCAGTGTGCGTACATATTTGGAATCCTGCTCATGCAAGAGTTTGAGAACGTCTTGGGAACATACGATGCAGTGCTTGATGATGGCTTCCGTGTTGCACATGACACCCTCGACCACGTCGACGACCAGCACGACACCGTCAACAAGTCTACACCCTGCCGCAACTTCGTCCACAAAGTTTGTATGCCCCGGTGTGTCGATAAGGTTGCACAGGTAGCTTTTCCCTCTTGTGCTCTGTAGCACCAAACTCAGCGGCGCCGACTTGATTGACACCCCGCGGTCGCGCTCCAGCAGATGCGAGTCGGTATAGCGCATCGGCCTGTCTGTGTCCATCTCCATCTTGTGCGTCTCGTATACGAGCATATCCATCAAACTCGTCTTCCCATGATGCAGATGACCGACAACCGCGACGTTGCGTACCATCTCGGGGAAGTTCATAAGGTTCATCATAAAACTGCGCTCGAAGCGAGTTGGAGGCAGGTCGGACTCCTCGATGGCGAACTTGCGTACTTTGATCGGCTCGATGATTGGCTGCGTGATGGGCTGTGCATCTTCCTCTTGTACGAGCGTCTCCACGCCTTCGCCGTAGACTTCTGATGCATCTGGGTAGTACTTCTTGTCCTCGTGCAGAATGACGGCATTAGATGCTGCTTCATTCACCTGCATCAGTGCCATCGACGGACCGGCGGTATCCATCTCGTGGTCTCCCTCCTCCGCCCCTGCATCGCCATACCCTTCCAAGGGAGGAAGCTCGTCATGGATACGTGGCGAGACATGCTGCTGGCGTTGCGGCTGTTGAAAATCATCTTCGGACTCGTCCGAGTCGGACAGCGCGCCGATGTAGTTGCCACTGCGCGTGACAATGAATCAGTACTCGTGAGAAAATAAGAAGACATTGGTACTCGTTGGACATCACCCTCACAATTCATCGTAGTCATCCATCGTCACAGGATAATGCTATGGCCCTGTGGGTTTAGAGAGGAGGCTAAGTCACGCGCCAGATTTGGCCTTCTCAGAACAGCTGCTGGGTCGGATTCGCTGCCGGCTGGAAAATGTCTGCCCGTGCTACCTGAATTTGCTCTTTCCCAACCTTGCGTCTGTCTCGGGTGCTGTACAGATACGTGAGGCTTTTAGAGGATGAAAGCCTGAGAAGGGGCATCCAGGTAAGCCGCAAGTCTATTCTGGAACTGGGACCCTTTCGTATGTTGCTGATGAGCCTGACCGAAATCCGGATGGGTCGTCTCGAAGGAAGAGTCTACTGTTAACTACTCGGAAGAGACGAGAGATTCGGTGCAACTCATGTCTCTCAGCACCGCTCTTAGTATTGATATAATGTTCTGGTTTCCACACTACAACTTCAGGCGAGAGATCAAAGCAGACAAGCAACATTCGATATGCATTTCTTCTACTTCATCTGGAGCGGGTAGTCGACCATCAGACTGCCGGCCAAGGAAACGCCACTTTGATCCTTCCTGAGTCTACCGTTTTTCCCCGGTTTCCCGGCGATCATGGCGTCCAAATGCCCGCCGTGGTTCGCCCGGTCTGCACGGCTGCGAATGCAGCGATCGATCATTCCGTTCCCGAGTCCCCGTGAGAACAGGTCGGGACGTGTGCTCAGCGCATGCAGATTTTGCACGCAGACTCTTTTGCATTCTGGATCAATGTGGAACAGCCTAAAGGACATGTCAGACCGAACTGGGCACAGCCACTCGCCTTGGCAAGGCAACCCTTTTGTGCGTGTGTACTCGACTTCAGCGCCAGCGTCATCCAATCCTCTGCCGCACCCTTCTTCCCTTTCAGCTTCGACCCCGTCATGGACACGCACACACACTTGCGGTGGTCTCAATCTAACCCACGCCGAACTCAACACCAAAGTCATTCTCGCAGGATGGCTCCTTCCCCTTCGTCGTCTGTCGCGCAACTTAGGCTTCTTCTGCCTACAAGATGCGTACGGTGTGACGCAGGTTGTCGTCCGTGGCGGTTCGGAAGACGGTGATGCGGGGAAAGGGGCTGCACAACTGCTAGACGAACTTGAGTCTTTGCCGCTCCAAAGCGTACTCGCCGTCCGTGGCACCGTGAAACCGCGACCACGCGATGCCGTTCTTGCTCTTGGAAGCGCTACACCCACTGGCGAGATCGAGCTGTCTTTAGGCGCCTTCCAGGTTCTCAATCTCGCGTCTCCTTCGCTACCATTCCAGCCACATGACACGGCCAACCTAGCAAATGAAGAATTGCGCGCCCGCTATAGGTATCTAGACTTGCGACGGCCGGCCCTGGCGCGAAACATACAGCTTCGGAGCTCAGTCGCCCACGTCGTACGTAACTATCTGCATCAACAAGGCTTCAGCGAGGTAGAGACACCCATCTTGCTCCGCTCGACTCCGGAGGGTGCAGCCGAATTTATCGTGCCTACACGCCTTTCAGGCTCGAGCACGGTAGAGCCCTTCAACGCATCTCCCTACTCCACCCCTTCATCCTTGCGTGAACCGCTGTTCTATGCCCTCCCGCAATCACCGCAGCAGCCTAAGCAGCTCCTCGTGGTTTCTGGCTGCGTAGATCGCTACTATCAGTTTGCGCGATGCTTTAGGGACGAGGACGGGCGCAAGGACCGGCAGGTCGAATTCACGCAGATCGATATGGAGGTTGCTTTCGTCAGCGAGGCGCCGACGAGAGGTAATGGCGGCCTCAGCAACAGCACAACTGCCGAGCTTTTAGAGAATTCGGCATGGCGTATGGGTGGCGGTGAAGTGCGCGACGCAGTGGAAGGCATGCTGGCGCGCGTATGGAGTGAAGCGCTTGGCAAAGACTTGTTTGCATCTGGCCTGCGGCCTGCCCAAGCTCCATCTACCGGCGAGCAAGGCTCGGCTCATGGTCAAAGTTTGAGACCACTGCTTCCGGTCATCACGTACAACCACGCGATGAGCGTCTACGGGTCCGATAAGCCTGATCGGCGCTTTGGATTGCGAATACGTTGTTTGAGCGCTGGCTTGCGTGCTCATCCCCTCTCGGGCTCAGAGAGTGTTCTGCAGCAAGAGAAGCATGATGGAGCCGAAGAGAGTACGCCTGACACAGTAGTTGAGATGATCATTTGCCCAGCTTCCGGCGAGGCGCTTTCAAACAAGACAGTAGAACAGTTGCTCAAGGAGCTCAGTGGACGTGGACAGGCTAAGGGTAGAACTGTGAGCGATACCGCCCTATCTGCAGAGCCCACTTTACCACGAGCTGATCATTCCCATGTTCTTCTGCGCTCCACACAGCCCATTGAGCGCTTCAAGGCACGCCTCTCGTCACCTTATGAGCTCGCAGCTTTGCTGCTCAAGAAGAGCAGACACGTCGCCACCTTCCTCACCTCGAGCGAGTTCCCAGCTTCTGAAGTTGACGTCGAGTATTTCGCCAAGCAGATCGAAGGTGCGCTCGCGGCTGCCAAAGAAGAACCGTGGGCACAGCAAGTGAAAGGCGCCGACGGCGACGCTTGTTTTGTGTTTGTCTCGTCACGCACCGACCCTCCTGTGGGAGGCAGCACTGCCCTCGGTGATCTGCGCCTGCAATTGGCGCAAAGTCTCCTGTCGCAAGGCATCCGTGTGTGCGCGCGAGGGAACGAGGAGGCAGATGACATGTTCTGGGTGACCGAGTTCCCGCTCTTCACGCGTGAGCAAGACGAGCTGACCGCTGAGATGCTCGGATGGAGCAGCACGCATCATCCGTTCACGTCACCTATGAAGGAGGACTTGCCGCTGCTTTTGCCCCTTTCATCGAACTCTAAGCATCCTGCGTCACCCACACAGCGCGATGCACTGATCTCGCGCATCCGCGGTCAGCATTACGACCTTGTACTCAACGGAACTGAGATTGGGGGCGGCAGTGTTCGTGTTCACCAAGCGGATATACAGGAGCTAATCATGCGCCAGGTCCTGGGCCTTTCGGAAGAGGAGACAAACAAGTTCGCGCATCTGCTGCACGCCCTCAAGTGCGGCGCACCGCCGCATGGCGGCATCGCGCTGGGTGAGTGAAACTTGGGCCCCCACGGATGCCTCTTCCCGCGCAAATACGCAGCTGCTGAAACCACGTCTCTATCCGATAGGTTTCGACCGCCTGATGGCCATTATCTGCAAAGCCCCATCCATCCGCGACGTCATTGCCTTCCCCAAAACGTCTTCCGGCGCCGATCCGGTGTTCGGCAGCCCGGCCCCCGCGCCTGGAACAGGCTTGGGCTCAGGTACTCACGAGAAGAACAGCACCACCAGCAGTCGCAGTGTTCTTGAGCAGTATGGACTGAGGCCTTTGTAGCTATACAGACGGCACGGTTGCGATAAAGGGACGCACCGATCATGATCAAGGGTTCTATCAGTTCAAGTCCGCGACTATAGCGCTTGCATGGCACATGTCGGAATACTTGCGTGTGCACAAAGACGCGTTGAGAAGACGACCCATAGTTTCGTTAGAGCACGAGCTCATGAAGAAGCAGCGATCGAAAACAAACAAGATATACGGGACAATGGATCGGCTCTGCCTTCAGAAGGGCAGGTACAGTATGGTTGATATCGGGGTGTGCCTGTGAATCAAGGCCAAAGCTGAGACTTTCAGAGACCTAGCGACTCGATATCCGTATCGTCAAGCGCAAACCCCGCCTCTTGCGCCTCGGAAACGATGCTTTCCCAGAAAGCATCGATGCTGCCCGTCGGCGCGGGGCGCTGCTCCTCGTGCTCGTGCCTATGTGCGCCCTTGTGCTTCTTGATGTGCTTGGGCATGATGAATCTGTGCGTTACGTGGACGACTCCGTTCGAAGCTGGCACGTCCTGGAACCAAACCGGCTCGCCTTGCACTACGACGCGCGTCTGCACGGGATCAAAGTTGCCCGGAAGCATGTGGTACCTGTACACATCGACATCGACGGTCTCGAACTTCTTTGCGCCCTCTTGCGAATCATCGTCGTGCGGCGGTGCAAACACGACCTGTTGCTCGCTGTGCGGGCCATGGCAAGTGTGGTTATGCCAGTGGATCTTCGGCAAGGCGGACAGGAAGGTGTAGTGCGTCACGTTCGCGCGGCCATGGTGCTCCGGCTCGGGTTCTGGCTGGCCGTCATGCGGGTCGTGCTTGTGCTCGTCGTGTCGTCCCGGGAAGCGTGGGGCGGGAATCTTGGGAATGTTGGGGATCCTCGGCATCCCAGGGAAACCGAGTTTATTTGCTAGATCGTTGGGAACGGCTGAACTGCCAGAGATGAAGTGGTGCGCGACACGGTGGGGCCGTCTTTGCAGGCAGTGTGGCAGCTCGACGTTCACCTCCTCCCACACCTTGACAGAGCCATCCTTACCGTCCGAATCGCCGGACGCCTTCACATGATGGATACTATCAGCAAAGACGATGTCGTGCGGCAAAGCGTGAAGCATGAAGATTTTGGCCAGCCAGCGCTCGCCCCACGGCGAGAGTAGGAAGAGGCGCAGTGTCGGTGGAAGCCGGCGCCAGGCCAAATTGGACGGGGCAATAAACGTCGCAGCGGCGGTGCCTGGGCCCGGGTACGAGTGTGGGTGCTCGCGCTCGCTGTGGGCATTGCGCAAAAAGCTCAAAAAGGCATCCTCGTACGCACCGTCGAGCTCATCGGGCGTGTTCTCATCCGGCTTCGGCTTCGGCAGCGCCAGGTAGCCGTCGCCGCCCGCTTTGACCAGGCCCAAGGTTGAAGCGCTCAGGTCGGGCGTGGAAAAGTAGAGCAGCTGCAAAATGGATGGTGGAGGGAACAGTGGGAGCGTGATGGCGTGCAGCAAGCCGTTCTTTGCTTTAACATCTGGGCGAATGATAGTGCTGTAGTGGTTAACCCGAATCGACGGGAACGGTAGTAGATGCTGGCTGATCTTGACGCGCCACGGTTGACCGTCGTTGAGGTTGCGCCACTCTGTGCTGAGTTGCGTTGCAACGGACGAGTTGTCAGCGAGCTGCTTGCCAGTTAGAGTGGTCTCTGAGTCAACGAGGTGGTACGATATGACGGCATCGATAATCTTGGCAAGGATCTTGCGACGACGCTCCTTGTCATTGTCATCCTCCTTGCTAACACTGTTACCCTCCCTGGCGGTCGTGACTGCTTCGTAGGACGCAATGTGAGTTTGCAACATAGACCAAACGTCCTGTTCGGGCATGAGTGTTTCCATAGAGCTGAAACGACCGTGGTGCCCATGATGGGGGTGATGATGGTGGTCATGGTGATCGTGATCATGATCACGGTGTGGGCGATTGACAGGTGCAAAGAGTGTTAGACTGGAACCATTGGCAAGGAGATCCTTCGTGCTGTCGCTCGAGTAATTGAGGACATGGGCAAGCATACTGAGGTCTTTGCGATCATTGATGATGTCCCAAAGGGTCTTATCGCCAGTGTCATCTTGTTCGAACAGCAGGGCACCCTGGTCCTGAGTAAAGTGGACGTGGCACGACGATGTGGCTGAGGTGGCAGCCGCCTGCTTGACCTCTTCCACGACACCTGCTCCTGCTGTTGCATGCGCCGAGGAGAGGAGCGAAGAGATCGCATTCACGACCTTTCCACCAGGCCAGATAAAGTGTCCGAAGACGCCAATGGGCGCGGAGAAGGACGATGAGCCTCCTGCCGGAAACTCGATTTGGGGGGGCGACTGTGCAGCTGGGACGGCTGCGATATTGGTGGCCGCTGCTGCGACGAGCAGCAGGTGGGACAACTTGAGCTGCATTTTGATCGACAGTGTCTCCTCGCAGTTATCAAGGTGCCTGCATATTTTCTTAACGGGCTGCGCACATGAGCTAGGGGACGATGAAAGCAGACAAAGCAATGTCGCCGTATGATGGATACTACGAGTATATGTATCTCACACGCAACTCCCAGATGTACCCCCGTAGAGCGACAACTCTGCTGAGCCGATGAAACGGGTACGGTCCAAGGTGACTGGCCCTAGCCGCCCATCCGGGATTGCAATACGCTGCCTGCTGCGCTTGCCTCATCCGCTCGTGCTGACCAGGAATGTGTCCATTTGCTGCACGGTACACTTAGCGCAGCACCCAGCCTATCTGGGAGAGATGACGCACATGGCATCGCCCCGCTTCCGTACAGCCGGCAACGAAAATTCAAGTGGCGCCGGGAGGGGTCCGTGCACCCGGTCTCGGCGCCGAAGCGTTGATCACGTGCTGCACTTGAGTTGCACCGACACTTTCCATCCCCATCGATATGAGGGACGCGAGGGCTGAATAAACTGCGGCTGGAAGGATGAACAACCCTACTCCATCCTGGCAGGCACAGACGGTTGTGCGCTCGCCTGAACTTGCCGCGCCGCCGCCCAACCAACCACCTGGACGAGCGAGCACGCTCGACGCTTTTTTTCTCTTTCATCTCTCTTTCTACCTTCCATCTTTGCTTCGGTCTTTCGCACAGCAATTTGTCAAAAGTGAGTCTAGCAACATGCTTGAATCGCAGCATGCACTGCGGCAGCTGCTCCTGGCAGGAAAGCGCACCAGCAGAGCCATTAGCGGAAGCAAGGAGGGGCAAGAGCTTGTGGATAGAAGCGGCATCACTTGCTGGGCTGGGGATAGGATGTCCTAAGCGAAATTGCAAGGCTGGATTTGAAGTGCGATGCCTGAAGCCGTCTTGGGAAGCTCAGATTGAGGAGCTAATCGAGAATGAGCTTAAAGGCGAGCATGGCTGGGGCTGCCGAGCAGGGCGTTCTTCAAGGTGGAATCAGTGCCACCTTCAAGCCTGCACATCCGGCCTTCTTCCTCCATGCTCTCTTCAGCTGCGCCCTCCTTGCCATTGCTGAGCACGGAAATCAGCCTGGGAAACTCTGTGCACTTTCGATACAAAGGCAAGGAAGCCAACAGTGGTTGTGGGGCACCATGTCACGCATTGTGGCGGCGCTAGATCTGAACAACTAGCTTATCCTGGGCTCTGGGTTGGTTGCTGCGCTGCCTCGCTTGTTCAGATCGCACGCTGCATGCATGCTGCGAGCATGCCAATCCCACAGAGCCTGTTTCAGATTATTGAATACCTTCTCTCTCGTTCACCAACAGTGCCACCCAAGAAGGCCGCCATTCTCGCTTCGGCGACAAAGACTTCCAAGAAGAAGAAGTGGAGCAAGGGCAAGGTCAAGGACAAGGTGCGTATTGCTTGCCTAGCGCACACGAGTGGGCTGCTGACAGTACTATTGACCCACTGATCGCAGGCCCAAAACTCTGTCGTCCTCGACAAGCCCACATACGACAAGATCCTCAAGGAGGTGCCAACGTTCAAGATGATCTCGCAGTCGACTCTGATCGACCGTCTCAAAGTCAACGGTTCTCTCGCTCGCCGGGCGATCCGCCACCTCGAGAAGGAGGGCCAGATCAAGAGGATCATCCACCACCACGGGCAACTTGTCTACAGTGAGTGTCTTTACGCTAGCTCAGCCAATTCAATTGAACAAAAATACTGATCACAATTCCAATGTCCTGCTTCCTCTAGCCCGTGCCTCTGGGTCTGACTAAGGTTTTAGCCCTGGTGCGATTGATTTCACTCTGTACTATGCGCATTGAATTGTCTTCTATGTGAAAACTTGGGTTTACCTTCTCGGAGCAGTGGGCGAGTCCGAGGAAAATCAGGGCCAAGTGCAGCTTTACGTAGTTGTTGTCATAGTCGCTGTCTGAGATACATGAGCACACGCACGAGACGTGCATTGAGCATGGCAAGCACCCACGCGCCCCCTGCCCGGTCTTGCTCCGGAATCGACATGTCCATCCACATGGCCTTTTCCCCGCTTGCGATGCGCATATTCCTTATTCCGACATCCGCACGAACCGTTCGCCTCGGTCCACCTCCTTTAACGCGTGGCCCGTTGCTCAACTGTAGGCCCTCTGCGCTCTCGCCTCCGCCTGCACCTACGTGCCCATCCGTGTCCTCCTCACCTCGTTTCTTCGCGTCGACGGAGAACACACCTAGCTGCACAGGCAAAGCCTTCCCTGCAGCAATAGGCAGTGCATTCTGGTACCTTGGCTTTGCCTTACGCTCCAGCTCCATCTCGCGCGCCAGGCTTTCCCATGGTACGGCAGAGAACTTGGTCCAGGCGCGCGACCACTGCAGCAGTGTCCACCGCGCGTGGTCGCCACTGACGCGACGCAGAGCCGTCAGCAGCCAGAAAAACTGGTTGGTCGACGGTGCGAGAGTGTCGATGTCGACGGCTTTGCGTGGCTTGTAAAGGGCTGGTACCGCTGAAACAGCGACTGGAGCAGAAGAGCAAGACGTCAATTGCCCACCGTCGTCGATCTGACTCGCGGTGCCGCTGCTGTATGGATCCACCCAGCCTGCCCGACGCGGAGAGTGGCGGGGACGAAGCTGCAAGAAGGACTCGAAGATATCGCCGAAGGAGTTGACGTTCCAATCACTGGGTGTTGAGTCATCGATCTGCCAGCGAGAGTGCGACAAGGAATGCTCGTTGAGGTAGTCGAGGCGCCCAGGCACGCTGTGTCGAGCAAAGCCACGGAAAAGGCTGTCGTAGATGTCGAGGCCGGGGAGAAAGGTCTCTTCGTTCTCCTCGCTTCGGTTGGCGTCAGGCTGAGAGGTGAAAAAGTCTTCCTGCGGTTGCGAATCGTCTCGAGCTTTGGGAACATCAGCGTGAGCAACGCGGCGACGGTGGTAGCCCGAATTTATCGGCGTCTGCACCATGTCTTCGATTATGCCGATTGCGCCTTGCAGGTCTCCGTGCCAGCTGAGCGACTTGACGAGCAGAGCGTACGTCTCTGCATTCGGAATGACGTGCAACGGAAGCTTTGCAATGCCGAGCATGCCTCGCAGCTGGCGCTGAGCGAGCGGCAAGTCTCTCGGTGGAGGAGATGCGATCATACCGTTGCCCGTACGACCGTCTTCAAAATTGGGATCAGGCCCGAATTCGTGCTCACGCCCTGCCATAACGAACGCGGAAAGCGGATCGTCGTAGTCCGCGTACTGCTTGCGATTTCTTGCAGCTGCTCCCGGCCGTGCCCGCAGGGTCTCAAGTTCAAACAAGATGAGATTGTCGCGCATGGCTTCGTAGATGAGTCGGACGATCACTAGCTCGTTCGCCCATGTGCTTGAGCTAGTCAGATGGTCCGGTTGCGCCGTGTCCTCCTGACTCATACTTTGGTCCTGAACTCTGGGCTGCAAGTTGGGCAGATGCGCCATGAATGTATTAAACAGTGTGACGTCCGCTTGCCCTCGCTTGACCGCCCTAGCAATGATGAGAGGCACAGCCTCGAGGGTGTGCGAACGCATCGCAAAGATGAGCAATGCGTTGTAGGTGGACTTGTCAAAGATCTTGCGATGATCAGGGCCCGCCTCTGCTGACCCAGGCGAAGCCAGCTTGATGTGAGAGCGCAAATCTTCGCATAAGGCAGAAATGACAGCAAGAGCCTTATCCGCGGTCCATTCGAATGTGCGTGTCTGTTCAAGTAGGCTTTCGAGGACATCGAAGGCATCTGCGTGTGAGGCTTTCACTTCGAGCTGACGGGTATTTGCTGAGCGCGACAAGCGTCGCTTCAGTCTGCGAGTGGTATGGTGATTCTGTGTAAGCGCTGCCAGCTCCTCAGAAGGTTTCTGCTCCAGCTTCTGGGGCGTCTCTATTTCTTTCGGGTTGTCCCTGGATGTCGAACGCAAGCATTTGATCACTTCTTTCACCCGCCACTGCATCTCCTCAGGTGTGATGCGGTCACTGTCGTAGCCAAGCACCCCCAGGCTCGATCCTATGCGAGGCACAGTGCGCGCGACTGCCGTGAGAAGCAGCTTGTAAGTGCGTAATTGTATGCTATTCTTGAAACGAACCCTGATTTGCTGGTTCTGCCGTTTCCCCGCCGTAAGCATTTCCGGGTCATGATTGTATGGAAAAGGTGAAGGAAGAACCAGGCGAACAATTTGTAAGGCTTCAAAGAGATGCAGCGTACTGATTGTTCGCGAGCGATTCAGCACGAGGTGTAGGAGGCGGTCCAACAGCAGGATTTGGGGTGTTGCATTTGCCGGCCTCGGGCCGAGCTGAGGTGAAAGCAACAGATCTTGCAGAAGGCCTTGAGAGCGTTGCACCACTCGTAGTGGATCGCTCTTGAGTGATGTCTCGACAAGTAATGCCATGCGAATGGTCTCTAGCAAAGCCATGCAGCGTTTCACAGCCTTCTTTGCACCGCGTTCCGTCTTTCTTTCCACCGTTGCTTCTGCTTCTTCGGACGCGAATTCGCCTGGAACATGACCTTCCCGCCGCATTTCTACCTCCAAGAGGTCTTCAAGACCAGGTGGTGCAGCCCATATGCTCAGCATACGGTTCAGCTGTCTAGCAGATAGCAGTAGAACTGCAGGTATTTCCTCCGGTGTTCCCCCAGTACAGACGTCGTGCTGTTCGCAGAAAGCGTAGAAATGCCGCTCAATGACCTCGGGATTTGGCGATGACGAGGAAAGTGCGGCGTCAAGTCGACGAAGATGCATTGCACGCAGAGCGTAGCGATGAGCAGATATGGTCTTGCGCGAGACTGGCGCATCTTCTTTGGGGGGACGTTGCAGCGAAGGATCGTCACCCCCGAGCAGAGCTCGCCGAAGTTTTCCGTAATCCAGCGGTGTCTTCTTCGTCTTGATGTGGGTTTCACTGATGTTACGTGATGAAGAGGAGGCGAGAGAGTCGAAAGTCTGGGACGGGCTCGCATTAGTGCCAAATGGCCGCCATTGCTGGTGCCATAGTCTAGAGGCATCGCGTTGGCGGGCTGCCGAGGACTGATTAGCTTCATTTGCACAGGCAGCCTGCGCAGCTGATATTGCGGACGAGCGAATGCAAGCTCGACATGCCAGCGCAATCGGTCTCGGCGTGGTCGCAGAAACAAATAGCGCTATGCTCATGGTAGCAGACCGCCCGTCGAAAGTGCCAAAGAGATGGAACCGGTTCGATGCTGGTGCATGGCGTGCAGCGTCCTCATCGGACCTGAACGCTCATTTTAGGTATTGAGGATAAACACTCCGAGGCTCAGAAATGCGGCGGCTGGCCTCTTCGATCAATCTGTCGGAAGCTATCTACCCTACGAGAAGCGTGCGGCCAAAGGTACCCGCCGGTATAGTCACAACTTCATGAGAATGCAGAAGCTCAGGTGAGCGAGATGGGATCTTTGTTAACGTCCAATGAGCCACGATGGGTTCCGACTTCCGAGTCCCGTCTTATCGACTTCCGCCGATGTCGGACCGCCACGCAGGAGTTGTGTGCCTGCCCGCCCCGCCCACCAACCGGCAACTCGTCTCGCGCCGGCCGGCCGGTGAGTATGTACGCATGGCCAACTTGACCTTGTCATGTCGGTGGAGGCGGGTTGACCTAGCGCTTGTCATTTCGAACTCCCGGACCTGCTTCACATGCGAATACATTTGTCTCTTCGCTGCTCAGGAAAGATCCAGCAACCCTCGAGCTATTCAGGCGTCCATAGACAGCAGGGCAATCCTTCAAGACCAGAAACAGCCGAGCCTTCCTTTCTCTTCCCCCTGACCTCGGTTCCGTCAAACCTGGAATTGCGATTCGCAATTAAGATGTCTGAGGAGCAAAGCAAGATCGGTCAAGAGTATGGAGAGGTGCGGCAGAGCATTGATAATGATAAACTCAATGAGTATCTAAAGTGTGGGTCATCCCTGCTCCAGATTATTCCGTTTCGGTGGCGGTGCTTATTGGCACTAGTGGCATTTTTCGCGCTGTCGCTCATGCCATCACAGCCTGCGTCCCAGCCATCTCTGCTCCGGTCGACGTGAAGCAGTTTTCCTATGGGCAATCCAATCCCACTTACATTCTCATCGATCGAAAGTGAGTGCAGACTCTTGTCCGGAGTTCTGAAGCTGAGATCCAAAGCGCTGGTCTTCATGTTCTTTTGGTATCTGTCACTCAGCGGAAAGCATTATGTTCTACGCAAGAAGCCCCCTGGGCAGCTAGTCTCTGCGACAGCTCACGCTGTCGAGCGTGAGTATCGTATACTCTTAGCGATCGGAAAGCATAATCAAGCAGCCCCTATTTATGGGAACATGCTGCATCCAGATGCAGTCCCTGTCCCAGAAGTCTACTGTCTCTGTGAAGACAACTCGGTACTCGGCACCCCTTTTTACATTATGGAGTTTTTGAAAGGCAGGATCTTCAGCGACGTACGAATGCTCATGCTGCCAAAGGAGGAGCGTGCAGCGTGCTGGTTTGCTGCCATTAAGACACTTGCTGCCATGCATCGGATCAACCCCACAGCGATCGGATTGGACGGGTACGGCAAACTTGCCAACTTCTATCAGCGTCAGCTCAAGAGCTTGGGCGGCGTCAGTGTGGCACAGGGCAAAGTCAAAGATAAGAAGACGGGCAAACCTGTCGGACCGATCCCGTCATTCGAAGATATGGCCAAATGGTTTGCACAGAACCTGCCCAAGGACAAAAACACCATCTGCCACGGCGACTACAAGATCGACAACATTGTGAGTGCTACCGAAGCTGCTTCTTGCAAGCTTGCATCTCGTTGACGCAATCGTCATCATGAAATCCACACAGGTCTTCCATCCGACCGAGCCACGCGTCATTGGAATTTTGGACTGGGAGCTTTCCACATTGGGCCACCCTCTATCAGATCTGGCCAACCTACTACAGCCATTCTCACTGCCATGCTCAACCCCTTCCAAGGTCTCGGACCCAGATGAATTGGAGCGATCAAGGCAGCGCGGCGACTTCTGGCTCATGCTTGGCAACCTCACACCCGCTCAGTCACCTGTACCCGTTAAAGAGGAGCTGCTGAAAGAGTACTGTGAGGCAGCTCGCTGTGAATATCCTATCCCCAACTGGACATTCTGCGAAGCATGGGCCTGGTTCCGCCTCGCCGTCATCGCGCAAGGAATCGCGGCTCGCTCGGCTGCGGGGCAAGCGAGCAGTGCAAAAGCCAAGGAGTACGGGAGCATGTTCCCTATCGTTGCTGACGGCGCGTTGAAGATCATAAAGGCGAGCACTGGTGCTGTGAAAGCAAAGTTGTGATCGAAGGAGAAAATATAGGATGGGGAGCGCCGTCCCTTTGCAATGTCGATGACATTGTCATCTCATCTCCTAGCGAGACCTAACCGCTGAAAACTGTGACTGGCATGATGACGAACCGCTTATTCCTCCTGGTGTGCTGCGCGATAGCTGGGGCCGGGTGGGTCATACATAGCCTATGGGCTGTGGCGTAACTTTGAATACAAATACAATCCCTTTTGTGACTATAACACCGTTAACATATATGTACCATCTATGCACAGTTTAAAGATGTACACTGGGAGGAGTGTTCCCAAGTGGCGGCTTCGACGTGTGTTGCATTCAGCAGGACATACCTTCGTTCGGATTCGCAGGCGAACTCATGAGCTACTACCCGAATCAGACTCGACTCGGGTGCTGAGGTCCGTGTCCTTTCTCAATGTATCAGTAACAAGGAGATAGTGCTTGCCGCGATCAGGGGCGGCAGCCTTAAGGAACAAGAATCAGGATACACCCAATCTTCTCAAGGCGGGCATTGTAGCCGGGTTGGATGCACCGCGGATTCGATCACGTTGTGGGAAGAAGAGGAAACCCGAGAGCAAGGGCAAGGGCTCTGTATCTGTACTAATCTCGGTCTTCGCATCATGTCTGTCGACAGTCTGGCGCAGCTGCCATATGAGATCGCCACGGGCATCTTCTCGTGCGGGCTTCTAAATGCAGCGGATTTGGAGTTGGCTTCTGGCGTGTCCAGAGGTGCGTTCAATTGCGTGCCACCCCTCTTCGTGGAGGTTCGCCACATCAGGTCGCTTCCTTGGTCACCGGGAAGGATACAACGATGTGTTGCTTCGTCATGACCGACTGATTTTCGCTCGCTCTACCGCTTCGCACTACAGCTTGGCGCCAGATATGCCACGATGACTCAATGTGGCATAAGGCTGCATGGACGTGGAAATTGGTCAAGGACCTGGATACGACTCTGGAGGCAGTCAAGGCATCTTTCATCGACGAGAATCGATATTTTGCTCCGGCAAGAACCTGGCGGGAGTTTTGCATCGCGTACGAAGCGCTCGAGAAGCAACTCGGCTGGGACGCTGCTGCTCAACCGTTCCGTTATCCCGACGATTCGCTTGCAGCAAACCACGGAGTCGAAGGCGGTGGAAAAGCCCTCTTCCCCTCAATTTGCCGAAGGTTTCACGCAGCAAATGGCGAGATTGGATGGGGGTCAACCCATGGAGTCTTTCAAGACTTGTGGCGCATGAAGATCATACAGGAGGACCAGACGATCGTATCGACCGGCAAGGGCGGTGGTATTCGTGTGACTGATCTGAGAACGCACGAGCTCCTGTGGAGTATACCGCCAGAAATGACAAAGCGATTTCCTCACCTGGAAGCGGATAATACATTCATCGTCTGGGATATGTGGGGTACGTCCCATTCACCATTCCTTATACTGGCTGACAACCCATTCAAAGAAAGGACCCGTGCTAAAGTTAAGTAATTGCCTTTGCAGCCCAGAATAGCAACGACCAGTTCTACGTCTACAAGGCAGAGACCAAGTATGATGACCCGCCTGTATCACCGCGTAGAGGCCACTACAGACCGTACGCAGTACTTGCGCATGAGCAGGGCATCCATGCATATCGATTCAAGTATCCCTATCTCGCAGCGTGAGTTGGGCCGGGTAAAGCGACCGCCACTAAGAGCTCGCTTCACAGCTTTCGCGTTTTGCACAGTGCAACTGCCAACCAAAAGATCGTGTTCTGGGACTTGGAGGCCAAGCAAAAGGTCAAAATCCTCGACATCTCCCCCACGCGACTGACTCCTTTCAGCCTGTAGGTGCAAGGTCCATCGAGTATTGGCATCCCCAAGGCTCGGAGCGGTTAATCATGCGTGAAATGATGATTCATTGTGTGCAGGACTTATATCGATTTTGACGATCAGTACCTCTTCGTCACTGGAACTGGGCAGCTTGATATTCACATCTTCAATCGCACTTCGGAAGCATACCTATGGAGTATGCTGAAATATTTCGAGAAGGGTGGAAAGATTCCCTCGGGGTTCCAAATGGAGTTCAAGGTTCCGCCAGGAGCGTCCACACCGGGCCGATGGTTCGAGCGCTTGGCCAAGACAAGTATTGGCGGGGATGCGCTTGGGGCTTCCCTCAGACCGTCCGGAGTCAATGTCAGGACCAGGGACACGCCTCCTGAGAGACTCAGACACCGGTGGCTTGAGGTGCGTGTTCCTCACTTAGGTATTGTAGTACCCTCTCTGATCCCAAAATTCGTTTAGTTCTTTAACATGGGTCAAAGACTACATGATATCCGCGGGTGGGAAGCAATTCACATGTGTGAAGAGACGAACACGCTCCTTATCGTCTCTGAAATGGTTTTATTTGTCCTACGCGATTACAAAAAAACCTGCATCGATCCGAACTACAAACCGGAAATGTTGGTGTTCTTCCTACGAGATCCGTGGCGTAGTTTGCACACGCCACGGATTCAACGTCAATTCCAAGAAGACGATTTTCTTCCAACGGCGCTGTCAGTGTGTTCGGGTCGCGCCCTCTGGTACTCTCAAAAGCCTTACTTGGTCGACTTCAAGCATGCGCGTGAGCTCAAAGACATCAAAGTGTACCTGCTTGACCAACTGACCCAGGAGGAACAGCTTGGGCACTTGGACATGCAACCGAGAGATGCAATCTGTGACTACAAGCTCTCGCAGTTGCCTGGTCCTCACTATCGCACGGGACCGCACCAGTGTTCCTGCGTCGTGCTCACAAACACTGCTGCGTATATGGTCGAAGAGCAGTACATCGCACCCACCTTTCATGGCGGACGCGACAGCATAAGGGGGTGCAGCGGGCCCGTAGCAGATGGCGTATGGTCCTACACTCATGTGCGGTGCTACGACTGGGGTAGGAGCGCGCTGGAAAGGGTTGATCCTGCGCGTTGCATGGAGGAGCTGGCGCGGTTCAAGCAGCCACCGAAGTATGAAGGCCCGATGCCGTTCGAAGATACACCATCGAGTGCACAAATCCAAGCATTTTACCGCCAGACTTAAGTGCTCTAAGGAGCGGAGTGAGGCAGTCTTGTCAAACTGAACTCGGAGCTTTTGTACTGTTCCGTACACGTACATCGCTCATGGTACAGTATTCACAAGTCTGTATTAAATGTCGCGTGCATCAAAGGTGCGATTCACTTTGGGTCACAGTAGGCCATCCAAACTGTCTCGTGCACTCCATGCGTTCATTTTACATCTATCCATCTCTAAGTCACAGCCGGCCCTTGCTGGCGGCTGCATTGTTCTCAACACTGCTCTGCCAACTAGACTCGAGGGTCAATGTGTTCGGGGAAGACTTCGCACCTCGCCGCTCGCACAGCCAGTCACATACTGCGTCGACCGCTTCTGCGAAGCTGCCATGCAGCGTTGTAAAAAAAATGTCAAAGCGCCGATTGCTGCGAAACCGCGGCGCTACTTGCGCAGACTCACTGTCCTCTGTAATTGTGATCGGCGCCGTCGATCAGATGTAGGCGCAGTCTGACGCCGCGCTTCGCGACGGCGTTGACGAACCCCGCTGCTGCAGAAGTGGGTACGATATCATCGCGGGTGCCGTGCACGATCAGTACTTCGGACGTCGTTGGAAATGAGTTGGCATAGTCCTGCACGGCGTGCTTGGCCGCTTGCATGACGTCCGCTGCTGTAACGTGCTTCGTAACGGACTTGCCCGCAACTTTTGCGCTCCAGTCGCGCCCCTCTGCGCCGATGTTGGCATATCGCGGAAGGTCTGGAACTCACACGATAAGAATCGATTTCTCAGCCGCTTGAAGTGGATGGAGACGTGAAATGACCCGACGAGAAGATATGGACGCACCTAGAATCCCTGGTGGATACCATCTCGCGCTCATGCTAGCCAAGAATGGCACTCTCCGTGCCGGGTGAGTCCTTTCCCCGCACTCTTTTGCAAAGTACTCCCATGCGATACCCGCTCCTCTGGAGTGCGCGATGATAATCTCGATCCAGTAATTGTAATTCTTTCGCAAGTACTCGACGATCATGTTCAAGTCTCTATAGTTAGCAGCCATGTCGCCCAGCCGCCATTCCCCGCTGGATTCGTCATTGCCACGGAAATCGAAGCGGAAGGAATCAATGTCAAGCGCATCGACGAGTGCACGGTGATAGAGCTGGTCTTTGTGTGCGAATAGTCCGTGTAAAATGAGCGCTATCGGTCGAGCAGGTTGCGTGTTTCCTGTTGATGCCCGTGGCTCGAAACTCGAGCTGGCCGCACTTATTGAAGGGACAGTGGCAGTGGACGTGCTGCCAGCTTCAGATGACCCTGATGGTTGTTCCTTCTCGACACGGGCGAGGATCCCGACAAGTTCTACGCCCGCATCGATGCCGTCGCTTGGATATGGAATGCGAAGCTTGATCTGTACCTTCGGTGGGCCCTTGTTGCGTAGGCACACGGTCGTCCTGCCTGGTATTGATGTCGAAGGCAGAGAAGCCAGGCGTGATGAGGACGGGGAAGACATACTGCTCAGAAGCACCGCCTAGCTCCTCGGCTCTTCCTATGATAATAGGCAGAACTGACGGTGGGGGTGCGGGGTGCGGGTTGGACCAAGGTGTACGTCGCGCAACTAATGGCGGAGGTGACGTTCTGGAAGAGAGCAATATCGGCTTTCGGTCACAGCGCTGGCGGTATGCAGGCTGTTCAAAGACGTTCGGTCATGTCTCACTTGATGTGTCGTGATGAGGTCTCCCTTTTAGGACATGGCAAGCGAGCGCAACGTCATCGCAAAGGACAAGAGGATACGTACGTCGACCGCTTGCTGTAGATTGCAACTACTGTGTACACTGTAGTGCTCCCGGGCCATCCATTCGTCTGGACATCTGCGTGTTCGGAGACCCTCGGCTGATGGTTCTCGTCTCTTTTTGCGGTCTGCTGAATCAAATCACACACAGAGTATACGCTCTAGAACGAAATCTTAAACTGCCGGTCGCTGGCGTGGACCTGCATGCCAACCTCCCCCGCCGGCCAATGCTGACAGCGTCAATGAAGCCGACGAACAAAGTCAGCCGGGGGAGTTGCATTGACTGGATACGTCACACCCTTGGTCGGCTACAACGCGCACATGTGGGCAAACCAGATACAACCCTAGTCTGCAAATGTTCCTGTTACTGTCGAGCGCGCGAGTCGCGTTTGGATGCCATGCTAGGCTTCTGGCCGCTTGTGTCGTGGGTACATAAAAGCTTTGTTGGCCTTTTGCATGGCTGCAAGCAGCCTGCAAGCCCGGGCCACCGATGGATGGCGGGCAGAGTGCTATGCGAGGTATTTGCGGTACGATACAAGTACAATGTGGTTGCAGTAGAAGGGGGTTGGCGGTCAGCTCTGCGATGAGAGGACGACCACGGCCCTGCGACACGAGTGGGAGCATCCTCTCAAGGGCTCACGCCGAGTGAGACTGAATTCATTTCCGTGCACGCAGGCCGTACGCAGTGAAAGTTACTTGCGTCGCGACGGGTGCGTGCTCCGTGGCTGAACTTTATCAGTTCTCGAATCGGAGGTCAGCGCGTTTCGGTTCTTGGAAGCATAACATGCGTTGGGGTTAGCGTCATGATCCAAGTTCGCGCTCTGAAGCTGCGAGCATATGCCGCTATCTGAATGCAGCAAAACTCACTGATGAGAGGGTGTAGCTGCGCCAGGTAGATGATGGCCCACATCATGTAGCAGCAGGTGAGGGTGAGAATGATTGCAGTCCGAATAACGCTGTTCAGCAGCCATGGAGGCAACCACGATCAGTCATTTTCCAAGTCTCCGGCGCAGATACCTGACACACATCGGAGCAGTGACGCCGATGCCCCGGGAATAGCCCAAAGCTGAGCATTGGAGTGATCTGGGAAGGACACTCACACTTGGTTGGGGCCCCGCTTGGCCGTCGCAACCCAACTGCCAAAGCCAGCGCCAACAGCGGCGATGCCGACCCAGACCGGTGTCCAGCCCGTCATGATGCACGCGTATAGCAGTCGTAAAAAGGCGCAGATGAACGTTGCACCCTCGCTGCAATTGGGCCTCTGCTTTGTTCGTCAGATGCTGACCTGTACAAATGGAGATGGCGAAGCGCTCAGTACAAAGACCAGTCAGGAGTGCAAGTCGGAGGGTCCGCCCAGTCTCTTTGCGTGTCAAGGTCAACTGTGTGTATGCCACACTTGGACTGCGTACACGGTAGAGTGCCAGAGCACACGTCGCAAAGAACAATGGGTCACCAAATCCGAGTTCCGCTCCTTACTGTTGAAATTTTGTTTGGCATTGCACCTGCGTAACACCATCCAATTCTTCGCAATGCGCATGGCCTATCTATGCCATTGGTGGAGATCCTCAGCTCTGGAAAGTCCTGTAAGGAAGCGCGTGTCCATGCCCGTGCAAGCCGACTGCCACATGGCTCAGCCTTGAATTTGGACGCTGTGAATGTTGCGGTTGCTGTTCGCGTGACAGGCGCCGGGCTACCTCGCGGCTCCAGTCAGATCGTCGCAACTCGCACAGACTTCCCCTGGACGCCGACCTACACAAGGCTTTCAAGGCAACGTGAACTGTAGGAAGATCTGCGCTCGCCGATATGGATCCGACAGTACCAATCTCTTCGCGGATCTCGTCTGCCTCCTTCTCATTCCTCTCGAGCGACGAGATCCGCGCGATTTCGGTTAAGGCCATCACCAATCCCATCTTGCTGGACAACACCAACCTCCCGACCGAGGGCGGTCTGCATGATCCAGCACTTGGGCCCATCGACAACAAGAGCATGTGAGCCGAAAGTTAGAATAAGCAACAGATTTATCAGCCGATCGCTGACGCACTGGCCTGCGCCATTTGGATTCCCGCTTTAGCTGCAAGACATGCCAGCTGTCGGCATTCTCATGCCCAGGTCATTATGGCCACATCAACCTTCCTGCACCCGTATTCCATCCGCTTTTCATGACGCACTTGTACAATGTGCTTCGCGGTTGCTGTCTCTTCTGCCACAAGTTTAAAAGTCCTGAGGTTCAGGTGAGTCTTGCTGCTGCTTCGCAGTCTTCGTGTCGAAGCTCTCGATTGACTCCATCCTCGCCATTGGAACTACCTGTCATTTCAGCTCGTGCTCTTCGAAAATTGCTTGAAGCTCCTCAACTATGGTCTTGTACAAGCCGCTGCCGAAATCGCGAAGGAGTCACTGCGCGGGCGTAAGAACGTTGTTTCTTTGCTTCAAGACGAGGCAGGGCCTGGCGGCAGGGGTCAGGCGAATGGAAGCGCGACTCTCGAGGTCGAAGATGGCGATGGAGAGTTCGATACGAATCTGCAGAACAGCGATGAGGCAGTAGTGGAAGAAAGCCCGCGCGATTTCCGAAAGAGAATCGAGAAACGGGTCGGAGAGTTGGTTTTCGAGGCTGTCAAGAGTGGCGATGGCAAGGTGGACAGGAAGGATGATCAAGGAAATGCAGCGTATGCAGCGAGGAAAAAGCTCATCAACGAGTTCCTCAAGAATGTCGCACGCAAGAGATGCGAGCATTGCCATGCGTGAGTAGTGAGAGTGTGTCTTCGGCGCCAGAATCTTGCCCTGAACATTTCATGCTATATCTGTCCCCGAATAGCGTTGGACCCACGCTGCGCAAAGATGGATTCATCAAAATTGTCGAGCGTGATCTCTCAGACCGGGACAAGGCCATGCATGAAGCGCTCGGTATCAGGAGGCCCAATGTCTTTGCTCTAACTGCCAAATATACCACTGCTGGACAGTCGCACCCGGACGGCACATCAGAAGGCCGCAACGCCCCGAACGATGGCGAGGCTCGTATAGACATCGATGAGCAGTACGAGGTTGATGACGCCATGAGCGTCGACACAGACGTGCCCTCGACTACAAAGAGCCTAAAGGAGAAGACAAAGGATGCACGCAAGAAAAGTGCCAAGGCGTCCAGCGCGACGAGGGTCATGCCACCGGACGAGTGCCGTGCCAACCTTCGCTTGCTATTCGAGCGCGAAGCTGACATCTGCGGCCTCATATTCGGCCGCCGAGGACCCTTCGAACTGGGCTACATTCCGCCAGAAGGCTACAATCCGACCAATGGCAGCTTTGGCATAAACCAGCGGCCGGGAGAGGGCAGCGGCAGCAGCGCCAGTGGCGCAGTCGCAAAACGCAACGGTGCTAGCGCGGATTCGTTCTTTATGGACGTCATCGCTGTCCCGCCGACGCGGTTCAGACCAGCGAGCGTTCTAGGCGACCAGACGTTCGAGAACTCGCAGAACGAGCTGCTCACCAAGGTCATCAACACTTCCTCGCAAGTACGTGATCTCAACAGTGCTCTGCAGCGCTACAGCTCCAAAAGCGCCGTGGAGGAGACGGCGCCGGGTGCGTCCAGCCAGAGTATAGCGAACGCAGAACAAGCGCTTGCGCAAATGCGTCTTCAAGCTTTCGAGTCGCTCCTCGGCTCGATGATCCAGTTGCAGGTTGACGTCAACTCGTTCATCGATTCGAACAAGAATCCCAACCAGGCTGCTGCACGTGCCGTACCACCCGGCGTGAAGCAAGGTATGGAGAAGAAGGATGGTCTGTTCAGGAAGAACATGATGGGCAAGCGTGTCAACTTTGCAGCACGCTCCGTCATCTCGCCCGATGTCAACATCGAGACGAACGAGATTGGTGTTCCGCCCGTGTTTGCGCAGCGCCTGACCTACCCCGAGAGAGTCACAGCGCATAACGTCGATAGGCTCGCAGCGCTCGTGATCAACGGCCCCCACAAGTATCCCGGTGCTGTGGCCATTCGCATGGAGGACGGCAGCGAAACGTTGCTCTCACGCCTCTCGCGAGAGGACAGGACAGCGCTGGCGCGTCAGCTCATGACACCGCAACAGGAGCTGTCGCGCAGTTTCAAGGGTTTCTTCTCCAACGTCAACACCAGCACGCGCACACCGATCGTCAACAAGGTTGTACTGCGTCACCTGCAAGACGGCGATATCCTCCTACTCAACAGACAGCCGACGCTGCACAAGCCATCGATGATGGCACACAAAGCGCGCGTCCTGCATGGCGAACGCACCATCCGCATGCACTATGCCAACTGCAACAGCTACAATGCCGATTTCGACGGCGACGAAATGAACATGCACTTTCCTCAAAGCGAAGCTGCGCGTTCGGAATGCTACAACATCGCCAATACTGACAATCAGTATCTTGTACCCACGAGTGGTAGTCCTCTGCGCGGTCTCATCCAAGATCACGTCGTCGCGGGTGTGTGGATGACGTGCAAGGACAGTCTCTTCGATCGCGGCGAATACCAGCAGCTGCTCTATGGTGCCCTGCGACCGGAAGGCAATTACACGGGCGGCGGACGCGTGCTCACGCTCCCACCAGCACTCATCAAACCACGACCGATGTGGACTGGCAAGCAGATCATCTCCACTGTCTTGCTCAACATCCAGCCTCCCGCGCCCGCGGAAGGCATCAACCTGCAGAGCAAGGCCAAAGTCGCAGGGAAGTTTTGGGGCAAAGACCACGAGATGGAAGAGCATGTCATCGTCGCTGAGGGGGAGCTCGTCAGCGGTGTGCTGGACAAGAGTCAGTTCGGCGCCTCAGCGTACGGTCTCGTACACGCAGTCTACGAGATCTACGGAGCTGAGTCGGCGGGTAAGCTGCTCAGTATCTTTTCGCGTCTTTTCACCAAGTTCCTTCAGCACCGTGCATTCACTTGTAGGATGGACGATTTGACGCTCAGTCCGACGGGTAACGCGATGCGGCGCAAGATCCTCGACGATAGCCAATTGGAGGGTCGCAATGCTGCCCTGCGGACCGTTGGTCTGTCCCAAGAGGATGCAGAATCCCCTGCAATGCAGCAGAATCTGCTCACTCGCCTTGAGGAGGTTCTGCGCGATGACAACAAGCTTGCAGCGCTTGATGCAGAATCCATGTCTGCCTCCAACGATGTTACAAGCGCGGTCATCAAGGCTTGCATTCCTGGCGGCTTGAATCGGCGCTTCCCGCACAACCACATGCAGATGATGACAGTCTCGGGAGCTAAGGGTAGCCCAGTCAATGTCTCATCGATTTCTTGCTTGCTCGGTCAGCAAGCACTGGAAGGTCGGCGTGTGCCCGTTATGGTCAGCGGAAAGACGCTGCCGTGCTTTAAGCCGTTCGAAACGGCAGCCATTGCAGGAGGATACGTTGCTGGTCGTTTTTTGACGGGCATCAAGCCTCAGGAATTCTACTTCCATTGCATGGCTGGACGCGAAGGTCTCATCGACACTGCCGTCAAGACGTCAAGGTCCGGCTATTTGCAGCGCTGTCTCATTAAGCATCTCGAAGGCGTGCATGTGGCGTACGACCAGACAGTCAGGAACAGCGACGGCACAGTTCTGCAGTTCCACTACGGCGAGGATGGGCTAGATGTTACCAAGTCCAAGTACCTAGAGCAATTCGACTTTACCGCTCGCAACGTGCCGTCCTTCACCGAGAGATACCAGCTAAAGCAACTGGAGCAGCTGGCCGAGCGGAACCTTATAGAGACGGAGGAAGCCCGAGCGCACATGAAGAAAGCACTGAAGAAGCCACACAAGTACCCGCCCGTCATGAGTGTTCTTCCGCCGGTCAAGCATCTTGGCTCCATGTCAGAAAGCTTTGCGAAGAAGGTGGAGGCATTTATTGAGGAAAATCCAGCGCAAGTACTAACCCTCGACAGAAAGACGCTGAAGAAGTTGGCTAAGGAAGGGAAGGCACCGGTGGAGAAGATAAAGAGGGCGACTGCAAAGACAACTGCGGAGATGTTCCGATCAGTCAACGACATTCTTTACCGCAAGTCACTCGTCGATGCAGGAGAGGCTGTTGGCCTGCTTGCAGCGCAGGGTATCGGGGAGCCTTCGACGCAAATGACACTGAACACCTTCCACTTCGCCGGACATGGTGCTGCCAACGTCACACTAGGTATCCCACGTCTCCGTGAAATCGTCATGACGGCCTCCCAGTGCATTCAAACGCCAATCATGCGCCTGCCTGCACTCGAAGGCTTGTCGCGCGACCACATGAAGACGCTTTGCAAGGATGGCTCGCGTCTTCTTCTCAGTCAAGTCGTCGAAGAGGCTGTGGTGCAAGAGAAGATCTCTGGCAAAGTGGAAAGCACGGCATTTTCTCGCAAGAAGTCCTACGTTGTCCGCCTAAACTTCTACCCAGCAGAGGAATGTGTTGAAGAGTATAATACTTCCACACAACGGATTCTGCACTCACTACAGGCCACATTCGCTCCAATGCTCGAGCGCGAACTCACGAAGGAGCTCAAGAGGCTCAAACGCGATCGCGTCCTCCAACAGCAGACCATCGGCAAAGGGCAGCGTTTCAATGAGGTACCATCTGCAAATGAGGAGGAAGAGGACGGGCGCCCGGCCGACCCGAGCAAACGTCCCCAGGAGAGGCAAAGATCTGTCAATGACGATTCGGACAGTGATGACGAATCTCTCGTTGGTGACGGTGACGCGGATGATGCCCGGCGCAAGGCGCGCAGCGCGAATAATTCGACCTATCTCGATGATGAAGCGTCTGAGAGTGAAGAGACGGACTCCGACGCGTCATCGGAAGCGGGTGGACTGGTCCGCAATTCAGACAACACCCCTGCCACTTCCGCTGCTTCGATCGACAGTGATTCGGATGATGAAGATGACGAGCTCGCAGCTCAAGTGCTCGAAATCGAGAACTATCTGGAAAACCACGCGGCTTATATCACCAAATTCGACTTTGACAAGAAGAAAGGATCGTGGGCGGAGTTCGAGCTTCTGTTGAAGAGCAACCAGGACAAGCCACTGCTCATCAACGTCGTCGAGCGGGCGTGTAGCGCCAGTGTTGTACACGAGAGTGAGTACACAGACAGTTCCTGAATCTTCGCTTTTACTCACGAAATAATGCATTTCGCCGGCAGTCCCGAATATTTCGAGGCTCTTGGTACCACCGCCGAAGCCCGGCGAAAAGGAGTTCGCGATCACAGCGGAGGGTATCAATGTTCGAGGAATCTGGGACTTCGGCTTTGGCAAGCTCGACCTCGACAAGATGTACACGAATGACATCGGCGCTCTCCTACACAATTACGGTGTCGAAGCTGCTCGCGCAGCAATCGTCGCTGAAATGGCTGGCATCTTCAAGACGTACGGTATCGGTGTCTCTATGCGCCATCTTTACCTCATTGCAGACTACCAGACTGCGAATGGCGGCTTCCGGCCATTCAACAGAAGCGGCATTGCGGACAGCTCGAGTCCGCTGCTTAAGGCAAGCTTCGAGATGACCATGAGCTTCATCGGCGATGCTGTCCTGTATGGCGAACATGACAGCCTCAACACTCCCAGCGGGAACATCGTCGTCGGCCGACCGATCCACTCTGGCACAGGAACGCCAATCGTTCAGGTGCCCATCGCTGTCGCCTAAAACGCGCGGCTTTCCGTTGAATTGCCCCTTCATCTGTATTTTTCGTAATGTTCAATCGTGTGCCTAGGATACCAAAGCACCACACAGGAAAGATGGGCATCATTCTATGTTTTACTGGAAATGCAAAGGATCTGCAGGTAATTTGATGAATGTGTCACAGCCCTGCAAATGGAGTCTGGGTGTTCAGTCCCTCAAAAGATGCACAACTTGCACCAGGATTGTGACTCACATGGCCGTAGAGGCTGACAATGTCCAGCGCGCTTCCACCTCCAAAGTACGTCGCGTATATGCGGGCCATTGGGAGGCCATATCCCAGGCCTGCTAGTGTGCCAAGTCCGCTCAACAAGCCTGAAGCGCCTATCTCTCCCAATCCGTTGTCTACAACACCTCCCACGGCCTGTATGGCATACGGCCCTTCTAAATCACCAGAGTCCCCAGATGAGCCCGCATCGTCCTCAGCCGAGTTGACGGTGGTGAAAGCGTAGGAGAAGATGTGCGGCAGATTCTTGGGTGAGATGCCGCCGCCCTGATCTCGGATACGCATGGAAAGATGGTTACGGCTTTTTGAGATCGAAACTTTGATGGGCGGCATGGGCTCGGGTGGGTCGGCGCTAAAGCGGTTACTGCGTTGGCGTGCCGCTGCGCGTTCACGCCACCGTTCGGTTGTTGCGCGATAGCTGTTTTTTAGCAATTCTGTCATGACATACTCCAGGTGGACGGGGACGCCGATGTATGTTGAATTCACGTCGCCTTCCAGTACCAGCTCTGGAGCAGCGCCAAGAGTCCCTTCGCACAGGCCGTGCACAAACTGAGCACATGTCTTGACCATGCGCGCAGGGCTGAGCTTTGTGTCCACCACGCCGATGACACTCAACCTGTCCTCTCCCCATGCTGCTTCCTGTTGCATGACGCCCGTCTTTCCTGCACGCCTTGCGTCATGGAATAGGCCAGCGATTGACAAGTGCTGCTCGGCGATCAGACGGATTGCGATCCGTGAGTGGATGGCTGCGTCGAGGAATGCCGATACCTCTCTGGCGTCCATATACTTCTTGCACTCGAGGAACCCGCGTGCGAGGATAGGGACGTTTTGCGCGTGATCCTCGACGAGCGATTCCAACATGCTGACGAAGTTGTCATGGTCATTTAAGTCGACAATCTCCGGAAACCTAGCCAGCGTCTCGAAGGATTGGGAATATAACCGAGCGATCTGTTGAATGTATGGATTTGAGCCCACGATGAAGGGAAGCGATCGAAACCCTCCAACTCTTCGGGCCAGTCGAATGGGCAGCTCTCGCCGCGTGAACTCAGCTGACTCGATCAATTGCGATGTGGTTGGCACCTGCCCCGGCGCAGGTGCGTGGGACAAGAGAGAATTGAGCGTGAGAGGCGTCGGCTGGATCGAGAGAAACTCTGCGAGCAATGTCGGAGAGGCACCAAAGGTAGAAAACGCAGAGGGAGGCGCCATGAAAGTGGACTTCGACGAGACCTCATCGTCCACCTGCCTGTCGTCGCTTGGAGAGAATGACGAAGAGCCAGGCTTGAACAGGTCTGGCGGAGGATACTGTGGGCTGGTCGAGAATTTTCTTGCGTGCAAGCAGTCCCAACGTCGTGAAGGTGCCTTACCCTTGATGTCTGTGGCCAAGCATTGCATGAACTGCAGCTGCTGCTGCTGCGCGCGCCGGCGAGCCAGCTGCCGGGCCGCCTCTCTCAGCGGTGGCATCAAGCTCATTGTTCCAACTGCACTCCAGCAGGAAAGAACAAGTCGTACCTGTCAAGTCGATGCAGAGCAAGATCGCCTACTGAACGCGGCCAGCACATCGAACTGCGCTTGGCCGGATTGGAACCAGATTAGAAAGATCATCGACGCGGTGATTGGTGAAATAGATGACTCTCAGTCATCGTTGTTTGAAGACTGTTGGCAGGCACTGGACGACTTTTATTCCGCACTCCACTGGCGAGGGAGAACAGGAACAGACCATTATGCAACAATCATCTGCTCGTTCTCTGAAGAGCTCTATATTGTTGCGGGAGAACATCGACTCTTGCACCCATGCTCCTTGTGGATGCGCACGGTCATGCATGTATACCCTGGATCTCGGCTTCAGCAGATTCACCGTGCACCACCGTGATTGAGCAACGGCTTCGCTTTCTCTCACGATACTTGAGATCAAGGACCCATCAAAAGGCCACGCAGTGTACAGCCATGGCAGAATCTCGCCCACCTCGATTCTCGCTGGACAATGTTCCTTCGCAGCACCCCAAGGTCCGGTTGGAAGTGTCTGGGGCCGACCTCGAAGCCCCTGAAGGATGCACACCCTATGTCCTCGTACAGCTCTCCCCGGCGCTGTTCGTCGACCCGTACGAATTACCACCATATCGCTCCCTTTCCGAGGAGCGCGACCCCTCTACGAGTGTGTTCGTGAGCGTGACCCAGGTTCACATCTTTGGAAAAACCGAGCTGGAGAGTGCCGTCGGCTGGACAGATCCAAAGGGTGCTCGACGCAAGATCGCAGCTCGTCGTGCGCCCCGCTCTGGCGCTGATCTGCCGCACAGCCACGCCCTTAGTAGCGAAGCCAGCCAGGTGCTCTTCCAGTTGGATCTAAAAGACCCCGCAAATCCACAGCCGTACAGCTTTAAAGACACCATGGACGCGCTGCTGCATCTTAAGATGTCGCCTAAGCCAACACGCAAGCAACAGTCAGCCAGCGAACTCGCACGGGTGCACACTCTGCATCTTCCTCTACATACACGGTACATACCGCCGGTTCAGGAAAACGCAGGTGTCTCCGCTTCCGCGCCTTTGCCTGATTGGAAGCTTCTGATCAAGCAGGTAATGGATCTGCGGAAAGGGAATTACGAAAATGTGGAGCTGCCGGAACCACAGTACATCTATTCGTGCATCGGTGAACCGAGTTATGAAGAGACGTTCAAGATGGACAGGGGCTGGAAATACATACGTGAGCATTCACACTTTACTCAAGCAGTACGACTTTGATGACGACCCTGCATTTCACCCGCAGAGCCTTCGGACTTGCTCCAAAATGCTTGGGCTCAATACAAACTCTCACCGCCTCTTCCAGCGTCGACAAATCCTAATAATCATCGCCTGCTGGCGCGCACCCAGTTAGGTACAGGCATCTTGTCACTACCGCCAGCTGACGGTTGGACGCTCCCGATACCTCGAGGCGACGCTTCCTTGACGACACTGACTCAGCTCATCACTGCGTCTGTCATCGGCTTGACAGCACTCTATGCGTTCCTATCCATACGGTCGAGCGTATCGCAGGTCGAACGCAGCGAAGCACTGCTTCGGAAACGAGCAGAGAGCAAATCTCAATAGTAATTTATAACTGTCCGCATTCGCTTCATGTGCTTTGCATGTGTATGTGATACAAGAGAGCCAGTTGCAGCGTCCGTCTCCCCATAACAGCGACAATTGCTTCTTACAAAGCTTTGAGTTACCTCAGAACCTCGACAGGCGCGAAGGCGTTTTCGACACAGGCATCGCACGAATACCACCGCCAGAAGCGACTGGACGGCTCTTGAAGGCAGGTGCATGTGGTTTCAACTTATGTGCCGCCGGTGTAATGTTCGTATTGGCCCGCTTTGGCGGCACAGCTGGAGCAGGTGGGCCGAGCAGTGTCGCATTCGGCTGGCCTTTGGTGGGCGATGAGGAAGATGCCTTTCGGTTCGTTCGGTGGACACTCCCACTGCTTCTGTCCGGAGGGACGAATGCGAATTGATGGATGTCTGGTACCGACCGATTAGAGGACGGTTCGGAGGGCAGCTGCCTGGGTGGGGCTGGAGCTGGCGCTGGTGGCAGGCGACTGTCTTGTTTTGCTTTTGGCGGCGGTGGTGCCATGGCGGCAACAGCTTGGGTTTGCTGGTAATACGCATCTCCCAGCTCATCCGAAAATTGGCGACATACTGCATTGGTGAAGAATGAGCGCAGTCAGCGCCCACTGACTTGTTTTCAATAACTCATGTGCAGACTCACTTCCAAGGAAACGTATTCGATACTTTTGCCATAGCGGAGCATCCCGACGATCCGTCACCTCATCCATTTGCTCCTTGGCTGTGAGGACGAATCGAAAGCCTGTCAGTGCCATGTGTGCCAAGAATACTAGAGAACTCACATTCTGGCAAATTTATCGAAAGCATTTGCAGATGATCATCCGAGAGAATATCTGCAGGCGAGCACTTTGCCTCGGTTGCAGACTGGAGGCCACAATCAGGTCAGCATCAGTGCTCTTTGTGTGCAATGCTCAAGGATGCGCACCTTCTCTCTAACATTCAACAGCATCTTGTAGCACTGTTGATGAATTTCGTGCTGTGCCGCTCCTGTCTGAGGCGCATCATCTTCGTCATCATCGGACGGAAGGTCGGCCACGTCGATAACCATCGGCCTCTGTGTCCTAGGTTCTTCATCTGACGAGATTCTGTCTGCTTCTTCATCATCGATCTGTAGACCATTCGCACGGCGTTTGGGAGTTGCCTTTATCGGGCGCTTTTTCTTTGATGTTGACGTTGACGCCTTCCCCTGGCTGCCATTGTCATCCGCCTCTTCAGCCTCGCTAGCGTCAACGACATTCTGCTCGGCTGGTGCATTCTTGCGTCCGTACTTTGCTCGACTAGCTCTCGTATGGCGGAGACTCTCCAAAGCCCTTTGGTTGCGCGGCACAGGGTCACTTGAGGCGCTCTGACTTGGCTGATAGTCGTCATCATCTTCGCCGTCGCCATCAGGAACCGCGTAAGTGGGCCCCGGATTGGTCGATTTTCTGGTCGGACGTGCCGCCTGTTGGTCGTCGATGCTCATGAATTCGTCCATCGAAGCAGGCTGCATCATGATGCGCGGCCTGTTTGCGTTCGGATCTCTTCTCCCTTTCGCCGTAGGCTGGTTCAACTTGGCTTTCGGTACGTCCATCACGACCTTGTGACGCCCACTGATAATCGCGTCAGCATTTGTTCCAGGCTGTAGTACGATCGATACATTCAGTCAGAGTTGAAAAATACGCACAGAAAGGCCAGCGCTAGGTCTCACCTCTATGTACGCGTTCACGTAGCCTGCGCTGTTCGTCTTCGTGTACTCCTGAATGCCCTTCTCACTGTGCAGGATGTAGAAGAGGCGCTCGAGCTCGGTGCGGTCCAGAGGCTTGCCTTTGCCGGCATATGGGCTTCGGTCGTGCCCGCGATCTTTGATCTCGCGCTTGGCCGAGCCGCGAAACACATCCACGCAATGCTGCAAGGTAACATGGCCAGTGAGAGCGGGAATCATCTTGAGGATCTGTGCCGCTGTCTCCGTGTAGTCCTTCTCCTCCAGCTCTCCCGAGTCTCTTCTGCAGTTGTCACAAGTCTGATGACAGTCTTCCGGGGGAAAGTTCTCGTCAAAGTAGCGCAACACCTGCTGACGACGGCAATCATACGTGTTGTAGCAGTACTGCACCACCCGCTCGAGATTTTCCATCTGTTGCTGCTTCTGATGAGCGCTGGCGTCACCGTCACTAATGAGTTTGCGGACCATACTGATGTCGCGGGGGGCAAAGTAGAGAATGCAGTCTGAGACTTTCCCGTCTCTCCCAGCCCGGCCGGTCTCTTGGTAGTAACCTTCTAAGGATTGCGGGACGGTGTGATGAACGACGAAGCGCACATCTCCCTTATCGATGCCCATGCCGAACGCGATGGTTGCCACCATGACCTTAAAGTCCCCTGCTTGCCATTGTGTTTGAAAGGCAACACGGTCACCCTTGCCGAGACCCGCATGATAGTGCTTCGCAGGAATGTCATGCTGCCTCGTAAGCTTATCTGCAACGTCTTCGCACTGTTTCCGTCCTAAGCAATAGACAATGCCGCACTCGTTCGAGTGCTTGGTCTTGATGAAGCTCGCGACGTCTAAGAGAGACCCGGCTCCCTTCTTGCGGACTTCATAGTGCAAGTTTGGCCTGTTAAACGATTGCTCGAGCTGAACAGACTCTTGGATGCGCAAAACATTGATAACGTCCAGTCTCACGCGCTTGGTCGCCGTTGCGGTCATCGCCATTATCGGCACCGTCGGGTAGGTCGTTCGGAGGGAGCGCAGCTCTTTGTAGTCGGGCCTGAAATCGTGACCCCACTGACTGACACAGTGTGCTTCATCAACGACGAAGCGGGCGAGCTTGTTCTGCTCGTAGAGCCTGGTAAATACGCTCTTGGCCTGTCCGCTTTTGGACATCAGTTCCGGCGTGACGTAGAGAAGCTTGCAGATCAAGTCGGGTCTGTGAAGCTCTTGAAAAACCAAATCTCGATTGGTGCGGGAGAGATCTCCGGTCAGAGCAAGCGCAGGAATCGAAAGCGCATTTAAATGCCGAACTTGGTCGTGAATGAGAGACAAAAGCGGCGAGATGACGATAGTGAGACCACGAGTCTTACCGGAATTGACCAGCGCGGGTAATTGGTAGCACAGACTCTTCCCCCCGCCAGTCGGCATGAGGCAAAAAACATCTTTGCCTTTGAGCGTGCTATTGATGGCGTCAAGCTGGTGGTGTCGAAACTCTTGAAGCTTGAACGTTTGTGTGAGAACGTAGCATACATCAGCTGAAAACTTGTACACCAGCTTGCTTCGCAGAGTATCGTGACGTGATTCGTGCAACTCGTTGGCTGCGTTGCTGCGCGATGGAGGTTGTTGGGATGTTCGAATAACAACAGGATTTGATGGCCCTCCTGCAACGCTTACACATGGACGAGAGGGCCCAGCCTGTGGGACAGGGGTTGCTGCTACTACGGCCGCTGAGATTTGAGCAGGCTGGGGCTGCTGGCGCACATGTGTACGTCCATCATGACTGACGCTTCTCTCCACCTCCTCCATGGCGGCAAGCTCTGCCTCGTCGAAATCATCCACTGGATATGTATCAGAGTGCACTTGCCCCTGCGTAGGCCTTTGGCGAACCACTGCAGCCACCTGCGGTGGCCGCATTTGTTGCTGTAGACGAGTCGAGGGGCTGGCTGTATGCACACTACTTTGTTGCGCAGACCTTCCTTGGGGTGGCAGCATAGGCGCAGGGCGGAAGCCGCTTGGGCGAGGCTGACCACCTTGCAAGATAGTGGTCCCCTTCATAGCATGCCTTTCAGAGCTGGCAGTTGCATTCTGTGCGTATGCTCTGGAAAAGGAGCGAGCCTCGTCGTTTCCGGATAAAGCATCAGGTTCCTGCGGTCCGTCGCTCGAGCTCGAGATGATTTCCACATGCACAATGGAGGATGGCTGCGATGGTGGTGTGATCTTGCGCTTCTTTACTGGAGGCGGGGACGATCCTATCTCTTGCGGCTGACCCAAGCTTCCCGACGAACGCGATGCCGCGCGTGCCGATGGCCCCGGAAGCGGGGGCCCATCCCTCCCCGCCGGCGCCTTGAGAAGCGATGGCGAAGATGGGGCTTTGTCTGGGGGCTGACGCGGTTGAAGGTATCTTCCAGAGCCATGAGATGTGCGCTCCTGTTGAGATAGAGGAGAGCTGCTACCGACCAGCGCAAGAGTCTTCTCTTTGCCCTGTGTCTCAGACTTGTCCTGAGCGACGCGACTAGCCCTTCTTGGCGTGTCGGGCACAAGAGCACGGCTTGATCCAGTCGTCCCACCAGTTTGCACTTCATCTGATGCATTTCCTCTTCTGTAGGCAGACGCGTCTTTCCTCGCCTCCATCTCCCGTGTCAGATCCCCAATACGTTGAGTAAGATATGTTCTGCGCGTGAGATCCGTGTATTAGCAATGCGTTGAGAGGGTGCGCTGGTCAGCCAGACCCTCAGCCTCTCACCTTTGATGAGACAAAAAGCCCATATCGGCTCCAGGTGCCGCATCCCCCCCAATGATTGCAAGAATTTGCTCCATGACTCTATCTTTGTCTCGCAGGCGTTCATTGAGTTGTGCTTGCAATTCATGGGTTGGGAGCTATAACGACAGAGCATGGGAGACGCCAGCGTTCAGCCTCTTTGAGCAGCGGTGTGCCGACAAGCATTCAAATACTTACCTGCGCCAACGGGATCTCTGTGAATGCGAAGCTGCTTGGCGGCTGCGAAGTCGGCGTCTGTGCGCGTTGGGTCGTCATTTTACCTATCTGCTTCACTGGATTCACGGGAGTACGGCTCGCCACGGAGGCTCCAGGCGGCACATTTTCCTTCTCTCCTTCTGCCAGCTCCTCTCCTTCTGCCTCTTCGTCCGAGTCTGGCACGATGACCTGCGCACTACCGCGTGTCTCCAGGTCGGAAGAGGCCGAGCTGCTTAGGTGCAATTGTGGGTCTCGGGGCCTGCGAAGAGGGTGGACCGGCTCCGTCTGTATTCTTTCGTACAGCATCGCTAGCCTCGCACTGGCGGCATTGCAAGCGGCGAAGAAGCGCCGATCTCGACGGAGTTGACTTGATCAATGCATCTGCGCGCGGTGTTGCATCATCAGAAGGACAATTGAAAGGATCACGACCGTGGTAGAATCGCGCTGCTATAAAGAGTGCGAATCTCGCCTTCGCGTGTCACGGGTTAATGGCTTGTTGGTCGCAGGACGCACGCGACGTGTCATGCTGTGGTCACGTGGGTCCTGGCGAGTGTTTAACGAGTTCCGTTAGGATTATTGTGAGAGCAGTAATCGGTGTTTTCGCCGTAAATTACCGAAGTCTGCGTCATCATTGTCATGCTATTACGTCAACGCGTTCTCACTGCCACATGCTTATTGTTCGTTGCAGTCAGCCAATTAACAAATCACATGGCGTTGCACTGCTTGGTTACGTCCCCTGCTTCGTCGCACGATTTACAGATATCTCTTCGTTCCAGCTACTCCCCAACATCGGAGACCACCTCTCCCAAGGGAATTGTGACCAAGGTCTGAGTTACGGTAGATCCTTCGACATGGCCTTCGAGTGCAATTGGGGTATCCTCGCCACGGGCGGCATCGCGATCAAGTTCGCTAAGGACCTGCTCATAGATCCCTCGACGCGCGGCGTCAGTGACATTAAGCACAACATAGCCGCTGCCGCCTCTTCCTCTTCTGCGAACAGGGCGCAGTCATTTTTGAAAGAAATCGAGCATCCCAATCCGCAAGCATGCAAGACATACGGATCTTACGAGGAGCTCGTCAATGACCCCAAAGTGCAGATCATTTACGTTGCAACCCCGCACTCTCATCATTACGAGAACACATTACTAGCACTAGAGGCCGGAAAACATGTTTGCTGCGAGGTGCGTCGTAAAGACCTACATGAGATTGGTTCCTGTTTCATGATGGAAGTTCAGGAAACAGTTCAACTTGCGTCCTCTTTAGAAACCTTTTACGATCAACGCCGCCCAGACTCGACACCTCGCAAAGGTCGCCAAGTCCAAGGGTCTTTTTTTAATGGAGGTGAGCATAATTCTTGCTATCGCTTGCTCCTTACGCTGACTTGCTGCACATTGCCTTTCAGGCGGTCTGGATTCGTTTCTTCCCGATCGTTTTAGAGATCCAGCGTCTCATCCACAAGGAGCGCGTGCTGGGAAAGATCCACCGGGTATACAGCGATCTCAGCATGTACTTCAAGCCGGACCCAAAGCACAGGCTTTACAATCCTGGTCTGTGATATTTGCGCTTGAACAGCTGCTGGTTGCAAACTGACATTCTTTCATTGTTCGTGCAGAACTTGGAGGTGGAGCTCTGCTGGACCTTGGCATCTACCCACTCACCTGGCAGATGATAACCCTCTTCCAGGATCCAGAGTAAGCATCCAGGCGCCTTGTTCGCTCTTTGAGTCTCGAATTGACCGTCAGATGATGACATGCAGTAACCAGCGAATCGCTCCGCAAGTCACCTCTTCGTTGATGAAGACACCATTGACCGGCGTGGACGAATGCACGACCCTTATCCTCAACTTCGAACAGATGCACGCGCAAGGCATCGCGACATGCAGCATGAGCACGCGTACCAGCCGAGCGCACTGCGTCTGCATCCAAGGCGAGAAAGGCGATCTGACAGTCGAGTGGGCGACATACCGCCCGGAGAGTTACACGCTGCACGCAAAGGACGCTAACGGTAACTTTGTTGGCGAACCCAAGAGGGTCGACGTGCCTATCACGGGATGTGGCATGTTCTGGGAGGCGGATGCATGCGCACGGGCGCTTAGGGACGGAAAGCACGAAGCGGACTTGTGCCCACTTGGTGCGTAGGCGTGAGACATTGGGCCTGGCGCCAAAGCAGCTGATTTTTTCTGCCGTGATCGCTCTTTCCGCTCCGTAGACGAGAGCGTCCTCACCATGCAGATCATGGACGAAGTCCGCAAGAACGGTAATTTCGCGTACCCTGAAAAGTTAGAGGCGGTTCGCAGTGACGCTTAGGCGAGCTTCCGTTGCCGAGATGCTTAATGAAGAGGAAGGAGATGCTTCACCAGTGTGTGTCATCCGTGGCCTCTTCGATCGAGGCGTCATTCGGCTATGCGGAGTACTATTGAAAATCCTGTCACAGTGGGGTCCGAATGGATATGTGAGCAGTCCTCTAGGGTCTACAGGGTCGCTGCGAGAGGCAAATCCCAATGCCAGGCTCAAAGTGTGCCCAGTTGATGTGCTGTGTTTTCGATCTCTTTTTAGCCAACCAGCCTGCTTCCACATTGCTTACATAGCATTTGAATGTCGTTGTATCAGTGTAGCTGGAGCGCAAAATGTCATGTGAGCATGGTCATGAATTCATATCACTTGACATCGCTGCCTCGCGTTCACTGCTTTTGTCGCTTGAGATCTTTTGCAAGATCCAAGGCGGCAGACAGAATACGGTCAGCCTGCTTGGAGTCGAAAGAAGTCGCGGCGAAGTCCAGCCGCGCGTCTTGCATTGGTAGCGGGACTGATGCGCCATAGCATCTGCATACTCGAAGAAAGTCATTCAGCTCCGAAGAGCAAGGAGTCCTTGGGCGATGTTGTAGCTAAAGGCGCACTCACATCTCTGAGTAGTCGACAGGTACCCTCTCGTAGGCCTTTGCTGCTCCATACCGATCCACTCGACCCGTCGTGATGTCGACACTGACAACTTCCACTTGAAAGTGCTCTGAAAAACGTCCCCTCAGTGCCCCGCCCTACGAATTCGGGAAGAGGATCTTCTTTGGTGTACTTATCCTGAGGATATCTGCATCCACAGGTACAACCCAATCAGGCGCTGGGATGGAGAAATCGTTATTTGTAGCATTTACTTCAGCATAGCTTCGGAATACTAGATTGGGTCGGAGAGTATGGTGCCCACAACCACTGCATTGAAGTGCAATACATGCAGATCCAAAGAAGCTCCTACCACACCGAGGCTCATCTCAAGTTGCAGCATCCGACCTTCGCTTCATCATGCATCCGATCGCATTGAAGTACAGATGTTATCATCAGGCATCACCTAGAAGACAGAAAAGAGAGTTAACGGTGTTTCCACGCAAAAAGTCCTTTGGTGACGAGGTACCCAACTTCAGGCGCAAACTCATCTCCAACCATCTTGTACGCTCCTTTCGGATGGAAGGCCCTGGTAATTCACCTTGAGAAGGATTAAGACCCTCACACTTAGCAACTGTATCCCGGCTGATGCCATGTTCGAGTACATTTGCGGATCGTGCTGTTGCTGGAGGCGGAGGTACTAACGTGGCTGCCTTCGACTCTTTTAACGCACCAGTCGACTTGGGCCAACAGTGTCTCTGCTTGCTACAATCAGCTGACCCCCTTTGCGAATACCAAGCTGCGGATCTGAAATGGGAGTGTCATCTGGCAGGCGTGGTATGCTTAGAAGGAGCGCCGGCCTATGCTGTGATGACCCGATTCAGGGCTGACGATCAGAGCATTTCAAATATATAGAAGAAAGGGGCTGCCACCCACTATCATATTCTTCATGTTAAATATTCGCTGATCTATGAATGAGCGCTTGCAGTTTGGACGATGTCATAGAAGGTTCAGTAGACAACGTCGCAACGCCTTGCGGTGCCGGTGTGCAATGTGATCAGCAAATGTATTTCAGCTCCACCGGCGCTTGCGCTTCCCTCTCGCACGGCGGCAGCCGACCGTATTCCGGCATCGCGACTATTCGTCTTCAAAGAGGATTTGACCAAAATTAACGTGCCTATTTAAGTCCATCGTGCGAGCCGTCCTGCGGTCTTTCAAGTATAACGAGCGTTGCGCATGGGTGGTACCCAAAAGTGGCCCTGTCCGCTGTTGGTTGCATAGCTCGATTCTGGATATTGGTTGGTGACGAGGAGACGCGTCGGCGAAACGCGTCGCGTCGCATACAGATGCCACACATGATGATGTCTGCACCGATGCAGAGACCACAGACTCGTTCCCAAGTCCAACACAGTTTATGTTCTCCCATTTTCACCCTTCCTCCTTTGCTTCCATTGATCAGCCAACAAGACATTCGCACACAGCGGCAAAGCTCGCAGACGTACGAAAGAGGCTGAAGATATGATGAGTTGTAAGTTTTTGTACGAGGCTGTCCTGCAGCGTGAGCCACACCGCTGACGCTGCGCTTGGTTTGTGCACCTCAGACTCGGACAACCCATTTGGGGCCAACTACGCAGGCGGCGGTGGCGGCGGAGGCGGCGGTGGGTTCATGGCGGGTAGTGGCAGCCAGGGAGATCATTCGGGTGGGAAGGTAAGGGCCAGGTTGCGCTTTGAACTTGATTAGTGGAGCGATCGCTCACGGTGGAGCCTTGTGTAACTGCGCTGCTTAGAAAATTGGCAATAATTCACTGCACCCAGTTACGATCCACCAGATCATCAACGCGCAGAACAACCAGCACACCGATCAGGGCTTCATGATCGATGGCGCTGATATCGACCAGGTGCGTCTGGCTGGGACAAATGGGCCTCAAGTTGTCTCAAGCGCAAAACTGAGCTTGCTCGTTCTCGCTTTCAGATCACAGTTGTGGCTACAGTACGAGGCGTGGTCGACGGGCAGACGAACGTGACCCTCCACTTGGACGATGGTACTGGGAATATCGACGCGAAAGTGTGGAAAGAGAATGCCTCAGACGACACTGGAATGCTCGCCGATGTCAGGTGAGCTGCATTGGAGGATTCGAAATATGTTCTATTCGAACTGACCAGGACATCGATGGGTTCTTCCAGAGAAAATACTTACGTGCGGATAGTTGGCACCGTGAAGTCCTTCCAAAACAAGACCAACATCAGCGCAGCATATGTGCGACCCATCATAGACCACAATGAGTGGATCTTCCACAAGCTCGATGTGATTCACGTCCATCTCTCCTTGCAGCGCGGCGAAGAAGGGATGGGTGGCGGCGGCGGGGCTGCCAAGTCGAATGCATCAGGCGGTCAGCGCGGTGTCGCCGAGTACTTTGGAGGTGGCGCTAGAGGGGCTGGAGGCGGCGGTAGCGGGGCTGGAGGCGCGATCACCGGCCGAGCGGCCGAGCTGCAGACGCCGATCCAGAAGAAGGTCTATCAGGCCATGGCCGATTTGATGGATGACAACACAGATGGTGTACACGTAAACCAGATTGCAAAGAGAATCGGGGGCGCATATCGCATGGACCAGGTCGAGTGAGTGACTGTTCTGCCTAGCATGCTTATCTAGCGTACTCCGTGGTGATTCTGATACATCTCAACGTAACAGGGAGGCATTACAGGAGATGCAGCAAGAAGGCCATGTTTTCACCCCCATGGAAGATTACTGGATGCCATGCGAATAGGCTCATGCGTCAAGCCGATTTGACTCGCTTCTCTCACTCGTCACAACTGTATGGTATCACCTTGCGCAGCACCAAAAGCCTGGGCACGCTGAGGGTCTGCCAAACGCTTCGAATGACTGTTCTCAGTTTCCTGCCGGTGAACTGGTCAGGTGTTCATTCGAGGCCTCGATGCGTGGGTAGCTTGAGTCTGGACGTATGCCTAGACGGCGGCGCCAGGGCTGAGCCCACGAAGTGAGCTGGAAAAGTAGGGTTAACCCTAGCGCACAGGCCACCTTTGCGCTGGCCTGTAGTTCGTGCGGAATGCAAACTGCAGGGACTGATGTGTGGGATGGGCGGGGATGGCAAGCCAGCCAGCCATTTTGAGGCAACGAGAGTGGGCTGCCGCCAACAACTCCACCACAACGTAACATCCATCATGATGCCATCTCCCCATATGGGATAGAGGGGGTTGCCCTTTTGTCTGTATCCATCGAAAGCATCTCCATCGTGTGCCTACTTCTCCTACGTAGCTCAGGGCAAACGCAGTCTGCAGCTTTCTTGACGCAACCGCTGAGCAACCAGCAAACATGAACGCCACCCCAACGGCGCGCTCCATAATGTTGCGCAACCTGCCCCATGCCTCCACCTCCGCATCTGCAGTTTCGACGGCCACGAGCACCCTCGCACCTCGTGTGCTGCTTGCCTCCAAGCGTGTAGCTTCAGCGGCGACAACAAGAACAGGTGGTCTTTTCCCAGCAGGAGTAAGCGTAGGATCTGTAGCCTCCTTCTCTTCCAGCGCCGCCCGGGCAGCAGAGAAAGACGCGGCAGCGCAGCAGCAACCAGTGCCCAAGACTGGTCTCCTGCGCTCATTGCTGCATGGCTCCGAGTCAGCCAAGGCTGATGGGTTGACGACAACCGCAATCTCGCACTCGACGCAAGTCGCGCGTGGCAAGTATATTCACGAGATTGTGCGGCACTCGGTCCGCACGGACAAAGCGGCCGAGTACCGCAACGTTATCGCGCACTACTACCCCATGATCAGCGGTCAGTCAAACAATTTCCACTCCAAGCTGATCGGCAGCTGGCAAGTCTGCGTCGGCGACCTGGAGACGTTTTACCATATCTGGCAGTACGACGGCTATGCTGGCTACGACGCGTGCAGGGAGACGCTGTGGGAGAGCGATGTGCTACGTGAGCTCGAGGCCAAGCTCGCGCCGTGCATCAAGGCTCGAAGCAACTGGCTCGGACAGGAGTTCGCCTTTTGGCCAACTTCGGCCAAGGTCCACAAAGATAAGTATAGCATGCGAGAGGGCAGCACAATGTACAATGAAAGCAAGCCGGACAAGGATTGGATCTTCGAGCTCCGGACGTATCACCTCAAGCCGGGCATGCTTCTCGAATGGGAACAACACTGGTAAGGCTAGGTTACATGCTACTCTGGATGGAAAAGGGAACGAATTGCTGATCAGAAATAATTCATCCTGGTCCCCTACCCAGGCGCCGTGGCCTCGAAGCGCGCCGCAGATTCGTCGAGCCAATCGGAGCATGGTTCGCCCAAGTTGGACATTTGCACACTGTCATGCACCTCTGGGCCTACCCCTCGCTCGAAGAGAGAAAGCGCACAAGGGATGCAGCGTGGCAAGTCGAGACTTGGAACGACACCGTTAGCCAGGTGTGTGTTGGCCCTCGTCTATTTCTGCTTGCCGCTTCCATTATTCAGAATCTAGTTTGCTGATGTGAATGTTCTCCGATGCTCTTCATCAATAACATGCAGACCGTCAAACTTGTGGACAAGATGCATGCGCAGATGATGTACCCGATGAAGTTCTCGCCGCTCAAATAAGACATCGAAATCCATGGCAATCATTAATCGCATCTTATGCTGCTTCTAAAAGAAGCGGTCAGGGAAGTCAGCACTTACAACCTGGAAATTCGACACTTGCAAATGGTATCTCGATGGATTGTGTTGCGCGTACAAACATGGAACAAAATTGCAAAGGACAAGCGTGGATTCGGCCAAGGATGGAGCTAGACTGTATATTGATGTTTACTGCGGTTCGCGTAGTTGATGGTCACTGAAGGCCTGATAAAAGCGCTCTTCGATGGCTGGTGAAATGGGATGACGGAAGGTGCTGCGTGCAAGAATCGAAGCGTTAGACGAAGGCGACTTGCTCGGGCTTCCCTCGACGGAAGGAGGCACGGGCACGGTGTGGAAACTGGCGTTGGAGCGAGCGCTGACCGAAAAGGAGGAAGCGATCGCGACGAGTGGACTGGTCGGAATCGAGATCAAGTGCGAAGCATCTTGCTTCGTGACCGGGCTGCTGTGAAAAAAGGAAATGGATGATGCCTGATTGTGAATGCTGAGCTGAGGGGAGGCAGGCGGCAGCATGTCGCCGTTTGATTGAGAAAAACGACGAGCAGTGCTGCTCATCGGACTGACTTGAAGCTTGATACTGTTCCTGCTCCAGTTGCACGCGCCTTCCGATGAATAATCTAGAATCTCCTGGGCATTCCAGCTGATTCCGTCATCTTCGTCTGCGAAGGTGCTCTGCGACACATCACCGGCAACTGCGATAAGGGGCGCGCCGTGGCCCTCACTTGCGTCATATTGGCCACCGATGCCTTCACTGTGGCCGCCACTGCCGCTGCTACTGCTACTACTCGTGTCCTCCTCCGAGGGGCTGTCTGACGACATGTCAGGCGTTCGGTGCCCACTGGAAGGATTGGTGTGCGCAGAGACTGAGGCTGCTTGACTTCGCAGAAGCGCAGACCCGTGTGCTTCCATCACGTCTGTGTGCGTCAGGCCATAACTTCTGACCGAGCCTCTGGTCACGTTCTCCAGGCATGTCTCCAGGTCCCATGAGACATCTGCAGCTGCGGCTGCGTGTGACAGAGCTGGAAAAACATGTACATCAGTATGCGCCGCATGTCCAGCTTGAACTCCTGCGAAGGAACCACTCACCCGACGCAGCCATCTCTGCAACGGAAGGAGGCACATCGATCGTCACGACAGGAATGAGGGGCTCTTGACCTTGCTGCAAGATGGGGCTAAAGTCCGAATAAGCACTTGATGCAGTCGTAGCCGAGCTGCCTGAATGCCGCGGTGCAGTCATGTCTGCATCGTGCCCCGGTGGTAGCAGCGATTGGCATCCTGTAAATGTAATGACTTCGGCGGCAGTGGCTGTCAAACTGCTCACGTCCCCGAGCTGCGGAGTGGGCGGCTCCGGTATAGGCGGTGATGCGAAAGGTCGCAGCATTGAGGCTGGGGAGAGCAAGACATCCTTGACTGCATCGGCCTGCTGTTCGCTCATGTTGGTCGTTGAGAAGATCTCGTCTTGCCATGCTTGCTTTGCTGTAGCGCAATCCTGCACCAAACTCGCACAGGAGGCTAGGGATTGCATGGACTGCATAGACTGCACGGAGCTGGACGCGACTACCAAGCCACTGGGGACTGAGTGGTACTTTTCGGGTATCGCCCATTGTCCCGAGGCGGATGGCGGAGGTCCAGCAAACACTTCTACCCTCGCACGCGTCTCAACTAGATCTGCACCACCAGTGTCATCATCACCAGCCGCAATCAGTTGGTCAACGGCATAGTCTGCAGCTGAGCATTGGCTGGAATCTTCCTCCTTGATGGTCTCGAGGTAGGGGATAGGAAAGTGATCTTCTTCCCAACTTAGGGAGTCATCGTCCTCCTCTCCCTCTTCGTCGCCGTAGTCGGATATGCTGACATTGCTTACGGCGGTTTGAAGACGGAGATCCGCAACGCATGAAGGGCGGGAAAGAAGAACGTCCACAGGAGTGTCCGCCTGATCGCAAATGACCGGGGCAACCTCCTCGAGTTCAGCAACACTGGCATTCGCAAGGCTCACCAGCGCAACTTCTTTGTTTGGGCTCTCGGCTGGCTCCAAAACGGCATGGGGCTCGCGCTGAGAACTGGTCCGCTTGGGAGTTGGCGGCATACTTATTGGCAAGGATCTTTTGATAGGAGAAGAAGCGGGCGACGCGTCCTGCTGTGCATCTCCGGGCTTTGCTGCTTTGAAGACTGCAGCTGGTACAGTTGGAGCAAGCCCGCGTTCTGGTCCAGGCGCGCTGCTCTTGATCGGCCCAAAGACGTCTTCCTCCGCTTGGTGTAGAGAGCGAGGTATTTCTGCGTGTGGATTCGGCATTCGAATCTCTGACAGAGTGGACCATGTATTACCCCCTTTCGTTACGTGGGCCGCGGCAAGCGGCACTACTTCTGACCTTGTAACCGCAGTTGCTGAGCCCACGGACTTAGAGGGCGATTTCTGAGACGGCACAGTAAAGCTGACTTCGGGGATGATGTCCGGACTTGTCTGCAGGTCCGAAAGCGCGCTTGCAACGGAGGCACGCAGCTGTGCCTCCAAAGCGGGGCTGAATGGCTTGCGTGCATACTCCATTTGGTCATCTTCGCCGTCATCGCCCTCTCTATCCTGACCCGGCTCTTCCGCACTTTTCTGCTGTAGCACGCTGTGAAGAATTGCGCGAGCGTCATGCACCTGCGGCATGCTGCGCGAAATCGTTTCGCCAACCTGAGCGGGCGCGAGTGGGCTAGTTGGCGCACTAGTCCATGTGGAACCAGATGGGTGTGCCGCTGTGCTGGTGCTCCGAGGAACCTGTATTGAGGAGCGAGATGTAGCGACAGGTGATTCCGGTGCAATGCGGTTCGAAGGGACGGTGTTGGAGCGATGGAGCGTGTTGGCTTGCGAATAGCTCGGAGGCGCAGGATTGTTGTCGTGGCAGTGCTCAGATTGCTGGGTTGCCGGGGGCTGACGTGGACTGGTCATTGCGTAGGACACAGCCGTAGGATTGGAGCCCAATTCCGCATCAATTTGAGCTGGCGCGTGCGACGACTTGGAACCAACGCGCGATTTCTTTCCACTGGACCCAGATCGGCCAAGCTTGGAGAGCGCTCGTTGAACGCTCGTGCTGAAGCTTCGCTTCATTGGCGCCGCTTCATCTTCCTCGGCAGGCCGAGGATTCACGAGGGTGTCGATCGATGCTCGTACTGAGCTGCTTGCAGGCGGCCGGACCGAGGGGGAATGCGGAGCCTGCGTGTTCTGCCTCCTCGATTGCACCTTCTTCCAGTCTCTTCGGGTTGCTTCTCCTCCCTGCTTTCTCGGCATACAACCAGTTGCAATGACTTCATCGTCTCGAGCTTCGTCGGTCACCGCTTGTGGAATGGACAAGGTCTCGGGTCGAGGAATGTACGAAGGGAGCCTTGCCCTTGCAGCTGCTTCGTCATGAGAGATCAGCTCGAATGAGCCATCGCTGGCCACGTCGCTGCTTGCCATACTTATCACGAATGCTATCGCCGCGAGCAAGCAAGGCTAGACGTCGCAAAGGAGCTGAAAGGGAAGGAACATAACAGAGTCGAAGTCAAGAAAGAGGTATTGTCACGTCTTCAGGAAAGTATATGAGATAATGTGCCTCGAATTTGGTGAGCCAGTCGGTGATATCTGTAAAGAGACTTGGTCAGCATAAAGCTCTGCTACAGAACCGTCCTCGGCAGGCGCGGCGCAGGGCATCGTATGGACAATCGTCACTTGGAAGGACTTCTGTCAGATTGGTCGACACGGAGTCAGCGCAAGCCACATGCTGTGGGGGTCATGCGTCGTCATGCACGGTGTAGGTCTGTGCAGGTCCAGCCATGACAGACAGATATGTTTCGCTTGTTCGCATCAGCCGTGTATGCAAGCAGGTGCATGCTGCGCCGTGGACTCGTGCAATAGACTGCAGGTGAACCACGGATCATGGAGGATGGAGCACTGAGAGCAACGTTCAACGTCTATAGTCTTGCGATTGAAGCAACATCCAGCCTGGACGATGTTCCAACGGCCCACGGCTACATATACCGTACGCGCAGCAACCGCCTGCGGCGACACCGCAAAGCTTGATACGAATGTCACGTGTCATAAACATATGCAGGACTACATAGTGTCACAGCCTTGAGCCCTTGACGCCTAACCTAAGCCGCTGCTGGCACATCAAGGTATACATTCATGTTTAAGCTCGGCAACCTCGGCTGCTGCAATCAGCAGCACTCGGCAGCGTGAGGGGGTGATGCCACAGTTTGAGACTGTAAAAGCCTCCCGACGTACGATGGCGAAATGGCAGACTGCTGTATCCACGGAGCGCTGCCCTGTTAGGGTTATTTGCAAAGCCAACAACAAGAATACAAAAAATCGACCACCTCCGCGTCGATGACCTTCATGCGATTGCCCCTTCTTCTTGTCGTCGATCGCCAGGCCATGGACGAGTTTCCTCCACGTGCAGAATCAGAAGAAGGAACTGAGATTAATAACTTCTTGTACCAGTGAAGGTGCGCATTCCATCCTTCCTGTCATCATGCTGCGTAGCATCTTCCAATCTTCATCCTACGCCGTGCGGCCTCGGCTCGGCTTGGAGCGCTGTTCGTGTCATCGCGATCTTCCTGCACGCGCTTCAAGCAGCACAAGCATTGGCGCAAGCACGCCCTCAAGAGTACACAGGAGTCCATCCGCAAGCAGGCGTGCGGATGAATCATCACCAACCAGCGCAGAAGGGTCAAGCAGTGGCTCAGACGCCTCGCCCGCACCGCGTTCCGAGACTCCGGCTGCCACATCATCAGCATCCGAATCACGTCTGCCCGGCTTGGGCGGCTTTTTCAACCCTTACCGAGCGCGAGCGAAGTTGCCTGAACACAAGATCCACGTACACGCATCGCCTAATAACACCATAATTACCGTCACCACGCCCGAAGGTAACCCGCTCTTCTCGTCCAGCGGCGGGACAGCCGGGTTCCGCAAAGGCGCCAGGAGCGGGTACGAAGCAGGCTACCGCGCCAGCTTCCAGGCGTTCCGCGAGATCCAGCAGCACCGCGAGCAGTGGAGGGTCAGCGGGATCGAGGTGCTTTTCAAGGGCTTTGGGCAGGGCAGGGAGGCATTCTTCCGCGCGCTCATCGCGGCCGAGGGGTCGAAGACCAGAGAGTTGGTACGAAGAGTGACAGATGCAACGAGTATCAAGATTGGCGGTGTCCGGCCCAAGAAGCGGAGAAGTAAGTTTAGCCCGCAGCATCCATCGCCTAATTGCAAGTTATGCTGACATGCCCTCACAAAGTGCTATGATGTCGTGGCAGACGGTGTCAACCCCACACGACTGTTGCAATACATCGATGAACATGACAATGTCTCAAAAGCTTTGATACTAGAATAATATGCATAACGTACAAGCATCCAAATGTTGGCCACATCGTGATCTCAGACCAACGCGGGAGTTGCTCTCGGTGTCGCCCGCGGCGTCGCTGATCTGACCGAGCGTGCGGGTGTAGATCGAGCTGCTGCCGTCTGCTTGATCTGTTGTTGTGAGCGCGGTGTAGACTGCACGCTCGGGCTCTGCGTTTGGCGGACGGCTGCAGCTGCATCCGAGTTGGACGCAGCCACGCCCGTCTGCGCAGGTGGAGGAATGACAGCAGGCTCTACCACCTCGATATCCCATAGCCTGTCTTTGGCTGTCACGTGAATGTCGCCATATGCCTCCTCTTGCTTGAGCTTGATGCAGTCCTTCGTGCCCAGCGCGAGCATCTCGAAGAAGAAAGCCGCTGCTGCCCTGCGCGACGAGTTCTCCGAGACTTTCTCAAAGCTCAACATCTTCTCTGCTATCGGTTCAGCTCCCCCAGCTGCCTGTGCGGCTGCCTCTGCTTCTTCCTCTGCGCTGGGCATCAGCTGCGACCGTACAACACTGAGTGCACGTACGGTGTTCCTGCTCCATCCTGCTGTCGAATTCTGCGATACTTGTGTGCTCGCTGCAGCAGCGGCCGCAGACCGGAACTGTGCGTCATGCGCTCCTGCTGCTGCTCCCTCGAAGCCGCCGAGTGGGTTGGACGCTGTTGCGCTCCAGCCGTCCAGATCAAGCTCCGGCGTAGACAATCTGCTAAGAGCGGGGAGCTGGCCTAATTCTGCCATGAGATCCGTCGGACCAGTCTTGCCTCGAGCAGAGCGTCTCAATGCAGTCTGCTCCCCTCCTTCAGCTGCTCCTCTCGCTGCCGCTGCTGTATCGTCGCCCTCACGCCTAAAGTGGTCCGGCATGTCTTCCAGCGGAGGCAACTCGTCGTTGTACACATACGGCGTATCTTCAAGCGGCGGTAGCTCGCTGTACGAGTCGTAACCTCCGTCGCCGCCGCGCGACATAGTTGTGCCGTCGCCCGTGAAGCCAGCACCGAGACCGAGGGAGTCGCGCCGCGCCGTGCGACTGTCGTCGCGCCGCCCCACTTCGCTCAGCAGGTCTTCGTCTTCCTCTCCTCCTCCTGTGCGTCTCCGCTTCGCTGGCGGAGCGCCCTCTGCATCAAGCTCTGCCTCTCGTTGGCGAATGGCGTCGAGGTCGAACGTGAAGAGCGACTGCAGCTCCGGTGCTAGGTTCGTCGGGCCGACATACACCGTTCGTTGGTCTTTCGGAAGAACGAGTTCAGGGAGGTAATAGGCGATAGGATCGCGCTCGATGTTCTGGAAATGGAGAGCCTCGGGATCGGCAGGCAAGAACTCTCCCTGCGAAATATGCAAAGCGAAAAGCATACTTAATCAGCTGATCAAGCGCAACTTCAATGCAAACAGGTGTGCACCAACTCACCGGCTTGACAATGCCATCCGGTCTTTTGAATTGCGCAACAGACTGCACCAAGCTTTGACTCTTGTTTTTGCCCGCTGCGGTCTGCATCTCGATGACCGAATCGATGAGCGGCCCTTTTTGTCCCGCCTTCGTACCGTGCGTCTTCGTAGCGAGAAACATGCGCTTTGAAGCAGCCTCCTTCATCTTTCCGAGTGTATTTGGTGTAACATTTTGCAGGAGAGCCATTGTGTCGTCCCCTACTTGCGTAGCAGGTGTGACAGAACGCGCAACTATGTGTCGGAAGGGAAAAAAGAGAGAAGTCAGGATTTGGTACTTAGCATGCGCTACGCTGTGTCTCGCGACTTTGAGCGATGAGCACTCACGCCTTTGACCCATGCTCATTTCTACACCCGCACCAGACTCCTCGATGTAGAAATCAGGCAAGTCCTCCATCAGCGGCAACTCGTCATAATCATATGGCGGCCCGTCTTCAAGTGGCGGGAGCTCATCGTTGCGCCAACCATCGCTGATGATGCTTGCACGATCATTCTCAGAACCAACCCCGAGCAACGAGCCAAGACTGCGCTTTGCCATAGGCGCAGCATCGCGGCCGACGCCGATGCTCAGCGAATCATCGATAAAGCCAGCCGAGTCTTCTCGCACCGGGACACCGTCCGCATCGACCAGCCTTCCCTCTGCGTCTTTGAGCTGGCTTGGATGGGCGTCATCCAGGTCCAACCCGAGATCGAGCGCACCACCGTCGGGATCAAAGTCCTGGCTGTTAATCCCGTCGCCGAGAAAGCCGTAGCCGGCGCCCATACCGAGGTCGTCGTCATAAATGCCAAAGTCGTTACGCGGGAGCGTGATATCGCTCTCCTTGGCGGTATGGGCACCACGTCCACTGCTGACCGGCGTACCATCGCGGTCTTTGCGCGATTGTTGACCTGCCGCCTGCGGTGCATTGAGCTCAAGTTCCAGGTCCCAGTTCTGTAGGAATGGATCGGGAAGCATGAGGTCGAACTCTGTGCGCATGTCCGGCATGGTGATAGCAGCTTTGGACGCAGTCAACTGATGTGCGTTCAAATCGACGTTCGTTGTGCCGGTGCGGAAAGCCTGAAAAGAAACGGAAGAGCAAGACGGACGGCAAAGGTCAATCACCTTCTGCACTGAGGCATTGGCTTGCAACTCGTCCACGTCAACTCACCATCTTGATCTTGAGAATCGCCTCGTTGCAATCCTCCAGTAGATATCGTGCCTTGCGCGAATAGATGCGAACGACACCAAGAAGGAGCTGCCCACTAAGACGAAGAGCCATCGGCATGCCCTTTTCGGCAACAATTGCGCCTGAGCGCAGACAAGACAAAGGAGTGCTCCCCATGTGTCAGAAACGCCTGACTGCACAGAATAAGCTGGCCCAGAAGAAACAGTTTCGTTCCTCGAAGTGGAAACACGACGCGGGATTCGCAATGCCTTTTGCACTCACCTACACTCTTTTCGATGTTGGTCTGCAAGAACTGCGTCTTGCTGATCTTTCGCTCCCAGTGAGCTGCCAGCCATACGCGAGCCAGTGGCCCGCGCTTGGAAAGAATGGAATCTGAGTAGAACATGATGCTCTGGTTGCGTCCTTGGCGAGTTCAGGTGGTTGCCGAGTTCAGGTCGCGGGCCACGAAGCGGCCTGCTCGAGGTGGAGATGGATGCTGGATAGAAAGAGCGTACCCTCAATGAGGACAGGGCCGACTGCGGCTTTAAATATGGTGGATACGGCGCTGCGGGTTTCCCAGGCGTGCAGCCTCTGAATATTCGAGATTTCAAGCGAGTGCAGATTGCAGCGAGGGCGCAGATGGACGAACGAAAGGCAAGGTCCAAACGCGTGAGGGTATGGACCTATCCCGTCAAACAACGGGCATGCCAGGGTGAGCAATGAGACAGAGGACTGGAAGGGAGGGGAGGACGACATTTGAGCAGCGAGACGCGTCGGGTGAAGCCCAGGAGAGACGCGTCGAGAGTTTACAATACGCGTAACCCTAAGTCAACACATCTTAATCTGCAACTTGAACCTTGTCCCAGATGCTACCGCCAGCTGCTTCCATCGATGAACCTTTTGGTAAATGGTAGTGGCGTGCCATCCACAGGCGCGCTCCGCTTCGAATCGCGAAGGCCGCTATCACCCTACCCAGACCCGCATATTTGACCTAGGACAGCACTGGATACACACCCGCGTGACTAGGCACAATCTCGCTCTCTCGTCTTTGTCACTTTTCTGTCGCTCGTATTTGCCTATAGGAAGCGACATCGGAAAGTGCAAACCGTCCTAAATTCCAAAAGTTCTGCTAATTTACATCGCCGCTGCTATCTGCGGATAGAGACAATAAAACCGCGAGGCCACCTTGTTGTAGACGAGCCCCAACAAAGCTTTCCATGTACATATACGCGAGTGGGAGAACGGGGAAGAGTGGACGAGGTGGGGTGGTAGGGTGGCGAAAAGGGGTAGAAGATAAACAATTGGAATCGCGAGCAAGCAAGCGCACGCCCCAGCCGACACACCTCCCCGCCTTAGTACGCGCTTGAAGATAAGACGCTGAGCGCACGAGAGCTAGGGGGTGGCGCGACGAGGCTGTCCGCGCAAATGGTGCGAGCGCTACCCGAAGGGAGGCGGTGAAAGAGGGGAAACAGGAACGACGAGCGGGTTGCGAGAGAAAACGATGTGTCGAGGTCCAGTGGTGGATAGGGCTCCGATGGAGCGCGTTGGAAGAAGGGGAAAAGATGTTAAGCGTCTAATGGTGGGTTGGGGTTTGAGATTAGCAAAGCTGGATGCTGAGTGTGGCATGCGAAGCCGTGTTGAGGGAGCAAGTTGTGCGATTGGTGTTGTCGAACGCTCACCGCGACCTGGCGCTCCTGGCGTCAGAGGTGAAACCCTCGTCGGCGGTGACAGCGCCATCCATACTCGAGGTGGTGACGCCTCCCTGGCTCGTATAGCCGCCATCGTCGCTCGTGCGCGGTGCGTCGCCTTTGCTGCTGGTCACACAAACCATGGGAAAGGCACCCTCCTGGCCGTTGCTCATCTTTCCGAGCGCCCAGCCGTCGTCATAGAGCCGGACAACCGTGACGACATCGTCTGGCTCGAGCGTCAGCTCATCGTTTAACGACGCCGTGTACGGGTAAATGGCGACAACTGTGTCTTGTGGACGGATCTCATGACCAGAGTACTGGTCCTTGACCATTGGCACCGTCGTCCCGCGTCCGTCACTGCTGGTCGCGTTACTCATCTGGCTAAGAGGCCGGTCTTCCGAGTCCTTGCTGCCAGCCGCGGCTGCACCTACGCCGATGGCACCTTCCGCCACGCCAACGCCTGCACCGCCTGCAGCGGCGCCAAAGGGAGATGGTCCTCCGTCGGATGAAAGCATCTTTTGCGGAGGGCTGCTTGCGTTGCCCGTGTCCGTCGATGCCTTCCAGCCGGAAACGCCAGCCTTCTCGCTCGGCTCGTTATGGGTATAGATCGCGCCGCCGGCACCTGCGGCGCTGGTAATCTTCTCGGGGTCGCGAGAGCGCCTTCGGCGGGCAAAGACAAGAGCAGCGAGAAGGACACCTAGCAAAAGCGCACCAACGACAGAGCCTACAATGACGCCTGCAAGCTGACCGCCTGAGAGGCCACTCTGTGTGGCATCACCGGAGGACGCAGCCGCAGCATTTGTGGACGACGGTACGACGGAGGTGGCAGAGGCGCCAATGTTGGTCTGCACGCTCATGGTTGGGCGGATCGCAGCGGCCAGCGGGTGGCCGAACATAGAGCACTGGCTTAAGTCCGTTTTGCTGTCGTAGCAGCAAGGAGAGACCGGTTTATTTCCGGAAGGGTCGCAGTATTCGCAGAGTTGGTTGTTAACTTCAGGACCCCAGCCGCAGTTGCCTTCGTTCTCGATACCCAATACACAGGTCTGGTTGTTGGTCGAGGTCAGGCTAGTCCAGTCAGTGCAGGCAGCAAAGTCCTTGCGAAGGTTGTATGTGCGGGTCTGCTTCTGTGTCGATGTGAGCGCATCATTTGGCGAGCAGATCTGAGCAGAAAGGAAGGGTAAGTCTGCAGGCCACATCGGGGATGGTTGCAGCATGCTCACTTGCGGGTTGTTGATCAGTGACGACTCAGAATTAGAGTACTGGAAGCAGGTGTCTCGGCACACCATGATTGGGTCCGCCTTGTTTGCGATGTTGCAGCCAGCAGAGTAGCTGATCTGGCTGAACTGGCCGCACAAGATCGTACGTTGGTACTGCAGGGCGGCATTGTTGGCGTTTGTGCTGTTGCACTGCAGCTGACGCTGGAACTTGGTCGCGTGGTACCGTGTTGGATCGGAGAAGTACTGATCGAATTGCTCATCGAAGGATTGAACGTCGGTGACGCCTGAAATCCATGGCCAAGCTTCGGACAGATTTTGCGGGTTGATGTACGCGTCTTGGAAGGAAGGGCATTGTTGTGATCCCTTGAGCGAGACACATGTCTGCCCCTCATTCGACTGCTGGGCCATGACTACCGCTGAAGCTACAGCGACCACGCCGCTCGCGACTAGGGAATAAGAAACTCTCATCTTAATAGAAGAAGGACTTGGTTGCAGCTTCGGCCAACGATGGACGCAGATGGAAGTGAGCTGGATCCAAGGGCCAGATGGGCGGATGAGGCACGCCAAGGTGGGTATATCAGCGAGTCGAGCGTGGCAGCCAGCAGAGAAAATTGGCTCTATCCTCTGCACGATCGTGAGGCGCTGTCATAAACAGCTCAACGAGACTAATGGAGAAGATGCAACAGGTGCGGATGCGACCGGGCAATGGTTTTGGTGATGATGGTGAAGGCTGCTGCTAATGGGGTCCACATTAGGAGGTGGGCGGGAGGCGAAACCTGGTGGAGGAATGTCGACGAGACGCGACACAGCGAGGGGTGTGTCCGTCCCTGCAGCGCGGAGGCAGCCCACTGCAGCCTGGTCTCTGCATTCGGCCAATTTGACTGGTCTGCCACGTGCGTCGATGCAGGCAGTGTGTTTGTCCTGTAAGGATGGCACTGGAACGGCGACTACTTTAATTTGTGTCGCAACATGTTTGTGTATGTTTCATACTGTCGAAATGCTGAATCTCACAAATTCCACATTTTTCAAGTCTTCCCAAACGTATGGCCCCCCGATTGTAACAGTTCGACAGTTTCACATCACCTCAAAAATCCGGATCTTCCTCCAAGCTCCTTCACCGTTCCAGGCTTCAAGCCTAAAGACTCCAGAACCATTCCCACCTCAGTCTCTGGGCACTTGTTGTTTCATGCACTCTGCAGCACGGCTACAGCCAGCCAAACCCACTTGAGCCTTTGCCCTTTGGAGCTTGGGCATTGTGGCATAGACTGGCCAACCGACAGCCGCACTGGTCAGTCAGCCAAGGTGAGCCAGAGTAGGCCATAGCCTGCCAGTCCAGGTCAGAGAGGGCATTGGCCAGACCGCCGAGCAGTAAACGAAAAGTACATTACCGTTACTGCTTTATCCTGTGTTTTGACTGTGCCCATCGCTACTTGATCTACTACCATAGATTTGCCAGGCATTGACGCAGTGCGCAGGCTAGAGACACTTATGTAAAGTATATACCTAGCATTCCCGTGATTAGTACCGCCTGGATTTACAGATCCGTCGTGCCTGGCCCATAAAGCACCGGCCCCAAGCTATAAGCTGTACACTTGGGCAGTGCGCTAGGCTACACTATACACCACCAGGCATTCGCCACGATGCACCTACGAGTATCACGTGGCTGGCCTATCCTGGCATGACTGCAAGAGTGACGAGAGTTGATCAGTCAATCATTAATTCTAGATGTGTACAAACAGGAGTCATTAGTTATAAGCATGGTACTACACGAGACTCACTGCGCTTGTGAGATTGTGCACAGAGGGCAAAGATCAGGGGCTGAACAGGGTGGCAAGGCTGACTATGATCCGTTGTTATTGCTAGCCGCCCAGCAGCAAGGGGTTTGAGTTTGGCATGCAGTTGGCCAAGTGCCACCACGCCCGCCAGGGGCCCAAGGGCCATGTGGAGCTGTGCGCCGTCAGCGTAGCCGCAGTCGCGCGCATATGTAACACACATGTCCAGCATTTCGCCTGTAAAACCATCCACACGCGCTTCGCACCATCGGCGGACGGCTTTACACATGCACCGTTTTCTTTCGATCTAGTTGGACTGCTCACACGTACATACCCTAACGAGGCGCTTGAACTCGGAAGTCAAGCATGGCGGAGCGATGAAGCTTGCAACGCCACATGGTGATGCAGGGTGTCGAAGCGAAGACGAAGAGTAAAAAACACAGCCCTACTGCAGTCAGTAGGTCCACAGCGGGTCAGGCGGTCTGGTCTTAGGTCTTCCGTCCCTCCTCAATCCAATTCTGAGGTCAAGCGTCCGTATCACTGTCGGATCTCAAATCTCGCAATCCAACGCATGGTATTTTAGCAGGTCACGGCTACCGTTAAACCCTGGAAGAGCATCGGTCTGTTCCAGCTCCAATACATGTAAGGACGTCGGTGAAGCTGACCAGTTCAGAATGGTATGGTATATGTAGGCTTGTAACACTATACTCTTTGCATGGCAAGCTCACTATCTGAAAATTGTATGGCATGGCAACCCCTTTTCTTCTATCGTTGTACGTGTACAAAGGTGGGAGACAGAGACAACATGAGGAGACAACCTAAGGCAAGATGATGTGAGGCTAAGGTACCTCGTTTAAGTCGTTTCGCGGATGACGCGAGTCGCGACGCGAAATCTGGTCCCGCGCGACGCGTTCCGCCGCGAGCTGGGAGTCGTGTGTTCGCGCCGCGCCCGCATGTGGACTGTCGAGGAATCCCAATTCGAGTCTGGCGACCTCTTGCGAGCCGCCGACACACGCTTCCCCTGGTCAATCTACTTCTTTGTCCTCGACCCTGCTTCTGCATCCATCATATTACGTCGTGCATCCACACTTTCATTGGCCCAGCCTACCGACTATCAAGCCGAGCAAGACTGTGATGATGATGATGACTGATGGCAGCAGCCGGAATGTCTCGGCGAGAACACCAAAAAGGACGCTTCTTGATGACGATGAAGATCTGGTGGTCACACCTCGTTCTGTTCGCGAGAAGTGAGTGAGCAACTAGAGCGAATGATTGAGGATAAGCAAAGTGCTGACCGCCTGGACTCTCGATCTTCAGTTCCCTTGCCGCCGCGAGCACGCAAAAGATCCCTATCACACATGACAGCATTGCTCAATTTTCAGCCCCGAGAGAAGCAAAGAAGGTCAAGACCCATCACGAACCCGACGGCTCGTTCCTATCCACCTTAGAAGGGCCATACAGTTATGTCCCTCGCACTCGCCGAAATATCACCCGGACGGACTCTTCATCTTCCAACCCCTTCCATCCAGAGTCCAAGGTCCCGCTGAGAGAGGAAGTGCGCTTAAAAGCACAGAATGCAGAGCTGCCGCCATTGAAGTGCTTTCCAAGCCCTCAGCTGGAGCTCCCTGATCACTACAAGGCACTGGAGCAGCTACATGCCGCCATCGAGACAGCGCTCGTCCAGCATTTTGCGACGAGCAGCAATCTCGGACCCATGGAGACGTCTGTCTCGAAGGACGGCGTCAAAAACATCACGCTCCCCAAGGTACTGACGTACTCGGAGCTCACTCAGCTGGTCCGACAGCGTCGTCCGTTGGGAAAGACTCAATTTGCTCAGCTTGCATGGCTTTGGTCGGGCGGGAAGGCCGAGATGTTTGACCCGAAGCGCAGCAAGGAGCTCGAAGAACAGGTCAAAGAGGTTCGTGGCCTTGGCTTTGTCGTTCGCAAGGTAAAGGCGATAGACGCAAAAACCAGGAAGGATGCGTGGGATCTGGGTCTTGGAGTCGAGCTCTCGCTCCACCGCCCGAAACGAGAACAGACGCCGCCTCTCCAGGTCGGCTATCTCACAGCCGGCCCAAGAGCAGACACACCCTCGTCACCGGTACAGTCGTCGCCCTCCACCTTTACCAGCTCACCACCTACAACTCCGAGCAAACCTGCACGTATCCGCACGCACACGCGCCCGGAGCTGCCCTCATCGCCTGCTATTGCCGACTCGCCCCCTTCGACCCCAAGCAAGCTTTCGCGAGTGCGCACGCGCGCACGACTGCCGAGCAACACGGATTGGACGCCAGGCAGCGGGTTCGATAGCAGCGTGAACCGGGACCAGATGAGCATCAGCACCATGTGGAACAACGGCATCGAGCTTCGCAAGCAAGAGGTTGCTCGGCGCCTCAGGGAAAGAGCAGCGCAGCATTATGAGGCGTTCGTACGCTCTCAAGACGATTCACAAGAGGACAGTGATGCGACAGTGGAGGAAATGTTCATTCAAGATCACACCGCGCTGCCTTCGACTCCGCCAGCGACACCTCGCAAGCCGTCCCACACTGCCGTCGTTGGGCACGGCGGTCTTCTGACGCCCTCCGCCACACGGTCCCCCTCTCACAAACCCGGCAGCCGCAGAGTGATGAAAGTCGGCGACGCAACGCAGCTTCCATCGCTAGAATTCTGGCCGGCTGATTTCAATATTGAGCACATCCCACCTGTTCCTCAGGCGGCGCTGCCCTCTCTCCGGGAAGAGCGCTCGATCAAGGTTCCCAGCTTAAACCTCAAACTTGCACAGAGCTCGAGCCCCGATGCAGAGGCGAAAGCGCGACCCACAGCACCGGTGTCCACGGCCGGGATGACCCCAGCAGAGCGAGAGAGTGCTATGCGTGCTCGAATCGAAGCGAAGGCGGGACTGAAGGGTCCGACGACCAGCTTGCAGATGATGCAGGAGCACAAAGACAAGGCGATTCTATCACGCTTGCCAAGAGTGGGGCAGGTGCTCGTTGGATTCTTCCCGCAAAAGACCCACGGCCCAGCTGGACGCTACGAGAAGAAGAAGGCGCACGAGGTCATTGCAGTAGTGAAACAGGCGCTAGGTCGCACGACGGAGGACGACGCTCAGCGAGCTATCGAGATGGTTCGTAAGGCTGCGCCAGGCTTTCTGGCTGTCGAGACGGTGCCTGGCCAGGGTGCGATTTATGCACGGATAGGCCGGCCGGCGATGTCGTCACAGGAGCTTCAAACGGCGCTCAGGAAGGCGAGCTCTGGAGAGTTAGCCATGTAGCATATGTGCGCTCAAAAACATATCTTTTCGCACCAAAAGTACTTTGCGAGTTCGCCTGAGACATCTACAATCCGGGTTTCTTCGTATGGTGTTGCCTTTGGCATGGTGATAGCATCGAGTCCTGGTGTTGTGATTATCGACGAATCCGATGTCTCGATGAGAGGCCAGATGGGCAGATTGGCCACAAAGCCTAAATCACGTGACATAGGAAATTGATCTGCCTCACCCAGAGCGAGGACAGCATTCAGCGCCGGAAAGATGTGTTCACGTCGGACAACACTTTTCTTCTTGCCTCTTGAACGTACTATCAAGGTCAATTTCAAGCTGATCGCATGATAACTTACACCATGTTTTCGGTTAGCACCAGAGCAATCCAACGGATCACTGGCAGCGGCAGGGCCGTTACCTGGTAAGCACTGCCAATCTGCATTATTGAAGTACCGCGACGCTGTTCTGACGTGAATGTACTCTTCCCTTTGCAGCCCTCAATGTCTCCTCAAGGAGGCTGGCAGCAGCAGGGCCGTTGCCAGATCGCTAGTGCGGTCACTTGCCACTGCTGCAAATTCTGATGCAGTGCCGTCCGCTGCATCATCATCTGCAGCGCCCAGCGGCGATTTAAAATTGCTGTCCATCGTCGATCAGATCGAGAAGCTCACTCTCTTGGAGGCATCCGACCTTGTGGGGCATCTGAAAGTAAGTCCCGGCTTCCTAAAGCAGCTCTTACGCTTTGACATGAGACACTATCATGCGTAACCGCTGTCTATACGATGGCGCACATTGATTGCGCGATTCAAGAGATCTTGGAACAATTCCGGGGTCACGAAGCGATTCCAATTTGAACATCGTCGCAGTAGAGCTTGAAGCTGCTACACAGTTGTTGCGTACAAAGGAGCGGCGTTGGGTAGCATGCGTGCTACGAAAGAAGGCTCCGGAGCTTGATCAGCTTGAGACTGTGACTTAGGCGCGCAACAGTGGGCTCTAGGAAGTTGGCGGGGTGTTGAAACGGGTGCCCATGACGAGCCATAAGATCATAGGCTGAAGCAGGCCGCTCTCTGCAATGTCTCACAAGTGATGAATGGTTCCCAAATCTACGCCTCCTGCACGCGTCTCTTCTTCAAGCCAGCAACGAATGCAAGCTGACAACGACCAAATCCTGTTCTACAGACTCGTCTCAACATCACAGACATTGCTATGCCCTCCGCAGCACCGGCAGCTACTGCTTCCCCTGCAGCTGACGCAGCCCCAGTGGAGGCAGAGAAGCCCAAAGAGAAGACTGTTTTCACTGTCAAGCTTACGGGCTTGAAGGACGCCTCGGCGAAGGCGAAGGTCATCAAGGAGATCAAGGCGCTCAACAGCAACATGAATTTGGTGGAGGCTAAGAAATTCGTTGAAAACGCGCCGCAGACCCTCAAGGAAGGTCTCAACAAAGAGGATGCAGAGAAGCTCCAGAAGGCAATTGAGGCAGCCGGTGGTACGGCCGAGCTGGAGTAAAACCACTAACTCTTCCGTATCTCAAATTGGTACTTGCACAATCAGATGTATATATGCAGCATCAGTTTTTTTTCTTGTTGGGTTCCAGATTCTTTGCGCCGAGCCTGCCGTCCAAGCCCTTGTGTTTGTGCGCAAAGAGGAGGTACATGGACCGATGTCGGCGATGGGAAGCGAAAGCTAGGCGTGAGAGGCTATTGTGTTTGCATGAGCTGTAGCATTAGATGGATTCTGTATCTAGTCGAAGTCACCCCCATGCGCTCCCAGATTGCGAAAGAAAGAGCGCATATGCAAACTTCTTGCCTCTTATGGCTTCTGCACGTTTTTTAAGTCCTCAAGCTTCACACGACGACTGACCGATTCGCGATCAACAGCCACGCACATTCCGCGATTTGAACGAAGAGCGACAGTAAAGCGATTACATTGCCCATTGGCTGTGGACCATCTTGCCCCTAAAGAAATTGCAAAGGTGATACGAGTACATGGCGGGAAGGGTGGGGCTATGAAGCGCCAGTCAAGGGACAGCACCATCGAGATTTCTTTTACAAGCTGAGCAAATCTTATGAATGAATGCATGCTGCAGGAGTCACCAACCATCCAAAGATCGCCTTAACCAACCCACAGTGATGAAGGACGAACAGACCCGAATCCGGAGCGGCCTAGTACTGAGCAAGGTCACTGGGCCCCACTTTTCCTTTCTGCCTTCCTTCGCTCAAGAGGTGATCGCTCATCGGGCTCCACACGGCCGCGCCTCTCTCGGAATGGAACACGTATCTGAAAGCCAGAACGCCTGTATAGAGTCGGTAGAATGGCGACCATCACTGCGTGACCAAGCCGGAGTAATCCTACAATAGAACGGATGACGATCACTTCAACGCGGGTAAACGGGGGCACATGCGCTTCTCCGTCGCTCCCATTGAGTGGTGTGGCCTGGTCCCGTTCGGTGTCCCGGAGCTGGATGCGAGGATGACAAGACCGTTTGCTGCCCTTCAAGATGCCCCCAAAAATGCCTTTTTGACCGTGAACCAAAGTCCATTTGGATTCCAATGCGGCGACTAGGGCGGCTTGATTCCACATGCTCGCTCAGCATCCGTCGACTGCTCGCTTGCTCAGCTCTCTTTTGCATGCACCTCTTCTTTGGCGCCACATGCTTCAACATCACAACTGAGCCGTGTAGATCTATTTTCGGTCTCGAATGGTCCGTATATGCACTGTTCTTGCAGTGAAGTTTGAATTTGTGCGAGGCTGTTTCCCTGATCAGCTTATCGCAAGATTTCCAGCTGAGAGGCCTGACCCATTACTCTCTCTCCCGGATCGAAGGGCTGCGAGGTACAGCGATGACCAAGACGGAAATAGGATCATGGACAGAGACACTGTCAGAATCCGCAAGTGTCCATCACCGCCCCTGAACTTCCTTTGCTGCTTTATAAACCAGATACCTGTTGCTCAAAAGGTTCTAGCAGGGCACTGATTCCATATTCACCTCCCTGCCTGTCACCGAGCGTCGTGTCAAGTCGAAACGGTGCATGTTTTGGACAATCCTTGCCCCTGATGCCCGCCGTCACCAAGGACGTGCCGACAAGGAAGCTTTCAAGAGACGCAAAGAAGGCGCGGAGGAGAGAGCAGAATCGAAACGCGCAAAGAGCCTTGAGAGAACGAAAGGAGGCCAGGCTTCATGAGGTGAGTGCGAGGCCTGGCCTGTCGGTGTGCATCTTAAAATTTGCTGCACGCTCATTCTGGCGGCCGACAGCTGGAGCTCCTGATCGAGCGGCACAAGCATGAGCAAAATTGCAAGGAGGCCGAGAACGAGGGTCTGCAAGAGGTCATCACTCGCCTTGGTGAAGAGAATGCTGCCTTGCGCGAACTTGCAAAGCATAGCGGAGGCCTAGATGCCTTTGGCTCTCATGACTCACTACAGTCGGAACCATCCCCGTCGGTTGCACGTAGCTCAAACTCCAGAGGCGATGAGGAAATCGTGAGCGATGCACCTGATTCGTCATGCTCGGACATGATGCAGTCGCCATCTATGTTATGTCTGCAAAGGAAAGCCCATCGGGGTTCTACCGTGCGGCCGCGTGGACACAAACGCGCTTTACTCTCCCCTTCTCCGGTATTGGCGAAAGATGGACTTAGCCTTCACGAGGAAGGCCGTTTGGATAGCGAGCTCACAGCGAATGTGGAGAAGATTACAGAAGACGGAGTACTCGCACTCGAAGAACGAGACCTGCGTCATGGCATCCTCCATGCCGAGCGTCAACCGGTCTCATTCCCGGGACGATTCTCCGATGACTTTGTACTCGCGGAGGCATCGCGGCAGCAAGGTATGAGAGCGTCACTTCGCAAGATGCTTGAGGCCTACGGACGCAAAATGCCGGCCGCCATGTCCTTAGACATGTCAGAGACGGGCGCAAGCGGATCTTCAATGCCAAAGAATGTGCTTGACACTACGAACCGCGACGCTCCTGAGGTTGCCGCAACTTCCTCTCAATTGCCGTTGTCTCGCTTCGGCCCGAGTGACGATGTTGTCGTCATGCCAGGCGTGCATCTCGACTCATTTGACACGACGCGGGGGTCTCTGTGTCCCTGCCGGCTGCAAGAAGCTTTTCCGAATATGCAACACCATCAGCTCCATCACGTTGTTCCCAGCGATTCGTCACTGAACAATTTTCAGTCAAGGATCGGCGATCAATGCGGCACCGATAGTCGCGAAAGCGTGTCCGATCTGACCCAATTGCTGCCAGACCCTTTCAACACGGCCACTTCAGCTGGCACAATCAAGAGCACCACGCTCGCTGATGGTATCATTAGAGGCCAGGAACACCACGCATTGTCTTCAAAGACGACAGACTCGCAGCGTCCGGTTGTTCCATCCACCTCGACTCAGCCTTCACGTCCTCGGATTGAACTTGCGTCCTCTTCAGGGCAGGACTCTTCCTTGGCGTCAGCCATGGGGCACAAATATTCTCTTGGCCCTTTCACTCTCAACATTCATGGACCTCTTGCAAGACACTCAGCAGCTCAGCTGAGACAATCTTCCCACCCATCGCCATCCTTCTTTGATGAAGACTCACTCACATGATGACCAAAGCGCGATGCCTTAGCACGTGGTCAAGGACACACATTTTCATCGAATGTCCTCATTTTGCTTGATACCTCAGACGGGGGTCCTCGCATTCGTCCTCCCTTTAAGCTTCCTCGATCGGCCTCTTTGCGCTACGAACTTACAGAAACTCACCGTCTAATTCCCTAGTGAACCTCCACCCCTACCCACCCATCGACTACAAAAACGAGTGTATCAGCAGCGCGAGCGCTTTCATCTATCAGTTTTCTTTGAGCTTTTGTATGCTCAGCCTGGTTCCAGATTCTGAGATTCCACAGGCCGCCTTTACCCTCACAGTAGACTCCTGCTCACTTCCCCGCCGTGGAATGTCGAGTTTCGTGTACCACAGCCAAACCAATTGCGCGAATGAACTCTCATTGTGATCTAGACCACTGTGACGCATTTGTTCAAGTAGTGCGAGGATGACCTTGTAGGATGAGATACAAGTACACAAAAGTTGCAGCAGTGTCACAATGCATCGTATTCGTTGCGCATTTCATGCTGATGCCGCCTGTCGATCCATGCCGCTGAATATGTCTCTCAGATGCGCTTGTGAATCTGAAAATTGCTTTTCGAGGAACTGGCGACATATACAATAGACTGAGTTTAGCATTGTTGTCTAATGATATCCAGCCGATCCTTCCAGGCACCCACCTTTTGCTTCTTTGTGAGATTTGAGATCTCTTCGGCCGCATCCTTCTCCTTCGCATGTAGCTCCTTCAGCAGAACATCTCGGTCCTCCATCATGAACCTGCAGTTACAGCCGGACAGAAGCATTAAGCGAGACATCACAGTAGATCAGTGGAAGCAGGTCGCACATTTTTCCGACGCCGCGATATAATCCGATTGCATCTTTCTCCTCATCAATCTGTTTTAGGGTCAAGGCGTGCATCCTCTTCTCCCGATCTTTGCTTGCCACTTGAGCCCGAACCATATTCAGTTGCCGTTGCGCTGTGATCGCCTGTGTTTGAATTTCTTGCAAAATCTGCATTGCGCAACCCGAGGTAAGCAAGGCAAGCAATTTTGGCAAACGACACATCGGCAATAACGAGTGTTTGGCTTCCAGAAGAGCATTTATTACGCACCCTGTGCAGCTGCTCCTCCGGAAGGCCCTGTGGTGCCATCTTGAAATGGTAAAATCAGCAGTAGTCCGTAGCTTGTTCGAGAGCGAATGCTTGGCAGTCTCACTGCCTTCCACGCTCTTTTCGCGGTCGGGTTGGAAGGCGGATAGTTGTCTAGAGCACAGTTGTGGCGATCCTCAAGCTTACACTCAACCAAGCGCGACGAAAGATCCGTATTAGGGCGAGCTTCGGAGAGCTCTCTCAGCAGAACGTATAGCTAAATTCATGGCTTCACCGTAGGCCTTTGGAGTGGGCGTCCTTGACGTTCTCTCACCATGCTGTGGTGGGGGGAAAGTTGCCGATGAATGCAGTTTAGACGCCGAGATTGTTGAGATACTCTTTTCTCTAACTTCGTCGCAAGCTTGCTTGGGAGAGAAGTTGAAATGGCCTCAGACTCAAGAAGAGTTACTTCAAATGACATTACTTGCATCCAGCCGCAAGTAGCCGACCCATTGGACCACGAAGAAGAAGTCTCGTACATATCATCTTTGTGCAGCAACCTGGAAGCTTCAGCGCCAAAATGCCCCCGCAGCGGGGCTCTCGAATCGTCTTCGGTGAGTTCAGCTTCCTCCACCCTCTCTATGCGGACTGGTATCACTAGTTTCCGATGGCTGTGGTTGAGCTCACATGCTCATAATACATATACATTAACCTTCTTTGTGCGTCCATCTTGCAGTGGGCAACGTCCCATATGACAAATCTGAAGAGCAACTGGCAGAAGTCTTCTCAGAAGTTGGCAAGGTAGTAGAATTCAGGTAGGTTACCCGTTTAGCTGCCTGTGGGAGCGATCAAATATCCTCAAATGGCTGAAAGCCGAAGGGCTGATATCAACGATGAATCTCAGACTGATATTTGACAATGAGACTGGGAAGCCAAAGGGTTACGGCTTCTGTGAATTTGAAGGCGAGTAGCGTCGAGGACAGTCTATGGTTTCTTGTAGCTAATGCGTGATTGGTAACTGATTGACAGACCCAGAGACGGCCGCATCCGCTGTGCGAAATCTGAACGGCGCATCAGTTGGCGGTCGGCAGCTAAGAATAGACTTCGCAGATCAAGATCCAAAGATTGAAAAGGCAAGAGAAAGTGCGTTGGCGATGCAGCAAGGCGGTGCGGTGCCACCAGGAGCTGGACCAGGGCCACAACGCCAGTGGGGCTCCCCTCAGGGCCCACCGGGCCCAGCAGGTGGAGTGCTGCCATTGAATTTGCCTCAAGGACTCCCTTTGCCTGCAGGTGTGGCCTCTACAGATGCAATCAGTCAGACGCTAGCAGCGATACCGCCCCACCAGCTGCTCGACATCCTCGGACAGATGCGGGTAAGTGTTTGGAATTGAAATGCAGTAGAGGAAACTGCTGAAACGCTGCGATTTTCCTACGCAGTCGTTTGTCACAACCTCCCCAGAGCAAGCAAAGCACCTACTGCAATCATATCCACAGCTCGCATATGCGCTCTTTCAGGCCATGCTCATGATGAACGTTGTTGATCCAGCTGTGTTGCAGCGAATGATGACCGCATCCACGCAACAGCCGACAGCACCAGATGTGGCCATGCCACCTCAAGCAAATTATGGTGTTCCCGGTTCCCAAGGACCGCCCCATGGCCAAGCCTGGGGGCCGCAAGGTGCACAGAGAGTGGATCCGATGGCGGGAGCGCAAAGGGGGACGCCGCCTCCACCGCCATTGCAACAGCACCAGCACCTAACCCAGCACCAGCAGCAGCAGCAACAGCAGCAACAACAACAACAACAACAACAACAACAACAACAACAACAACAGCAGCAGCAGCAACAGCAACAGCAACAGCAACATCAACAGCATGCGGCGACCATGCGCCAACAGAATGCTCCGGGGGGCATGTATGGTGGCTCCCAGCCGCCAAGTGGACCAGGAGGCTATCCGCCATATATGCAGGCGCGGCCGCCGACTGCTGCGCCAGCGCCACCGGCGGGGCCTGCGGCGGATACAGCCGCTCTCGGAGACTCTCAAAGAGTGAGCGAGAGGTATGCATCTTTTTTTGCCAGGCTATCTTCCCTGACGCGTGTTCTTTCTATCCTGCTTTCATTACACTTTAGCAACTTCTGCATCAGGTGCTCTCGCTGACACAGGCCCAAATCGACGCGCTGCCTTCGGATCAACGGGCCACCATCATGCAGCTCAGAGCTCAATTTCGAGGGTAGTTCTATACCCCGCCCCCTCGCCACGAACCAAAGGAATGGAAATAACTTCCAATCAATCGCAAACACGATGCGCTTTGTTCTCGCGTGGTCTAATACCGATGCTATGATACATGTGATGGGCTTGCTTTGTGCGGCTTGTTATCCCTGCGCACCTTTCGGGTTACTGTTCCGTCTGCGATCCCCTCTCGGCGGAGCTGCTCGGGCGCCGCCGCCACCACCACCCCTTCCAGCCCCACCGCTACGGACAGTGCTCGGCGCTCGGCCATGGTCTCGACTGTCTCGCCGCTGAGCATTTCCTGTGGGCCCTGTCGCAGATGGCATGTTGATTGTTGGAATTGACGAAGGGCCATTCGCCAAGGGAGCGACGCCTTCTACAGATCCATTCTCCATTTTGCCCAAGTCTTGTCCCGTTGCTAGTTCCTCTGAGATCCCAACGCTGTTCGTAGCGCAAGCGATCGCGAGCGCTTGCTCTGACGCTGTCCTCCGCTGCTCAGCAATTGTCAGTGCTTTATCCATTTGCGCGATGAGGGTATGGGCATCTGCTCAATAGTCCAAGCAACGCAGATGTGAGCTGGCCGCGATGGCAATTGCATCACGAAAAGAATGTCCTCACCTGTAAGCTCCGCTCGTAAGCGCTCTACATCCGGTTCGCACTTCCCGCTGCCCAATTCGATCCTCTTGCTCAGTATCCTGCCCAGCTCTTCATTTTCGTCCGCAAGCTCTTGTACCTTTTGCAGAAGCCGTATGCCGAGGATTGGCGCCAATTCCACGCTTCCTTCTTCTGACTGGTTCTTCGATGCATCGCTTTCTCCTGCAGTGACCGCTTCCGCAGCCTGGCTAGCAGCAGACTCATTCGACTTTTGAGACTTATGCACTTGGAGCGCAAGTGTAGGATCCATGGCAAGTGCCTCGATTTGCAATATACGCATCCTTTCGCGCTCCCGATAAGCGTCTACGAGCGCCTCGAGCTGCTCGACGTACGCCCGTGTTGCTGAGATGGGATCTTCGCCACTGGGGAACAAGCCCGCGAGGCTCCAAGGCGCAGGTGGAAACTCTACGGAGGGTTTTGATGGCTCTTGTGGTAATGGTGGTAGCGGTGGCAGGCGCGAGAAGACGTTGAGATTAGAAGGAGCGCTCACAAGTGGGCCTGTCGTCGTCGAATTCGTTAGGGACGATGGGCGACGCGCTCCACTGGGTGAACCGATGACAGGTTTGCCGTTCGTGCCGCTGCTTCCGACCGAATTTACTGGGGTGTAGTGCGACGGCTGCATTCTCCCAGGCGTTGAAGGGCCACCGTAAGAAGCGCTGGACCAGCCCTGCGTCGAGGCGGGCGTGACAGAGCCTGCTCGTGTCTCACGAGGAAGGAATGAAGATCCCGCCGAGCTGCTCGGTGTTGACATGCTAGGTGTGCTACCGGCTGCGTCATTCGCTCCCACAAAGGGCGTGCCGGTCGTCACTGAGTTTGGGACGCTTGCTTGACCCTGTGAAAAGTGTGGCCTGGCGCCATAGGGGGTGAAAGAAGGAACCAGGGATACTGGCGCGGGCGGCCGTCCCATGCCGGGATTGAAAGCCCTTTGCTCTTGTTGCTGTTCTGAGGGATGTCGGAAGGCTGCTTGATGCAGTTGATTCCCATGATTATACAGCGATGAATGGCTCGGCACAGGTGAAGCTCCTGGCATACCGTGGTGGATCACGGCGCCATGTGGCAATTGCTGTGTACCGGGCAGCATGCCTTGGGGTGGAAACCCATGAGGAAAAGATGCTTGCATAGGGTGTTGAGTCCCGGCATACGGTGCTGCTAAGGTCTGCTGATGTTGCAGATGTCGATGAGATTGTTGTTGCCGATGCTGCTGGTGCGGGTGGTGCGGGTATTGTTGGTATGGAGCAGACGGGGGGGCTCCAGGCTGTTGCCATGGGAGAAACATGCCTTTCGAGATGTAAGGATCCTGATGTGGCTGAGTTTGCCTCTGTTGTAGCTGCCAAGCCGCCGACTCTTCCGATGGCAAGAACTGCGGCTCAGACTCAGTCAGGTCGCCATAGCTGCTTGTGTGCGTCGCCGCCATGCTTGCAAAGTTATAAGGGACAGGCGAGTGTGCGCTCTCTGCGAGTGTGCGCTCTCTGCGAGTGGCCAAGTGAGGACGGAAGGACGGGGAGAGGAGGCGATCGATGCACTTGAGTCCAACAAAAATGCGTTCCTACTGGCGACAAAGCCGACGAGCCGGCAGGGGAAGGTCGTATTTTGCAAGCGGGAACGGGAGTGCTGGAAGGGACACGGAGGGAGCCGGTGCTGTTAGCGTGCTCGCATGGTTCAGCGTGCAAGCAAACAGATGGGTCCTTCCTCATCCTCCAGTTGATCAGATGAGCCACTGTCGTGCGAGCAGCTCACCCTCTCGGATAGAGGTTGTGTCATGCTCATAGATATGTACAACGATTGTAGGCTAGACTGACGGTGGGTGTGTTTCCGATGTCAGCCAGCCAGTATATCGGCCTGGCGCTGGCGGTCTCTCTTTTTCTCGGTTGGGGATGCTGGATTGCGGTGGGTCGCGCTGTTCTGACCAGATCCTCAGCCAGCGCTCGTCAATGTGTATGCAAGACTGGGACAGGTGGAAGGCAAGCTCGTGCTCCCCTCAATGAGACGCAAAATATAAGTGCATTCATTCAGGAGATACACTGCACTGCGGAGGCTTCCTGTGCGCCTCAACTTCATGGAGCAGCGAGCCTGGACCAAACGCAAATTGATGCAAATACAGATCTAGTGTTGGACAGATAGGGCTTGGCTTCGCTGCAGCAACGCTTGCTTTCAAGGAATATCAAAAGGACACGTATTGACAGCGAGTGCGTGGTCATAGGCTAAGGGTTTCTGCATTGAAAGGTTACCATGAACACCAACCTGGCCGGTTTAGAAGAAAGGGAGATTATTGAGTTGAAGTCAGAAGGAGGGGAGAGGAAGACGCGACGTGTTTGACCTGCGACCTATATGTGATATAGGGAGAGCGACAAGCGCGCTATCACACCACACAAAGAACGCAACGCGCTCACTCTTTTACTAGCACGCATGTATTCTTCCTGCTGCTCACACCATCGCCTTATACCAAGGCGGCGCGCATGTGAGCGACATCCATCAGTGCAGACATCCACGCAGAAGGCGACGCATAGTCAGGTCCCTGAAGCTACAATATTCAGAACGCGCCGAAGCGAAAATGCCGGGTATTTTTGGCGGCGACGACGTCTCCGCCATCGTTGTGGATTGCGGGTCCTCCACATTTCGCATCGGCTGGGCAGGCGAAGACACTCCGCGGGGCGTCATCCCAACAGCTTATGGATGGCTACCGGATCCAGAGGAGGGGGGCGATGCAATCTCAAAAGCAGCTGCGGCAGACGGAAATACGACCAGCGCTGAAGATGCGATGGAAGGCGTAGAGCCGACAGGCAAATCCACTTCTGCAGCAGGGGCATCGACCGACGCAAATGAGACGCAGCCAGATGCTGCTTCGACCTCCAAGAGCTCAGCAGCGGCAGAGAAGTGGAGAGCGAAGATCTATGGCGAGAAGAGGAAGAGATTCTTCGGGGATATTGCTGTTGGGATGTATCGGGAAGGAGGAGAAATCGCCAGCCCTTTAAACGACGAAGGCGCATGTGAGTCTTCGATGCCCGCTCCAACATTGCACTCTTCTGACACTGGCCGATCTTTTCGTAGTGTCCTCAACCGCATCCTTTTTGGCGCAAACTGAGTACGCTCTCCGCGCATCGCTGCAAGCGGACCCGCGAGAACACCCGCTAATGGTGACAGAGCCATCATGGAACAGCAAAGAGATGCGAGAGGAGATGACAGAAATCGCATTTGAAGGACTCCAGGTCCCCGCATACTATCTTGCCAACTCGACAGTGCTCAGCGCTTTTGCAGCCGGCAAGCCGACGGCGCTGATCGTCGACGTCGGCGAGAACAGTATGTCGGCTATCCCCGTCGTCGACGGCTTCATCCTGCGGAAAGGCATTCACCGGCAACCGATCGGCGGACGTGCTGTATCGAGAGCACTCTTTCACTCCCTGCGCGAACCGCCGCCGCAAAGCCCGCGGGCAGGCAAGCTCACAGAAATTTTCCCGCATTACCTGATCCAGTCCAAGGTTCCAGTCGAACCCGGGCGCCCTCCGCAAGTGAAGCTGCGCGAAGATAGACTGAAGGTCAGTCCTCCGTCCGGCATGCCTAAAGCAGGGCAAATTACTGAACATGAGATTCCATGACAGGGTTCGACGGAGTCCTTCAGGATGTACCACACGCTCAAGGTGCTGAACGACTTCAAAGAGGCGTGCGCGCAGGTGATGGAGATTCCGTGGGATGAGTCACATGCATTGCAGCGGCCAAGCAAGACGTACGAATTCCCTGACGGCTACAACGACTCGTTTGGCGTCGAGCGCCTGCGAGGACCGGAGATCCTATTCAACCCCAAAAGCTGGCAGGGTGTTGGCGATGTCGTGAGTTTTATCTCTGCGAGGCATCTTTGGTCTGGCTTGCTGTCGCTGTGATCATCCTGACGAGCTTTGTGTCCGTCTTTGTAGCTCCCCGCGCCGGCCTCGGGAACAGCCGATTATGTCGGGTTGGCCGACTTGGCGCTGCAAGCGATTAACTCAACCGACGTCGACAGCCGCGCAGCGCTCTTCTCGAACGTCGTCTGCGTCGGCGGATCGACATCGTTGCCGGGCCTAACCGATCGGCTCAGCTACGAGATCAGCATCAAAGCCGCCGGTCAGAAGATCAAAATCCACTCCCCCGGTAACCTCGTCGAGCGCAAGTACTCGTCCTGGATCGGCGGCAGCATCCTGAGTAGCTTGGGAACGTTCCACTCGTTGTGGTTGTCCAAGCAGGAGTACGATGAGCATGGACCGGCCCTCGTGCATGCTAGGTGCAAATGAGCGCGTGTATTTTCAAGAAGACGCAAAGATCAGAATAAGGGCTGATTAGTGGAGTGTAATGTAAAACTTAGAAATACAGTGTCTCCCATATCTGTGGAACGGATGGTGGTGCCGCATGATCAAGTTAACTCTACTTGCGCGACGCCACCGAAGAAATCGGTGATGCGAACGTTTGATGGTTCCCTTCCGAACAGGTCTGTGCGTACGCCGGGGTTGGAGTGGATGTGTGCGGGGTCGTAGCTGTTGAAGAGGTCTTGCATCGTCGCCTCGCTTGTCTTGTTGATGTGCTCCATGTACTCAAGCACATGATTCGTAAAGCGGTCGATCAAGGCGACACCCAACTCAAAGTCGGTGTTGTGCGAGTACGAATTTTCGTCCTTCTCTGAGCTGCCCGTCGCAAGTACGTTGGGGCTGTAGATCTTGCTGTACATTGTGTTCGCCTGACACGTGTCGATCATGAAGAAAAGCTCGTTGTATCTGCGCTTCTGCCACATTTGCTCGATCGCGTCGGCGAGGTCGAAGGCGCTGATCTCCTCGTGATCTCGGAACTTGAGGAACTCGTCACCACCGTGCCCAGTCATGTAGAGGAAGATGTTTGAGCGAGAATCAGAGTCTAGGCGCTTCGAACGCGGCGTGTTGGGGGGGACACGACCAGTAAGAAGCCGTAGCAAACCCTCGACGCTGACGTCATTGCCTCGGTAATCTACTTCGACATCGTCGCCGTACAGTTCAATAGTTTTTGAGCTCTGCGCCCAAACGTTTCCCGGTGAGCGATTCCGAGAGTTGCAAGCCGCGTCGTCGGCGAGCATGAGGATGATGTTCGAATCGGGAATACCGAGCCGCCTGACTGTCCGGTACATGCCGAGTGTGTTCGCCATGTGCTGCGTAACCATGCGCAGTGGTACCCAAGAGTCAGACTCGCGAAGGCCAACGGTGCGTATGTGGAAGACGGCGAAACCGAGGACGTACTCTGTAATTGAACCAAAACTTTGAAGCACAGACGAGCACAGCCCAGTTGTTCGTATGCCCCCCAGCGTTGCCCCCGGCCGCCGAGTGCGCGTCAAAGAACTGCTGGACCTGCTCCACGTCCCGAGCTGATACGAAAAGAGAAGGCACAGCGAGTGGAAGCGCAAGCATGCCTAGAAGCACCAGCAGCAGGCAGCTGGCGATCAGCCAGATGGGCCCTGCTGCCATTCGACGGCCGTGTCGCCTCGGCCGCCTTCGGTGTGCATCATGATGGGGCGATGGGAGCGGGGGGTCGCCGCGGGACATGGCTGTGCGAGTGACGACGCGAGCCTCTTGCTGTGGCTGGTTCGAAGCCGTCCGTTGGCGTGCAGCAGCTGTCCAGCGCGGTGATGTTCTGAGCCCACGTATGCGGGCCTGACCATGGACCATGAGGAGTTGGACTGAGTCTTTGTGCACTCTTGAGTTTGGGCGTGAACTTCGCACTTGTCACGGGGTCTCCTCACCAGAACAGTCACCATTCGTGGCGGGCCACGGTCCACCTGTCGTTGCCCACCCGGCCCTTGTAACCTTAAAGTAGGGTTGATCTCACTTTCGCGAGGAGGAATTGGGCCCCAAGATGAATTGCATCGCCGTCCGAATTTCTGATCACAATCCATAGAGTTTTAATGTGAGGAGAGCATACATTGCCTCGTTGCATCATCCAAACTCATCTCTCGACGTTGAACGCTCAACTGGAAGTAATCTTACAGCGCTCGTTGATCGATTAACTGGTGTCAGCGAGGCAGAAATCGACGTGCCTTGCTTTCTCCGCTTCATCAGACGCCTGTCACTGTCACCGTCACCCCCGCCATTGATTAAGGTCTGGGCGCCGATTCCCTCCGATGCGAGATAGATGGGGAAGTGTAACACCGATGAAGTCTGACAGGTTCCGAGCCGGCGGCTTATTGACGGATGTACATAGGCGCGAATTGGTCAACGAAATGCTGAAAGTGAATCCACGTGAAACCTCATTGAAGCGAATCAAAACCGCCAGAGCGACTTACGATGGACTCGGCAGCGAGGGCTAGATGATGTTTTTGTTGTACGTTAGCTACCATGTGTGTGGGCCGGCGGAAAGTACCACGTGCCGCTATCCACTGTGTATGCAACACTCGTGTGAGCGGCATGAGATCGTGTTCAGTGTTGGCGCTTTTACGTCTGAACCACTCGACTCTCGGGGAATGGATCTTGGATCTATATGTATGGACCGTGGAGCGTCGACAAGGTCCATGCAAAGGAGAGGAACAGGCGTACAGCATTGTCGAACTCATCGCGCGTCTCCGTGGGAAATTGGAAATCTGAAAGATGGTCTGCAAAAGTGTAATTGGCAGCATTATGGCAGCCTGACGTGGTCATGCGAGGATGGCAATATCACACAATTTACAGCCGTGTGGAGGTAGATGATCGAGATGGCATGGACTTTGATTGGTTTGATCACTTACATTTCAGTCACCACATGCTCCACATTCGGTATATGCAGATGCACACAAGTGCAAAAGAGCACCAGAATAGAATCGCGGATAGAAACGACATTCATCTGTTAGGGAAATTCCTCGAAACCTCTTCGAAGAGTGGAATGTGGACGTGGAACAGCTGTATTCTGTATTGGCTACAACTGGTCCCTGGGTCGTGGCCACAGATATGTGTGCATATGTGGACACCTTTCAATCTTTGAGGATGCCTCCTGTTGTTCGCATTGGTCGATATATCATGCCCTCTCTCCAATGATGCATCTTCGAAATTATATATGTACCGTATCACCACAGCGCCTGTTGTGCGCCTGTGGTGATGCGGGGTGTGTGGGTCAGCAATTGACAGTCGTCAGTCGGAGTCAAACTCCAGTGCGGCCAAGAACGCTGCGGCGCATGTGGATCAGGTGGCTTTTTGAAAGCCCACTTGGTTCTGAGACTGCAGTCAGTAAGCTGCATGAAACGCGAACATTCCATCGGATGACGACGTGACGACGAAGACGAGGACGAGGCTCGACTATTGTCTCATCAGCGGAAATCATGAAGCGCCTGCACATGCATACCAGACAGCATCCTTGTGAGACAAACCCGTCAAAGGTCGACGGGTCTCGAATCGTGGAGAGTCGGAACTTCGCTCGAGACGTTGCAGCTGGCGGGTCGATGTGGAGACGGTAGAGCGGGTCTGGCGGAGATCAAGTCGAATAAGTCTCGAGAAGAGAGGCTCTTGTCTGTTACGCAGCCACCACGCACTACGTTCTCATCTGTTTTCGGCTCTGTCTTCAGCTATCAGGGCTCGGGCGCAAGAGATTACGAGATGGTGGTTTCTTTGAATATGTTTAGCGCATTCTGGATTCTGGTGCTACTTAGCTCCGAGGGGACTGAGGCGACGGGAGGGTTGTGCCTGGCTGCCGGCTGGTGGTGGGTGAACTATCCGCATAGACGAGAGTCCATGTTCCGCGCTTCTCCGCGCCACTCCTTTGGCCTGCCGGGACTCGGGCGGGGGGGGGGCACGGGCCCAGCCGCAGCTAGTAGCAATATTCCAGTTCATCCGAGGTACCCAGGTAGCGCGCGCACAGTAGCAGTAGTCCAGCAGCATAGAGACACTTTGAACGTGTGGATTTCGTTTCACACCCCACCCTGCAATCTGCGGCCTGGCCTGTGCATATGTGTGTGCATGCAATCTGCATCTCATATCCCTATATCTCGAGGTTGCATGTGATGTGGAGACGGGAGAGGAAAGAGGAACAGTGCTTCACTGCAGCGTTGTCCATGTCTGCACATCCGGACATCCGGCCGATATTCTGCGACGGCCGGCTTGGCCTGGACAAATTGGGGATGATCACCATCCTGGCACGCACGTGAGAAAAAGATCAACGCTCAGTCAGCCCCGTCTCAAAAAGTATTCTCTGGCGATTGTTGCCTCCAGTCGCAAGCTCGTCAATACCCGCTCATCGCCGACTTGATTATATATCACTCGAACACTCACCCTCCTCCCGGAGAGAGCGACAGCGTTGCCTGCATGCCGAGGTGTAACTCTAAGAGCGATCATCACAGTCAACGCAATACACCGCCGCACACTCTCCCATCGCGACACGCTGGCAGGTCCAAGTATCGACGTCGGGCAGTGTCCTTTCCTAGGACTGCCTCATTATCTCCGCTTCTCACGAAACTTCAAGAGATCATATAGCTACTACGAAACGCTCGGCTCAGCGCAGGACACAGCAGCCAAGCCGCTTCCCATCAATCCGCCGACCACCCACGCGGTCACACCCGTCAAGAGTCTGAAGACGCCAACGGCCATCATCCGAATCGAAAGCAAGCACCAGTTGGTTGCCGCTCCATCTGGTGCGTCGAGGGGCCAAGCCTCTCATAGTCTCTGCCGCAAAGCCAGCGTCCTCAAAAGCGTCCACCAGGCACCATGTCATATGCGACATATGCGGCCATTGGCACCCGTCCAGCGAGGGCGCAACAGCAATCGCACCAGCGCAAGGGCTCGCACGCACAACTACCCAGCCGCATGCGCACTGCTTCGGGCATTGCGCCGCTCGAAAACACCGCATCTGCAGCAGCAGCTGCTGCTGCCGACTCCTCCTCGTACGACCATCGTGAGCAGCCGCAGCAGGCGTCCTACATGATCCCATCTTTTGAAGCCGCACCGCATGCCGCACCACTGCCACCCCCTTCGCTCGGCGCGCCGCCGCCGAACGCTCCGTACCAGTTCGGACTCTCGGCAGCATCATCGTCCCCGAGCACCACTTTCCGTCCGATGCGCCTCCCCCCTCCTCATCCCCATCCTCCTGCGCATACGCATGCTCATGCCCATCCGCCGAATCCTATATCGCACACTAGACAGTACTCTGACTCGCACCTCCCACTTCACATGGACCTCTTCGCGGCACCACACGCGCACCAGCAAATACGTCCGTCGCACGCTGCCCATCACCCACAGGCGCAGGCGCTTCCGTCTACTTTGCCGCCATTCTCGGCAGGACAGCCGATCACGATGATTCCCGAAGTGGAACAACAGTTCAGAAATGCAGGTCTGGGAGGAGAGATCGAGGAGGGTGATGAGGATGACGACGATAACGACGATGACGACAAGTACTCGGCAAATGAGGGTGGCAAGGGCGAAGCGGACGCGCAGGTGCAAGGAGCGATGCAGGAACGCGCCGACAACGCGGCGGAAGGAAGGCAGCGAAGCTCATCCTTTGCCAGCTTTGGCCAGAAGGCGCTGCATCACGATGTGCCCGGCGGCAGCTTGCTACTGGCGAGTAAGAAGGTCGCTACCGGCTCTATCTATCCGGACGGCGAGCATGACCGGCCGCAGAAGAGACGCAGGAGGGCGAACATGAGCTGCACGCAGTGCAAAGTGAGTGTCGCTCAGAGATCGCGGGAGGGGGGGGGCAAGCGTGCGGAGCACAGGCCGCGTACTGACATGTGATTTTCGCATCCCCTCTTCCTCTGCAGAGCCGTAAGATCAAGTGCGATCGCGCGAGGCCCATCTGCGGCAGCTGCGTGCGCCGCGGCATTCCGCCACAGACGTGTCTCCTCGGTGACGCAAGGGACGACTATGAGTGAGCAAGCAGAGCAGTCTTGGCGCGACGGGCGGGGCGTGGTGGGCGGGTGCGTTGCTGATCGTTCCTTTGTTCACTGTACGCTTCGAAGACGCATGATGAGTGCGCCGGACGTTCTCCGCGTGGTTCGGCTCATGGAACGCATCGCGAGCCTCGAGGAGGAGCTGGACCAGTCAAACCGCGAGAAAGAGGAGAGGCAGGCGGCGTACGAGCACGTGCTTGCGTCGCGCTCGGCAGCTGATACGCTGGCGGAAGAGAACCTGTCCGTCTCGGTGTCCAACAACAGCCGCTCCTGCGCCCCTTCCAGCATGGACGCGATGGAGCAGCGCCTTCGTATCGACGCCGAGGTCGCGCGGAGCCACTACCAGGACCGAGAGCGCATGCACTCGGCCAGCAATGGCCTCACGATGAGCGCCGCCACGAACTTTGTCCTCAACTTCAACCCCGTCGGTCTGTCGCCACTCGAAGACATGCTCGCTACTCTGCCAAGCGAGTCGAACATCATCACCATCGTCAACTGGTACTATGACGAGCTGGAGCCAGGTGAGGTCTCACGCTTCTGAGGCTACCTTGCACACGTAGCCAGCTCATGCGTCTTTTTGCCTCCCTTTTCGCTCTTTCGCGCTCAGTGTGGAGCTTGCTGCCGAGCAGGCCGAGCATGTGCACTCGCATCGAAGATCTCTGGCGCCGCTATCAGACTTTCATCAAGTCCCAAAGCAGCGCCCAGAAGCCCGCCACGAACGCTGAGACGACTGCTGACGCGGGCAAACCTAACGCAGCTGGCGGTGCAAGCCCCTCCGCTGCCGCCGCTGGCTCCGGCGTCGCCAGCCCCAGGTCCAGCATCTCGGGCTATGTGTCGGCGGTCGCGCCGCATGGCACATCCGCACCGAAGCCCGGCGCTGCGGGGGGGAGCACGCAGATTTCCCCAGCGTTGGCGCAGGATGCTCACCCGAGCGACAGGAGCAGAGGCAGCGGCCAGCAGCCACAGCAGGAGCAAGCACAGGCACATCAGCAACATCTGAGGCAACGCTCATCCGCATCTTCGCTGCCCAACATCGGGCAGGCGTTCAGCAAGTCAGATTACGCATTCCTCGCTCTGGTCTTTGCTGTGCTCGAATCCTCGGCTGAGTTCATGGCCGACGCGGACATCATCGAGCATGGGATCGCCACGAGCACCAAGGACATCCCCGTGCGCATGAGCATGTACCACCGGAACTGCGTCACGCTGCTAAGCATGAGCGATATGCTCGCGCAGCCGACGCTCGAGGGCATTCAGGCCATCTCGATGCTGCGCTACTACTACTTTGGCCGCCAGCGCCGCGCAGAGTACACCGTCCTGCACACGATGATCATCCGCATTGCTGAAGGCCTGGGCCTCCACCGCCTTCAGAGCGCACACGCCGACGCAGAGCGCTGGGCAAAGCGCAGGCTCCACACCGGAAGCCCATTCTCCCCACCGGCGTCGTCCCAGGCTGGCTGGCACAACAATGCCAAGCATGCTCCCCCCAAAACGGCAGACGGTGGAAGTGGTGGAAGTGCTGGCCATGCGGCAGCAGCAGGAACAGGGGAAGAAGCACATGCTACTGATTCGGAAAGGGGAAGCCATGCGCTGATTGTCGGAACGATGAATCGTACCGATCTGCACGGCTGGTTCCTGCCCAAGGGAGAGCACAAGGAGAAGTGGGAGGAGATGAACGTCTCCAGGTGGTACGATGGCGACCATGAGATGCGAGAGCTCGGCAGAAGGGTCTGGTGGGCGCTCGTCTTTGTGGACTGGCAGACTGCCACACTGCACGATGGCATCTACCATGCGCGGGAAGCAACGTGAGTGTTCCTTTGATGCGCGCTTAGATACAACAGCGTGCTGCGCGCACGAGAGAGGCTGCGAGTGCTGATGCTGATGCCGACGCGCACGCTACTCGGAATGGCAGGTTCACCACCGGATTTCCACTCAATGCCGAGCTGGCCGACATCAGTCGCACGAGCGACCCGTTGGCGATCGCGTCGCCGGAAAAATCGTTCGTCGCAATCCTCACGGAGATTGCGCGCGCGACGAGGTGCACAGCGGACGCGATGAATAGCGGTGTCAATGAGTACGAGGACTCGCTGCAGATCGAGCAAAGTCACCGCTCGATCTTGACTTCCCTGCCGTACTACTACCAATTCCCCAGCGAGCACAATGCCGCAACATATGGTGAGCGGGGCACGGTGCGAGGGATTGAGCTCGTGAGGGAAGGAACACGGCAGCTGACATCGATGATGCTCTCGGTCCGCGGCCAGATGCTGCGGCGGTGCAGGCTGCACACACTGAGAAGCCGTTCCGGGTGATCCAGCGGGTGCTGATCTACCTGTACGTGCACCACCGGCTGCTCAAGTTGCACCGTTTGTACATGCCACGGGGGTACCGGAATGGGGTGTACAAGCACAGTCGGGAGGTGTGCCTGGAGAGCGCCGAGGTGCTACTGAGCTGTTACTCGGAGCTGGTGCAGGCGAGCAGCCCCATACACCGCATGTGGAGCTTCCGGATGATGCTGTTCGACGCGATCAGCACGCTGCAGATCGACCTGCTGCACCGGATCGCGCAGGTGGAGGACCAGGAGATCATACGCAGGCAGGCGGACGTCGAGCTCGGTATCCGCTTGCTGGAGCCTCACACGGTGAGTTGCCGTGCAGAGTGCCGCCATCCTCGGCGCACAAGAACATCTACAGTGAGAGAGCTAGAGAGAGAGAAGAGAGCTGATGCGTCGCACGCACGCACGCGCACATGACAGTCTATGGAGAAGCTGAACAAGTTCCTGCCGGCGGCGATCAGTGCGATGCGCGCGCTGCAGCACGAAGAGAAGTGCAAACGCGCGGCGTTCAGGCACGAGCAGCAGCGCGCGCACGCGCAGGGTCAGGCGCCGCCGACGCAGAAGTGGACATTGCAGGTCCCGTTTGGCGCGCTCGGCGCCGAGGACGACGTGCCAGCTGCTTTCCTCGGTGGTGCACTGGCGTCAGACTCTCTTGCGGATCAGCAGTCGCAGTCGCAGGCGCCGCCACCACCGCCAGATAAAGGGGCGGGGCAGCGGCCTGTAGGTGCGGATCCGAGTGCGGATGCGCTGGAGGCCAGCCGACAATTCCAGATGGAACTGGACGAGTGGTTGCGGAGCATCCGCGAGAGCGTGGCGAGCGAGCAAGGCAATCTTGGCGCGGCCAAGTTGATCGACAAGCTGATCGAGGAGATGAACTGGTCGTGGTGAATGGATGTGGTGGCGTTGCAGTATGTATGTATGTATGTGTGCATGTTACTCTACCGTGCACACGCGAGACAATACTCATGCCTGGCCGGTTCACCTCCACCAGCTTCCCTGTCGGCCGAGTGTCGGAGCGTTCGAAGAAAAGGAGGGGCCATCTTTTTGCCTTGTCTGCTGGGGAGAAGGGTCCCGCTCGGCGCCTTTCGGGCGTGTGTGTGAGAGATCAGGGATATGCAGGAACGCTCCTGCGATCGTGTGGGAGTGGGGAGGAGTGGTGGACTGCCCAACACGCGCACGACACATGCGCGGGCGGATGGTTGGTGACTGGATTGCGCCCCAACTACCCAGCTAGACACTGTTATTGGCTGCAGCTGCAAAACACCTCATCTCGTCCTCAAACCCAATGTAATAAATAAAAAGCCAATCTACCCATGCATACATACATGCTTTCGTCGGATCCATCCGCCGTGCGCCCAACAGGACTTGCCCTTTCCAGGCTGGCCCTCCGTGGCAAGCAAGGAGAGGCAAGAGTTATGTGCGCGCGCTTTCTGCTTGGACAATGCCCGTGCATGCCAGCTTCTTCCCTCGTTCGCAAACAAAGACTCGCCGATATCCACTGTGCCTCTGCCTGCTTCTTCTTCTTCCTTTTCTTCTTCTTCTTCCTTTTTGGGACGGGTGGCGTGCCTGCGCGGCCTTACCTTGTCGGCTGTGTGCGCCCCAGCCCAGCTCAACAAAGGAAACGTTTAATGCCGTGCTGTCATGTGACGGGTGGCGCAACTGCACACCGCCTCCTTCCTTCTTGGCCTGCTCGCCCGCCTGCAGAGCTTCTCTCCCAGCCAGCACCGTCGTGCCACACACGCCCGCGCTGACCAATATATATACATACGCTCATACCCGCACATATATATATGATATCTGCACGTGTGGTGTATTGGCCGCGAGAGACGTGTACATCGCACCCCCCCCCCAATCTGCCCTAGCTGCAGTCTGTGCTAGTCGTCTCCTTCCTGGTGCCCTCATCCCCCGCGTGCGCAACGCCCATGGCCGCCGGCAAAGCCTTCGCTGTTCCCGCTTAACCCTGCGCCATGAAGATCCTCTTTCTCTGCACGGCGTTCAATTCGCTCTCCCAGGTGCGTGTATCGCCCGTCGAGCTTGGGATGTCCCCTACCCGCTGAGCTGACGCTTTTCTTGCCTCTTGCAGCGTCTCGCTCTCGTCCTGCGACAGCGCGGCCATGCCGTCACTGTCGAGCTCGCGCTTGACGCTGCGCGGATGATCGACGCGGTCGCCCTCGCCGCCCCCGACCTGATCCTATGCCCCTTTCTCACCAAGCGCGTGCCCCCCCAAGTTTACAACAGCACCTTGACACTCATCCTACACCCAGGCCCCCCAGGCGATGCCGGCCCGTCGGCCATTGACCTCGCCCTCTTTGGCGACACAGGCGAGCTCGCCCACCTCGACGAACAGCTTGCCGTCCTCGCCCTGCGCCACGCCAAACCTGGCGTAAAGAGGTGCATGCGCAGCCACTGGGGTGTCACATGTCTGCAGGCCATCGAGGCGTTCGATGCTGGTCCCATTTGTAAGTCCATTTCCGACCATGAGGTGCGGGTGTATGCTCTGCCCGCTGACGTGCGTCTTCCCGCGCGCAAAACAGGGGGATTTGACCAGTTCGCGCTCGATGATGAGACGGCGCGCATGTCCAAGTCGGAGCTGTACCGCGGCCCGATTACGTCTGCGGCGATCGCCGCGACCCTTGTCGCGCTCGAGCGCATCGCTGCCGCGCACGCGCCTGCGCGCACGCTCCCGTTCCCCGTCGATCTCGTCGCGCCCGCCGAGGCGCGCAGCCAGTGCGCCTCGCGCCGCCTCCCCTTCCAGGGTGGCACGACGCGCGACCGTCCGCTGCTCAAGGCGAGCGCGCGTGATTTTGTCCCGCTCATCATCGGCGCTGGCAGCACACGCATGAGTGCAGAGGCGATCGTGCAGCGCGTCAACAGCGCCGACTCACAGCCCGGCGTGCTGTCCGCGCTGCTGTTTGGCACGCCACTCTTTCTGTACGACGCCCATGTCCAGACCGCGCCACTGCGCGCCGACGTCGCCGCTGTTGCCGCAGCGGCAGCAGCTGCTGCAGGCACGGTCTCGGCACCCATCGGCACGGTGCTTGCGATTCGTGATGAGGCTGTGCTCGTCGAGTGCGGCGCCGATTATCCCATCTGGTTCTCCCAGTTGCGCCGACCCAAGGCCAAGGCGGACCGGTATCTGCACCCCAAGCTGCCTGCCACGCGCAGTCTCGCAGATCTCGCCGCCAGCAGTGGTGGCGCTGGCAACGACAAGGTAACACAGGCGCTGCTAGACGCAGTCGACTGGCGCATCGAGGAGAATGGTCATGATGCCGCCGCAGGCAGGCGCAGCGACGATGCGCCGTGGCGCAAGGTCCACGGGACGTACCAGCAGATCTGGGTCGAGATGGAGGCGGTGGACGACGCGCGCCAGGTCGCATACGTCTACTTTGATTTCTAGTAAGTCACCAGCAACGTTTTTTTTTGCACCCCAGGTGTTGCCGCAGAGCAGACTGGGAAGCTGACTGTCTGCCTGCCTTCACCCCCTTCCCTCTCCCCAGCAACGGCGCCACATCAACGACACAGTGTCTGCGCCTGCGCGCGGCGCTCGACTGGGTGCTTGCGCAGCCGCGCCTAGCGGCGCTCGTGCTCATGGGCGGCAGCGCCTACTTTAGCAACGGCATTGCTCTCAACGTCATTGAGGGCGCAGGAGGAGCAGCCCAAGGCACAGTCGACGACGCGGCGCAGGAGTCGTGGGACAACATCAACGCCATCGACGATGTCGTGCAGCCACTGCTGCTGGCGAATGCGCGGGGACGTGGATATGCCGGCGCCGGCGTTCTGACGTTTGCTGCTCTCAGAGGCAACGCCGCCGCCGGCGGGCTCGCGCTCGCGGATGCATGCGACGTTGTGCTCGCCTCGGAACACGTCGTGCTCAACGTGAGTCTTGGCGCAGCTGCTGCTCTGGACTGTCGGCCCCTCCTAACTGTCTTCTTCTCGCTTCCTTTTACTCATCGTCGCAGCCGCATTACCGCGGCCTCGGACTGTACGGCTCTGAGTACCATACGTTCAGCTGGGCGCAGCGCAGCAGCGAGACCAGCAGTGGCAGCGTGCACGCGGTGCCGAGCTACGCGCGCACGATGTTGCCCATGAGCGTTGAGCAGGGCGTGAGCGCAGGGCTTGTCGACCATGTTGTGCCGCACAGCCAGTCAAGCCCACTGCAGCTCGTCGAGGAGGTCAAGCAGCGCGTTCGGATGGTCCTCTGCGCCAGCGTCGCGCAGGCCCAGGCTGCACGTCGCGACGGCAGCAGCAGCGTGCTCGGTTGCGGCGCGGTGTGGACGCGCTTGCGTGCGCCGCGGGCGCAGGCACTGGCGCAGGACCAAGGTAGTCCCGAGAACAATAACGTGCTCCTGTCGCAGCGCATGCTAGAGAACAAGCGCGCGTATCTCGCCGCGCTGTTTGGTCAGTCGTCATTGGAAGCTGAGCCAGAGACGCTTGCCAGGCACTTTGAAGAGCTGCGCAGGAAGGAGCTGGAGCTGATGGCGCTTGACTTTTGGCACGTGAGTCTTTTCAATCGCTCGAACGGGCAGTGGCAAGATTTGCTACTCTTTTGACTGATCATTCATCATACACATGCAGCCTCACCGTAGCAAGCGCTACCACACCCGTCGCGTCGCGTTCGTCCGCAAGCTCCTGCCGCAGGCCACTGCAACACGCTTTGCGCTGCACCGCCGCTTTGGCGCCGCCTGGGCCGAGCGGCAGGCTGCTGCCGACGCCGACATTGACGTCGATGGCGCCCTCCTGGACGAGGAGGAACTGGACGAATTTGACGGCCTTGGCGGAATCTCAAGCTTTGATATCACAATCCCGCCCTGGCCACGTGCGCCATCTTCGCTGGGTAAGATGGTCCGCAGCGCCTCAGACGCAACGGCCATCTCGCTTCCTTCGTCTGACGATGCCCCTGACTCTGGCCCCTCAACGCCCGGCGGGCACAGTATCATCAGCGCCGCCACAACCGTTGCGTCGGATATTGCCGCCGAGATTGGTACCAGCGACAAGGTCAGCATTCACACCGCCCTCGCTGCGGGTCCGGTGGACGCGACAGGAGCAGCGGCGGCCCCCGCCATTGCGCTTATGGCGCCCAGTCCCGAGCTGGGCTCGAGCGCGCAGTGCGGCGGCACCCCCAGCTGCCGGGCTGAGCAACGACTGGCGGCGGTGGTGGTGCCGCGCCTCGTCAGCTTCGAGCCGACGGTCGATGACGCGAGCAAGTACCCCAGCAAGCGCTCCAGCATCTCGATCAACCAGGCGCGCGCCGCTGCTGCGCGTGGCAAGGGTCCATCATCGTCGCCGTTGGCAAATGCTCAGGCGCAGCAGCAGCAGCCCCGCCTCTTGTCTCCCGACAATGCCAGCGGCGGCAACGGTATAAATTCAGCGGCGGCGGCCAGCGCCAAGAAGACGAAGCGGCGTTCGCTGTCCATCGGCGGCGTCCCCGCCGCTGCATGGCGAAAGTTCAATGCCAGTTTCATTGCCGAGGAACCAGCTCCCGGACCCGCGTTGCCCCCGCTCCCGTCAAGCGTAGCTGCGGCTGCGGGCGCCCAGCGTTCTTTGCAGCAGCAGCAAGATGTCAAAGGACAGGCAGCTTTGCCTGCAGGCAGGTCCTCGACGCTCCCGCGCATGCTGTCTTTCATGCGTCGTAAAAAACTCGAAGAGTCTGCATTCAAGACTCCGCCGCTGCCTTCCAACGCTGCCTTCCGTCCCGCTGCAGGCGGCGCCGGCGTTCAGGAGCAGCAGCAAGGCAGTAACGACGTCCTGCAACCGATGCAGACACAGACGCCGACAGAAGACATTGCCGCCCCACCACATGCAAGCAGCTGCTATTATTCCGAGACGGGCGCAAACTGCGTCAAGGTGTGAACGATCTCTCCCACCTGTTTCCTTTCGTATCTTGCGTCCGACGTCACCATCCTCTGCCGTCGCCCGTCTCTAGACTATACGTTCTCTCTGCTTTCCTTTTTTCTTCTGAGCAAGCATCTATCTCATGTATCGGGCCACTTGTGTATCTATTTCTGGCGTTCACTCGTTCTCGATGTTCTTATACAGGGAGCTTCCTCATGTCGGCGTGGCGACTCATGTTCATCCAGGCAGGCATGTATCTTGCGCGCTTTTTTATAGGTGCATACAATTGAATAGCCAAGAATTGATGATACAGGATTGATTTATGGCGACCGCATTGCAGGGGAATTGTTTACTAGTGTAAATCCTGCCTCGCTGATATTGCGTAAGTGTTTGCTGCTGCTCTTACTGGAACGCTTCCGGCGGGATCTGACCAGCCTGCTTGAGAGACGCAAAGTTCGCGACAGCCTGCTCGTACTGCCATTCATTCTGCGCGAGACACTGCATGGCAAAGGGCAGCGTCATGCCAGTCTGTGCAGCAAGCCGCGTCACTTCCCCTTCTTGCTGTGGAGTCTGCTCGCCAGAAAGCGGGAGCGAAATTGTGGATCGGTCAGTGTCCAAGTCGCTTTGCGCACTGCGGTGGCGTTGACTGCGAGAAGGAGGGAAGTGCCGTACTCACAAGACCTGAAGCGGAAGTTGCAGAGCCAGACTCGACTGGCTTGGGGTTCCACGCCGAGTTGCCAGAATACTGCCGGATGGTGAATTGCTCGTTCAAAATCACGCAGGGCCAACCGGCATTCGCCGCGCTGCAGGAATGATGGATGGTTTAGAAGAGGTGTTTGTGGATCCTTGCTGTGGATATGTCACTCACGTGGAGCCCGGCGCAGCTGGAGCGACGACAAATGTCCGGTCGAAGCTTCGCACGCCTTCCGATGGCACTGGTAGAACAACAGCATGTTTGTGGCATGTGAACTATCTGCCAATGATGCGGTAAGATACGATTGTTTGGTTAAGGCACTCACGTTCGGTGTACTCCCCATGCACGCTGATGAATAACACAGCGCTCGACTTCTCTGATCTCGTATCTACTACGGCTCCAATTCTTTCGTTAGGCAGGACCCACGCATCGACAACGAACTTGCTTGCTTCTGAGAGAGGATGTCTGCTCTTGGGCAGTTGACGCGTCATGAAGTCCACAATCGCATCTGGCCCGCTGTGTACGCCTTTGCTGGCCGAATGCGTGCCGAGCCGCATAATGTCATGTGCGCTGAGCATCTTCAGCTTGTCGGTCATGCCATGTAACCCGCGCTGGTTCTTCATGCTGAACAGAAAGCCTTCGGCTCGCGCTCGAGGAGGAGCTTGCAGCGGAAGCGTGAATGTCATCACCGCTTTTGGAGCATAAGCAGGCTTGAGTTGTTGTCGGCCAGTGTCCATATGGCCAAAGAATGTCGACAGGAAAGCTGGGATAATGGCTTGTGCTGACTCGTCGGAGAAGCCAGGCTTGACCGCAAGTGGCATTGGTATTGGAGCGACGCCGACAAAAGAGCTGGCCTGCCCTTGCGTGCTGCTTCCGCTTTTGCTACCTGAAGCTGCTTGTTGTGCCTCCACAGCTTCCACAGGCTTCATATCTAGCATTTTGAGGGAAGGAAACTTGACTAGCACCTCCTCTCGATAACCAGCCTCATTCCCAGCAGCCACTGCATTCTGCTGCACTGGATTTTCCAGCAGCACTAGCTCGCTTAGCTCCTCGAAGCGCCGTCCTGAATTTCCTGAGACTGTAGGGGCGATGGCGGCAAGGTCCTTGGTCCACTTGATGTCATTTCCTTGCAAGCTGAGGTTGCGCAACTTGGGAAGGAACTCTGGCACGCTCATGACGGGTACGAGGCTCTTGAAGCCATTGCTCGCCAGACTGAGTGTCGTGATAGTTGGAAACATTTCCCTCGCGAGCTTCCAGATAGCGTTGCTGATCTCCTTTGCCGCCCCGCTTACTCCTGGAGGTTTGATCTCCGCTGCTAGCAGGATCGGATCGGAAGCCATGTTCGACAGATTGAGGAAGCCGCTATTGGCGTCCCAACGCGAGGTCAAGAACGACTTGAGCGTCTCGATGGTGCTGCCATTTCGCGCGACTTCACCTGCTTGCGCTTTGCGCAGCTTTTGCTTCCCTGTTGATCCGCGTAAAGCAACACCCTTGACACCTGCGCCCCGACCTCCCCTGCTTGCCGCCCCTCCTGCCAATGCAGAATCTGTGACCGGCCCGCTGCCTCGATGCCGCTTGCCGATGGGATTGGCGCGATCTCGTGCTAGACGCAGCTTGGATGACCGACCCCTAGCCGCGGATACCGGCTCGTCTAGTGTTCTTTTCAACTATCATGAGGCATGACAGACATCATTTTGACAATAGAGAGAGGGAAGTACAACGTCAGTCTGGCAATTCATCATGTTGATGGGGAGGGCGTAATGAGTGGCGGGGTACACAGAATGGCAACTGGATGGCAGTGCATTGACCAAGTGACAATACAGGGCATCCAGCCAGCTCAAAGCTGAGTATAGAGATTTGAGTGAGTTGAAGACTCACTGAAGACGTGTTCTCTCCACTGCTTCCAACAGCCCTTTCCCATCTCCTGCTCGGTCCGGCGCGACTGGCATCACGCATACCGGAGTCTTGATCTACCAATCCGGCTCTGCGCAGAGTACTTCCCGCCAATCTACCAGCTGGACCTCCCCTGTTGCTACTGCTGCCCCCGGTATGGTTGCGGCCTCCAGAACCCTGGGTGCGATTGATGTCATCTTGCAGCCCTGGCGTGCCATTCGAAAGCGGCGAGAACATGATAGGTCTGCGCAGCCAAGGCGTCAAGGAATGCGATTAAATGGCTGCTGTTTGAAGACCCGGACAGGCACGCAAGGCAGACTACACCAACGATGCAGCGATCGAATAGCTGTACAACGTATCCAGTTGGGCTCAGGTAGTGAAAGACGCGATGGACAAAACGAAATGTGACCAAGGTACCAGGGAGACAAAAAGCGATGACATCGTACGGACAATAGCTCACTGCCGAAGGTGTGTGTTCAGCCAATTTTTTTTCTCGCTCCTTTTTGACCAACTGGGGGAATGCTGGGCTTTTGGAGCGATCTTTTACACTCACCGGTAATATCAGCTAAAATCCCCATGAATTTCCACTCAAGCAAATATAACCAGAGTGATATTACTTGGGCTAACGGACGTCGCGTTGTGAATCAAACTAGACTGAACCCGTCTCATCGTCGAGACGTCCCCCGGTCGACGGCGTCATGTCCTCGAGAACTCCAGAGCGTTTCAAGTTCCGGGCTGGACGACTCATGGCAAGGATCTATGCTGCAGCCAACAGGGCGAGGCCTGGCATCCAGTGCCATCATTCTGACAACAGTCCCCGAAACGTCTGTGTCACAAAGAGTCTGGGCTATCTGTCTATTTTCCGCCCCAGCCCGTGGGGTGAACGATTGACACGGTAACCATGAGCGGCCTGCAAGTGGTCATTCCCGACTTTGAAGATCTAGAAAGCTATAGTAATGCTACTGCTACTCAGGCGCCTGGAACGGCAGTCCCTTCGGCAGCAAGTGCATCAAATGGGAGGCCTGCCTTCAATAATCGCTCAGCCTCTGGCTCACAAGATGGAACAGCTTTTGGTTTTGCAGCCTCCGCAAATGGGGGTATTGGAAACTCCACAACAAGAGGACCATTCCGAGGCGCAGAGCTGTGGCATGGAAGAAATGGCAGCGAGTCTAGCGGAGGGTACGATTTACCGAGTCCCATCTCTTCCACTGGCCCTCCAATGCCGCCTCCCATGAGTTCTAGCGCTTTCTCATCTCACGGTCAATCTCAGCCGCTCTTTCCGTCACTTTCCCAAGGGGTTCAGTTGCCTGATGCGCCGTCTGCAAGCGCACCGAACAGGGCCAATAACCAGTCGCAATCCCAGCAGCAGCAAGCACCGCGTAAAGGTAGCCTGGCCAGCTTGCGCGCAGCATTTAAGTCTGCAGCATCAAGTGCCGTGACAGCTGTAGGATCGACACCTTCGTACGAGCCTCCGCTCCCCACTTCATCATCTACATCTTTCCACCAACACGGCCGGCCGTCGCTGGGAGGGGGAAGACCTTCACTCGACCGTGAGCGTGAAACGAGGCAAGACCTTTCCACTCCCCCTACACGTTCGACCTCGCAACATAGCATTCGGTACTTTCCCTCATCGTCTACTCCATCTGGTAGACAGCAATACGATGGGTACCAGTATCAGTATAGTCATGGCCATGTTCAACATCAAAGAACGGAGAGTCCAGCGTCTCTCGGCAATATTGCGGCTTCAAACGCCTGGGAAGGAAACACCTTTGTGCACGGTCACTCGCACAAGCGCTCGCAGCTCTCTGGCAGTTCCTCATTTGGCGCTGCAAGTGCTGGTGCTGGAAGCAGCATTGACGCCTCTACACCGACTTCTACAAGTTTCAACATGGGAATGAGCATGCCCCCCCCATTGCCACCCTTCCCGCCTCACTTGCAATCAGAAACTCGGGGACCGCCAGGTATCATTGGAGCACCCACATTGTCTTACTATGCAGGTATTCCGGCACGTGGTGGCGGCCTACCTGATCTTTTTGAAGGTCACGGTTCCACTTCACGATCGCATACGCCGCAACCTAGCCAGTATCGGCAATTGTCATCAGCAGCTCCACTGCGGCCACCCATACAGCTCTCTGATGACAGTTCATACACTCTTCCACATGGGGTGGGCGTCGCTGATCCTTCTACACCTGCACAGTATGCTCTCAATGTGTTACTGGCCCGTTTCTCCTTGCTAGCGCGATCCCGTTTGAAATCACTTGCAAGCAAGAGCAACCCCGATTTCGCGAGCGCATCCTTTTCAGTACCATTTAAGAGGGGAAGGAACGCCTTCAGCTCAATCTGGAAATCAGTTGCCGAGAAAGAAAACGAAGTGGCCTTCGAGTCGGTATGCCGATGTTTGAGCAAAGCCGCAAATAACAGTGACCCGCAACAGCTGCAAACGATCTGGGCTTCTTTGTGGGCGTGGCGATCTTTACACGAAACTCCGAATTCGACCATCAGCAGCAACATCAATCAAACTGATCCGTTGTCACATGGCGTCTCTGCTTCGATGTTCGAAGACGATGACACCATACCTTCCGGAACAGGGACGAACATAACTCCTTCGAACGCATCGAAAGCGCAGCTGAGGAACAACGCAGCACAAGTTCGCAAGGCCAAACTTTTGTCCATCGTCGTGCTACTGGATGCGTTGACTATTCTTTTTGATGGGCTGCCGCGCCATGTCATCGAGGACGCTAAGACCGCGTCGCTCAGTGACCTGGGCGGGAAAAGCTATGTGGATTTTGCTCCTGAGGTGGATGCCATTGGACTACTAGGAGAAGCAATGATCCTGAGGCTGCCGCAAGAGGATGGGCTCATTCTGCGGGTTCATCATAGCTTAGGCGATTTACTGGGTGTGCTCAGCCAAGCTAGGTGAGTAGGAGCCGTGTTCCACATTGCGCTTTGCTCTGATGAGAGAATCTACCCCACGCTTTTTCGATAGATTGGTACAAGTGTGTGACACCTTGACCATGATGCTCCAGAAGAGTCTAGCGGCCACAGCATCGCAGAAGGAAGGAGACCCGGAAGTCGAATTGCAGATCAAGTTGATCGGAAAGCTGAAAATTACTGTGAGAGTTGAATCGTTTTCGCGACCCCATGCCACATATTTAACACTGTCACTACCTATTCAGGTCTTTCCCATGGAAGTTTTCGAAGAAGGAGCAGAAGCCATCCTTTCCCTTGTCCGCCTCTTCTCGTCAGCACATGGAACGCGCGTCAAAATCGCATTCGCTGAGGCGCTAGCCGCGATCGTTCTGCAGGTGGCTTCACGAGCATCAGCGGAGCTACATCATCCAACGTGGGTTGAGGTGACCGATGTGCTGTGGTCGCGCGCGCAGGTGATGAGTGCAAAGCCGAGGTATTGGGCCGCTTCATTCGCACTCGGTACCGCAGTCTTGTGCGCGTCAAGGGAAGAGACATTCCTACAACAATGGTGGCCATTTCTCGAAAATTCATTGCAGCAGCTTAAGGATCGATCGCGCCGAAAGACGGTCGTTGAAAGCGCCACGCGGTTGCTTTGGGTCTACTTGTTCAGATGCAAAGAGAGCAGCAATGCAACAAGTAAGCGCCTTGACGCATTCTTTCGCATTTGGTTTCCGATGCAACGCCGCAGCATCGACTTGCAAGACACTGGGTCAGATATCTACGCTCTCATGCTGCACCACATCCTCTACCGACAATCGGAGATCGGTCGCGACTTTGTTCTTGAGCTTCTGCGTGCATCTTCGCTGCAAGGCAATATGCTGACATTGCAACCAGAGCTAATTAACAAGCGAAGGATGGTAGCTGCTGTCCGAGCCATCTCGTTGACTCGGCAAGCATACGCAGACAAGAGTTCTCCCAGCTTCCCTCTGCAAATAGAGGAAGAGTTCAAGCTGCCACAAGTAACCGAATCTGCACCAGCAGAGATCGAGTGGCCAACCACGGCCATCGCACAGGCTCATGCCACCTTCGAGGGCCTCATAGGAAAGATAGCACTGATCTGCGACCACCAAGTCGGGGAAGTCTCAGTCCTGGACGAGCGCGCCGTCTTGTCGTCAGGAAGCGGCTCGGGATCGCATCTCGACAGCGAATACATGGACAATGACAAAGAAGGACTCGTGTGGCGGTTCCATGAGGACATGGGCGCTATGGCGGCATACTCTCATGTCCATCAACCATTCATGGACGTCTTGCGTGCTTGCCTGAGTGTATGGCCGCAGTGCCTCACCACGAAGCTTCCTCGCAATGTCGTATTCGGGGTCATCTTGCGATCATTGTGGAGCGCCGACTCAGCCCTGGCTAGCACGGCTACAGGCACCATTCATCGGGTTTCAATTTGTCGAGACTACAGCATGGACGCCCTGGCATACATCGGACGCTATCTGGTACGCCCAGACGTCGTGATGTGGGAAGTGCACCCAAATAGGCAGCACCTTACTCAGAAAACGACCTCAGTGTTCAAATTATGGGCTGCCTGCTTCAACAGATGGAAGAAGCACGTTGAACTTTCGTGCAAGCCCCCCGTGTCAAGCGATGGAGTCCAGAGCACGAATATGGCACGAGCTGGAGAATGGACCACATTGGATGAAGCCGAAGCGCACAGTTTGTTTTTGATGACATTTCCGGTGGTCGCCTTACGTCGCATAGGAGCAAGCGTGCTGGAAAGCGTATCTCTCGTCGACACCACACTGTCTGGCCGCGAGGCTTCGACAGCAATGATCGGCTCCCTCCATCAGGCTAACCGCGTTTGGCACCTGCTCGAGCTGCCAATCAAAAGGTCTCTCGAAGGCGACACTTTGGTCACTTCTGCACATTCTCTGTTCGACTCCGATACCCCAGTCGAAGCAGTGCTGCAAGCACGGGAAGCCATCAATGGTATCGCATGGCATCAAATCCAAGGGCTCATCTTTCGGCAGTGCGCCACGTTGTTCCCGACGGTCACTGCGCTCGTCAAGGCGAACCTGGCGAGTCGTGTTCTCAACCTGCAGAATTACTTGAGCTCGTCCACGGGTCTCCCTGCTCATTTATCTACAAAAGCAGCACAGGCCAACCTAGATGGTATCGCTGAGACGTGGGCGCATATGGCCAGCTGCTTGGCCGCTATCAGCACGGACGCAAATGTTGGAGGAATGGACCACCAAGGACATGCACGACAATCAAGTGACACAGCCCCGGAGCCGAAATCGTTCACAAGCACAGATCTCGTCCAGCAGCTCGTCCTGTTAGCATGCAGCGGGCGGCCATTGGTAGCAGAAAAGGCTCAATTCGCCTCGGCTGGCTTGAATCGACATCTTTTTTACGCATGCCTCCAGCAGCTCCGGAAGGTCAGCGTCGATGCAGGCGATGAAGAAAAACGTCAGGCTACAATCTCAAAACCTGACACCCTACCAGTCGTGCGCCACAAAGTTGCGAACGTGCGAAAAGGAACCGCTTTGATTTTGCAAACCATCATTCCTTATATCACCCTGCTTGACAGTTCACATCGCTCGAACGAAGTGTTCCTTGTTCTTGCTTGGATCAAAGAAACCTTGCTCTTTCTCTCCGACCCTGTCATGCGCAACGATCTGCAGCAAAATCCAATCCGGCTGGCCTTCGCTAGGGTTACGAGCTGCTTTGTTGACAGCCTCGCGCTAGAAGGATCTCTGCAGCGCTATTTCTCGACTGACACTATCATGCAAATCTTCTTGCTCTGCCTGGAGTGGCAGTCTTATTCGCCCCATAATGCACAGGGGTCTGCGAAGTTGGCAAATCTTCTCACCTCGGCAGCCTACCGACGCAAGGACGAGCAATCCCGCAGTCGCGTACTGAATGAATTACGTGACCTGGTTCATGGCCTCGCCCACGCAGCAGCTGAAACGCTTGCGTCTCTCAGTACTTGCATTCCCATTACCGAATTCAGGAATCCGCAAGAACAGCAAGACACTCAATTGCCATGGGTTTCAACGGTGGGATGGGCGCGCATGCTTGTAAAAGCCCCACTTGATGCAGCACGCGAACCAGCTCAGTGAGTTTCGACACAGCATAGCATTCGTTTTTGCATGGGTTGACCAGACTGGATCCTCGAACATCCCTCAGTCGTGCGGTTCGCAATGTTTTGAGCGCGCAAAAAGATGTTGTCCTTGCATGGAACAACGTGATCGACCTCATCCACGGAGAGGAATCACCCACTCGGTTCGAGCAGTCTTTCTTTGGCGACCTTCACCATTTCAAAGATGAAGCTCCTGCGGCTATGCCGCTCGGCCGCCTCCTTGTTCTTCTCGTTTCCAAGCTCTCCGATCCAGACGTGCAGGTACGCCGGCTAGCTTTTGATTGGCTGAGCCAATACGACGATGCAATCGCTCCTCACAAGTGCGACTGTCTTCAATTGACTCCTGCTGGGTACCTCTATGGCATGCATTCAGTCTGCAATGCGCTTCAGCTGAGGTTGGGAGATTCAGCACTATTCATTGCTGCAGAATGTGGGTCGAGGGTCGCACAAGCGCCACCTGCGCATCGTGAATCTTTTGCGAACCTTGTTGGCAACGCACTCAAAAATGTACGTCTCGACCTCTCTGGGGAGCGTGGGTATGCATCCGAAACATACGTTCTCCTCAGCAACTTCCTCTGGGTGGCTACTCATCAAGTAGATGCCGATAGCCGGAGTCTGCAGTCCTGTGTCGAATCTATCTGCACTGCACATGTCGAGGGCAACGTCAACGTGCTCCTCAGGTTCCTTCTCGACATCAATCTTCACGTTCATCATCCAATGGTGCTTCACGCGAGCTGTACCATTGTAACGCTGCTGTGCAGGAAATGGGCAGACGTCTTTCGCCGAGCAGCATGCGATGCGTTGGTGCCGGCATCCGCTATACCGCTCCTCATCAAGAATCTCAGCTACGAAGTCGATCCTTCTCATGCGTCTCTCCACGTTCCGGACTTTCGGGCATCGCTACGCGTGCCCGAAGAAACATCCTCAGTCTCTGCGGCTGGTCTCCTTCTCTGCTTTCTTTCTGTGTGTGGGATACCGGAATCTTGTTCGGACGAATGCAAGGCCCAAGTGCTGCACGTGGCAACACTACACGCCAAGATGCCTTGGACGCCAGGCCAGACTAGCTCTGGGAGCCTAATTCGGCAGATACTAGGTGCAGATATCCTGGTTTCGCGGAAGCACTTAAACTCAGACTCAGCTTGCGACCTCCTTCGCGTGGACCAACTCCCGCACTGGGACAGGGCAACCGGCCTGGGCGACCAATGGCGACGAGCCGCCCTTGTTTGGGCTACCGTTAACCCGGTCAGGGCGTTGGCATGCCATTCTTTTGTCATTCTGCGCGACCTGAAGCCAATGCCTAGCATCGAGTCATTGGCAGAGATTCTCGGACGACTATCGGCCACCATCTCAGATCAGAGCGATGACTTCCGGCTATTCACCATTGAGGCGATGAAGACACTCACTGCCATGGCTTCCGTTACATCGGCAGACAAGGAATGCAGCCATGACTTCTCTGCTGCCTGCTTTTGGGCGTGCGCTGCCGCTGTGGGCTCTGCAAACGAGAGCGAATGCGCGGATGCCTTAATCCTCATGGAGGCCATTCTTAACAAGGTCAACACAGCTGAGGGAGTCGACGCGAGCGGCTTACTCAGATGGCGTCCAGTAGACTGGGAAAGCAACAGTCCTGACTGGTCTCACAGCATCCTTTATGCATTCAGATCGTCTTGCACACAAGGAAGGGCCATGTCAGTGGTTTCGAAGGTCCTTCAAGGCCCAGTCTTCGAAGTCCTTGCCGACCGAGACGCTTGGTTGGGCCTCAGCCTCATTGCCATCTTACCGCATTTTGCGCTGACCACTGAGACAACGGATGTTTCGCCCAAAGCGGCCTACGACATTGTCCTGTTGATTGCCGCACTCCTAGGTAGATGCTTTGAACAGGCACATCGACCTGATCTGCAACGTTTCTGCGAGGCAGTTGCAAATCGCCGCTTCAAAATCACCGACGACCTGATCCGGCAGGGAATTAGTGGGCTTCGAGCACACTTTTTGCCAGCGCACTGCTCGATGATGGCACAGATCGCTCTCGGCTCGGTCCTCACGCCAGATGCTACGCAACGTAGCAGTGCCCTGAAAGTTGCCAAGGCCTTCCTACAAGGCTTGGGCTCTTCGCAATCTTTGTTGGCTGAGGATGGCTCTGACCTCTGGATGCCGTTGTTGAGAAGCTTGAGTCAACAAGACGCTCTAGCCCAGGACGCGTTGGACTGTTTGAGTCTCACCTCACGCATCACGGGTGGCCCGGATCACCGACAGCTTATGCGCATGAGTTTGCAATGGTGCAAGACCGAACTTTCGCATCGTGAACTACAAGGGACGGTCCGAGTATTTGGACCTCCATCAGCCACCGGATGGTCCATACCAGACCGGCAAGAGGCAGCTATGCGAGCACGCAGTAACATCCAGAGCGTCTTTCGCATCTGCGAGAGGACGTTGGATGTGGCCCCCGCAGCAGTTCATGTCGATTTTGTTGAAGACGCATCCGAGGGTAGCGTTTGGAGCCACTCAGAAAGCACACGCGCCGAGACGCAGCATGAGTTGGGTGACCTCGTCAGCCAGTTGCACGACCTGTCCAACTTCTTTGTAGCGGACGCTCTTTCCGCCACCAACCCGGGCGCTTCTTTGTCTCGCTCTAATACACAGACCGGCACCTTGTCAAGATCCAACACGCACGCTGGTCGCGATCCGCAGAAACAGGTCGCAAAAGTAGTGTCGCGATCTGCCGCCCCGGCTTCCTCGAACCCTTCCACAGAGTGGCCAGTCGACTCGTTCGGCTTCGCCACACACTCCTCTCTCGACGGCCAATACGAGCCCGTGGTGTCGCCAAAGAACTCGCAACGGATCGATCTCGTCCAGATACCCGAATACCAGAACGAGCTGCCAAACGGCCCGTACATGCTGTAGCATTATATGTAGCCTAGAGTTGATACACACAAGCGCGGACTTCATCCCTCCTTTTTCCTGTCGTGGATGGAGTAGCTTCCATAGTCCTTCCCCATTTCGAATAGCTCCCATCCTGTTGAAACCGAGTGTGAAAGTCAGCAGAAAGCTCGATGAGTATGGTATCGATCTCGCTCACGGCTCGCCGGGAAGATATGCTTATTCCGATTGTACCAACTCCGCTCCTGTGGGTACAGCCGATTTTCTTAAGTACTGCGAAACAAATACGGAACATGATTGCAGAATCTTCGACTCACAACGACCTTTCCCGCGTGCGACTCATCCTTCTCGACGCTCGCATCGGCAAGGAGGCGCACGTCATCGTGCACGTCAAAGTTGAACAATGGGCCGGACTTGCCTCGCGACTTGTTCACGATAAAATCATAGAATGTGAAGTGGTGTGGGATAATCAAATCCTCCTGTTGAAGCAAGCATCTTTTCAGTTTCAGGATGCATCCCAGAGAAGTAAGCGCTACATACCTTGATGTACATCATATTATCGACGGAGACGCCGCGTAGCTCTGGGAATTGTTGACGGCATTTTTCGAGAAACTGCGCAACGGAGTCGCCTTTCTTGCACTGTAAACGGAAGTGACGGTCTTTCAGCGGTGGCGTTGAGCGAAATGGAAATCTCACGGCTGTATCTCACTTTGACAGTCTTCCTGTGCCCACTGCCATCCCAGTAGGAGTAGGTGATCTCGATCTCTTCCTGCTTCATTTCCTCCTGCTTGTGGAGCCATTCTTGCCGTAACTCTTCGCGAACTCTGCGTTCCTCTTCTTCGCGCTTGCGATCTGGGAGGAATGAAGTGTCCACACTGGGGTTCTTGAAGCTAGTCTTTCTATTGCTAGCTTTACTGCTGTCGTGTGAAGTCTTTTGTTTCTTCGCCTTGTGCGACGGAGAATCATCATCTCCTTCTTCTTCATCCATCGCAAAGGACAATGTTGCTTTTGTCTTGGCCTTCTTTTTCTTCTTCTTTTCCTCGGGCCTGCACGGATGAGAGCCTCGAAGGAGACTGATATTAGCCTTTGCAAGGCCGGAGGGAAGTCAGACCATTACTTCTCACTTTAGCTCATTGGTTTTGGCAGCCTCTCTCCGTTTCTCCTCCTCGAGTTCCACTCTTCGCTTCTGAAAGTCTTCAAGCCTAACCAGACCGACCGTTTGCTTCTTGAGCGTCTCTTCAATGCTGTCGTTCTTTCCAACAAATCTATCCGACCCAGTACGGTTCTTTTCTGCCTCTTTTGCCATGTCTTGCTTTTGTCGCTCAAACTCGGCCATCATTGCCTCTCTCGCCTTCTCATGCTTGGCCTGACGGCGCTGCTCGGACTGGGATGTTGACATGATGCTGAATGTCAGATGATCCGTCCGCTCTTTCGAGCCTACGACAGACCGACTGTACCTGCGCTTGGACTTTGTGGGAAGCGGTAGAATTGTTGGCTGGAGTACGATTGTGCAGATGGCTAATCGACTCATGCCAAGTCATATATTGTGAATTTAGTATCTGCGTGCTCTTGCGTCGGCGTCCTTCCGATAGATAGAACGCCGAGATTGTGTGGGGGATATTGTTCCTTTACAAGCAAGCGCAACAGCTGACGAGGAGCGCATTTGAGGCACTACATCCCACAGAGCCGCATATGACTTGACCAGGGGGTGCGCAGCTAAAGCTCTTCACGTACTCATATATCCCTTGCTTTCAGCGATCGGCGTATTCTAGCCTTTTTGAGGACGGAAGCGTGGTGGCGAGGATGGAGGATCCAGCAGAGATTGCTGCCATAGCGCAGGAATTCATATCAGGGCTGGACAATCTGCCTCAAGAGGTTGGGCATATGATTAAGGAAATAGAGCATAAGGAGTCTAAAGTACAAGGTGAGAGAAATGTGTTGTTTGCTCCTGATTCAAGCACTGACATGAAGACTGCATCGCAGACTTATTACCTCGCATCGCGAATCGACAATCGCAACTCAGAGATTTGCTCAGTAAAGGCGGCACAGGGTTGACCAATCCGGGGGCTATTCTTCCTGAAGCGGACCGTATCAAGATGGACAAGCTGTTGGAGAAGATCAAAGGGGACTTCGATCGGGCTGAAGAGCTAAGCCAACAGAAGGCTACTCTTTCTCTACAGTTATGGAGAGAGGTACATCGACATTCCACCAGGCTCAAGGACGAAATGACCAAAATTGCACCTCACGTGCTTGAATCCTTCTCAGCGAATGACGTTATGCCCCCGATGCCATCACTGACGGGGCTTCCAGCTTCATTGGCGGGTCTCAAAGCACACGCGGATGGCGATCCTGCGCTCAGTAAGTACGAGCTTGCTGCCTTGTTTGCCTTCTGAACAGCAGGCCGCAGCTGACGCCAAGCTCTCGTAGAACGCAAGGCGAGCGTGATGATGACAGGCGCAAATTCACCTGTGACTTTTGGAGCCCGGGCATCCAGCGGCACCGCCACCCCCAAAGGATGGCGTCAGGGCACTCCAGATGCTCTATCAGGATCGCTACAAGGCGCTCGTGGAACATCTCCTTCCATCAAAAATACCGCGCGCAAATCGATGCCCAAACCAGGCCCTCCCAGGCCGAGCTCTAGTCTCGCACGCGGACCCAGCCTTGAGCGCGATATGATCGATCTCGACGCAGATGGCGAGCTTGAGATCGAGGCTCTTCCTGATCCGGAAGAGATTCTAGAGACAGGAGTGCAGGAGAAGGACGAGACGCCGTACTGCTTTTGCCAGAGGGTCTCTTTCGGAGAGGTGAGTCGTTGCAACCGCCCGTGCTGGTACCTGATCACCGAGATTGCTAACCGCGGTTCCCTCCTCTGTAGATGATTGGCTGTGATGGGGCAGATTGCAGGTACGAATGGTTCCACATTGGTTGCGTTGGTGTGTCGAAGCCGCTTCCACCGACATGGTATTGTGATGATTGCAAAGAGCGTCTGAATGCAACCCAGCAAAAGAAGAAAAAGAAGTAATTTTCGCAGCATGCAGTGGAAGGTGTAACGTTACTAGAACTGTATACTACATGTACGATCACTTGCAAACAGATATCATTCCAAGTATTGAATCTAAGTATTGCCTGCTGTGCCAGCACAAGATCCGGGGGTTCATCTCCAATCTATCGCGCTCAAGAGCTCAAGCATGGTTGTGCCCTCGCTCGACAGCAGCAAAGACGACATCATACGCATAGTCGCGCGGTTTGATGCCATCGGGACTGCGCTGGGCCTTATCGAAAGCGTGACCGCCATGCTTGACAGTGTTCAAGGTCGCATCGGGATGGTTCGCAGATTTGAGCTTGTTGATGAGCTTGTCACTGTCATCCCACAGAATGTCGCCATCGCCGCATATGATGTGGACCACCTGTGTGGACGAAAGAGGGTTACACACTCGACATGAGAGAGAACGTTTGCTAGCGAGCAATTGGAAAAAAAATCAAATTTGGCCAGCAGTCAGGCTCCATATTGACAGGGCTTATGCCCGACTGACTATCATCCGTACCCTTGACAATGTATGATCCCCTGAAGAGGAGAGTGACTGCGTTCCTCAATCTGATACCGTATCTGAAAGTTGGGTTTGGCGGGTTCTTGGCCATGCTCGAATCGCAAGACAATGACGTCGGTGGATACAGCAGCGACGCGCTGCGGCCCCAGCCTCGTCGCGGTGACGAGCGCAAGGTTGCCACCGACTGAAAAGCTAGTCAGCGTTAGGCGGGAAAAGTCCAGTGGAGGCAAGGCGAACGGTACGACATCATTGGCGTCTTCAACAGCCGCCGGGAACGGGTCTTCGGGTGCATTGCGGTAGTCGGCGTCCAGCACTACGACATTGAGACGCGAGCAGAGTTGGGCGCAGAAATGAAAGTCTTGACCATGGCATGGGAGCACTGGAGAGCTTGCAGGCGTATGCTCAAAAGTGTGAAAGGATTGCAGGACCTCGGTTTGAATCACGTCACACGCACCAAATCCGCTACCGTGGAAGTTCACGGAGACAGTGTAGTCCTTCCCATCATACAATGGTTCGGGCCTGTAGACGTGCAATTTAATCCGTCTATTCTTGTGTCGCAAGGGCACGGTAATGATCTCGCGCACGGTACCAAGTGGTGGTGGTGGCTCGAAGTAGTATCTCAATTGCTGAGCGGCCGAATCAGAGTCCGTACAATGGTCACAGACAAGCGTAGTTTGATATATTGTAGCGAGCAGGGGCGTTGCCTTTGAACCTGCCTTGGCTTGGCATTTGAGGGTTTAGATAGGATGGTGTTGTTGGCACCCATGGCGCCGAGTATTGCTGCACGACATTTTTAAGGACCCACAGACGGTCAAGGACGGTTAGCCGGAACTCAGCTACCTAGGGCTTCTTATCCGCCGCTTGTCACTGCTGCCGGTCCAAAATGCACAGTCATCTATGGTAGGGACATTGAGACGATGAAGTTCTAGTTGGAGTGGGATGAATCGGTGCAGAATGCGGTGGCCGCATGCCGAATCACCCATTTTGGCTTGAACGATAACGAGCAGTTGTGGCAGGGTATGCAGTCCACCCCTTCATTCAATTTCATAAAGGACAAGTCTTGAGAGTGTTATGAGCCTTGAACTCGACTCGCTTCGGCTATCGGCGTTTCCTTCCCTCTCTCGGGATCTCACGGTCTCAGCCTTACAGGCAGGCCTCTCATCAATTATCTTCTCTGTTCAATGCCATCCATCATCAATGCGCCCAGCCGCCGGAGAGGTCTGCAATGTTGATCGGCAGTAATGATAACTACTGGAGTCCATACGTTCTTACCTTTGCATGTTCAAGGGGTGATCAGATTTACACGTTCGGTCGACTCTCCTGCCCAAGTTGCCCTTGCCTGGGTTTACAATGCAATCATTGGTGCATAACCACCTACAAATGTCACGGACAAGGAACATGGATGTGATTATGCATTCATTTCTGCCGCGGCACGGACCCCAACATCGGAACATCGGCCATCGACAATCGACTGTCGACTTCCCTCGTATCACTAATGCTCGACAATGATGGAGAATCTGTTGGATCTGCTCCCACTATACCTCCAGAGAAGGAACCAGGTGGTTTATGGTGCCCGGAAAGCAAGTTTCTGCACAGGTTCCGAGACCCAAAACCCTCTGTAGCGGCTAGGCCTGCGGCCCAGACAGTGACTTTTCGGACACTCTGGGCTTTCGGCATGAGGGAGCCAGTTTCCGAGCGAACCTTTACGGTCAAAGGGCCGCCTGTATCATTTATACCTCTGTATGGATTCATCGATATCGCCTCCCGAGAGTCTTCTCCAGAGCCAACTCTGCCTCTCACGGCAGTCCTGCGTACATTCGGTGGAAGTGCGAAGATCATGAGCGTTAAGCAGTTGGGTTGGCGTGTAGTTCATCGTTGGTATGTCCTTGTTAGGACATATCCTGGAGGCATCAACGCGGGGTAGCAAATCACTTGCTTGACTCAATTCTCGCTGAAGGACGGAGTCCGTGGCTTTCGCTTTGACCGCCTCGAATGAATCCGTCAAAATATCTCGCCAGCTTTTTCAAGGTTTGAAGCGGCAGCATTCTGATGGTTTGCTGCTTTGCCCATCGCCCCCTTGGCATCTGTCTATCCATCTGAGCCTCTGCAACACAACGCCTCTGACTCGCAGAGGTCGGACAACCCCTCATTCTTCAGCATGGAAATGCCCATCAACGTCCTCGGCGGCCCACTTGCCGAGTGCTAGCGTCCGCCACGGCCTGGGCTCTTCCGTGATAGGTACTGCAACACTTCTCCCGCCGACGCGGGCTCACAGTCGCAGCGCAGGTGATCCAGATGGCGCTGAAATTCAGCGCGGCGCGTGGGAACGACCTACGACCGCTTCTCAGCGACGGATGCAAATGATGCTTGCGTGAGGCAGTGGAAAGAGAGTCTGGACGCTTGGAAGAGTGGTGAGCTGTTTAAGAGACTGTTCCCAAACCAGCCCCTAGGTGTCGGAAAGAAGGTGACGTGGTGGTATGGCTATATTTCCTGACATATCTCGCACTCAACGGCAAAAATTGGGGCCACACGCGGAGCGGCACTGTCCAAAGTCAAATTGAGGTATCTGAAAGCGTTCACAGCCCAGCAATGCCGTCAACGACAGAGACCCCAAGTGCTTAAGCAAGAGTTATAATGTTATGCCATAATTTTGCTGTTTCACCTTGCTCCGCTCGCTCACACTTGTATGCTATGTATGCGAACGAAAGCCTCCTGAAATATATGACCATTCACTCTACTTGTTACCTGCATACACATCATAAGCCTTGCCGACCTTCTCCCAGTCCACGCACTCCCAGAAGTTCATCAAGTAGGGCTCCTTACCCCATATGCCATAGTCTGGTAACCAGGAGTGTTCGTGAACGCTGACGCACAACAAAGGCGTCAGTTGCTCTCCAATCTTGGACTTCTCACGCGCTCCATCAGTGCGCAAGTCTGTCTTGTTCAGTTTGAGACTGATGCTGGAAGCACCAGTGATCGGCACGAACGAGGACTGTGGAGTAGAGGGAGACGAGGGCTGAGGATGCTGAATCGACTGCGATGCAGACTCTGCAGATGCTTCATTCTTGCTGTTTGCCCTGCGCACACTCTCCTCGATACTAGCCTGAAAGTCTGCACTGCCCATTTGCAGACGATCTTGAACGAGGACAGTGCCAGCGCCAAACGTTGGGACGATTCCGAGGCGTCCAGTCTGGTCACGGACGAGCCAAACCCAGCCAGAGGAGACCATTCCCATTGCCGCAGCGCTGAAAGCAGACTTGAATGCAGGGAGAGAGTCGAAGTCTTGCTCAATGCGCGAAAGGAGTGACTTGGGTGGAAGTGGAGATGGTTTTGATGGATTTGCCGGACGCTATTAAGGAGGCACAACTTGCGCTTAGTTACACCGGTTCCAACGTCGTAGTTGCAATAGAGGTCTACTCACAAGGTTGCTGAGAAAAAAGGCGTTATTGAGGGCTTGTGATGCAAAGTTGAAGGCCAGGATCAATGAGCGGTCCTGCGACGTGGCAATCACAGTGTCGACGACTGATGAGGTCTCAAAAGATGTACCTGTGAGGGGGTAGCAGCAGTCATCAATATCTTGGTAAGTTCGAGTTAAGCAGAACTGAGAGATTCATGTTCACCTCTGACTTCATCGTTTAACCGTTGGAGCAGACCGCCATGCCACACGTTGCCAATCAGCTGAAGAGCCACTGGGCCCAAAAATGGCTTGCAACCGGTCTGTTCATCTGCGATAGCCTGAGGCAGCGGGGGCAGTGAGTGCAAAGACCTTCTGGAGCCCCAGGTATGGGGAGTAGAAGCCTGTGTTGGGCTGCATCGAAGACAGGACGAGCCCAATGAAGAGTGAGAAGTGGAAGCGGGCGCTGCAACGGCGGCGGAGGAAAAGTCTCGTGACCAGCCGGCAACGCCGCGTTTGGCGCTCCGAGAAGCAAGGCCAACGAGCTGCTGGCGACTTGTGCTAGCGATGCAGGACATCCTTGTCAAAATTCTCCGCTTCCTTTGCTAGTTGGGAAGATACTCTTGTGTGGATGTCCACCAAACCAGCAGATCGAGCAAAGTAGGAAGCTTGTCGAGGTCTGATGGTGATTTTTCGGCCAAAGCTTCGGAAGGTCGACTTGCTTGGACCTACTATTCGGCATCTCAAACATTTCACTGCCAGAAAGTTCCCGATGCCTTGAGAATTGTCCATTGAGCTACATGGTTGCGACGGGCGACAACAAAAGTCACAAAAGCAGCAGCAGACAAGGAGACACAAGCTTGGAGAAAAGGGAACGTGTTCGCTAACCTTCATTTTGCGGAGATACCTGGGAGGCGTCCTCCATCAGGTGCACGAACCGAGCTGATAACAGCCATATAGTCAGAAGGTCTGCTTTTGCACAGTTCTACCGTCGTCATGGTAAAAGACCGCATGCGATGAGTGCTTGGCGTGGGCCGTGAGCCACTATGGGACCAGATGCATACGCTGATGAAGACCGCGGAGGGAATCGATAAAGCTTCGACTCAGGTCTGCGCAGTACTTGCACTCCTTTAAAACTCAAGGGTCATCCTCAAGACAACCCAGCGGATAGACCCGTTTTCCCGACATCCGGATGAGGCATGTTGGCTGCACGCATATATATGCCGTCCTTCTGCAGCATCGCTTGAGATAGATGGGATCGCTAGCTTACCGTAGCTGGCCGAAGGAACACATACATAGGTACAATCGACTAGTTGCCCGCTGGCATTCGCACCCTCATCCCTCGTCATTTGATCGACAAATATGCCCTGATCCTGCTTTCCGGTCTGACCGCTGTCCCGAATAGGCATCATGAAGGCTACACTGGACATGGTCACTGCGAGCCTGCTGCTTGCTGGCTTTGAGGCCAATGGAGCCCAGGGCATTAAGCTTCCTTCGACAGCACCGACAGAGCAGGCATATACCAACTTCTTTGGAAGAAAAAAGCGCCTTCGTCTTGAGCTACCCCGGTGACCGGAGTCGTGAGGCTTACGCACTGCCCCGCGCACTCTGATACCAACTACGTATGTCGTCGTCTTCCAGACTCATTACAGTGGACTGCAGCGCCAATGGTGACTTGCTTGGCCTACGAATCCATGGTAGTAAGATTCACCGGTGTTCAAAGCACTCAGTCTCGGCAGTATCTCCGTCGAGCCTGATGTCTGGGGATACCAAGGTGTGCTGTATGGTGGGAACCACACATCTGCCTTGACGAAGGAGTGCATCTTCCACAACATCGCCGTCGCTCCGACCCTAGCCGCTTTGGATTAGGCGAACCTGATCAACGCAAATTACAGCAACGCTGACCCGTCTCAGGTGCCCTTCGCCAAAGACCTGCAGTAGTCGACCTCCAGCCCCACGTAAACGCCTAGGACGGCCCACTTCTCGCTCGGCGTAGGAGCATCCGCACTGATATAGGTGCTTGTGGACATCAAGAACGATGGTAGCGAGACCTGGCCACTCGTCGTTAAGCAGCTCGAGCCTATTCGAGAGCTCGGCTGGCTGATGCGCTAAGTGAAAGGCAATGTAATCCTGGGCCCCGCCACAATCATAGTCACGGGCGGCACGCTGGAAGACCAGCTCGCGCCGCTGGAGCGCGACTACTTCCTCGACTTCCCGCTCAGCGGCTTGAAACAGACCGCATATGTGAATCTGAAGGATGAGACGGCGTATCCTTACAATAGCACGCTGTGGGATCGCCAGTGTTGACTTTGAGATGCTCAGTCCGAAGTGGAAGGACCTGATAGACGCGCAGGACGCCGTCAGGCAAAATCTGAGCGCAACCATCGAGCAGGCGCATCAGCTTGGCATGAAGGCGCGGTATTGGGGCACGCCAGAATGGCCAACGTAGGCCAAAAGCCGCGTGAATCAGCCGATGCTCGAGGTCGGAAGGGATTGGATCAATGCCGATGACCTTGAAACGATTGCGCAGGAGTTTTGACTGTAAACGTTGCTTCCATCACTCTCCTCGGAGCCTCTTGCTGTGAGCAACTTCGCTTGCTTTGGGACGTTTAGGTCAGCAAAAGGGCTGCGAAATTAAACAAACTTGCATAGAAATACAGTACGGGAGAGTGATGGATAATCGATCTGGCATCGTTTGACGGTGACTACCGCTGATCATCAGTGATGTTGTGCGCCTGCTTCAGAGCTTCAAGCTCAGCTTCTCTCCGCGCTAGCTCTGCTTTTGCTGTTAGCTTTTGTGGCATATGATAGAGCACTAGCATTCCGCACGGTATCAGGCAAGCAGGAGAGACGAGTCAGCAGATTGAGCGCCAGAGGTCCAGCGCAGGCACATCTTGCAATAAGATATAAGCCCGCTGCTTCTGGAAGGAGGACTTACCAACGATATATCGCTCTTGCAGATGGAAGCCGTTTAATCGGTCGAGCGCTTGTTTTGCGTCATTCATCTCTTCAAATGCGACGTACGCTGTTCCTTTCGTCTTGGGCCCGTCGCCTATCCGAATCTGCCGGATGGGACCATACCGCCCGAATAGCTCGTAAAGGTCTTCGCCTGTGGCACGATGAGTGGTCAGCAGATGGCAACCACCATTCACGCTGGACGAGAAAATAAGCTGTTCCTGGCGCATGGGTACTCACCCTTAATGCTGTAGTTGAGGTTCTTCACAAACAAGATCCGTGACTGATTGCGGCCCTCTTGTGCCGCGGAGGCCATCTTTGGATGTATGTGGAAGAGACAGAGCTCCCTTCCTCAAATGTCTTCTTGTTAGCACGTCCTCGCACTGGCGCGAAGCAACGACAGCTTTGAGCTCAGGATATGTAGAACGGGGGGTATTCAAGCGTCCTCAATGGCGCACGATGGCTCCTAGAGTGTATCAGTGAGAAGTGTAGTGAGGATGCGATGTGCAGGCGTCAAGAAGCCGGTTTCATGTCTGGTTGGATGCCATCGTTTTTTATGGTGTGGTTTTGGAAGCCACTCATCTTCAACTCGCGCCGCACGCGTTTCTCAACGCATGCGGGCGGGCTGTAGAGTACTATTATCCAGCCACAATCCGTCTTCCATGCGACCTGCACAACTTCATGCTTCATACTTCATGGACGTGTCGATCTCAGTTCTCCCAACCACCGGGCCCTCCAACAAATGTGCGCTATCACTCTCTGCGGACATAGTAAACGTAGCAAGACGTGACCCCCAGAACAAGCAGCTGGACTTTGTTGGGCCAGACAGTGACCCACGGACCGCCGGCAATCGATTAGCCACGACACTCCAAGAACTTGATCCCCAACCTCGCAAGCAATTTCCCTGGCAACCTGGCCGTGCGTTTCATTCGCATTGGTGCCGTCGTCATTCCAACCCGCGGACCTGATTACGGAAAATTCGGGAACGCGAAGGCGAAATGGCGGACTTGTCCTTCGCAGAAACCCTCGAGGACCTCTCGTCACGGTTCATCGTCAACTTGCCTGCCGAAGAGCTTTCAAGCATCGAGCGAATATGTTTTCAGTGCGAGCAAGCGTGAGCATGCCAATCTCAATGTCAATGGCTTCTCGGAAGCGACCACTTTGTCTTACGCTTCAATGTTCGACGTTCGCAGGCACTGGTTCTACGAAGATTTTTTGCGACCACTCAACCCATCCTTACCCTCCTTGAAGCTCCGAAAATTCTCCATTTACCTTCTTCACACGTCCTCACTGACGGTGCCGCTGATTCGTCAGCATATTTCTGGGCACAAGGGAGAACATGACTTGGAAGGCGCATTCGATAACTTCCTCAAGTACAAGTCTCGGGTCCCGGTGTGCGGAGCGATCTTGATCACAGCAAAATGGGACAAGGTGAGTGGCAGCAGAGCAACAGCCTGGTTCCATTTGAGGCAAGCTAAGTGCCGCTCTGGACGCAGTGTCTACTAGTACGAGGCTGGAAATCAACATCATGGGGTTTTCCAAAGGGCAAGATCAACCAAGGGGAATCGGAACGCGACTGTGCGGTGCGAGAAGTGTTTGAAGAGACAGGGTACGATTGTGGAGCATTACTGGAATCCGACAGCCCGGACTTTCTCGAGCTCGCCATGCGCGAACAGAAAATCCGCCTCTACGTTGTACCAGGCGTCGCAGAGGACTTTGAATTCAAGACACAGACACGAAAGGAAATATCCAAGATTCAGTGGTTCAAATTGACTGACCTCCCAACTTGGAAGTCGTCTGGCGCACATGGCGGCGGTGTGTCCTCGAGCAAATTTTATTTGATCTCGCCATTCGTACGCGGCCTCAAAACATGGATCCAAGAAAATAAGCAGAAGCACCCGCGCAGGCCGAAGGGCAAGCACGAGGAACGCGTCGTGACGGAAATTTTGCAAAAGGGCCAGAAGAGCAGCAGTCTACCGCCCCCTGCAGAGATGTCTCATTTTCCTGACGCAGGCAGCCTCTTTCCAACATTTACGGCTGAGAAGCAGAATGCAAATACAGGCGTACTAGCACGGAATGGGCCGCTGCCTACACAGCAGCACGCTTCGGCGTCGGCGCCGTCACAAGACGGCGACGCTTCGGACATGCTCAAGTCGATACTTGGATTGGGTGCCATCCCAGCCGTGACAGAGTCTGCGGTAAGGATTCCTCTACGAAAAGATCATCCGGCGACACCGGGCGTAGGTGCTCACATGATCGAAGCGCAAGGAATTCCACGCGGACGACAACTGCTGGAACTATTGCGAGGTGCTGTTCCGCAGGCCTCTGACTCGCCATCAGCTGTTGCGAATCGCCCACATGCGCATTTTCAATCTGCGGCGGCAGCAGAGCAGGAGGACGGAGCGCGAGCACTCCTTGCCGCGCTGCACGCGGGCGCAGGCAACGCCGGGCCGCTGTCTCTGCCAGCGCAAAGCAACCGGTCCCAAGAGCAACAGCCGCAAGGGCGAAGGCAAGATGCAGATGCGCGCCACGAATTTCCTCCAAGATTGCCACAGCCTGCAGACTCGCCTTTGTTAGCTCCAAAAGCGCAGAAGACGACACAGGCACAGGCGCTTCTCAAACTCATTTCGCCCACAAAGGTCGAGTTGGACATTCCAGCCACAGCTCACTCTCAAGTGCAGCTTCACACCTCGTCCCAAGCAAGCGCCCATGAAGCAAGCCAATGTCCAGCAGAGCGCGAACGAGCAGCCCAGCGCAATTTACTCCTCTCTCAACTGATAGGCTCGACAGTGCAACAGCCTGCCGCTCCTGCTCGAGCCTCGCCACCGCGGCAATATGGCTACCCTTCCCAACATCATCACCAATCAACCCATTCCAACCAAGCATCCCCCATTGGGCAGTCTGACGACCCCTCTCAAGGATTACAAAGCCACGAGCAAGGATTGCTCAGTTTGCTTTCAAGTTCTTCCAGGCTGCATCAGCAGCCGCTGTCTCCACAGGATTTGAACGATGGCCAAGCATCAATTGTGCACCAAGCACCACCGCCTCAGCATCCGTATCCACATCATTTGTATCCGCAACAGCAGCACACTGGCTCGGATACGAATCCATCGCAAGGGCTGCTGGCAATCCTTCAGGGCCGCGCAGCAGCTGGGGCACATTCTCCAGACCCCATGCATATGCCACCTCCCTTGCAACAGCAACAGCATCCTCTGATGCCCCCTAGCCAGCCCCAGCGCCCTGATGTGCTACTGGCGATGCTAAATGGGAACGGCGCCGGCTACTCAGCATCTGGCCCGGGTGCCCACCATCCGGCACCAGCACCCGCAGCTCGGCCTGAGCAGAATCAGCAGAGTGATGTGCGTAATCATATACAACAAGCGCATGCTCACAACTATCTTCTGCTTCCCGGACAATGACCACCCATGGCGTCTGCTCAGCATCCGATCAACGCTCTGTTGCAAGACGTATCCATACAATGAGCCTCTAGGCAGTTTCATGTATCTGATCTGATATGCACCACCTATGGATGTAAATCCATGCCATTATGATAAGCACTGTGATGGCGGGACATCGACCCAGCCATGCATGATCCTGTTCGCCGTGCGCATGTAAACGATGCCAACAGGCTCGCCAGCCATACCGAGCGTGACGCTCGCCGTGGACAACCCAGCCGGCTGGCCCACAGTAACAGACTGCACGTCCTTTTTCCCTTGCGACTTGGCTTGCGATGCGGGTGCTGGGCTTGCTGAGATCAGTCTACCAAGCGCGATCGCTTCGTCCACGACCGAGCCCACGAATGCACTGGCTGCCGCTACGGCTGAGAGCGTCGTGGCTGGAATAGTGCGATGCACGTTCTATCGAAGTGCAAGCACGTTCCATGTCAGCCGTGCCTCTTCTCCACCGCGCCGCGTTTCTGATTAAGTCTGCTCTACTCACGCCGACGGAAATGGACCGAACCAAAAGGTCCATATCCCTCTGGTCCACTTGATCGCCACCGCTACTCTTGTACACCGTCCGCGGATGCACGATGCACACCTTGGGTGCTGATGGACTAAAGTTTGTCCAAACCTTTTCACTCAATTTGGCGCCTTCTCGCCGTACCGCCTCAAGCAGCCTCATTGTGAGAGCATGTGCGTCGAGCTCGGCAGGGTGTGCCATGAGCAGGTCCAGCGGTATCAAGAGCGATGCGGCGGAGACGAAGATGACGGGCAAGCCACAGTCGACCAGGCTGACATCTATTGCGGTCGATCTGCCGTCATCGAATGCGACGTTAATTTGGTTCCGTGCGGACCCGCTCGGGAGGATGGAGGCGCGGTCCGGCAGCGGCGTCTCGATGCTAATGGGAGCGTAGGAGCCGGGTACGCCGGCTATGCGTGCTGTGCCTGTCCGCGCTGCTTGTAAGAAATGATGAATGCTGTGGGATGGCGCAGTATTTGGACCATAATCTGGAAGCGAGCGTGACTGTATGCGATGCAGAGGGATGTGGGCGGTGACGATGTTGCCTGAATTGGCAGCGATTATGCGCATCGGATACATGCCATCATAACTGCCCTTTGGCTCTTTGGCGAACGCTTCAAGGGTATTCTGCGTGATCGAGCCAGAATCGATTGCAAACTAGCCGGCGTCGTTTGCGCAAAGTTATGAGTCTGGCGTCGAACGACGGCCTGCGATCCGGACCAGATGAGCGTCTGTTACTCACCATGGCTGCCGCAGCTACCAGGTTGCCACATGTGCTCCCCCAGTCAATTTCCGTGCCCTGAATCGGGACCTGCCCGAAGCGGTAGACGACATCCCATCCATTTCTAGGGTCCTTGCTCTTTTCGACATCGTCGATGTGGCGGTGACCTGGAAATGCAGGGTAGAACGGTGAGATGCCCTCACCCGGAGAGCCAATGATGGCACATTTGGAGAGCGACGAGACACCACCGCCTAGACCGGATATTTGCCGTCCGTCTGGGTCGGGCGAGCCTGTCAGCAGAGAAAAGACGAGCCGGGATCAAGAGTGTCGTTTGTTGTTACAGGTTCATGATCAATGCCCAAGTAAGAGTATAGGACGCTCCTCACCCACTGGAAGGAGCAGGTTAAGGTCACATGGAGGAGCAGAATGGCATGATAAGTTGTGGAAACATGAGCAAATCCATTCGATGCAGGCAAGGTCCCGAGAGGATGTGACAGGACGCACTGGCAGCACAAATGATAGCATCCCTCTGCCTCGAATTGTACGCAGCGAAGTCTTGCGTTCGGAGGAACAGGCCGCGAGAGGTGCCGCCGCGATAGAAGTGAGCGCTGATCTGCTGCGGAGCGGCTGCTGCTGCTATGCCAGAACGAGCCGCACCCACTACAGCTGATGCAGACATGTTCGGTATCGCTCGGCGTTAAGCGATGTCCCTGTCCGCCAGTCGGGAATCAGTCTCTACCTGAAGTAGTAGTATTATGGTGCCGACTGAACTGGATCTGGACGGCAAATTCCCTTTCCACTTCCCAGTGTCTTGTTGCTCAAATCCCAAGACGTCGAGCCTGTGGCCTGATGCACCGAGTGCTCGCCGTACGGTGCTCAACGAAAAAGATATGTAATATGTAGTTGGCGGCAGCTGCAGGCCAGCAGCCGTCTGTCTCTGCTGTCCATTGACCCGTCCAGAGAACCAAGCAGACTGGTTAACAGGGGCCACGGTATCCGTCCGTTTGGATGCCAGTCAGGCAAGCTACACAGCGCCGACGATAGATTTCTGCTACATCAGAAGTGGGATATGGATACCCTGATGACGCCGCGCAGAGCAGAATGTAAGTGCTTTCCAATACCCATGGCGCGTGCGAGCGAGCGAGCGCCGCGTCTCGTCTCTCTGCTCTACTGCTGCGGGAAGTTTCCAGTCTTCGAATTCTTCATCGTCGTCATCATGGCAGCAGCTAGCACCCGCAGCAGCACCTCGTTTCGTTGAGTTAAATAGCAGATCGTAGCCCACAGTATCCTTTGCTGGCTTGAATTGGCAGGATCCTTCCCCACGTAAACAGACGGCCCTGCTGCTCGACTCATCTATAAAAGAATCCAGTGGAAGAACCCTGACAATGACCAAGCAGAGGGTTCTGATTCCAGGCGGCGCGGGCTACATCGGTAAGCTTCATTGTTTCATCTGCGTCGAGCCTCCGTCCAGATCAAGCTGATCAGCTGCTCTGCCTTTGGATCGTCGCTGCAGGCTCACACGTCGTGCTCTGCGTGCTGCAAACTCGGCGATACAAAGTCACAGGTGTGTGCCTTGTGCGGCTATTCGTAGTTGGGCAGGCATTCCGAGGGCTTGACTGACGCGGCTCTCTCCACCACGACCTCGCAGTGATCGACAACTACCACAACTCGTTCCCAAAGGCAATCGAGCGTGTCGAGAAGCTCGCACTGGAGTCGCTCCCGGCAGATGCATCACAAGAGGACAAGGATGCATGCAAGATTGACCTCGTCAAGGGGGATCTGAGGGACAAGGCGTCGATCGACGCGGTCTTCCAAAAGTACAGCGGCGAAGACAAAATCTGGGCTGTCATCCTTGTCGCTGCTCTGAAGGCTGTTGGCGAGAGCGGAGAGATCCCGATCGAGTGAGTTCTTTTCGCGACAAAGCAAGGGTCAAAATCTGCGTTGACTCAACTGTCGTGTCGCTTTTGAAAGCTACTACGATGTCAACATTCTCGGAACGATCAATCTGCTGCAGGCGATGAAGGCGAACAACTGCACTCGCATGGTCTACTCTTCCAGCGCGACCGTGTACGGCATCCCGAAGCAGATCCCTATCCCAGAGACGACTCCAATGGCGCCGGAAAGCGTCTACGGCAGGACAAAGATGATGAGCGAGCTTATTCTGAAGGACGTCTGCGACGCTTACCCGGAATGGCGCGCGATCAGCTTGCGGTACTTCAAGTACGTTGAAACCGCTGTTTCTTTCATAGTCTGTGCTGTGCTGACTATGCTCCCCAATGCTTGCGCTTGCATCGCACAGCCCCGCTGGAGCACACCCGTCTGGCATGATCGGCGAGGACCCCCGTGGCAAGCCTGGCAACCTGCTGCCGCTGCTTGCGCAGATGGCCGTCGGAAAGTACCGGGAAGGCGGTCTGAAGATCTTTGGCAACGACTACCCCACGCCGGACGGCACGTGCGTCCGCGACTACATCCACATCATGGATCTCGCCGGCGGCCATGTCAATGCACTAGATGGGCTCGACAAGGATGCACTGTATGCCAATCTGCCGACACCGGGCAAGTACCGCTCGTTCAACCTGGGCAAAGGCGTCGGAATGTCCGTCCTGCAGATGGTTGAGGCGATGCGCAAGGTGTCCGGCTACGACTACCCGTCCACCATCGTTGGTAGGCGGCTCGGTGACGTGCCGGACTTGACTGCTGATCCAGCGTTGGCTGAGAAGGAGCTCGGCTTCAAAGCGAAGCACTCGTTGGAGGACATGAGCAAGGACCTGTGGAACTGGCAGAGCAAGAACCCCAAGGGTTACGACCAGCAGTAAGCTGCGGTAACTGCGCGTCGTCGGCAGGATAGCCACTACAACCGGCGCTTCGATGCTCCAACACTACCTCCAGCATGCGGGGGGACTGCGCGTGTGCTCCAGTTTAATAATGATGAGGGACAAACTATCCACTGCACGGCACGAAAAGCAATAAATAGCTTGAGAAAGAGTGCGCCTGCGTCTGCGCCTGCGCGTGCATGGTCCGTGAATAAGACATGATGAAAGAGCCCCGGTTAAAAAAAGAGTACATAGATAGCACGAGCGACCGTGATTAGCGATCCGCGTGAGAGGAAAGGAAATGACCCTTCCGTCACCCTCCAAGCAAAATGATACGGTACCGTTGCACTTAGAGCAGGTACGCGGCACCTGCAGCGGCAGCGACTAGGGCAATTGCCGGACTGAGAGCCAACATCTTCCAATTCGCGCTGACAGCGGGCCCCGCCGCGTTCTTTCCGCTGTTTTGGCTGATCTGGGCGCTGAGCGCGCTCGACGGGGCCTGGCCCGCACTGGCAACTGTGCCCGGCAGGACGGTGGAGCCTGCTGCGTTTGTGTTCATGCCACCCGCTATGCGTGAGGAGTATGCGGAGAGAGCGCCGGCCGACGCAAGAGAAGCTTCGTATGCAGGCACCTGCGCAGCGTCGGTCGGGATGGGGATGGTGAGCAGGCTGGACGCGGGGGGCGTGACTGGCGAGAGTTGCGAGATGGTTTGTGTTGCGCCAGCTGCGGTGGTGCCTGAAGAGAAGACGCGGGGAAGGAGCATCAGTAGCCGGCCGTAGCGAGGTTCCTTGTGACGAACGAGCGCCGCATTGCAAAGACGCTGCAGGTAAGCTTTTTCCGCCTTCCAAGGTATATTCCTTCTGTTTCCACCCTTGCCGGAGGTATCCTTGTGTGCCTGTACATGTGTGCACATCAATTCTCGTACAACTTCACCACTTCCCAAGCTCTAAATGTTCCAGCATCCATCGTGCCTTCCACCCTTGAAAGCTGAAAGTGTCCAGGCGTCTGCTCGCTTGCCGAACATCGCAAATCAACAACACGTACAGTCTCCGTATTGAACGCACGCGCTCTGGGCGTTATTTGTGGTAAGAGGCGCGTTTCCCCCTGACGAAGATGCTGACTGTGCCCATGTGGAGGATGCCGTTGCGAGCAAGAGGGCGAGGGCGAGGAAGAGCGAAAGCGGCGAAGTGAGGAGGCTCGCGACGGTGGCGGAGGTCAAGGTGGGGCGCATCGTGGAAGGCCAGGATAAGTGCAAACGAAAGGGTTATCGGGAGGCCGGAGGCAGGCAGGGGGCATGCAAGGATGGGCGACAGCAAGTGAAAGTACAAGAGAACTGGTCGTGACAGTAGGAAAAGGTGACATCGAATATGTCAATCATTGACGAGGACGATGAAGGAGCAAAAAGTGCTCGCGTGGGACTCGCTTGCGGGCCGTGCGGGGAATGGAATGGGCGCTGCTGGGATCGGCCGAATCGGGGAGATCGGGGGCGTCACCGCGCCTTGCGGGCTGAAAGCGGGGACATATGCGCGGGGTTTTACAAAACTGTTCACTCCTCTCGAACCTTGACCCATGCAATCCTCTTCTCTTCAGACTCGATGGAAGTGCAGACGATCACCATGAACTGCACCGCATTCACAAGCAAAGCTTGAACCAATTGAGTCCGCCATGCATATTTCGTAAAACACGACACACCTCGGCCAGCATTTGAGCAAGGGCCGCGCTTCTCGGGCCTCATTGCGTGAGTCAACGATGAATGTCCCAGCAGAGCGTCGCACTCAGCAGGTGCCAGCCTTGCGCCGGCTTGGAACAGCCGATTTGGCGATTTCAAATGGGCACTTGCATCCAGTCCGCTCTTCGTAATGGCTCAGAGGGAACGGGCACCTCGGTTTCTGTAAATTCATCGCCATTCCTCTTTGCTCACACTGCGCTGCTATTCTTGGGGAGACACGCCCGGTGCAAGGCATTCATGGAGCCTGCGGTTGCTTAATATTCGTTTGCTCATGCTATAAGTCTGAAGCATTAGGCTGTGCATCTTCATGGCTGTCCTCTTCGATCTCTATCGTCTCGCCCTGGTCGCTGCCGTCGGAAGCATACTTGCTGCCTTTTCGTATCCGACCGCCGTGTTGCTTCACCATCTCTTCCACCGTCTTTGCCTCATGCGAGTCTTTGAACCAGCCTAGATGGTCGGCAATGAGATGTCTGGAACGCATCGTGCGATATTATGACAAGAGACAGCAGATGAGCATCACCCAAATGCTGCGCTGCAGATGCAATTGAAACGAGGCCACTGTGGGCTCACCTGTTCTTGCATCCTGGACATTGCACAAGGACGATCCCCTTCTCGTAGCTTCGTTTGCTGAATTCATGCGTTGACCGATGACCACAGTCTTTCACTGTACATGTGAATGTGAGCGACAGCCGCGGCTGGACCTGGGCCTGTGCTTGTTGCTGCTGTCCACTCGCCGTGCCGTCACCCGACGAGGAAGCGGCCTGGAGCCATGCTGAGGACCGGCTAAAATTCCTGACCGCCAGGTAGAGCGGCTGAGCGGGGCTCCAAGAGAAGGGCAACAGATTTTTTGACGACGTTTGGCATCGGAGACAGATGATGGACGAGGCGAGCCTGGGAGCGGCGGCGACGGTGATGCGAGAGGTAGACCCACGGCTCAAGCCTGCAACCTGGCGAGCGAGAACCTGGAAGGAGTGGACGCTTTTCGTACCATGCATGATGGCCAGGATCAGACTCTCCTTTCGATGATTCCGCGAGGTGAAGTGCAGGCCCCAGCAGTACCCGTCCTGCTTGCCATCGGAGATGATTGTGGACTGAACCTCTGATGACGCAGTAATCAGGATCTGCCGAAGGAAAAAGCCGATGATGAGAGGTGGCCAAAGAAGACGCCGAAGCGCTGAGCGCATGCCTAGATATTATATAATAGGAGAGAAGGTCGCCGAAGGAACGCGAAAACTCAAGTGCTGCACTCTCGTCGGCTAAAAAGGTATTGGCGCCTGTCTACACATGCTGAAGGTCTCACACGACATTCACTACTCACTTGAAAAAAGGTTGTTGCACGGGGCAAAGCGCCAGGCATATGTAGCTACTAGCTTCGTTCGACACTGAACGCGCTGGAACACGTCTCAGACTTTCGCAAAGGTTGCACAAGAAGTGGTGAAGATGGTCATTTGCGCTCGCCGTGGGTGCGGTGCGGACTTTGATGCTGCCACGCCGTCTTCGTCAGCATGCCATTTCCACCCTGGTGCACCGGTCTTCCATGAGGGCCTCAAGTCTTGGTCCTGCTGCCAAGATGTGAACAAGCCTGTCATGGAGTTCGATCAGGTTAGTCGAAGACATGCATAGCTGGCCCAGAGGTGGCGGTCTTGCGCAGGCTGAACTGTGCATATCATCTCTTTGTATCCATTCAGTTCCTCGCGATAAAAGGTTGCGCCGAAGCACCTTCGCACACTGTAGAAATGCAAGAGCTTCCCGATGGAGCAGCTGCAAAGAAGAGTGAAACGGAGGGGCCGAGTGCTGTGACGGCGAACGGAGTCGAAACGTACGGCCGGGCTGCTCCTCAGCCTGTAACCCAACCGTTAGTTGGTAACTCACTCGCAGCAGCGCAAAAGGCCATGGACGCTGGGAATGCTGCTCCTGTCGAGAAAGCGGAAGAGGCTGACCCTTCGCAAGCGGATGAGGAAGGCGCTGTTAAAGATGGAACAAAATGCAAGCGAGCTGGATGCTCTTACACATTCACCGGCGGGAAACGGAGTCGAAGTGAGGAGAAGTGCAGCTATCACAAGGGTGTTGCTATATTCCACGAGGGTTCAAAGGTACGCCTTCACCTGTACTCATTCGATTCTCCTTTGATGAGACGGCTAACGTGCATTCGTATTCTGCCCCTGCTGCCTCGCAGGGCTGGTCATGCTGCAAGCCGCGTGTGTTAGACTTCGCTGATTTCCTCGCTATTGCACCGTGCACGGAGGCGACAAACGGACACCTTTTCGTCGGCGACCAATCAAAAGCAAGTGCCGCGAGCACGGATGGCTACGAAAGGGTCGACTGCCGCGTAGATCACTATGAGACGCCCGACGACGTCCGCGTGACGGTGTACGCCAAAGCAGTGCAGACGGAGAAGAGCAAGGTCGAATTCCGAGAAGACGCGGTGCTGCTCTCCTTGGAGATGCCTCCGGCGCCAGGCGGCTCGGATTTGCCACGGCGGCACGAACGCGTGCTCAAGCCATTTGCAAACATTGACGCGGATTCGTCCACATTTACCTTCACCAAGTTCAAGGTCGACCTCGTGCTCGTGAAGAAGGTCAAGGGCCAGAGTTGGCCGAGCCTCGAGTCGGGGGACAAGGCAATTGGGTACGGTCTCACCTTTGGCAGATCGAAGGACGTCAGGGCATAGACAGTTATTGTAGCGGACGGCCGTTAGATGCAGATATGAAAGTTCGTATGGCGTAGATCGAATGTCTCGCTATGGTAGTACATGACGATTGCAGAAAGACGAATTGCGATGGTCTGAGTGATCATACCACGGCGAGACCTCCTTCTATGATACATATCCAAATGCACGCCCTTAAACCACGTTGAGGTCCTTCTCGTCTTTCTCGGCAGCGTTTTCTCGTTGTATGCGTGCTTGAGGGGTAGAGTTGTACTCGAACTCGGAAGGTTCGAACTCGTCGAGCGCCCTACCGCAATGGGGTGCGTTACTCGTCCAGCCGATCCTGTACCAAGGCTTGTTGAACAGCTCCTGCATGTCCTCCAATGACCGACCCGCGGACTCGGGTAGGAAGAACCAGACGAGGAAAAGGCAGAGCGCGGCCTCGGCGGCCCAGAAGAAGAACGTCCCGGACGGCTTGAACGTCTCAAGCATCGGGTTCACGGAGCGCGACGAGCCGTACTGCATGAGGAAGTGCGTAGCCATCGCAAGCATCGTGCCGAGCGAACGGACGGTGGTCGGGTATAGCTCCGATGCGAGGAGGTACTGGATGCTGTTGACTGCGGAGGCGAACGATGTGGGCCATGGATAGGTCAGCATTATCCACACAATAGTAGGACCATCTCACTGCCCACCACGCATACTCACAGCCACACGCCCAGCCAATACCTGAGATCATGTTCATTATCGGTAAGATAGCGTCAGTCAAATTGGCACCATTGAGGTCAGTCAACCCTTGTCGAACGATACTAACCAGAGACAAATATCATGGCAATAGCAGCCTCACTCGCGCGCTTCTCGCCAGCGGACGCGATGATCTTGGTGCCAGTCGCCGGAGGAGGGTAGATGTGTAGGTACACGGCAATGTACATGCCTGCGATGATCTGCAGTGTGATCCCGAACAGCGCAGCTCGCTTGCGTCCGAACATGTCCAAGATGAACAGGCCGGCGAGCAAGGAGGCGACCAGCTTGATCACGCCGAAAATCGCCGTTGTGACTGTAAACGGGTGAAGGATGGATGGAGCCAATTAGACTTGAACTTTGTGGTCGGTCTTGCGCATGCACTCACAGATGGATGAGTTTGTTGACGACCCCGAGACAATTTGAAACAACGTGGGTGCATAAATGCTACAAAGAGGAGAACGGGTACATCAGTATGTGCTGCGGAACCACCAATGACAACATTGACTAGTCCTCACGTAATGCTCTACAGAGGGATAGAAAGGCATCCCACAGTGAGTCAGCGAGGCTGTATAAAAGCGGGCGCATCGGGTCGTTTAACGACTCACTCCGCCACCAGAGAATTGACCAAAGACCTGAGCGCCACAGACGAGCATGAGGATATAGAGATTCTCCCTGGAAGTGAACATGTCCTTCCAAGCATGGTACCAACGCCACGTGGGGCCCTTAGCCTCCTTCTCGACACGGAGCGCCTCACGCATCCCGTCGAGCTCCTGGCGGACGTACGGATGCTCTTCGCGCAGCTGGCGGAGCCAGCACATGTTCTTGATCGCCTGCTCTTCTTGGCCCGACTTGAGGAGCCAGCGCGGCGACTCGCGGATGAGAGGCGACATGAAGAGCGGGATGGCGGCAAATATTAAGTTGAGCGAGGTGGGGATCTGCACACGAGCGTACGACTCGGGGTCAATGTTGCGCGTCACGCCGAGGTTGGCACAATAGCCCAGAAGAATTCCTGCGAATGGTGGACAAGAGCCATGTGAACCAACAAAAATATGGAACCGTGCTGTAGCTATCATGGCCACTCACCGACATAGACGGTGCCAGAAAAGACACCGACGACAGCTCCACGGAGTGATTTGGGGGCGACCTCAGCCAGGTAAGTTGGCGCACAGACTGAGCCGGCGGGCGGGTCATACGACAAAGCGAGGGAGGAGAACAACGGTGTCAGCAGAGTGCACCACAAAGCCCAGGGAACTACACGGATGTGACTCACCCACAGTGCCACCGACGCCGAGACCGACAATGAAGCGGCCGGCGAGCAGCTGGCCGACGTTGCCCTTGGACGTAATCCAGACGGTCGTGCCGATGATCCAGAGAAGGCAGTGGATCTGAGCGGAGCGAATACGGCCGAGCTTGTCGCTCGTCCACCACGCAAGGATAGAACCGGCAACAGAGGCGATCTGGACCATGGATGTGATGTTGGACTGCATGTCGCTACCCGGGCGGACCCCGTACGAGTTGATGAACGCCTTCTGCGACGTCTGCGAGCTGATGATGCCCTCATCAAGGCCGCGTGCGGCCCCGAGGATGCCGATGGCGATAATTGCGAGGAAGAAGCGCCAGTTGAGCGCCTCCTTGGGCACTGTCGAGAGAATGGAAAGGTTGAGCATCTTGCTCGCAGGATGGAGCGGGTTGCTTTGCAGTTTCCTGGGCAGAGTGCTGGATCCTAATTCCGTTTTGGTTGTGGTGAATGAGGAGAATGGGCCTCATAGAAGATGCCAAATCAACACGGAGGTTCCCTGAGGCGGGGAGGGGAACACCGACGGGGACCTGTTACTGAGTCGATGCTTATACAAAAGCGGTTGTCCGTAGAGCGCGCCTCGGAGCGTGGAGAGCTGAGGGCCCCGGTTGAGAACAGGGACTGTTTGCTGGAACTCCCCCCAATGTCCTGGTTGGGACACTGGGACTTGCGCCTCCCACAACACGTGGGGAGAGGAAGTGATCAGGAAGGCGGAGCGGAAAGGAACGCGCCAGCATTCATCGTCCGATCACATCCGTCACGTGTGCAGCCGTGCCCTGCTTGCGATATGCAGAATGCAAGACCGTGTGCAAGCGTAACTGGAAAACCCCAATGCGTTCAATTTGAGGACTAAAGCGGCTTCACTCGACCCTGCCAAGCCAATGTTCGACGTTCGCTTCGGTAAGCGGTCATGTTCCGGGGTCTCCTGGGGTAGCACTGCTGGCGGGACGCAGAAGGGAAGGAAGAGGCGCAAATGAAGAAGGCCGAATCACTACAGCGCTAAATTGCACTCCACAGCACCCATACAGACACGTGTGAGGCGGGGAGGGCAGGAGAGGGATGGCAGATCGCATGGCGCGAGATGCGCCGTTCAGAAGAGTTAATCATCAGGGGACAAAGTCGCGAGCCCCAAGGGGGGAGGGTGAATGAAAAGACGCATTCTTGCTCAATGCTGCGTCGCGCTAGGAAAGAGCCGACTGATGGATATTCGGCTCATATTCGGCTCGCCCCGATGTGTCGAAGTGCTCATCACCGGATATGGTGCATGGGGAGGGAGCCAAAGGAGACTACTAGAGGTTTTGCAGACTGCAGAAACATTCATCGGATGAGTGTATGCCTGAATGCATTGGGCTGCGTTGGAGTGGGGGGCGGGGTGAGGTTAGGAACGATGATGGAAGGTTGCCAAGTGGAGATCATGCGGACGCACCCGGCACGCAGCCTCTCAACGCCTCATCCGTCCCTGCCCTCATCAAGATTCAAAGCCTCTCTTCAACGTGTATGGTGGACAGTTGTGATTTTGTGAGTGGCTGGATCAGGAAGATTCGGGTTTGCCGTTGCTCATATTTTGCCGAATAGTGACTTAGACCCACATTGCCAGGGGGAACAGTGAGACCTCGCTAACAAAGAAACCCGCGAGCTAACACCTGGCAAGAGGCACCTCGAACGTTGAAGACTTCAAGGGGCCAGGTCGCTTCCCACCTCACCCTGGGACACAGCCAAAATCGAAAGGAATGGGAACAGGCGCCGCACAGCACTATGCATGTACGTCAGGCGTCCTCATGAGCATGCAACAAGGTGTGTGCTTCTGACCTTTGACGCTTCAGCCATGCTGCCTATTTTGGCACTTCTCAGACCAGCATTTTCAGCCTTTGCACCACTCCATCACCGAGCGGCGTGCCCATTCTCCTGGGAACGGGAACAATGCATCCTTGTTGGAACTTCGAGGGCCGATGCATCCAGCCATCATCCAGTCAGTGAGAGCATTTTATGCATATGCCCTAAAGGCAAAGGCCAAAAGCCCCACAGGGCAGCTGCAAAAGAGTTGCGGGCCAAGTGGGATGTAGACATACATAATGTCCCACGCTAGTTGCCAAAAACGTATCAAGGCACAATGCGCCCACAGGTGCAGCACTCTGGAACATTGGCAGTTTCACTATTTTTAGTCTCTGTTCCTGCATATACGGGTTACATTTACATTACATTGCGGTGATTCGGCTTCTCGGTCCGGCGGTAGTGAGCTACTGCCGAGCATGACGGGCGGGCATTGCGCAGGCCACTGTCTGCCCAGTACCATACTCTGCAACGGTATGAGCGAATCTGTTCCGCCAGGGCTAGCCCGTGGCGTCAACCAGGCATCAAGTACTCCAGGCAGGCGCCAGCCACTTAAGCCAGGGTCAGCCCTGGTATTACAAGTACGTACCGGCAATCACCAGATGTTGGTCAGGTTTTCTGTGTGTTACAAACACATACGGTAGGGAGGGGGCAGGGCCCATGTCCGCCTTGTGCACACCTACATCACCCTTTGTGTGTGGACATGCGGGAAGCGGTGCGGCCAGATGGACAAAGCAGGACCAAACGTAGGTAAACGCCTACATGTTTAGCACCTCCAGCACTCCATGCTCCGTTTCTGGCATCCCAATCCCCCCCCTTCCCACGCAACATGAGGGCGAAGCAGTTCCTCATGCAAGCGTTTTCTATCATTATGGCGACAAAACGTTGAGCTTGTTGTGCCCCAAGAACGCTACTTGCTTGTAAGCGCGTTTACCCTTGAGCTTGGAGCTTGCAGTTGTGCAGAACTCAGAGATTTGACCATATTGTGTTGAAGGTGCTAAACTGTAAGGGCTCTTCATGTTGCCTTGGGATCTTTGTCACGCACCGTCGTGTAATCGCCTTTTTGAGGCCATTTCTCTTTCTGAGGCGCTGGTACGACCCCCGCGCCAAAGTGCTCATAAGTTATCGTGCTTCTGGGGTTTCCGCCCGAGGCCCTCACAGTTTCCAGGTCAGCTTTAAGTATCCGACAATCCGCACTCCATGCTGTCGCAAGGCTCGCAATAGTATCGCAAGCTCACGACTCGCAGCGTCTGTCCAGGTCTTTGTCCATGGCCGGCATTCACCATTCATGCATTATGCATTCATGCGTTCATGTAGACCTGTACGTACTTTTATGTTCTTTCGTGGCTCGTTGGTCTGGTCAGCAGCGCTTGATGCACTTCCCCCTTCTGGGGTTAGTCTATGCGTTACGACGAGCACTTTCATGGGTGTAAAGACTAGGAGACGAGGGTACTGTGTAGACGGTGCTTCAGCCACATCCCTAGGTCCCTCTTATTTCATGTAGTTGCCTTGGGAATTTGCGCACTCGACCCACAATTTGAATGTCTATCATCGACCTCTGGCTTGTTAGTGGGTGCAGCATTATGCCGCTTCAGGTAGCGCTCATAAAAAGCCCCGTCTCTCACTTATGCTGACCGCTGGTCATCGCCCGTGACCAGCTATACCACCGTTCAGCACCGAGTCAAGTCGAGCAGTGAAACGAGCCGGGGCACCGAACTGGTCTCGTCGCCCATATGCTGTAGTTTCTTCAGCAGTGATCAGGTCATGTCTGACCTGAGGGACCGATTGCGCCGTCTAAGAGAAGCAAGCGCAAGTGCGGCAGCAACTGCATCGAAGCCGGCGCAATTATCGTATTCATCCTCGAGCGCGCACCTAAGTTATATTCGAAGTACTCAGCCTTGCGAGCAATTAGCGGCTGCAACTTGCCGGCAGGACGAAGCTCAAGACGTAACCCTTCGGATCCAGGATGAGGTTGATTTCGAGGCGGAGCTTTTCCATAGCCGTGACTCTTCCATCCCCGACTACCTCAGGGACACTTTAGCTGATGGGGAGGACGGCGCAACGAGCGACCACAACGCTTGCTTTGGAGATTGGGCAAGAACATTCAATCGAGAGTTGAGCATCGCATCCAAAAGCTCTCAATTGGACGCCGAGATTGCATTTACACAGTGGCAGGAATTGAAGGCCCAGGATTTCAATGCTGGTGTCGCAGAGCTTGCAGAACCCCCTTTGGCATCAACATCTAAGACTGTGCCGCCAAATAGCGAGACGAGCAGCAAGCTCATCCTAGAGAACGAGGGTCGGCCCGCCTTGCAAGCTGGCTTGTACGCCGAAGCGTCTCAAGGTGGTGCAACCATTGACCTTGAGGCCTGCCTGGCAGATGCGATGGAGGGTGGGCTGGGAGGCCCCGAAGACGCCTCAAATGAAGAGTTCCACGTCGATGCTCCGAAAGAAGGCGACGACACAGACAAGGAGGCTGATGAGCTCGTTGCAAGGCTTGTGAAGCTCCGAGGCACGCGCAGCCCCTCCCCACCGGTCGAAAGTGCGTTCCCTCCTTGTGGTTCATCAGTCACGGATGAATCGTCTAGAGACAATCTGGCAGCTGCGGCGATGCTCAAGCTTCCATCGGCACCGACTTCTCATCCCAACTTACAAACCTCCTCTAACTTCTTCTCGTCACAAGATGAGGGGCTTCCATCCGATCTCTCATCCTTTTCCAAGCTGGTCCGTCTGAATACCACAAAAGCAGATCCTGGGTCTCTCCAAGCACGTCTTGATGCACTGAAGGCAAATGAGGCTCGAGCGAGGCCAAAATCGTCTGCTCCGAAATGGTCTCAGGGCTCGACGAAGGCTGAAATTCTGAGCGGGTTTGGTCTTCCCTCAACACCAAAGCATCCCGTCCATCCTAGCACATGCAGCTTCTCGGCAGACAATTATAGTTCATCGTTCGTCTCGGGCGTGTCGTCTCGGCTTGCTGGCAATGATAGTGATTACGATGACTGCGGTACCAGCGGCGATAACGACGAGACTCTCTGTTGGTGTGAAATATGCAATACCGACGCTACATTGCGCTGCACAGGCTGTGACGGCGACTTATACTGCGGCGAGTGCTGGGTGCAAGGACACTCGTCCATGGCGCGCAACGAACTTCGAGAGCACAAGACTGTAGAGTTCACGCCAAGACGTCTTAGGGGCAGGGCAAACGGGAGGTGCGATGACGAGCAGTCGCATGGCGCGGCGAGAGGACTTGCAGACTTGGTGGCGTAGCACATGTCTATATCAGGCGGACGATCTACAAATCTATTGTATAGTTCCGAGCGTGAGAATTTGCCTCACTTGTAGGAGTCAGGGCTCAAAGAAGCAGCCACCCGGCGAATGCCGTCAAAGTAGCGGTTGCCACGGCAGAGACAATATTGACTGCGTTGTTGCTCAAGACGTTGGCGCCCGTCATGACAATCCAGTCCTCTTCATCCTTTCCGTAAGGCGAAAGTCTTTTTGGATCAGCAGGCCCACCAATCAAAACCTGTTTGGTTTCGCGGCTGTACCAAGTTCGCTGGAGGGTTGCTCCCAGGACAGAATCGATCATGCTTCCTGTGAAGCCGGCGAGGCTCCCGAGCAGTGCCAACTCGAGCCCCCTAATGAACACAGGTCTGTCGGATGCTCTACAGTGGAGCAGCACGTCTGCTGCAAAAGTGACCAGGCCGATGAACAGTCCGCCCGCTGCGCTCCATCCCGTCCCAATTAAGCTTACTCCGCCGTTGGTCCCCGGCGGTACGATGCGCGCAAGATTGGTGATGAGCCGTGGCGGGCTGCGTGAGAGAATGCCTAGCTCCGAGGCCAGTACATCACCCATGCAACACGCATAATGGCCCAATGCGAACAGCAGACACATTCGCGCTGCCACGACGAGATTAGGGGATGGTGTTGCATTCGCCAATGCGGAGCTGCTGAGGGATGAGCAAGGTAGAACGACAACGTCGCCTAGAAACGCCTTGCTCCAATGCTTCCCAAATGCATTTCGAACCACGTTGCCTTGTAGCCCTCGCTCTGTCGAAAACAGCAGACGATATGTGGCCGCTGCCACAGCAGCTGCAATACAGGAAGCAGCCCCGTAAGAATCTCAATTAACCATGCAATTTTAACAGGGCAGCTCACCTGGTAGTGCATTGCAGAGGACCTGCAAAGCATCTCGTTGCCCTCCCGTACTTGCTTTGTGACCATGCCCTTTGCTACTGCTCGCCTTTCCTTGATGCTGTTCACGTTCGAGCTTCGCTTTGACGCCCGCCTTGACTTTGGTTGCCCGTGAGCCGACAATGTAAAACGCTAGCAAAAGATAGCCAAACGTGGGATTTGGGTTGGCTAGATGCGCATAACCCATCAAGGCAGCAGCGAATCCACCCGACAAGGCCAGACTGCCTTTGGCAACGCCTTGTACCGCCAACACGATCGAAAGCGCCAAGGCGACAGGGTGAACCTCGAGATAAGGTTCCGCTGGCGTCGACATGGTTGATGCCTTCACGAATGTTCGGCGATCTAGTTTGCGTCGTTCCCTTTCAATTGCAAAGATTCATCCAGCAATTTGTCGCTTTGTCGAAGGAAAGGCAGTGAAGGAAAATCCTGACGTTAGTCATCACGCTTTTATGGATCCAGATTGGGTGCAATTTGCAAGCGGGCTGCGGATGTATCGTGGCCCGTGTGACTTCGGCACGTCCATGATTACAAATTGCAGCATTGCTCCGCTCGGAGCATTTTGAACGACAGACTGGATACTGCAATCTAATCCCTTCTTGCGCATAAAGTCTGTATATGGTACATGCTCCGTCGTCGCTTCAACTTTCTGACTTGGCGTCCTGCCATGACCCTCCACTGCCTGCGTCATCGCCCTCTTCATTGCCGACATCGAACAGAAGGTCCTCCTCGGCTCTGCGCTTCTCATCGTCGTTGCCAGACGAAGACGGGATCGCGGGATCGCGGTCACCTTCGGGCTCGTCGCGGTAGCGCTCCGCGGTGACTGCACTGGTCGGCGTGATGGCCGAGCCGGGTCCGCCAATGGAGAAGCGCGTGTCGCCTTCTTCTTCCTCCTCATCGTCGTGATAGATGCCACGCGCGAGTGACGTATGATGGCCAGACTGGTTCTGTTCATCGTCCTCTTCCTCGCTAGCAACATCGCCACAGGCGTCATACAGCTCCTTGGTGCGTGCGCGCTTCGAGCCGCGCGTCTCACCACCAGCACCGCCGCCACGTTCCAGCGATCCCATCGCGACGTCTTCGTCCTCGGGCACGAACTCATATCTGGCCGAGCCGCCCGCACCACCACCACCTGGCGAGCGCTTACGCCGCATGACAAAGAAGGCGACGACGCTGCCTGCAAAGATGAAGACGACACCCGCAGCGACAAAGAGCCACGTGCCGCTGTTCTTGCGCAGGTTGGCCAGATAGCCCGTGTCAGCCTTGGGCTTCTCTGGTTGCTGCGTCGTCGGGTCAGTCACCATGCCATTGGTGAAGTCCTGATGCGACTCGCCGTGCGCGGTGCCATGATCGCTGGGAAGGTGCGCGGTGGGCTTGGCGTGCTGCGTGGTGACGGATGCTTTGGCGCTGGCACTGACGCTGCTGGAGGCAGATGGATAGCCCGGCAACTCGATCTGAGCCTCTTTGCTACCCGGCGGGAAGGTCCATTGCTTTGCTTTGGAAGGGTCGATACTTGCACCCCAGAGCATCATGGACCACGCGAGGAAATTGCCAGTCTGCTTGGGATGCGAGCGGTCGAACACCTGGATCTTCCACTGTCCGATTGGGTTCTCGTCCCTGTGAGGCCCAAGACACAGAGGAGTAAGCGCTTGCAGCAGTCTAACCCCTTGCACAAACCTCAGAACTCACCAATGCTTCAGTGTCATGAAGCCCCAACCGGGGAAGCCCGTTTTGGCCCCGTCGAATCTCCTGGGCCTGGCAAGAACGCTCTTCGTGCCGTGCGGGCTGGTCAGCTCGACCTGCACGTCGCCTCTGCGCTCGTGGGTAATCCAGACGCGGACTGTGATGTGCTCAAGGGTCTCGAGGTTGTTCTGCACCAGGAGCTCCTTGGTGACGTTGAACGTGCTCTCGACGCCCCCTTGCTGAATGAGCGTGCGCGTCGGCTCGATATCGAGCTTGGGGCTTTCGAGCCACGCTTGCGCCTTGACGAGCTTGTGGCGCTTGGCCTCCTCGATGAACGCGTGCGCGTCGATTATGCCGTAGCCGTACTTGTGGTTGTAGTGACGCCCCGCCTGCGTCTGCTGCCAGTCCTTGTCGGTCGGGTTGATCATCTGCGCGCTGCGCACAGCGACGTGCTGCATGTCGCGCCATGTGAGTTCCGGACGCGCCTCGAGCGCGAGCGCAGCGATGCCCGCGACGAGTGGCGCCGCAGCGGAAGTGCCGCCGTGCATGGTGGTGCAGCGCTGTATGCCGTTGCGCGTGACGTCGGTCGTGTGGATGTGATCGCCGGCGCCGGAGGACCACGAGGTGGCAATGTTAGCGCTGCACATCTCTGAGTAGTACGGGTGCTGCCCTTCGCGGTTGACCGCGGCGATGGTCATGGTGTAGATCGAGTTGGTGTAGCCGTCAAAGTTGCACTGGTCGTCTGCCCCGCCGCCATTGCCGCCGGCAAAGACGAAGATGCTTCCCTTGCCAGCGCGCCCATTCTGCACGCCGTTGAGAATCGCTTTGGCGATAAGACCTTTGGGCGCGTCCATGCTACGCCCATCGTCTGGCGGGCCCCACGAGCACGAGTACACGTGGTTCTGCTGGTAGTCGTAGTTGAGTGCCGCCGCTTCGTCGACGTCCGAGATGGGCCCAGAGAGGATGCGTAGACCGGAGACGCGCGCCTTGTACGCGACGCCAACGCCACAGCGGTCGTTCTTCACCGCGGCGATCTCGCCAGCGCAGCGCGTCCCGTGCTGGTCTTCCGGGAGGCGCGGCTCAGGCAGGGGGACGTGGTTGTTGAAGTCATACGACCCTTCGGCGTACTGTTTGGATGGCGTGCGAGCGAGTCGAAGTTCAGAATAAGATCCGCGCAGCGTTCCATCCAGGGGCTGCAAGCATGGACTCACGAAGTTATCCTTGAGGTCGTCTGAATACATATCGATCCCATCATCGATCATCGCGACATTGACCCCCCTACCAAAGATGCCTTGCTCCCAAACTCCGGAGATGTTGAGGTCGAAGCCGATGCGCTTGTCGTTGGCAAGGTGCCACTGCTGTGCGAAGATGGGGTCGTGGATGTCGAACTTGTCCGCGATGCGCATCGTCGGCGAGTCTGGTATCAACGGCGGACGGCGGCGCGTGAGCGCAGCCAACGCTAGTGTAGAGTTGCAAGACGAAGCTGCTTCGTCGCCACCTTCTCCGCTGTAGTGCCGGCGATCGACAACTCGACTGCGCGTGATAAACCGCGGTGTCCCTGCTTGTGCTGCTACAGGCGCATATGCAAGGAAGTCAGGGTCGTCCCTCGGGTCGGGACTGGCACCCTCTGGTGCCGGAATGTGGCGTGGCCATGGCAGCCGCGCGGCGCGCGGGTCAAAATCCGCGTGGTCCCTTTGCATTAACGGCGTGTCCGCGCCGGCATGATGCCCTCGGTCGTAGAGGTGCGGTGTGTCCCACGGAGAGTAGATGGCGTTGCGCTTGGTGCGCTGCCGCGGTTCTTGCCGCTCGACCGAGCGGATCGCCGCCGCCGCCGCTGCCCGCTTCCCCAGCTCGGGCCTTGTCTTGAGCCCGTCCCAGCGCTTCAGGACGGGATCTTCATGCAGTTCGTAGTCGATCCAGCGCCTCTCCCCGTGCCCATGTATCTCAAGCCCTTCATCCGTCCGAGCGACGAGCCCCTCGGCACTATTTTGCGCCTGCATCTGCGCTTTGGGAAATCGCACGAGCCAGTGGCCCTCGAGCTCGCCGATACGCTCGACGAGCTCCGCACCAAGCGCTACGGCGACGTCGAGCGGCTGAAAAAGACCTGTTTCTGCGGGTGCCAGCTCGACCGCGTAGTAGTGGTGACTGTCGTACGTGCGCGGCTGCGGGTGATGCGGCTGGCGCACGTTGCGCGGATCGAGCTCGGACCTCGCTCCTTCAGCGCTGGTAGCCGCTGCTGCGACGCTACTAAAAGGCGTGCTGAGCTGCGACGACGAAGACAGGGAGAGGAGGAGGAGTAGCACAAAAAGTAGACTGGACACCTTTCCTGCCCGCGCATGGCACCTCGGCGTCGTTCTGGCAGGGGGGACTGCTGAAGAGTTGGGCGACCCGGCGGCTTCCAGCATGTTGGCAGAAGGCATCACTGCTGCTGCTTCTATTCGACCGCCTAGCGTCGGTCGCTTCGGCAAGGATGAGTCTGCTGCGTCTACCCAGTCCCGCTATGCGACGTGATTGCCAATGTAACAGAACCGAGACGGTTGTGCCAGCTTTCAATGGTAGAACATGTGTGGGTGCGGTGGGCATGTGGAACACCTCTGCCGCTTTGCAGAGGGTGCGTTGAGAGGCAGTGCGCTTGAGTTGACGCGGCACTGGAGCAGTCAGTGTGTGTCTGCTGGAAGGGGAAACAAGTGCACCCGATTCAGGCGGCCTGCCAACCCACGGCCCCGCCGACCAGTCGGGGCCGCACAGGCGATAGTGCGTCTGCGTCCTCCTTGTGCCACACCTGCCTGCTAGAGTAGAGGTTGATGCTCACATCTGACACTCCTCTCCCTTCCTCTCCTCTGCACTGTGAGAATCCGAGCAGGGACGTCCCTCCTGTCCGTATGTGATGGGAGCTCTCGTTCTGCCCAGCATTTAGCAAGCAGCGCACCAACGCTGAGCAAGCGGGTGCGTGCGGCGGACGCGCTGGTATCCTCGCTCTGCTCCACACCCAGCGGGGGAATGAAAAGAAACAAAGATGAAAATCCAATCGAAAAAGAAAGAAAGAAACCTTCCGCGTTCCGAGCGAGAACGTATTCAAGAAGAACCAACAGCGAAGGACTTCTCGCTGGACAAACGCAGCACCACCCAAGTCGCCCCCATCGCCATCGCCGTCGTGGTCGCAAGCAGCTACATCAGCTCATACCCGTCGCCAACAACATTTCCCTGACCGACCATGCCCCAAACTGAGGAAAAGGAGAGGAAGCCTGCTTGATTCCAGGCCATCGCTAGAGTCTGCGCGAGCCCGGTCGATGCGCCTGCTCCGCAGTGCTGTCCCAACTCGTCAGCCTCATCCCTCTCTGTTGGTCTCTGCCAATCTCCGCCGAGTGGTCGTTGCCTCTGGCGCCGTCAGCAGTGGGCCAAGTGCGTATCCTGCGGGCGGTAAACGCAAAAGGCAACACCCAACCAGCACAGCTTCATTTCTCGGTCGCTCGCAGACGCACAGGGTGAGTAGCACTTGACACGCGCCTCCTCACTCGGGGATGACAGCGCTGCCCGCCGAAACGGGGATGTAGCATGAGCTTACGACAAGGGCCAGGAGGACAGCATGGAAAGAGAGGGATGGGATGGCCGAAAGATGAGACAATTCTTATTACATTGAACAATCCAACTCCTACCTGCTACCAAAAGTGGCATTGAGGAAAACATGATTAATCACACTCTGACACGAACGACGCCTTGGGATCGACAACTCCGCCTGGGCCTGCACTCTTTTCTTGGATTCCTGCATGCCAGATGTAAGCATTGCTGACGCCTGCAATCTGCTTGCACACTGTCAGATCGCCTCCCTCCTTGTGCCACATCTATCGGAGAATCGCACATTGTGCTGGAGCTCCGCATCACAGCGCCCCTGTCCACGCAATATGAGCACCTCGCACGCGCTCTGCCCGGCTGTCGCCGAGCCGACGCTCTTCATCGCCGGCGAGTGGGTGCCCTCATCGTCGGGCGCACGGCGTGCGACGATCAACCCGGTGGACAACTCAGTGATCCAGCACGTGTCCGAGGCGTCCGTCGGCGATGCTGAGCGCGCGGTGAGCTCCGCGCGCGCCTTCTTCAACACGCACGTCTGGTCGGACCATACGCGCACAACGTTCGGCGCGCGCTGCGAGAGCCTTGAGCGCATCGCCACACTGCTGCAGCAGCACAAGGATGAGCTGGCGCGCGTCGAGACGATCGATACGGGCAAGACGCTCGAGGAGAGCAAGGTCGACGTCGACGACGTCACCACCGTCTTTCGCTTCTACGCGCAGGAGGCGCGCAAGCTGGACCAGCCCAAGCAGGTCAAGCATGACGCCATCCCTGAAAGCGCCAACAGTGTCATCTCGCACGAACCGGTTGGTGTATGCGTGCTGATCACGCCCTGGAACTACGTGAGTCGTCTTAGGCGTGCTCTGCATCGGCGTGACTTTGCCCCACGCTGACTGCAAGCACGCTCCTACTTGTGCTATCTCCGCACTAGCCGATCCTGCAAGTCTGCTGGAAGCTTGCGCCGGCGCTAGCGGCAGGCAACCCGGTGATCATCAAGCCGTCCGAAGTGACGCCGCTGTCGACGATCTACCTCGTGCGCAAAATCCTACTCGACGCCTCCGTCGGCATCCCCGCTGGCGCGATCCAGCTGTTGACTGCGTCCGGCGCTACAATCGGCGACGCGCTCACGACGCATGCGGATGTTGACCTGGTTTCGTTCACCGGCGGTCTCGCGACAGGGACGCGCATTATCGCCAGCTGCGCCGCGGGCGTCAAGCGCTGCTGCGTCGAGCTCGGCGGCAAGAACCCGCACGTCGTCTTTGCCGACGTAGCAGGCGCACAGGCCGAGCGGAGCGGCATGGGTCTCGACTGGGCCGCCGACATCGTTGCGACCGCGTGCTTCCTTCACTCGGGCCAGGTGTGCTCGAGCGGCGCGCGTCTGATCGTCGACGAGAGCATCGCCGACGCGCTCGTCGCCAAGGTTGTTGACAAGGCGCGCAACGTCCGCATGGGCGACGGCCTCGACCCCGCCAGCGAGACTGGCCCGCTCGTTAGCGCCGAGCACGCTAGGAAGATTCAGGCGTTTGTCGAGCTCGGCAAGAAAGAAGGCGCCAAACTACTCGTTGGCGGCAGCCCGCCGGACCCGCGCCGATTCCCGCATCTCGCTAAGGGCTGCTTCTTCCTCCCGACCGTCTTCGACCACTGCGACCGCAGCATGCAACTCGTGCAAGCCGAGACGTTCGGGCCGATCCTCACCGTCGAGCGCTTCCGCGCGGGCGACGAGGCGACGGCGCTGGCGCTGGCGAACGACACGCGTTACGGCCTAGCTGGAGGCGTCCTGTCCGCCGACGTTGCGCGCGCGCGCCGGTTCGCCGCCAAGTTGCGCCACGGCACCGTGTGGATCAACACTTATGGCAGCTACACCGCCGCCGCCGAATGGGGTGGCTTTGGCATGAGCGGCAACGGTCGTGAGCTCGGGTGCAAGGGCCTCGAGGAGTACATTGAGACGAAGCACACGTGGCATGAGACTAAACCTGCACCGTTTGCCTGGTTCAAGTCGCGTTTGTGAATGTGAAGGACACTGCCTCGTATTTTCTCCGCTGTATGTAGCATAGCATCTCCTTTCTGTCCTTCTGTCGCTGTCGTACAGGCTCATGATTGCGACTCGACGTCCATCTATAGGGGGGCGAGCGTTCGCCTGCAGATCAGAGTATTACGATGGAATTGCAAGAGTACGGTGATACGAGACACCGGTGCGAAGGAAGGATCCATGGTCAAGAACAGCACCGCCCTGCTCATCGCCGCCGCACCTGCACGCGCGGATCACCCTTCTCCTGCCGTTTCTGCAGCTTCTGCTGACGCTTGCTCATCCCTTGTGTCGCGTCTTCCTCCTGACCCTTTGCGCCGCTGTCCTTGCTGCTCTTACCGCTTCCGCCACGCAAAGCGCTAAAGATGCGAGCGAGCGGATCTCGCCCGCCGAGAACGAAGGGTACCAGCGCTTTGCGGTACAGGATAAAGATGGCATACGCTGGTATGGCCATATACAGCCACCAGAATTTGGACGAGATGGCAGCTGAAAGGACGTGGACAGCCCATGTGACATAAATGATATCGAACATGTACCTGCGGGGTGTGAGGCGAGCAAGTAGTGAGGGGAGCGACAGAGGTAAGCGTTGACTGAGTTGGACATGGATTCGCATCCCTCCACCCGAACGTACGCAGTCAGTCCCCCTTGCGCCAGATCGTCGCCCGACTTGGCCATATTCTGCAACTGCAGCCACAGCGCGACTGCCAACGCCTCCGTGAGAACAAAGTATACGACATGTCGAGTCGAGGCTGTGGAGCGATACAGCACAAAGCGGAAAAGCACGTGCATGGTTGACGAGATCAGGAAGCCATAGAGCAATGTTGCGAGCGTCGAGGCATTTTGCGACGAAACCCGCTTCGCAGCTGCTCGTGCCTTTCGGATACCAGCCATGGATCGATGGGAATGAGACATGTGACAATGTCAGTGGAGGTCATGCGTTCGGCCGTTCGCTTTCGCACACCCACCATCTTGTGTACGGCTCGGTCGGTCAGGGCTACCACATATACACCGCTCGAAGTTCAGGTACGTCCGGCCAACGCAAGGGTGAGTGAGGGGTTCCGTAGGACACTTACTTGGTCAAGGGGAGGAATGGAGGTTGCCAGATGCATGATAGAACATCTTCTATATCTCAGTCAAGAAGTGTAGAACATCAACAAACTACACATGCGTTTTGTTATTATCAAGCCGTCGTCCGAGTGCTGTATGCTTCCTTCGAGAACACTTTCGAGATCTACATCACTGTGGTCCTGATTCCAGCCATGACGTGTTTTCGCGGATGACCATGAAGGACATCAACTTCGCTGCATGCAGTTGCTCTGATCCGAGGCGAAGTTCGGGGCCCGTGGCCTCCATTCAATATCGCTACCGGTAGAAAGAGGGAGAAACGTCACGCTGCACGCAAGTGGGGGAATGCATTGATAGAGTGGAGACCTATTGCACACCGAGAAGTAGCCTGACCTCGTCCTCGCTGCGTTTAATAAGCGTCTCCTTCCACTCATACCTGTTGGACGGCTGCATGACTGCATGGACAATGTTAGCATACGCATCTGCCAGCATCTGCAGCGCAGCCTGGTGCACGTGGGACCTCGTAGTCGGCGAGGTTAACAGGGCCAGTCGCGGCGAGGACACAATGGACGGTGACGCAAGGAAACTGCCAAAGGCTTTGAAGGCGGAAGAGACAGCTTCAGGACTTGCCTGAGGTTGACGCGACAAGGCTGCGCCCGTCTCCTTGCTTGCTATCGCCTCGATGAGCGGTGCGAGGTGTGAGTCGGCCAGCAAACTCTTGTAGTGCGCCTCGACCAGTGCAGACATCTTCTCATCTTCATTGGTCTTGAGCTGTGCCCGCTTGTTCTTCACGTGCTCGTGCGGGCCCAAGATGTTTTGAATATGCTCCAGACAGTTGCAGAGGAAGAGGCTCTGTTCCCACTTCCCATCTTGTTCACTTTTGCCCTTCACCCGGCGCTCGACCAGCTGTGTGGACAGGCGCTCACACAGTGCCACCATCGCATCCACCAGCTCCTTCAAGATGAGATCGAGTTGGCGGAGCGCTTGTTCCCGCGTTTCTTTGTCTAGCAGACCGCCGCCTTCTCCAGGCTCATCAGCAAGTGAAGTCTGCACGACTGCGAGAAGCTCCTTGAGTGCAACGCCCGCTCCGGCAAGTGGCGGTGGTATTTTCAGGGAAAGGTCCAGAGTGTCATGATAGCGGGTAAGACTGCTCGCATGGTTGCGCAACGTCACGCCAAAAGCGTCGTATGAAGCGGTAGTGACGCCTTGCAGAGTCCTGCTGAGCGCTGCTTTGCTGCCGACCGTACGCGTGATCGTGAGGCGGTAGAAGTCGATCAGATTTGCCAGGCGGAAGGTCGTAACGCAGCCTTCTTGCGACCGGACGGTCTGGACAATCCGGGTTTGTAGCGGGCGACAGCAGCCTTCAAGGTTCCGGTCTAGCATCTCTCGAATGGCCCTCTCGCTTGGAGTCAGCCGCTGCGCGCCATCTTTTGCTTCTTGTGCCAGCTCAGCCGCCTGGCTCTGCTGCATGTCCAGACTGCCCTCTAGACCTCGTCGCCGCTGTCCTATCCGCCGTCCGTCCCCGCCTTCCTGTTCGCTGAAAAGGGCTGACAGGAACTCACGCTCTGAAGCGAGCGCCTGATGTACCCAGGCGAGCATGTCGCCAACGTATCGAAGCGGGTCGTGCGCATGCAGCTCTATTGGTCGTGGGAGGTTGCTCGGGGGACCTCCGCCGACAGTGAGGGCCATCTGGAAGGAAGTGGAAAGGAAAGAGGCCCGCGTGGAAGAAAGTGTCGCAAGCGCAGGTCGCAATAGGTCCTCCCTTCCTGCTGAGCTGATCCGTTGCACAGCTTGTTTCATGCGCGCTGACACTTCCATGCCCTCACGCACCGGCTGCCGAAATTCAAACGAGAGCCATCTAGCAATCTTCGCATATGCGGCATTGAGTTGGGAAGCAGTCGTGTCCATCACATCTATACCTGCCCGTATACCGCCACTTGCTCCAGTAGTGCGTTTACCGTTTTCAGGAGATGTCGAAACTTCATCGGTGACGCTCCCGCCCAGCAGGAGTTTTGCCTCTTTCCGAATCTGCTCTAACCGATCCATCACTTTGAAGAGAGCCTGGCTGACTTCCAGATCCTTGGACCTTACAAGCAGCTCTTCATCTGCTGTGAGTGTGAATCGCTCGAGGAAGAGACTGACGAGTGCATGCTGCATGGAAAGTGCGTTGCGATCTTGCTGCAAGCCTTCGGTCTGAACTAATAGATGCTTTGAGGACTGGCGGGCGAGGGAGTATTTCTTCAGAGTTTCTTCGCAAGAAGTCTTCACAGCCTCGAGCTCGTCATCAAGTGTGTCAAGTGCCTGTGTCATGTAACGTGTGATAAGATTGATAGTCTACCGGGAGGGCTTGCGGCGCTGCTACTCACAGAGACCAAACCGTGCAGGGTGGTAAGGTATTCCTTCGAGGCCATTTGCATCGATTCATTCAAGGTCTGCTCGATGTCTTTGCGAAAACTGCCAATGTCCAAGAGGTCCTTCTTATTTGCGATGCCCTTGCCTTTGCTACCTCGGCGTACTAGGGCCGGCTCTGAAGTTGGCCCAGCTGCCATGCCCGCTTGCCCCCCAGCAGCTCTGTATAGCTTGACGAGGTCGGAAAGCGCCTCGATGGTCTTCCTCGGGTCCCTCTTGGCCCCCGTGACCGCTTTACAGCGCAAAGCGAGCGGATCATAACGGCCACTGCTGCTGATGCCCCCCGAGAGACGTCGGCCACTGCTGGGTGACAGCATCGCTTGAGAGCCAGATGCCGACGACGAGGTCGCGTTCGACACGCCGTGCTGCGCCGCTGCCGACGGCCCAGCTTCAGCGAGGTCCGTCATGTCGGAGGGTTGCGGCGCGGTGATAACGCAAGTACAAAGACCCGGACGCTTCGTTTGATCCCCGTCAGAGAGCAACCATTGATCTTCACCGTAAAAGCGAGGGCCAGGCAACCCCATGCCAAGCAGGGTAACGCCATCGCCTTTCCTCAGACACATACGATTGGTTCATGGAGCACCCATTGCACACGAGAGGTTGACATCAGATCAACGGAAGTTAGAACCCTACTTTCTTTCAATCGCATTCCGTATGAATACCTACGATCGCTCTTACCAATGCCGGCATTACCGATCAGTGGACCACTCCTGCGCACCAGAAGGAGCAATTCAAAGGGCTGTTCGCTTCGTGTGGGTATTGTCCAACCTGTTCGAACTCGAGCACAAGTCTGACGTCTATCCGCCTTTGCGAGAACTTTCGTCAGTGGCAACCTCTGTTCACCCTCGGCGATTCGTACCGAAAGCCCGCTGCTTTGCCTCGCACCCCGCTGCAAGTCCACCATGAACTCCCAACGAGAGATCAACATCATCTACGTCGGCGCCGGCGCAGTTGGCTGCTTCTATGCTTCACGCATGGTTCAGGTGAGACCAAGCATCAAAACAACTGCCAGGGATTCAGAGGAGACTGATATTACTTTCTTCTTTGAGGATATAGGGCGGAGGAAATGTCAGAGTCTCCATGGTCTGCAGATCAAACTACAAGGCGGTCAAGGAGAGCGGCTTGACGATGCAAACGCGCAACTTTGGCGATTACCATTTTATACCACACAGGGTCTTTCCGAATGTGCAAGTAGCTGCGTCTGAGGGTCCCGATGTAGCGGAGTCGGCGAGTAATAGCGGGAAGTGGGACTATGTCGTGGTGACGACCAAAGCTCTACCAGACATCGTGGACGAAAGTAGGACAATTGCACCCATCGTTTCACCACCCTCACCAGACGGCAAGTTTCCGGGGTCAATTATCGTTCTCATCCAGAATGGTGTCGGTGTAGAGCATTTACACCGTGAGCGGTTCCCTCAAAACCCTATCGTCAGCGCCGTCACCGTCATTAGCGCCGAGCAAGTCTCTCACGGTGTCGTTCGGCAGAACCGGTGGACACGCATCTCGATCGGCGCTTTCACGGACGGTATTGGGGATCGCCTAGTCTCGGGCGACCAAAAGGCCAAACAGCTTCACAAAGCCGGAGAAGACGCTGTTGCGGAGCTCAACAACATTTGGACGGCAGGCGGCATCAAAGACGTCGAGATGCACGATGAGAAAGGCCTGCAGCTCGTGCGCTGGCACAAGTTGACCATCAACGCTAGCATGAATCCGAGCGCGGTCTTATCTGGAGGCACAGGTAATGCGCGTATGTCGCTTGATGCGGAGCTGCGTCGGCATCTGCAAGGAGTGATGGACGAGATCTTCGCAGCGGCGCCTTCCATTTTGGGGAGGCCGTTCCCAAACTCGCTCGCCACGCCCGAGGTGATTCTCAAAAGCACTGAGCGAAACACTGGCAGCAAACCTAGCATGCTCTTGGATTGGGAAGCGGACCGACCTCTCGAACTTGAAGTCATCCTCGGCAATCCGGTCCGCATTGCAAGGTCGAAGGGCGTGGAGATGCCTCGCACCCAGTCTCTATATGCGCTCCTGAAAATGGCGCAGACGAGGAAAGAGGAGCGAAAGAAGCAGCAGCCAAACAAGCAGTCGAAATTGTAGCTGTGATATGGGAATTGCGTGCTTCTCTCTGCTTATCTATGCTACAGGTTGTAATTGTGTCTATTTCATGATCCCAAATCGCCTGCAAAGTATGCAAAGGCAACAAAGCCAATACCGTATGGTGTGGCCAACCTTCGGAGTGCCCAGCCGACGCGGCCCGAGCCCCACATGGAACTTGAGGGTGACTTGATGGAACCAGGCAAACGTTCTGAGAGGCCGCCGTTGTTGCCTCGGTACGCCTCCGGTGCAGCTGACATGTTGACAGGATTGCGCAACATCCAGCGTCGTCTCAGCGCGCGTTCCGGCGTGTCTTTGCCTTTACGCCGAGCGGCGCCTCCTTCAGCATAGCTGTCGTGTTTATGCGGAAAAAAGGGGGCGACAAAGTACGTTTGAACGAGAAGCATTGGTAACGGCGCGGGAGTGGGGTTCAAATGCGCTTTCGGTGACAAGGGAGGAAGGCGCAGCGTCGAAGCCCGCAAAGCGTGCCCCTTGAGTAGCTGCCACGCACTCGGTCTGTTCTCCAGCGTTGGAATGAAGCGTCCAGGCCTTCCATGTAAGGCCTCTCGCAGTTGTTTTGCTCGACGCACGTGCGGTGTGGGTACCACAGCTGTTCCGTTCGGTGCATGTCTTGCGTGTGGGCTCGATCTCCTGGGGCGATGAGGCGGCCCAAGACGCCCTCGAAGGCTGCTGACTCGAGCCGAGAGATCGCCAGCGGTGTTTGTCTGCCGCATTTCGATAAGCGTATTCCTACCCGATAGTTCTGCTGCTCCCTCAGCCGCCCGTACCGCTCGCGCGCCACGAACAGCAGACCGCCCGTGTCCTGTTTTGGCATTTCGTTGTTTGCGAGCTTGCGCAGCCGGTGTGAATTTCGGCTTGGATTTTTCTTCTTCCCACGCCTTACGCCCCTGCCAGATAACTTCTCGCATGAGCTCCGATGGGCGACCGAGCAGCTCATAGCTCATGGCGCCAATCGCCCCACCACATATCAAGATGAAAGCTGCCAAAAGGCGCCCCGGAATCGTGCGACTAGCTTGGAACGAATCATCGGATCTGGCGTCTTCGATCGCGATATCGCCGTCGTCAACTTCCCGGCTTGCACGCTTGTCGATTCCGACAGGGAGCGCTACTCCTTGGTTAAAGAATGCATATGTCTTGTCAACACTTATAGACGCGCTGTACGCCACGCGCCGGGATATCTCAAAGATGGCGAAGAACGAGCTGAAGCCAATGCTGTCTCTGACGAGTGAGAGCAACAAGCCAGCACCGTGTACACCGCCTCGCCAACGCTTCAGCTGGGCCTGCCACAGCTCTTTTCTCTGCTTTGCAGTCGCAGGATCCTCCTTGTTCCAGGGATTCAGCCACGACCAGCGTGCCTTTGGAGAGTCCACTTTGACTTGCTCGACGAGCTTGTATCTGCTGAGTTCTGGTGCAAATGGAAGGATTGCAGCGCGAGCCACGGCTCGCCAGGATACCCGTGTTGCTTGATGACTGGCGTGATGGCGCCCGACTGCTGGCATAGCAGCCAGAACGGTGCGCACGTTATCGAGGGGGGCCGAGATGATACACTGTGCACTCCCAGCTACGGCACCGGACACTGCTGTGATCCAAAGAGGTGACCATTGCGGTATCCGGCGACCTGCACTGTCCCTCTGTACGTCCGGCCGCGTCGGATAATATCGATTTAGAAGATGTGATTCCATCAGGGTGAAGCTGTCGAAACGAAAGGGAAAGTATGAACCAGAGTAGCACAAAGGCACGAGCAACACCTTGCGTAGGTGGCAACTTACCTCTCGAAGAGCGTGAAACCGATCAGTGTGTTGGCGATCAGCGGTGGACCAAGCAGGTGCGGAATGAAGCTCGCCTTCTCCCTGCGTATGAGCGCCCGCACATACCGCAAACTCAGCTGTTTGCCTTCCCGACGGGCCAGAGATTCCAAGATGATCCATGAGCTGAGCTTGACTGGCCGGTAGAGGCGAATCGGGGCGCGAAAGAATAATGCTACGACGCCCAGTAGGGATCGCGTCAGGGCGCTCACAAACGAGTCGGAGCGGCTCCCATCTTCGACGCCTATAGAGCCTCGAAGTCGCCGCTTCTTTGGTTTTGCGGGAGAAGGAAACGAGTTAGGCGCGTCCCCACTCGTCTTCGGGATTGAAACCGTGGTGGACGACATGTTCAAGACGGTAGCCTGTGGGCGAGCAGAACGAGTCCAGCTCCAGCTATGGCGACGCGGGTCGTCGTCGAGATTATCGGGCTATCGACATCTTTTTAAGCCGCAAATGTACTGAGCAACTATGGAAGGGAAAAGCAATCGAATTCGTTGACAGAAGCACAGGCTGAGTAGAGTTGGAAAAATGTAAGCCAGAGGTTAGGTGATGATACAAGTATGCAAAATACTCGATGCTTTGCCATCAGAGCAAGGTGATTCGCACTTTTGTGACCTGACATCGCAGGGCGCGAGCGGCGCCATCTGATATTGCCACTCTCCGAAACTATCGTGTAGCACAAGCTCAAGGATTCTGAACTCTCAGAAGATGATCTCATACCCAGTCCAAGCATGCGGTACACCATCTCGATACCACGGCTCGTCCTTTCGCGAGTTAGAATTTGTGTTAACGAGAAAGGGATGGAGAAGGCTTGCAATTCGTGTGCGCAAGCAGAGCCTTGATTGCCGTTTGCCCGGGGGGTGCTGCGAGTGACCATCTTCGAACATGAAGTCTTGACGGCAAGGTGTTCGCCGCCGGTCTCTGCCATGGCCGTAAGCATCCGAATATTCTGGCCCAAACAGCTGGCTCGCAAGGCGTCAGCATCGGTAAGTAAGAGTGAACAAATCCTTCTCGGCTGGCAACATCGCAGAAACAATGAGCTTCACGTCGTCGTCATCGGCGCCGTCGCGGATCAAGACCACGCCGAGCTGCAGGTTGCAATCGATGCGCTCAATCTCAGAGCTGGAATGAAGAAGCCAGCAGAGGGCACGCCCATGGTTGAGGTGCTTGGGTTCCTGATGCGAGGTCAAGAATCCCAAAGCTCGAGAGACACGAATGGTGACGGTCTGCTGGTCTTTTTCGATGCCCCAAAAGAAAAGCGAAGTCGTGGCACACTATGGTTTTCCAAGTGAGACTCCGAAGAGACTTTGGCGAGTGCAATCCTTGACGCATGATCTGTAATCCTTGTCATGCAGTCATACCTCGTTTCACCCGCCTGAAAAAAAAGAATTTCGAACGATGGTCGTCTTCTACGATCCACCTTCGTCCGACCACTTTCGTTTCCTTACGATCGAGCCGTTACGATTCTCGCCCGCCTTTCTTCATGACGAAGTGCGCGCTTCTGGCGTTAGAAGTATGAAAGATAGTCAGCGTGACTACGAGAGAATGCTGTCACGGAAGCTCATGGGCTTGCGAGAGCTTGAAAGTCTCGGCTCCGAGGCTGAATATGAGGATGCAGAGCTGCTCAGGTGCTCGATCGCTCTTGTGAGTCAAAGTGCACAGCAACTCGACGTAGTGTATAGCCATTGACGCAAATTTCGCTGGGTCTATCTCAGCTTAACCAAAGCGCATCTATGATGCAACTATTAAAACATATTCAAGAATTTCGACGGCCACCGTCTGCCTCGAACATACCCTCACAACCATCGATCGTCGGCGCGGTCTGCTGGAAACTCCTTTTAGCAGCTGGAAAGGGGATTGTTGCCCCTCTTCATGTTATGAGGATGGTCGCGTCACAAGACAAGCTTATCCGGTCTTCTCTCACAGCGAAACAAGTCGAGCTTCGACTGTCACAGATCATCAATTGGCCCAGTTTTGCCGCTTCGCTGAGACAGCTGCGCCGGACCGTATTGACACCTGTCTCGGCGCTGTCAACAGACTACATCACCTTGTGGGGTGGAGCGTGGCTCATCGCAAACGACGTCGTGTTTGGCCAAGCCGCGGCAGCGCTCCTTGACCAAACAGCTCCAGGGTTGGCTGAAATATTGCAAGCGCTCATCTCTCGTCATCTTTATCACGGCGTTGAAGGTGTGCTCGGCTGGCTGGAAGCATGGCCCGCAGGTTTGAAGCTCAACACAGAGCTCTCCCTCTTCTTTGGCGATCTCTATAAGGGATGCCTGATCCTGTTCTACGACATGGTGCTAGCTCGGCTGGCCGTCAACATGCAGTCGATCATTGCTGTCATCAGCTTGGTGATGCGATACACGGGCCTGACGATGGGCATCTGTCTACTCTCCGACTTGATCACGATCAGCACGCTCCACCTCGTGCTCTTCCACCGCATGTCGCGCTTCCTGTACGCCGGCTTCCTTTGGTTGCTGGGTGCGCTGTTCCATCTGTTCCGCGGCAAAAAACGCAACCCGCTGCGAAAGGGGCGGCTGGACGATGCATCGTACGAGCTCGATCAGATGCTGCTCGGCACGATCCTGTTCACGCTGCTCCTGTTCCTCTTCCCTACGATCGCAACGTACTACCTGACGTTCGCGTGTGCGCGCTTCTGCCTTATCGCGACGCAGGCTGCGCTCGGGACGGCGCTCGCGGTGCTCAACCACATCCCGCTGTTTGCGCTGCTCTTGCGCATCAAGGACCCAGAGCGCCTGCCCGCTGGGCTGAGCTTCCGCCCGCCTCATGCTCATCTGCCGCGCACGGCCGCAGTGGGGTCGAACGGCGGCCGCGACGGCAAAGCAATCTCGGTAGTTGAGCTTGCTAGCGTCCCTCTCTCCGTCGGTAACATCTTCGACGGGTACGGTGCGCATCTGGCGGAGCTGCAGGAACTTCCGCGTCTCTTTATGCAGATTTTCTCCGGAGGGCGCATGAGCCCGCGCAGAGGCTCTTCGGTTTAACACGCCAGAGTGCCTGAGGGGGAGCGCCTTATGCTCTCCCTCTATGTATGATATTTTATAGATGAAAAAGGGCTTTGCATCGAAATCAGCCGTCTCAGGAGTTGGCGTTGCAGAAAGTTTTTGCTAGTCATCGACCGTCGGGCCTTTGGACTTAGTGCTCTTCCCTCCAATCCCCGAACTTGAGCAAGACGCGAACACTCAACTGCTGGGCATCGGCGCTGCTGCTGTTTGCAGGTTCTCCACAAAAGGTACTTGGCAGCGACGAAAATCGGCGCAGCCAGGCGAGCAATCCACTGTTAAACACTTACATATACCATCCGCGATGCGTCGGCGAGGGAAGCACACGGCGTATGGCCTTTGGCGCCTTCGCAGAACGCGACCACTGACTGGCCAGAGATCATTCCATCAGACGTCGCCCCAGCTCTTTCTCGGCGGCATCCAGCCGACGCGTTAGCGGGCCATGCGTCGCGCCGGTTGAAATTGTCCACGACGATTCGACAGACGGCAGGGTCATGACCAGAAGCGGAGACGCGACGCTGCTCGGCACATTGTCCAGGAAGTGAGAGTGGCATCATGAGCCACGTGGTTGACCACCAATGAGCTTTGAGAGCGATGAAGACACTTCCAGCAACAAAGAGGCTCCCAAGAACCTTAAGGGCTGTGGGTAGCCCTACATTGCAAAGGTCCTACGCTCCGCTGCTCTCTTCCAACTGGTGCCAATCGTCGGCAATCTACACACTTTAGCGCAGTTCAGGCACCTTCTACCTTCGGCCCTATTTGCACACACGCACGCATGGGCAAGCGCCGGCTTCTCCCCTCTGCGAACCCACTTAGAATCTCATCCAGTGTGCCTGTGCCTGACTTTCCTGGCATGGCTCCTTACCACGGCGCTTCGAATCTCACCTTGGCAACCCCGCACGCTTTCGCGAGCCGACTCGAGAGCCAACCTTGTTGACGATGTTGACGTTCTTTCTGTGCATGATTGCTCGCCCGGGTCTATATCATATTGTACGAGTAGATACAATGTGGGGTGCTACACGATCGTCAGGAGCTTGCTTGCTGTGCACGAACCATGTACATACATAGCTTGTTGCTGCGGCCTGCGCCTTGCGTTTCCTGCGTTGCCCCGCTCCCCCCACACACCCTCTCTCGCCTCTCCACGCAGCTGCATACATACCGGACTCAGACACCAGCGCTCAGTCAGGTATCATAGCCTACCCGAACAGCTCGCCGTCAATTGGAAGCCCGCAAATCTATTCAATCCGCCAGGATCCCTCGTTGCCATCATATCTTGTTTGCCGGTCCGTTCTTCACACTCCCCAGGATGCCGCTCTTCAAAATCAGCAGAGGTACCCTATATAAAGGACGTGCTCATGTACCCGCCGTGAGATCACTTCCAATCATGTGCGCACACCCAACTGCTGATCGTGTCCTTTTCTGTCCGAGGTTCCACGTTCTGACTGACGTGCGGCGTTGTTCATCATGCGCAGCCCTTCCCTCCTCTTACTGCTCTCCGCCACAACCGTCGTGCTGTCGGCAACGCAGACAGTCTTCTCTACCCCGGTCGAGCAGCACAATGCAGACTCTGCTCACCCTCCCTCCGACTGGCCGCATGTCCCTTTCAAGACGCGAGGCCGCGACATCGTCAACAGCAAAGGCGAAGTCGTCCACTTGGCGGGTGTCAACTGGCCCATGAGCGGCGAGACGATGATCTTTGAGGGTGGGTTCGGATCTGCGCTTGCAAAACCACATCGCTGTGCAACGCCGGAAACTGACCCAGCCCCTTTTGCTTTTCAGGTCTTGAGTGGGCCTCGGCCGAGAACATCGTGAACAACATTGCGTCTGTTGGCTTCAATTTTGTCCGAGCAGGGTATGCAATCGAAATGGTCGACCAGATCTATGAGCGCAACGGAGCCGATGTGCCATTGGAAGAGGCCATGGTTAACGCCCTTGGCCAGGTCAACGGAACCAAAGTCACTGAGAGCATCATCAAACACAACCCACAGTGGACAAAGACGACGACCCGCTTCGAGATTTTCGGCGATGTCGTCGACCTGGCCGCCAAGAAGGGCATCTTCGTCCACCCAGATGTGCATGTTGGCAAGGCACAATGGTGCTGCTCGCACACGGGTGAGCCCTGCTTGTCTCGGGCCATCTGGGCCGACATCTCACTGACAGAACTTTACATCTTTGATCCAGATGGCAATGCCTGGTTCGACGATATCTATTTCCCTGCGTCGAACTGGAAGCGCGGCTTGGCCTACATTGCCAACTTTGCCAAGAAACACTCGAACATTGTCTCTATGTCGCTGCGCAATGAGCTGCGCTCCTCATACAACGACACGACGCTTATGTACAACTGGCATACGCTCGTCGGCAACATGACCGAGGGCGCCGACACGATCTACAACGTGAACCCGGACCTGCTGATCACCTGGAGCGGCATGCAGTACGACGAGGACCTCAGCGCGCTGACCAGCGGAAAGAACCTGCTCAATGCGCCGGCGTATAAGGCCGACGCGATCCGTGACTCGCTGCGCCGCGATGCGCAGTACTTTGACCTCGACGCGCACCCATGGGCGGACAAGCTCGTGTGGGAGCTGCACTTGTATGGCTCGTCCGAGGTGCAGGACACGGGCGCCTGCGACATTATCGAGGCCGAGCTGTACCGTAACGGGTTTAATGCGCTCGGCATCGCGCCGCCCAAGGGGTGCGGCACGACCAAGGACTGTCCCAAGGCTGTGCGCCTCACGCCGGTCATCCTGTCCGAGTTTGGCCATGAGCAGGCCAGCTCGCTGTATGACGACCTGCTGCAAAACTGCCTCAAGGAGTTCACAAAGAAGCATGGCATCAGTTGGGCCATGTGGGCACTCGCCGGCTCCTACCGCATCCGCTCTGGCGTCCAGGACTTTGATGACACCTGGGGCCTCACCACCGCGGACTGGAGCAAATGGCGCGATCCGGATACGGTTGAGCACTACTGGAAGCCGTGGGTACACGCCATGCAACCGACCAAATTGTAGAGTAACGAGTGAAGAACTGGTCAAATTGCCAGCGAGCCCGAGCAAAATCCGAAATCATATTTTATTCAGTGTGAACTGATCCACGTCATGGCGGGCAGGCGTTTCTGCCAGTGCACACAAAATAAGTTTCTCAATTCGCTTGTTGTAAAGTCTCTTGCTGGGCGCTGTGCGTACTCACCTGATCAGCATGCGCACGTTGTTGAGCAGAATCAGCACCCGATCTTCGAACGGCGTCCACTTTTGACTTTCCCCCTGCCGTCGGGCCTCTTCCCCTAAGCTCAGAAAGCTGCCCACGTCCAGCATCTCGACTTCCAACTCATGCATTTGTCGGTACGGCTGAGAACGTGGTGAGTGCGCCTCAGTTTCAGTGATCGGCTGCCTCTTCGCGTCGCGGCGGTACGGTACGACTCACATTCTCTGGTGTTTGAACCTGCGTGAGGTCAACTTGGAAGCACTGGTGAGCGTAGGAAACTCGGTTCTTGTTGCGGATGTACGCTGGCTCTGCATCTGGTGGCTCGACTGTATGTGTGAGGTGGAATAGGATACCTTTTCAATCAGTGGCTTACATCGTACCTGAGGAAAAGAGCAGGGCGACATACCAGGCTCTTCAGTGTTGATGCTGATGCGGAAATCGAAAAGAGATCTTGGACTATAAACTTCCATATTGGCTATACGCTTCTTCACTATTGCGTTGGTGATTTTCATTGTCTCCTCGTTTTTCGTCACCCTGATCCGTTCTTTGGATCCTGGAATATGGTAGAAGGCATCGGCCTCCATCGACCGTCGATATCGGACTTTATCTCCTTTGTACGACTGTGAGGATGTGCGCTCAACGACCTCATTCAGTTTTGCGTTGAAATGTGCATGTTGTTTCTGCAAGAATGCTGGACAAATCAGTCTGAGGTCTAGCTGCCCGTCTTAGCAAGAGAGATTCACCGCTGACATGTCACTCTCAAAACGAACTCCTGGCATGTCCACGACTGCAAAGGACAGTCAACTGGCAGAAACACGGTCAAACGCGATGCTCGAGCGAATCTCACTTGTTTCGCACAGCACTGGCAGCCGTAATCGATGGTTTGTGCTCGTATCTATTAGTGTGCCGATTTTGGCCTCGATCTTTGAGGCGCAGAACGAAGGAAGTAAGCAGGTGGATGCGGAAAGCTGCAGGTGCCCTCCGTGTGCATACCTCAATATTCTGTAAGCCTTGCACATGGCTCCAAATCCAGTCCGCGATTGTAACGGAAAACTCGTCCAGAGGGTCGACATTGAAGATCGAGCGCTCGAGCGGGGGCTTTGGCCAGGGCATCTTGTCTAGATTGTGAGGGTTGCAGACGATGTCGCAAGGTGTGTGGAGCGTGCCAGGTTGCCAGAAAAAGACGATCGCACGCTTCGCTGCTACAACGCAAGCTTGCAGAGCCGAGCGATGTCTTCAGGGCTACTTCTGGAGGACACGACGATGGCGGAGACATATGGATCGATGAGAGGGGCGTCAATTTACAAATGAGAGGACCAAATGGGCACAGGCTGCAGGTGGGAGCTCTGCGAGAATTCACAACTAAACCACGAAGGAGACGCGACGCGCCAAAGCATCCAGATTTTGTCACAGCAGTCCTCAAGGGTTATCACCGTCACGCGGCTACACCTCAACCTAGAAGCAGGTCTCCTTGCATTCTCTGTGGCGACGAGCACTTCGATGTCCCTCATAGAGTCGAGGAGGCATCGGAAAAAGTGTGTCATCAGCATGCCGGGCAAAGGCAAGTCAAAGGCGAATGCTGTAATCAGCCTTGAGTCAGACTCGGATGATGAAGGGTTGCCCAACGCCGACTTCGAAACCGGGCTCTCCGATCAGGAGGTGGCAACGCTGCGTGAGCTCGATAACGAGATCAACTCGATCGAACAGCAACTCAAAGACCTTCAAAGCGTGCGAAAAGAGCTTATCAAAGAACGCGATGCCTTACGGAATGCCGGTCAGAAGGTCTTCCTTGCGAGCAGAAAGGCCGGGAAGCCGCTCCCTGGCACCGTCAATTATTTTGAGAGCAAGTCCCCGCAGGAGGCCAAGATGTTGCGATTGGCCAAGAAGCACTGGCCCGGCTTTACTGGCTTCCGTTCCTGCCAAAAGGGAGTTTGTCACGCAGCTTTGGATAACAGGAGCCTCTTCTGCATCATGGCCACCGGCGGCGGCAAAAGCTTGTGCTACCAACTGCCCGCTCTCTGCACGGACGGGGTGACATTGGTTGTATCCCCGCTCATAAGCTTGATGCAAGACCAAGTAATGCATCTCCGGGAGGCTGGAATTCCTGCAGAGCTCATGTCCTCAGCAACACTCAAGGAAGAGATCAACACGATTCACCGTCGAATCAAGAATTTGGGCAACACATCCGACCGTCTTAAGTTGCTCTACGTGACGCCTGAACGCATTGTCAAAGCCAAGACCCTCTTATCCTGTTTGCAGACAGCAGATGAGAATGGACAACTGGGTGAGGGACGATCCTCTGGAATGTACGGCCAGAACCTGACGCATGTACGCACATACACCACAGCCCGCATCGTTCTAGACGAAGCGCATTGCTGTAGCTCTCAAGGACACGACTTTCGGCCAGATTACAAAAAGCTCTCCCTTCTCACAAAGCTGTTCCCGCATGTTCCTTTCTCACTTATGACTGCAACCGCATCACCAGACGTGATTGAGGACGTGCTCAAAATTTTGGAGCTACCGAGCACCACGCAAGCCGAATGCGCCCTTCCACGCAAGACGGTCCTGTTTACCAGCCCCCTGCTACGGGACAATCTCACTTACCGCGTCGTCTTTCGTGAGTCAAGCGCTGTTGGCAGCGCGGCACAAATTGCTTCGTACATCATCGAAGGGCATCTCAACGAAACAGGTGAGCCTTCGGATTGCCTTGCTGTTGGCACCTATACATAAGTTGATGCTCTTCCTCATTTGAAGGCATCGTTTATTGTCTCAGTCAGAACGACTCTGAGAACATGGCACAGGCGCTGATCGATGCAAGCGATGGCAAGATCAAGGCACGTCCCTACCATGCCAATTTGGAAGATGCGTGGAAGGAAGAGACGCACAGATTGTGGAACGCAGGTCGAATCCAGGTGATCTGTGCGACCATTGCGTTTGGCATGGGCATCGACAAGCCGGACGTACGCTTCGTTGTTCATGCAACGCTCCCAAAGTCCATTGAAGGCCTGTATCAGGAAAGCGGCAGAGCTGGTCGGGACGGGAAGCCATCCGATTGCGTTCTATTCTACCGCCCGCAAGATGCTACCCGACTTGCGGCTCTTGTCGCGGAAGATCATTACGGCAGCGATCACCTCCACTCAATGCTCGCGTACTGCCAGAGCACAACATGCCGCAAACAGCTCTTCTCGCGCTACTTCGCAGACGAACATAGTCGCAACATGCCTCCTTGCAAGAAATGCGACAATTGCATGGGTGAAGCGGGCATCGAGTCAGTCGATGTCACTTATGAGTCCTGGCAGATTGTCAAAGCTCTTCACGAGATCGAATCGCACAGAGGCCGTGTAACTCTGGCAGCTCTTTGCGACCTGGTCAGAGGCCTAGGAGGTGGGAAGTACAACGTCAAGAGCGAAAGCGGAAAGTCAAAGGGCGCAGCGGCACGCACAAAAGCTGGAAAACTGGACATGAATGCGTATGGGGGAACAGTAAAATTGAACAAGGATGTGAGCCTTCGATCGAAGTCGGTGTCGCGATCAGCTGAGCGGCGACTGACACTGCGTTCATACTCTCAGAACTGCGAGCGAGTGATCGTGGAGCTTCTCATTCAAGGCTACATTTTAGAGGACTATAGTCAAAGCGCCTATACGATCAACGTCTACTTGCGCAACGCCGCGAAGGCTAGTCGCTTGACGCGACTGAAACAAGCGGAAGCTGCAGAATCCAAGGGCCTTGTCACTGCTTCGCTCTTTACAACTACCAAGGAAGATGCGAAGGGGAAGAAATCACGGCCTAGCAAGAGAAAGAGCGACGCTACGGAGTTGAGTGCCGAGGCGTCCACCTCAGAACCTGGTCCCGCTGATGTTGCGGCCCTGAAACACAATTGCAGGAGTGAGGCCATCGGAAACGAATCACTAATTCCGAAGCCTCGCAAGATGCTCAAGATGATTCGGACCCCCGAGGTGATTAGCATCGAAGAAGACGAAGCGAATAGCGACAGCGATGCGCGAACTCTTAAGAGCACTGTCCGACGGATCCACGATGAAGATGATGAGGAGCCCGATGAGGATGAAGATGAGGACGAGATGGAGCAGCTGAGGTACTCGGAAGCTCAACTGTCGTCCAGTCCAGGGCTTTGGGAGGTGTTGACCAAATAGATCTTTTGCGCGGTGAAGCCCATCCGCATTGCCTTTTAACCGATGTAGCATAGTGCCAGACATGTCGACATGCCCGTTTTCGATACTTTCAAAGGACGTGCGGCCGGAAATCGCAACCAGCGCACGGCACGCGCATGCGAGCTGCCAGTGCTGACTGCGGCTCGAAGGGAGAGACCAAGCCGTGCAACATGATAGGTCGTTGTTCCTGCTCGGATGATGCAAATCTTGTCATAGCTTTGCACAAGCAGTTGAGTGACAGATTTGGTGAGACGTGGCCGTGTGGTTGGGAAGAGGGATCGAGGTATCTCTGATTGACATCATGGCGCACGAGAGAGTCGCGATATGCCCCGCTCGGATGAGAGATGAGAAAGATGAGGCTCTCCCTCGCGGCAGCGCTTTTGCTTGTAGTTTCGTACCCGCGCCTCCGAAATCCGATCATCACCTCTTTTGACCATCCACTAGTCAATCGCGTACATCCTCAGCACCACAGGTCGTGATCGGGCTCGCTCGTAGCGCGTAGTCATGCTGCGCGTATGTGCGCAGTCCTTCTAGGATCGCCTCCGACGCGCTATACCATGCAGGCTTCTACGTCGGCAGTCAAGCTGGAGCACGTCGACGCGAGCAGCATCTCGCCGACCGCGTCCGCTCCTGCGGCTGATGCGAATGCCTGCAGCGCTCCTGCAGCCGATTGCGACGTGAACATGGCGGATGGCGACGGTGTAGATGGAGGAAAGGGTGTCGCAGAGGGGAATTCGGGGGCGGCACCCGAGGAGCACGCGCAGTTGCTCACGTCGCTCGCCCAGGAGGAGCATCGCAACGCGACCGACGCGGGTAATCTCCCCAAGCAAGAGCTTTTCGCTGGCAATGGAGCGGATCCAGCGCCTCTACCCAAGCCCGGGACTGCGACAGACTTCATTGAGGAAAAGAATTGGCCAGGGCAAGAGGATCACGTTTTCCCAGGCACTGCCGGGGCGGTGCAACCTCACGATGATGGCCCAATTCAAGCCTATGCTAAGCTCGAATTTCCGGGCTTCTCGTACTACATTCAGACACTTGACGTGCTAATTGGACGGCGGCCTGGAAGTGCACCACCTCCATCGGAAGGGGGTCAAGTGCATATCACGGGACAGAGGCCCGAGGGGCAAGTCGACGTCGATCTCGGTCCGCTGAAGAGCATCAGTCGGAATCATGCGCGCATCTTTTACAGTCCTCCAGGACTTCCTCTGCCAGGAGAGACGATCTCATTCAGAGGCTACGGGCCTGGACACGCGCCGTCCGAAGGAACGTTCGTGCTTGAAGTGCTCGGCAGAAACGGTGCCTTCGTGGACGACGTCTATCTCGACCGAGGGGTCTGTGTACCCCTCTCAAAAAGGTGGGCCGTCACACGTTTGATAAGCGACGAACGCGGCTCCCTGCTGACACATCCATATGATATGCCCGCCTACTCCTTCAGAACGAAAGTGCAGATCGCCGAACGAGTTTTCTACTTTGTGCTACCACCTCCGATAGCACCAGAAGAGGAAGAGGACAGCGACTCGCTCTCTACGTCTTCGAGTGATGAGGAGATGGACGACGAGGAAGAAACTCAGTCGGAAGAAAGTGGGGACTTGTCACTATCGGATGGAGAGCTGGAAGAGGAAGAGGCAAGCGATGACAAGAAAATAGTCAAGGGTGGCAAGGAAGCTGTCAATGCCAAGCTGAAGTTCAAGCTCAAAAAGGCCAGCGCAGTGAAAGTCAAAACGGAACCGGGCGCCGATGATGCGCGCGTTGGAGTCAAGGGTGGGAGGGGCAAAGGGAAGGGGAAGGGCACGGAAGGCAAGAACCAGACTGCCGAAGAGCCCGTGTCTTCTGAGTCCAAAGCAGCAGCCAATGGAAAGAAGAAGGCTGCGCTAAGCGCGCCCACCCCGGCCTGGACGAATGGTGTTGGGGTCGCAGGCAGAAAGCGGAAGCGTGGAGAGGCGGAGGAGGCAAAGTCTCCGGCGCTCAAAGTCGGCGAGCCGATCGGCATCGAGGCTTTCGAGGCCGCGCGACGCAAGGCTGCAAGAGAGCAACGCAAGAGTGCGGACCGAGCCAGCGTCGACCCTGATGGGGACGCCCAAATGGACCAAGGGGACGCTGACGAAAAAGCGCCTACCGGAGGGAAGGGGAAGGCAAAGGCCAAAGGTAAGGGCAAGTCTGCCACCGAGACGCACGCCTCTGCGCAATCAAATATGAATGACGCAGCCAGTGCCTCTACCGAAACAAAGGAGGAGACTTTAATTTCGAACACTACCGCCCATCCAAGCGCCCCCCCGGCTTCCACTTCGGCGACCACAAGCATGACCCCTGCAACAGCATCTCCGTCGGTCTCCAACCATCTTGCCACATCTTCATCCTCAGCCGTTCCAGTCTCAGGTATCCCATCCACAGCTGTGGTTCCAGGCCTTCCTGTGTTCCCTCCCATTCCACGGTTGGACATCCCGTTCCCTCCTGGAACGACACCAGAGCAGCAGGCAGCTTTGAGGGCCGCAGCGCACGCTCACTTGATTGAGCAGGCGAAAGCACATGCAGCAGCACAGGCGGCTGCTCGACACGCTGCTGCGCTGAATGGGCAAGCACCCGGCGTACAGGTCCCAGGTACCCCACATCTGCAAGATGCAGATCACCGCCCGCAAATGTCGAACAATGCCTTGATTATCGCTGCGTTGACTTCGGAAGAGGCAAGTGCAAAGGGGGACAAGATGACACTACAAGAAGTCTACGAATGGCTTGGGAGAAAGTGGCCTTGGTTCGCTCGCAACTCGCGCAGCAATGGGAAAGATTGGCAAAGCGCGGTGCGTCACGCCATTGCCTCATCCAAGGACATCGAGAAGGTGCAGCGGCGCGACGATGAGCCTGGAAAAGGTGTTTTTTACGCGATGGCCTCTTCGCCACCTGGCATGAAGGCTCGCGAGGAGCGATTGGCGCAGATGGCAGCCGAGGGTGCACTTGCGGCTGGGTCTCCTCCACGCCAGCCAGCGGGATCAGCGATGAAGCTACCACCAGCTCGCATGAACAATCAGCCGCGACTACCACCTGCAACACCGCATCGAGGGTATCCTGGCGTGTCTATGGCGCCGCAAGTCCGGCCTGCTGCCCCCTTACCTGGCCAACCTCCACGCCCAGTGCAGGTGCCACCATATACTCCAGGTTTCCAGGCTGTTCCGCCACCGCGTCCACCACCAGTGGCGCCAGCCGCTTCCCCCTTGGCGGCTGCGCCAGCCTCTAGAGGCCCTGTTCTTACAAAAGCACCTGCTCCGACTGGTGCTGCCGCACCTGCGGGCAGCCCAGTGTCTCGTATTCCGATCGTCGTCGGCCAGGCCCCACCGGCAGCGCTGGCCTCCCAGGCGCAGAAACCGAAACCTGCTCCTGGTTCCATCGAATCGCTCCTTGACGGACAGCCAATCGTACATCATGAGGGCAAGCTTTATCTAAATCCAGCAGTCTTCGGGCATCTGACTATCAACGAGGTGCATCGCATTGAAGGCTTGGGCATTCAAGTTGCATTGAAAGAGCTGCAAGCGTATCTCGTGACACACTTGAAAGAGAAGCTCAAAGCGCGACAGGCAGCGAAGAAGCGAGCGACATCAGGCAGTACTTCACCTGGGCCTAGCGCAGCAGGCTCCCCTCCGGCTGCTAGTCCCCCCGGGGTTACTGTAGTGCGGCCGTCGCCGTCGACAGTTGCTCCGCAGGCTGTGGCCGCACGACCCCCAGCTGGAGCCACCATGACACCGCGTCCGCCGCCGGCTGGGGTTCCACCGCCACCTGCAGGTGCATCGAAGAGTGCACCTGCGGCAAATACAGCGCAGAATCCAGCGCTGGCTGCGTTGCCAAAGACGCTAGCCTCACATCCAGAGGCAGCCTCGCTGATTGCGCTACTGAAGAAGCAGCAAGCTGAAGGCGGAGGGCAGCTGGAACTCTCGAAGCTCACACCTGGGCAGATCCAATTGCTCAAGCTTGCAAACGAGCTATCTGCGAAGGCTAAAGCAGAGGCGCTCGCGAACGCTGCCGCGCATCGCGCTGCTGCTGCAGGCGTGCGGCCGCCTCCTTCAGGCTTGGTCCCAGCACCCGTACGTACGCCTGCGCCGGGTAGCGTCAGGCCGCCACCTCTGCAAGCAGGCGCGGCCGGGCTGCCACCAGCGGTAGTGAGACCATCTGCAGCGAGTGTGAGGCCTCCTGCACCGCCTGGCTCAGCGCCATCAGGGGCCACGGTCGTGCGACCTGCCGCGCCTTCTGTTAGGCTTCCTGTCGCAACTCAGCAACGTCCCCCTGTTGCATTTGCGCCAGCAACAGCATTTGTACCCACTCCAGTAACGGCAGCGGTATCGCCCCAGACTGGCCTCACACCGACACCGACCGTGACGCATGCACCGACACTGGCGCCCCCAGCTGCGGCGCCAAAGCTGCCCCCCGCCCAAGTCGCATCCCCGGTTCCACCTGCTGCTACTACTGCCAAGGAAGCGGCATCAAGCTCCTCTGGCTCGCCTACTCCGTCATAAATTGCGGGCTGTGAAAGCACTTGGCTCTCTGCATGGCTACGATCGGACTTGGTGCTCGTGTTTGCATGCCTGTATTTTCATACCATACGTGATCTGTAGCGCACGAACGTGTTGTTCTGAAGATCTAGGGTCAGGTGTCTCAAAGGTCGGTACCATAAGGGCGGCGGGAGCTAGTGTGGCATGGTGGGCCTGGGCCTTGAGAGGCATTTGCACCAACGAAGATCCATCCCCGCTTCGCAGCAACCCCGGCCATCAGACACCCCGTGTCTACCTGGCGTGCTAGAACGTGATGAATAAGTGTCGCATGGATCCACATCGTACAAGCCTTGTGCAAAGTGCATCTCCATTTCGGAGACCGACGAACACAATGTCACCTCATTCTTTACACAAACCTGTTCCGTTTTCTCCATAAAGCTGTGCAGCGTCTCTCGGCTACACACGCTAGGGCCGATGCTCCGAACGTCATTGACGCATTTGCGTAATGATCGATGCATGTGCGTTAGCGATGGCGGAACGGTTGCTGCGGATGCATGAATTATTCAGCCCTCTGGCGTTGCGCGTTGTTGCGCGTCGAAGCGGTCCAGCTCTCGGAGCGGTTCCGCTCGCTGGCCCACACGCACGCCAACGACACGCGCGCACACACTCCCTCTGCCCTCCCATCCAACCAGCAACGATGTGCTACTTACTTTCATTCATTTCCTCCCACTTCGTCAAGGTTGAATCCCCATCCGACATCAGCATCAGAGGTCAGTGTTACAGGCGGCACCAGCAAAGAGCGTGGTTCGTACGATCAGGAAGAGGAGAGCACAGAAGTGGGGGTGGTGTGCGGGCGACCTCGGGAACGCAGGAAGGAAGCGTTGGAGGACAAAAGAAGGATGGAAGGAACAATCGGCTGAGCTCTGCAGGATTAAAACGAGGAGGAGCCCATTTTCAAGTCGCAGAAACAAAGCACTTGAAAGGTGCTCAAGCCGTGGGTAGCACATGCGCTCTCCTGCTATACATGACAGCCTGCCGTCCGTTTGAGGATATCATGTGCAAGTCAATTCAGATTCACTTGGGACCCTACGATGCAGTCCTGCAAGGAGCTGTACCGCATGGGGAGGGTAGCAGAAAGGCATCGCTGTCTAAACTGGAAAGAGTTGAAGACAGCGATGGTGTGCGGTTGCATTGGGCTTTGTGCTCATCATACTTGGCGCATCTCTTGACGTGATGGAAAGGGGAGGTCCAGCTGCAAGCGATTCAGGGTCACCGCAACCCTTTTCATAGCGGATGTGAATGTCGCATACATCAGAACTGGCTATTGATTTGACTTATATTTCTCTTCAGATCGTGATCACCTCAACACATCAAGATGGCTGTCGGCAAGAACAAGAAGCTCGGTAAGGGCAAGGGTCTCAAGAAGAGGGCTGTCGACCCCTTCACCCGTAAGGACTGGTACGACATCAAGGCTCCTACCTTCTTTGACAACCGTAACGTTGGAAAGACACTCGTCAACCGCAGTCAGGGTTTGAGTGAGTTTCATGGCTAGTCCGGGAGACTTTCGGGGAGATAGCCACTTCTATGGCGAGCAACGTCGCGTCAGGTCCCCAAAGACCAATGCCACTTTCTTCGTTACTGTCAATTGGACCTGCTCTGACGGTCATCTTCACTTTTTACAGAGAACGCCAACGATGCTCTCAAGGGCCGCATCGTTGAGGCCTCGCTCGCTGACCTGAACAAGGACGAGGAGCAGGCTTTCCGCAAGTTCCGTCTCCGCATCGACGAGATCCAGGGCCGTACGTGCCTCACCAACTTCTACGGCATGGACTTCACCTCCGACAAGCTTCGCTCGCTTGTCCGCAAGTGGCAAACCCTGATCGAGGCCTTTTCGGACATCCGCACGGCTGACGGCTACATTGTCCGCATCTTCGTCATTGCCTTCACAAGGCGACGGGCGAACTCTGTTCGCAAGACTACCTATGCGCAGACTGCGCAGATCAGGGCCATCCGCCAGAAGATGTTCGACATCATCAAGCGCGAGGCAGAGCCATGTGACATTAAGGAGCTCGTCCAGAAGCTCATCCCTGAGGTGATCGGACGCGAGATCGAGAAGGCTTGCCAGGGCATTTACCCGCTCAAGGATGTCTACGTCCGCAAGGTGAAGGTGATCAAGAGGCCCAAGCATGACCTCGGCAGGCTCATTGAGCTGCACGGTGGTGCCGGCAACGTCGCCGGTGCTGAGGACTCGGGCGCAAAGGTCAAGAGCGCCGAGTTTGTCGAGCCGACTCCTCTCGCCTCGGTCTAAGCTCCTTCCTCTGCATGCACGCGCACACCCATACACACTCGTGCGCTGCACTACCTTGTACTTTTTCCCGGTCCGAGTCGAAAGCTAGCGGTTCTGCTCACTCGTGACGGCGCTCCTAGTGCGGACCACCAACCACCGCCACCTACACGCCACTATGCACGGCTGGGCTTATGGCCTCACTGCAATGTAGATCAGCTATGAATCAAAAGGCACCTTGCATTTGAATCGTAAAGCGTCGGCTCGGAAGAAATGAGAGATGGGGTAGAACCACAGCTTTGCATTGCCCTCTGCTTTCGCACGTACCGGTGCAGCGTCACCCAGTTTTAGCGTGGCATTCCGACTCGGCCAAGCACTAGAAACCATGGTACCTCGGAACGCCCCATAATGGGGAAGGGGTGGCAGGTGAGACAGTGCCTCACATCGATCTATGTGCGGTTTGGGTCTCAGACAGGCCTGATCCTCACTCGAAGGACACATTGGGCTTGGGTCTAATGCAATGGTAGGTTATGCTATGCTATTGCACCTTGGAACAAACAGCATACAATCCGGCCTGAATGTGGTGCCTTATACATTAGCGGCTGAGCTGGAAGTCATCGACTTTGAGGAGCAGGGCAACCGTCTCTGTTGCCAGCTCGATGGCGCTCGTGTTGACGAGCAAAGCTACAAGGCAGGTGGGCCAAAGTGGGAGAGGGGTGTCAGCGCACGGCTCTGAGAGGCTCGTTTTAAGTAATAGCCGCTCACGTTGCAAGACGTTCTCCTCAAGGATGTTGGTGATTTGGCCCTTCCTGACATTGATCCCTGCCGTCCTCTCACCCAGTGCGTGTCTGTTCCGCAGCTCGGTGACGATCGCGATGGGGTTCAGCCCGGCATTCTCCGCCAGCGTGGTCGGGATGATCTCAAGCGCCTCTGCAAAGGCGGAGAAGCAGTAGGCCTGCGTGCCCTTGAGCGACTGCGCGTGCTGCGCAAGCAGACGCGAGACGTGCACCTCGGGCGCACCGCCACCAGCGATAAGCGCACGACGCTTGACAAGGCAGCGCACGACGCAGAGTGCGTCATGCAGCGACCGCTCGCTCTCCTCCAGCACCAGAGAGTTGGCTCCCGTGCACAGCACACTGACCGTCTGGCCCATGTCCTTGATCCCGGTAATCTTGACCACTTTCGCACCGCTCTGCTGCACCTCGTCAACCAGATCGGCGTAGGCAAGTTTGTCCTCCGTGAACGCCTCGATGTCCGCAATGGGCTTGGCGTTCAGTGTCCGGCAGACGAACTCGATCTCTTCGCGCTCGACGTCCTTGACGACGAGAATCTTGAGCTTAGCGAGGAAGTGCAGCGCCAGCTCATTGACTGCGTCGCGCAGAATACTCTTCTGGATGAGCAAGACATTGCAACCGCTCTTCTTGATCTTCTTGCACATGTTGAGCAGGTACTGTCGCTCTTCTTTGAGGATCTTGTCCATCTGCCGGTAGTCGTTCACGACGATCTGGTTGTCCATGTCTGGCTTGGGAGAGCTCAGCTGGAACTGGCACACTGCGATCTTGGCTTTCTCCATGCGCGAAGGCCCGCCAGATGAAGTGATGACGTTCTGCTCGAGCACCAGGCCCTCCACCAACTCCGTGTCATCGATCGTCCCGCCGACCTTCTTCACAAGCCGGATATCACGCAGGTCAATCGAGATCGGCTCCACATCTGAGGCTGGAGTGTCCGAGGAGCCCTCGGGAACAGTGACTGATGCACCAGGTGCGCCTGATGAAGAACTGGACGGACGTGTTGCATTGAGCGCAGGCGAAGTCGGGTTCGATGTGGCAGGAGAGCGGGGAGAAGCAGTCGTGGCTGCGTTCTTGGGTTTCGAGGCGTGAAGGAGGCGGGTGACTGCGTTCACAGCGATGGGCGCGAGCACCGAAGAATATTGCGACACGATCTGGGAGAACCATTACTAACGGTCAGCGGTCCGCAAGTCAAGATTGTGAATAGGTGAGAGGTGCTCTCTTCAATCCACTCACCTTCGAATTCAAACTGGTATTCGCTGCGCGCAGCAAGCTCTCCTTGTCCCGCAGGTCGACCGGAGTGCTTATTTCGGTTAGGTACTCAACCGCCTTCGCCGCCGCCTTTTGGAATGACTCAGCAATGATGGTCGGGTGGATGCCTTTGTTAAGCATCTTCTCTGCCGCACCAAGAAGGGAGCCGGCGATGACTACAACGGAGGTGGTACCGTCTCCAGCTTCGATATCTTGTGCCTGTGAAAGCTCGACGAGCTGCAAGTGACGAAGCGTGGCTCAGGCTCAAATCTTGATTCCCAGCACCAAGATACTGGTATAATCACTCACCATACGCGCTGCTGGGTGCATGACTGCCATATGCTTGAGAATTGTCGCACCATCATTGGTGATGACGACCTCGCCGTTCGCAGTTTGAATCTACACGGGACACCAACATGCCGATTAGCTTCTGGCGCAAGGGTTGCAAATTGGCGATTAGCCGGCACACTGCCACGAGCAACCCACCATCTTGTCCATGCCTTTTGGCCCCAAACTTGTCCGAACAGCGTCACTAACTGCCTTGGCAGCGTTCATGTTGCTCCTTCGCACTTCATCTGGCTTGTCCTGCGTCTTGAACGCCTTCTGCTGTCGGGGTACCCCCGTCGCAGCGGGTGCTGCGGTTGCTGTGGACATTTTCTTCTCCTCCTTTTCCTTCTTCTCCTTCCTTCTCTCTTACGGTTCTTTCTGGCGGATGGCTGTGTGCAGCAATGTAGGCTCGTTGGCACCGATAGCTCCGCTTCTGCTTCGAACAAGCACGCGCGCTGAAGCAAGCTATAGCAAAGCTTCTTCTTGCGTTTTGTTGGCGTTGCTGATGTGAGTATGGCATTCATTCATTGCATTCGCTTCTCGTCGCGCAGAGTTAGTTTCAGGCGGAACGTCTTGTTCTCGGCCGAGATTTTTCATGGCTCATGGCGCCGATCACCATTTGATGGTGACGAATGACCAGTCGACGTCCTACCGACGACGTGCACGCAACTTCACCTCGATGGATGACGAGGACTGTCAGACATTTAACAGCTTGTGAACGCTCTTAAGTTCAGCAGACATATCGTCAACTCCTCAAATAAGCACTTGGAATGAGCATTTAGTCTGCTCAGCCACCAACAAGGCAGGTTGACTACCAACCGTAGAGGCAGTGGAGCAGCAAAATGGTTAGTCGGGGGAGTGCGTGATCATTCAAGCTCCATCTCACCTTGCACTTGCCCCTTTTCGCGCAGTTCGGAGGCACTTATGGTGGTGGCCTTGGGCGAGAGTTTCCGGTCGGGAGTAGCCTCGCCGCGCATCTGATGGGCGGGGGTTTCAACCGGTTTGGCGCGCATCCTTCGGCGTATGATGACTATCTAACTGCGTACAGCATGGCCATGCTCCCCGGCCAGGAGCGTGACAATGTCAGCTACGGTGGCAAGGTCATCCTCCCGCCTTCCAGCTTGGATCAATTGACAAGAATGGAAGTGGAAGGACCGTGGGTGTTTCGGCTGCGAAACCCGAACCCAAACGTGCCGTCGAAGGATGCATTACCAGCTAGGGAAGATGGTGGCGCGAGCTCATCTGCTGCTTCCAGTAGAGCACGCGAGTCGCACGCAGGTGTGCTCGAGTTCATCGCAGATCACGGTCGAGTTCATCTTCCGGCATGGATGATGAAGTCGCTCGCTTTGAATGAAGGCGACAGAGTGCGCGTCACTGGCACCACACTCCCCAAGGGCAAGATGGTCAAGATCCAACCACAGACGGTCGATTTCCTCGAGATTTCTGACCCGAAAGCCGTCCTTGAGCAGGCGTTGCGAAATTTCAGTACACTGACCCCGGGAGACATCATCGAGTTCAAGTACAACTGCCTGACATTTGAAGTGCTTATCATGGAGATCACACCTGACGCACCTGGCATCTCCATCATCGACACGGATCTCGAGGTGGACTTTGCGGCGCCCAAGGGCTACGTGGAGCCGGCGCCACAACCTAAAATCCCACCTGCCACGATGGCATCAAAGCTTAAAATCGAAACATCTGCCACGGAAAGCATCCCAGCTTCTGGTGCTTCTACGCCAGGTGGCGGCAGCGGCGCCGGCGGTCACAGTTCCAGACGCGAATCTTCGTCGGCAGCAACCGTGCAGCAACCAGCGGGCCCGTTCCGTGGTGCCGGGCAGACATTGAGCGGCAAGAAGTCCAAAGGAAAGAAGACGAAGGAGATCGAACAGATTGATCCGTTCAGCCTGGTGCGGCGGACCGACCAGCCAAAGATCGTGACGAATGACACGTTGCTTGAAGACAAAAAGGTTCCCGCTGCGCTGCGCCTGGAGTTTGGCAGGCTCTTCTTTGGGTACGATTATATTCCGCCAGGAGGCAAGCAGGAGGACAAGGAGAACACGAGTGCGAAGCAGGTGCGTCTCAGATCTTCCATCACCTTTCGATACTGTTGCGCCTCGCACGTTCATTGCTGACCGTCTCTTTCCGTCTACAGATCTCATTCTCAGGGACAGGACAGACACTTTCGGGCCGTGCACCGCGGCGCAAAGTCGATAGCAGTGCGCCCAAGGCATCAGTAGTAGTTTCATCTTCAGCTCCTGGAACAGCGGCCACAGGGGCAGCCGGGGAGTTATCGGCACCCGCCGTGAAGCCATTCGGGGGGCAAGGCGAGACACTGGGCGGCAAGCGAACTGTCAAGCGTCCGCTCGACAATGAGACATCCAGTGGGCGTCGGCAGAAGTCACCCAATGTGATCGAAGTCGATAGCAGCAGTGAAGACTAGCTCATTTAGTCATGTTAGCCAGCCTGTCTGCGTCTGTTCCACAACTGTACTTCTCGCATCTCCATCACACAAGGTGCAGAAATGGTAGCATTCTGTACAAGTTTGAAGTCGCTCATACTTTGCTAGCTGTTCCAATCCGACCTGATTGGTTGCTTCCATTTTCGTATACCCTTTCCCAATCAGCTGCTGTTCGCTGGACATTCAACGGCCAAAGTGCCGGCGATGCGGATCGGTGAAGTTAGCATTGCTGATGATATTGGCGCCGGCACCAATGCCGACGCTATGGCCGGTACCGCTGGTAGCACTAAAGCTACCCATGGCGGTGGCAGGTCGGAACGGCGCGCGCTGCGATGGCGTGCTTGGATGTCTAAACTGCTCCTGATGCAGAGCCGATGTAGGCCGCATAGGTGGGAAGCGTGCGTGTGTGAGGCTCGAGCCGTTTGTGCGAGGTAAAGCGGAGCTCGGCCGTGCAGTCGCTATTTTTAAAGTGAGTACGGGAACCCAATTGTCAGCAGAGTGAAGCGCATGACCTCCTGCAGGCGCGTTCTGATATGACCTACCACTATTGGGAGCTGAGACTCGACTAGAGTTCACGAAGCCAGGAGGTGGCATCGCGCTGATCGAGGAGGCATGTACATTGCGGGGTAGTGGATGAGTCGGCTCGACGAATCTGTAAGCCCTGTCGGATTACGCAGCAAAAGATAGTATGAAGCCAAACAATTTTGAGTCCTCGTGCCTGATGTCGCTGTATCAGCAAGCAAACGGACTCACTGAAGCTTCTGAGAAGCATCGCTTTCGACCGACGAACCTCGAACCTGCCGTATGGGAAGGTCAACCTCTGCTTGCTGATGATGCACACTCTGTTGGAAATTTGTCAGTCTGAAATCCGACTCCATCGGGGCATTGTACCCCTCGTTTCGTGTCCCTGTCTGTGTCAATTCCGCTGAAGGTTCGCGCGGCCGTTTGCCTGCTGGTACGAAGCTCCTGTTGCCCGTCGTACCACCATCGTTGTTAACGTACTGCCCAAGCTGCGCTCTTAGCTGCTCGTTCTCTTGCAGCAAGCGATGCTGATTGCGCTTCACTTCACGGGCTTCGATTAGTTCGGACTTGACGCGCTCGAGAATCTCTTGCTGTTTGCGGGCTTGGGCTTTGAGGTAACTGCTCGCGCAGGTTTAGCGTTTAAACAAGAGGTTCGCAGAGCCCAAATAGCCCCGATTGGACAGGGGAGGGAACAAAGTGTTTAGTGAGAAGGGTCATATGTCGACTGTGTGGCTAGCAGGCCAAACGGACGATATCAGATGTAGAGTGTGCTCATGCTTTGGGTGCGATGGTCTCAAGTGAGTCAAGCGAAGTGAGGGCCACTGTCATCGCACGAACCTGGAACTGTGTTCGGAGGTAACGCGATCCAGGTCAGTTCACTCATTGCACACCACGAGTATTTCTCTCTAGTGCTGGTATACTTTGTAGCTTGCAATGACCTCATCCAGGACTTGCGGTGGTGAGCGAAAGAAAGGGGCAATATGCGGTGGTATCTGTGGAAAGGGTACTAGTCTTTAGGGCGAAAAGCGGGCATTCCAGAAAGCGACGGACTCGCACATTTTCATTGAGCACAATCTGCTTAATGCCTACTGCCTTGCAGAAGGCGCAGACTTTCTGAACCGCATCTAAAGGAGAGGACGACGCATGAGTTTGTTGCACAGATGGTGCATGTCAGACTTAAAAAGTGCTCGGAGATCTTCAGGATCAGGATGCGCACCTCCTCGGTGGCGCATACAGTCAGCACATATGACGTGTGAACACTAGAATCGAGCAAATGAGCAGTCAGCTGCAAGTTGGCGCCGTCAAAAAAAATTGCAAGCTGCTGATGTCTGAAAGTGCAGTGCAAAAACGCTGTCAGGCGAGAAGCAGATGCAGACGAACCGAAGTGAGCCAGAATTCCTCGGTCTTGTCAGCTTGGCCGCCGAATGCAGCGCCGAGGCCTGATGCGCTTGATCCGCGGGCCTGTCCGGGAGGAACAAAGTCTTTAAAGCAAGTCCAGCAGTGTATCGTGTCAAAGTTGAAGCGACGCGAGATTGAAGAGCTGCTGCCCGAACCGTACGAGGACGACATGTTTGAAGAAACACCGCCACTACGTCCGCAAACGTCGTCAATATAAGGGATGCTCCCGCTTTATGTGCTTCAAGGTGCTTCGCCATACGTGCCTGATTCTTACGAAGGTGCGCAATTACATTGAACCACTGAGCGAGATTGAAGAAGATGGTTATGAACTTGTATCACGAAAGTGAGGTGACCCAATCTGAAGGATACTCTGAACAGAATGATGTTAGAGGTTGGTGTCTCAGTCGATTGAAAGTGAACTCTCACTCGAAGCGAATGTGCGGGCGGGCGTCGCCGGATTGAACTCTCGGCAGCCAGCAGTAATTCCATACCTATTACTCTTAGTTGAAATTATGGTGCATGTATCGATATTTCAGTAGTTATCCGTCAAGAAAGTACGGTTGTCATTGCACAAGATTCAGTCAAAGGTCTTCTTTCTGACGGCACGCAGTGGCCAGCTTCATACCACCAGGTGTCAGCCATGCTCCTTCCTCGATAAGCGTTGGTTGCAGGCGGTAATAATGACCGAAGACGCCGGTCAAAAATGATCCTCCCAACTCGTGTTGGTGCGGCGGCGTCAGCCGATCCCTTCGTCAACGCGAGCCGATCCAGCACAACCGACTCTTCAGGATGGGGTTCATACGGCAAGAATGGCTCCAGTCGCCCCAAAGCAAGTCCTACGAGGTTGTCGACTTCTGTAAGCAGGAGAGGCCGCAGGCACAAGAGAAAGCCATGGCCCAGTAGGGCCAGCGACATGCTCTCGAAGGCCTTTTACTCTCACGGACAGCGAATCTCTCGACATCAGATCAGGACGCTGCTCGTCTGCTCTCTTGTGATTTGTTCGCTCTTTTACCCAGCCGCCGGGATCTTCTTGTGGTCATCCAAAGGCGGGCCTGGAATGATGCGAGGCGACGCCTCGGCTCTCTGGCAAAGCTTGTCGACTCCGCTGCTCGACTCGTTCGCGTCTTCTGAGCGACGGCACTATAACTCTCTGCGTGATTTGCGCATGATCTGGGACGATGCCGATGATCTAAGAGCCGTCGACCCGCGGGATGCAGCTATGATCTTCTCCAAGGACACGGCCGAGGTTTGCTTTTCGGGCGACCAGCCTAGGACCGCTAATACCGAGCCGCACCCTTTATTCCCTTTCGGAGGATTGCCAGACATTTTGGGCGATGGAGACAGGGGAGACAATGATCCTGATCGAGAGGCAAAGACAGAAACAAGACTGGGAAAACCAGAAAGACAGCCTCTTTGCCGCTCCGTCAGGGTAGAGCACGTTTTCCTGACGACCGACGATGTCCTCGGCGGCCGTGGGTCTCGTTTCGGAGTGCTCGATACGACCATCCTGCAATCCGCATTGAGCTTACAGAGAGCCATAGAAGACCATATGTGGTCTCAAACGCTCAACGAGTCTTTGTCAGAAACATCGTTTGCACGCAAGGCACCGCTCATGTGCATACAGGCTCGGACGCTTGATCCGGCGCCCTCCGACATGCACCGTGGCAGTCGCTGTCTGAGTCTGTCGCCACTCGACTACTGGACGTCTTCCATGGCTCAGCTGTCCTCTGATGCCGAGCCGCACCAGACGCTGCGCAACAATGAGCAGCACATCAACTACAAGGGTGTACCACTCGCCATTCCCAGCACATTATCTGGCCGCTGGCACCTTTTCAACAAGTTTCCCAGAGCTGAGTATCTCGCTATGACATTCTTCCTGGATGCTGAAGGTGAAGGTGGTAGCGACATTGGAAAGGAGGGCCACAGCGATGCACATCGTGCATGGGTCCAGATGCTCTCAAATATCACTGGAGGGCGGGTCACTTTGATTGGAGCCGATCAGAGACAGTCCAAGGAGCTACTGTTGCAGGTGTGTCTCACATTTGCACAACCTTACAGCTGCCCGCTGTAGCTGACGTGCATTCCACCTTATCAGTTCCGGCCCTCGCGAGATCGCGTCATCACCATCCCTCGTGTGCTGCTCACCATAGGGTACATTGCCTTGGTCATCTACATCTCCCGTAGCCTCGTGGGCATAAAGCGTGTGCACTCCCGCTTCGGTCTTATCTTCACAGGGGCGATCGAGCTGATCATCGCTATGATAATGAGCATCAGCGTATGCTCGCTGCTTGGTATTCGTCTCGCGTTGGTGCCTTGGTGAGTGTTCCTTAGATGCGCTCTTCTGATTGCACTTCAGCTCATCTTGCAGCACTTTCGAAAAAAAACATCTACAGGGAAATCATGCCCTTCGTGATACTGGTCGTCGGCTCGGAAAATATGTTCGTCTTGACAAAAGCAATGGTCTCGACGCCGGTTTCATTGCCGGTATCCACTCGCATGGCGCTGGGCTTGGCGTCTGTTGGGGTGTCGATCACGCTGACTGTCGCCTCCGATGTTCTCCTAATAAGCGTAATTGCGAGCGTCACGCCTGTCGCTGCCGTTCGCGAATTCTGCATTTTTGCCATTTGCCTTCTCATCATGGACTGGTTCCTACAAATCACCTTCTTCGTCACCATTCTCAGCGTCGACATGCAGCGTCTCGAGTTGGCCGATATACTGACTCAAGGCGGAAAAGACGATACCCTCTCCGCTGAGCCTGTAAAGCCGAGACCTTCTGCCCCTATGCATGACGTCAACGGGCTTTCGAACGACCGTTTCAGGAGCAGAAAGAGCCCGCAGGGGATAGTTCAGCTAGGTGCTCGTGCGATTTGGCGCGCAAGGACCGCGCGTACAGCCAGTCTGTCGCTGCTGCTGGCCTTAATGTTCGGTTTGTACCTCTATTATGGTACCGGTTATGTGCTCGAGCAGCCGACATACAGCCTCAAGCATGCTTCGATTGCGTCAGCGACGACGAACGCGTCGGCGCTCGGATTCGACCCAATTGCACACTTAGCAACCGGTGACGACGTTTCTGTCGACTTGGCGCCATGGTGGACACACTCTCCGTCGGCAACGCTCTGGCAAAGCATCAATCCTGATGGTGCTGCGCACGTCCGCTTAATAGTCGAGCCGTGGAGCATCGTTTCCCTATGGTCGGCGCGGCGGCAGGCTCCTCGTCCCAGCTCGTTAGCGCGCTCTTTCGCTGGCTGGGCACTGTTCCGCCCGCGCATCCGAGCGATCATTTGGCTTCTCAAGATCGTCTTTCTGCCCATATCTGCAACGACTGCCTTGCTTTGGGTCCTCTTGCTCTACCTGCTGAAGGACACAGAGCTGCTCGAGGCGCAGCGCGACAAAGATAGGCCGCTGCAAGACAACACGCTGTGGTCGCATGACGGCTCCATGTCTCGCATCGACGAGACGTTCGATGTGCGGTTGCATCAGAAGCAGATGTCTGCAGATGTTCAACTCATCGCAGAATCTCCCAAATTCCTAGCCATAGTCGACTTAATTGGCAGCATCAGTATCGGCCCTAAGGAACCATTGCCAGGCATCGCCTCTTCGATATGGACACGCCTTTCCTCTACGCTCAGCTCTGAACTTCGCTCGCAGCAGGACGTCGTCACAAGCGTCTGCCTTGATGAAACCCTTGGAGTTGCACTGTTCGGCACCCGTCTTGGTCGCATCCATATCATTTCCCTATTCAGGGGAACACAGCAGCCTGGCATCGCTTCCCCCTCGCCCGAAGGCAATGCAACTGGCATCACGTGGCTCAGCACCGTATCGAAAGGCCATACAGAAGTCTGCGCTACACGGACGCTAATTGTTGCTGCTCACAGCGATGGTTCTCTCAGAGAACACGAGGTCTCTGGCAATGGGCCCACTGTCGTGGCTCCGGCGGACATGTCCACCCCTTGGACTGGATTCGAAATGCCAATGTCGTGCCTCCAGGTCGATTCGAATGTCCATGCTGACGAATACACTGCGGTAGCGCTCGCATCCCTGTCGGGTCGTGTCGTGGTCTATGTGCACACCAGGCTCTCTGGGCAGTGGGCGCGGCTGGCCAGCCTCGAGCTCGGCTCAGGCCAGGTCGCTCGCAGTGCCGCGCTTCTTTCAAGGGGCAGGGTCCTTCCATCTCCTGCCGTTTCTGATCACAGTGACATGGCGGTGTCCGACCTGTCGCATCTGCAATCCGTATTGATTGGTACGAATGCCGGCATTCTGCGGGTATTTGGAGTCTTTGGCAAGACACCGACGCATAGCCTTGACCTAGGAGGCGGTTCGATCTCCAGGATCATGCTTCCCACCACCACGAATACATCTGATCGCTATGTGCTGGCTGCCATCGCTACCCGGAGCCACATCTGGTTCGTGAAAATATGGTCGATTGGAAGCATGTCCACCTCAATGTCTTCGTCTGCTTTGGACACAAAGACGTCTCCCTACAACAGTTTGAGTGGACCCCCGAAGACACCAACCAAGTTAAGGCCCCCGCTCTCCAATGGAGCTTACGTCGTGGGTCTCAATAGTGGTGAAGACGCAAGCCTACGTTCGCCAACGACAGACTTGGCATACCCAATGTCTACCCACGGCAGCCGGAACCGCAGAGCGAGCAGCTATGCCATGCGCACTGAGAGGAGCAATGGTGGTCTCGACACGGACAGCGATGAGCCCATCAGCATTGCAGGCGTCACCAGCTGTAATCGTGGCTCAGCTGATGTGGTAGATCATTACCTGGTCGGCATTCGACGTTCCAAGCTGCAAGTATCACCAGCGGACTATTTTTCTCAAGATCCAGATCCGTCTCGCTCAAGGTGGCAAGTCTTTGCGGTGGACTTGCACAAGCCTTTGGAGGTGGCAAATGGCGAGGCGAAGATTGCCAGCGCTTCCGTCTCTCTCGAAGAGGTGCAATTGCTGCAAGACCTTCCTATCTTCAGCCGTAGTACGGACGCGGCAGACTTGCTGGCATTCGCAGACATCCGTCAGGTGCAGAGTAGCGCGGACAAGCAGTCACTCTTCTTTGCGTTTGGCAATGTTATCGGAGAGATTGTTCCCTTCGACCAAGGGCATCGTGCAGTGCAAAATCCATCGCAAAGACTCAAATCTCCTTAATTCGCAGTCGGCATGCATCCGAGCGCACAGCAACCTCACACCTGTATTTCTAGACACGGCTTCCTTCGCAATTTAGATGCCCACTGTTTACAATGCAATGTTCATCCCTTCCTGCCTCTCTGCTTCTTCCCTTTGCAATTTTCGCAGCTTTTGACGGTCTGCTCTCCAGCATCGCACCGTCAGATCGTCGGAGATACTGGCCAGCGTAGTGCCTTGGATGCCCGACGCCCACGACACACCATTGACCTCGAAACTGTCAGCCATAACGAGCGCGTCAGCATGCTCCAACCTCTAGCGAGAAATCACAAAAAAGCATTACGGCCCGTCGCTCACTCTTGGGCGTGTCCTCCGGTCAGCTGCACGCCAGAATAAGGGACGAGGCCATCACGAGCGACATCCCACAGCATGATATCCCCAGTGTTACAGCCGACAGCAAGAAGGCGATCGTCGTCGTTGAGAGCCATCTTAGCGTACAGCGTGTTGTGGCCTTGCGCAGCACTGTAGAGCGGCGTACCACTGCCTTGCGTGATAGTAAGCCTCTGCAACAGGCTCGCAGTGGGCGTCGAATAGATACTGCAGCGCACAGATTGAGCGCTCAGTAAGGAAGGCTCATGGAAGTATCTTTGTGGGGGCGCACTCACCGACCATCAGTGCACGCAGCAAAGAGTCGGTCACCGCTGGTGACCAGGCTGGAGACGCCGTGCGGGCTCTTATTGAATCCATCGCGCGAGGAGAGATCTTCCGCTTCGTCTGTGGGCTGCCACGTAGCGGACCTCTTGGTGCTGAACGAATTGCTGCTGAGCGTTTGCTTACCACCACCCCCGCTGACGAGTTCCACCTCAGCTGCCGCGACAACTTTTTGGCTGGCAGCGCGGAAGTCCCACACCTTCAGCCGCGCATCTTCGCAGCCCGCAGTGACGATGCAGTGCTCGCGGCCCGGCACGTACGCGACCGCCGTGACACCCTTTGGCGGCCCTTTACGGCCCGGTTGGCCGGGGTCGACGCCACCCAGTGTGCTGAAAACACGGTTCTTGGCGGTGTGCACGTTCCATAGGCTGAGCACTGGCTTACGAGCCGCTTCGGTAGCGCAGTGGCTGCCGGTTCTGTTGGCGAAGATGCCGCCGAAGGAATGAGGCTGCACCAGCTCAGACGCAGTATGAACACGCGCGTCATACAGATGCACCGCGCCGTCCCTGCCGCCGCTGCAGAGGAGGTTACCGTTGCCGTTCGGGTCCCAGCACAGCTGGCGTGGACTGCCGAAGCTCGAGCCGAAGCGGCCAAGCATCTTGCAGTTCTCCGTGTCCCACAGGCGCAGCTCGTAATCGGAGCCGCCGGTGCCGATGACGCGGTCATCGAAGCGCCAGGCGAGGATGAAGACAGATGCATCCGCTGCGCGCCACGACGGCCGCGCGCTGGGCAAGTCTGCTGCGACGCCGGCGTCGAGCGCGTCGCCCGTGTCGGGGTCGCGCGCAGTGTTAACGAGCGTGACGCGCCCTTCGTCCGTGCCGACCGCGAGCCACTGGTTCAGGTCGTTTGCCGAGCGAGAGGAGTACGAATAAGCACAGCAGAGGGGGTGGCTAATTGGCAGCGCAGAGTGCAGGCCCAAGGATGGCGCACGTTGTGGGCTCGGCACGGGCGGGATGTTCTCTTCGTCCGAGTGTGGTGAAGGTGACGATGGTCCTCCACGGTAGTTGCTGCCGTCCTCCTCTTCCCCATCTTCTTCTTCTCGGTCACCACCTGCCGAGCGACGGCCGAGGCCGCGTGGGATCTCAAAGCAGTCTGTTGTGCTGGTGGAAAAGAAGGTACCTAAGTATGGAGTGATGTCGACTGTCGTAGGAAGTAACACTCATGGAAGCATCAGCGCGATTTCAACTAATTAGCAACAACGTTAACTAGTTAGAACTCACGTCTACCCAGTCTGCCACCTTGATGCAGACCCATTCGTCCAAGACCACCTGCTAGACCACCAATTCCGCCCGTACGCATCTTGTAGAGCAGGTCGCTGGCGCTGGTCTGCGTCATGAGCGATCTGGCAACCAGCGGTACCTGCGGGTGCGCGCTTTCGAAGCGCACAGAGCTGGTGCCGGAAGCAGCGCTACTGTTGTGTGTGCTGCGTCTGCTGAGACGGCCTAAGTTCTGTGCCACTTTCGCAGTAGGTGATACGACAATACTTCTCACAGCCGTCTTGCCATTTTGTTGGGAGCTTGAAAATGACGACAGCGGCGATACTGACGTCGGAGGCGTGTAGACGCTGTGAATATGACGCTGTCGGGAGTGGAGCCCAGTTCGAGAAACATCCGAGCCGGGCGTAGCCATCCATGCCGGTCTCATCCCTGCACCGCCTTCCCAGTCCATCGAGTCGTCAGAGTCTGTGTCCACTACTGCTGTTAAGTTTTTTTGTCTTGCACCGCCCGAGGCTCCATCACGGCTTTCAGCCGTCGATGAGTAACCCTTTTTCTGCGGCGTCTTCATGATGTCGCTCCACCTCGCCGCTGCTGCCGCTCCTCGCCTCTGCGCCATGTGACTCGATTCCGGCTCGTCGTGACTAACGACCCGCAGGACGTGCTGCTGACGAGACGGTTCATCTTCTGTCACTGCAGCTACAGCTGCTCGCCTTTGGCTGAATGGAAGGAAGAAAGGATGAATCTTGGCCTTACACGGGGTGCGTCTTCGCGGAGTCGCTCGCAGTGCTGCTGCAGTGGGTGAAAGGTGTGCGTGAGGCGAGGAAGATAAGGGTGATAAAAGTGAGGCTTGCTTGCCTCGCTTGGCTCTTGTTGGGGAGTCCCCATCAGTTTGAACATCGTAGGATTTCGTCTGAGCACAATAACGAAGAGTATCGGATAGCAAGCGCTTCCTCTCGCGAAAGGTTGGTGCGGTCGAAGAAGGGGGAAGCGGGCGAGTGCGCCGCCGCTGTCCATCTACGTCCTCCGTATCTTGATCAGAAAATGCATCTCTATGTGGAGAAAGCCGACGCGAGTGAGCCATTCGAGACGCACTTGCACTTCCTGCCCCGCCGACCCGATTCCAAAGCAGATATTCGTCACCCTGTGCGCTGATCCGTTTCAGCGAAGAACGCTCCATCAGCGCATTGTCCTTGCCTTTGACCTTGCCCTTGCTCTTGTGTCGCGAGGGAGAAGGCGTGAACGAAGCATCGAGCGTCCGCGACGAGGTAGGTGACGTCTTCCATTCGCTCGAGCTTGACGCCTCGTCATCTCTACTGCGGCGCGTGGGCGTGGCAGGTAGTTGCGCTGCAGACATCACGATGATACAGAAGGGAGAGGGAAGATGAACCCCAGAAGTCGCTTACCCGCCTTCTCACGCTAAGCAAACGTTCGAAAGCTTGGAAGAACGCGCTTTTAAGATCCACCTTTGACCTCTGCTGCGGGCCTCTGCTCGTTCAACAGGGTGATCACCCATGCGTGTCTGAGACACCTTTGGTGAACAAGTCGAGCGCTCCTCAGCAATGTGACCTGGATGGTAGAGGTGTTTTCTATTGAGGAGGCGTGTCGGCCGAGAGAAGTTCTGCCAGTCACCCACTGGCTCAGTGCCTGCTACCGCGTGACGCGTCACATTCTGCCAAAGCGCGACGCGTCGCGACGCGTTCTTGTCAATGCTGACCATGCATTTGTTCACCTCGTCGGAGCTACCGGGAGCAAGCCGTCGGACAATCTTCCATTTCCTCCTGCGCTTCTCTCCAGTTCAACAGTGCCCTGTTTTGGGCTGACACCAGTTATCAATATGAGCGTGTCATGAGTTGACACGACAGTGTGCCGCATTCAAGTCAGATTTCAATTATCCATATCGCCTTTCATCAAGTCCTGGCTTATCAGACGCAACCCCCGATGAATCGCACACATCGTGCAAATCGCGCACGAACCACCCGCGGATTTTGGTTCAATGTGTGGAACCTTTAAAGCCAAAGTGTTGACGATCGGATGCTGCCTTGGAATCGTCTCTCAGCCGGGTCAACTGACCAGGCGCTCGCTTCAACGGCCAGTACCATGCGAAAGCTGCAATTTGAAGGTTTCCTGCAGCCGCCTCCCTGGATATCGCCATGGCGGCTGTAGACCAGCTTCCACAAACCGGCAGCAATACCGGATCATTGCGAGGCAGCAGCAGCAGAACTGTGTGCCTCAGACCATTCGAAGGAATGCTACAGGAAAGCCGCCCGGCCGTCCAGCCGTCTATTCCTGACTGGATTCCATTGCTCGAGGGCTTGGGATATTCCAATGCAAGACACCCAACGAACGAATAATATTCCCCGTCGGAAAGTACAGTGCACTACCCCGTTGATCAGTTGAGAACTCATTTTTCTGGATGCGGTTCGCTCTTAGCATGACGTGCCGCCCGCGGCTGCTGATAGCTGCCTGTACTCAGGGGGCAGCAGCAGCCACAGGAGTTACGCACCCACGGCTTTGGCAAACTCGCCTGACATGAGGTCATGTTGAGAGTGAACCGTGTTCGTGTGCTGATCGCATCAGGCTACCCCGCGGTCTCGCGTTTCTCTACTGCGGAGCTGGTCTAGGGTGCCATCAATCAATCATTCGCTCTCGTAGCTGCTTCCGCCGTGGCAACTCCCCTTCCTGCCTCGGAGTGTGAGCCGCGCTGCTGTCCTCCGGCATGACTTGCCAGGTGATCTGCCATCAGATGTTTATACTGCTTCAGAGTCTGCACATGCTGCTCGAAAAGCGCTGCTATAAAGAGCGAGGGTATACCCTCCGTATCGAGCATTATTTCCAACAGTTCTGAGCTTACTTTCGGCGCAAAGGAGAAGTATTTGATTCCCGGGATTCTTGACTTGCCTTAGTTGTATGCCCTCCAGAAGATTTCTGCATTTTCGCGGATATCCGACCCGGACGTTTAGGGGGTGAAGACTATAATCCCTGTAACCCACCAAGTCTAGAGACAAATTAGTTCGGCTGTCGCGGACCAGATTTATTTTTTTGTCGTCCATGAGTCGAAGCCCAAACAACGCACGATCGTTTTCAATCATGGGCTCTTCCTCCATCTCCAAGTCTGACTCTTATGACTTATGAGCGTCCCAGATGCCATTTAAGCAAGGCAAGTCGTGATCACAATTGACCATCTTGTTCGGTGCAATTACCTTCAGCAGCGGTACGAGCGAGTCGAAAGCTCAAATCGTATTGCTACGTCAACATCGGCATCTCCGCGAAGAGTAGCTCATTGCGTCAAGCTTGCTATATGACAGTATGGGCCAGCCTGCTCGTGGAGGTCGCTAAAACATAGCTCGAGCCGGCGGCTTCCGGAAAAGCCTTTCGCATACTCGAGGTTTGGCGCGGGGTTCAGAGCATCAAGGCCGACATGCCTCGGTGCAAGCATCCCTGTGATCGGAACAGACGCGGCGCCACCTCCGGCCAACCTTGTGCATCAGGGCTGCCCACATCTACCGCAGCATCAGGCGATATCGAAGCGGTCGAAGCCTCTATAGATGACCCTGTACTCTCCACCACCGTCGACAACGACGAGGAGGCACAACTGCTTCGCATTGCATCGCTCAAAACTGGCTCCATGGCAGACCGCGAACGTGCTCTATTGTCGCCAATACCCTCACAATCGCCTCTGGAACAATGTGGACAAGGTGATAAAGGAATTTTACCGTTTGAAGGGAAACATGTGTCTATAATACGCGACGGAGCATTAACAGGTGCTGTTGATCAGACTGCACTAACAGGCAGTGCGACTTCACAGTCTGCTGAAAGCAGTAGCAAGGTATCTGGTTCGACCGGGGTAGAGGGTTCTCGTAGGCGAACAAGGGCATCGAAACCTGGTGCACACGATATCGAAAAAGGACAAGTAGGAGGTTCGAACGGTGATGAAGGGGGAGTTGCGGATGATGCCAGCAAGCAAAATGCTGCAGGCGATGACATTACGGGCGGGGCACACCTTTCCGACGAGGAGAAGCTGGGAAGGTGCAAGACTGGTTTAAGTGTCAGTTCGAATCAAAAAGACACAGCTCCGCCTAGAAGAGACATACGAGATCGCGTGTTGCACTTTACGCCATCCTGGTTCAGTGTGAGTTGCCAACTGGGTGGCACGTGAACAAAGAGAACAGACGCTTTTACTGACTCGTACTCATTTGTCAGGTGACGATGGGCACCGGAGTCCTTGCCACCCTCTTTCTGCTTCTTGGCCAAGTATGGCCCTCGCTTCTGGTCGGACTTCGATATCCGGCGATTGTGTGGATCGTCGCGGATGTCATAATGTGGGTATTGCTCGCGTTTCCTCTCCACACGTCGCGGCACTTCCGCGAATCGATCTTTTACAGCAGCATCCATTGATCTGCACGCACAGATTTATTCTATTCGCAGCCATGTTTTCTGCGCGGTACATCATCTGGCCACAAGTCCTCCCACTGACCGTCAAGCACCCTCAAAAGTCCATGTTCCTCGGCACGCCCGTGATGGGCTTGGTGACGATCATTAGCGGCATAGCGCAACTCGGCACGCGGGAATTTCACCTCGGTCTTTCTTGGACGGTGGTCATGACGGGCTTCTGGTGGCTTACTGTCGCCCTAAGCTTGTTGACTAGCGTAGGTATACCGTGGAGTATGATGACATATCAAGATCACTACTTCGAAGGGACAACCGCGGCGCTGCTTCTGCCGATTGTACCGCCAATCACAGTAGCAGCAGTAGGGTCGACGCTGTGCGACTTGCTCATCGAGTACGGCGGAGAGCCGTACTATGCCTATTCATGGACGATCATGTGTACCAGTTACCTCGTCCTCGGCGTCGGTCTGCCGCTGGCACTTGCTGTGCTCGTACTCTACTTTCAACGATTGTTGCTTTTCAACAGCCCGCCAAGGGAGACCATCATCAGCTGCATGCTCCCCCTGGGCCCTTGTGGACAAGGAGGTGAAGCGGTACTGCATCTAGTGAGTGGGAGCGCTGCGTCTTGTGCTCGTTGTCCATTGCCACAACCCCTCCCAATTTAACTCCTATCGCTGCTTAGGGCCAGGTGGCAATGAAGCTCTTTCCGTACATTTCGCGGCCCGTCGAGCGGACTGGCATCCCGCAGCTCTTTGACGTCGGACAAGCGATGTACGCCGCTGGCTTGATCGGGGCCCTTTTCCTCTGGGCGCTTGGAATCTGGTGGCTGATGATCGCCATGTTGACGATTCTGAGGGAGCGCAAAGAGGGGAGGCTACCGTTCAACATGGGCTGGTGGTCCATGACGTTCCCAGTCGCGTCAATGGCGATATGCACTGCGCGACTGGCCCTCACGCTCGACTCGCTTGCGCTCAAGATTACATACACAGGCTTCGTCTTCGCCAACGTCATCTTTTGGGCTGCTGTTGCAGTCCCGACGGCGAAGGGATTCTGGACGGGCGAGCTGCTACAAGCGCCGTGCATTGCATCGTTGCCGCTTCAACGGTGACAACCAGATTGTATTTTGCAGATCAAAAGCTGCATTTGTCTAATTTTCTTGGCTTTCCTGCTCTCTGGAAGCTCTGTTCTCTATTCTGACTGAAATTAGTGAAAGTAGAAAGGGAACAAAACACCCCGAGCGAGCAGCAACGAGATGGAGGATGTTGATTTCTTTTCTGGGTGTACTGGAGACTTTTTCTTTTGCCGGAGATAAGAACACCATGGGGGCTCGTATTCTGCTGTTAGTCAGACGCAACACACACTCCCCCTCCTCGTTGCCTGTGTGTCTTCCGATGCACCCATATCGCTGCTGCAGCCACTTTCGCTTTGTAAATCTGGGCCTCGGACGAACCTGTTGCCCTTGTGGATGCAGGGTTGAGCAGCTTGAAGGGCATAGTCGATGGAAGGAGTGCTCGTCCTGGAAGATGGTGCGATGATGCAGTACGATATGGAGATCTATATATGGGCCCTGCCATCAGCCTGCCATTTACATGTGTCACGTGACCGGGGATGTGCAGGGCACAAAAATAAAACGGATACAAAAGAATGAACTAGAACCCAGGCAGAGGGCAGGGTCCCGCCACTGGCCGCGGGTAGACTGTCGACAGCTGCAGTCTGCGGACCTGCAGTTGTCCATCGGCACGAGACTTTCTTTCCTGCCTTTTGCGCAACTCGATTGGGAGGACTGCTGACTGCCTTTGGCTTTGCTCCAACTTCTGTTCGACGTCGCAGCATTCAAGCTGAGGCCTTGCAAAGCGCTTGTAACTCGCTCTATCCACTGGCAGAGGGTTCCTCGAAGGCTGGAGGCAGCCACCGTTTTTGCCTACATCAGCTGCTCGATCCTTCTCATCGCAAAGCGAAGTCACAGAGTCGACAATCAATCTCGAGCCGATCATGCCGCCACCCGCTCAAGTCGTCCAGCAACCAGGCCAGCCGGCGCCGGGCTTGCTTCAGAAGCGTGAGTCAGGCTTACTGCTGGCGTCCGGTCGCAAAGATACTTTGGATGGCTGATGGACTCTTGTATGATAAACTTTAAATTCTTACCCTTTTCATCATGCAAATTGTCGCCGATATCACCTTGGATATGTTATGCACACCATGCAGTTGGGATGGGCGCGATGATGGGCGTTGGCGTCGGATTGACGATCGGATTCATCGGCGGTGCCTTTCAGATCCTAAGGTGCGCTTCCCTCCTTGGGTCGTTGCTACCCGATCCTTACAGACCGCTTCCTGCAATGCAAACTGACCCGCCTTTCTTAATCGGCCCTCTTTTCCCTCATGAATGTACTTGAGAACAGAGCTGGACCAGGACCCAAAGGGACGATGGCAACGCTCACTCAATTCATGGGCACATCAGCTGCAACATTCGGGTGCGTTGATCCCGTCGCCGTTGTGGATCATTTGAAGGAACTTCCGAGCTCACATGACCACTCTTTACCCTCCTGCCCGCCCAGCTTCTTCATGTCTATTGGCACCGTCATCCGCACCGAATCGCACCTCAACCCAGTAGAAGAGGAGCGCTGGCGGATAGCAGCCATGCGTGGCGGCTGCCTCATCTCTTCGTCTGCGTCCTCATCTTCAGTATCAGCTTCCTTGATGGATGCTCGGCGACGAGGAGCCGAGGCGATGCAGACACCTTCTCCTTCGCTGCGACGATGAAGTGTGAGCATAGCCGTAGCATAAAAAGGGCGGACACATACCCTTCCGAGTGGAGTATGCGGCGATGCGCCGCTTACGGTGCAGTTGCAGATTAATTCCATTCATGTTAATGCCAATCTGATTTTGCCGGGAATACGACGAAGACGAGCATGCATTTCTTCCGCACTGCTACTCTGTTTGGTCTTCCTCCCCTTCTATTGCAAGCGTCCATCGAGCCTGGATGAACCGTCTCCTTAATACCACCCCTGTCTTTCTGTTCTCGCTGCTGCGTTCGACAACCTTAGCCTCCCCTACTAATCCGCAGCGGCGCGCGAGGCGCTGCAGCTGGTCCACGTCGAAAAAGTAGGCAAGCGTGTTGTCCGCTCCGCGCCGATAGTATGGCGCCGCAGGTGAGAGGCGCGTCGGTTCGCGGTACGATGGCAGCGCAGCGTCTTTGCTGTCAAAGCGTACCTGCGCGAGGTCACCGGAGGCGTAGTCGCGAAGGAGTATTGTGGGTGTTGGTGCTTGCAGGGAAGCAGTAGACGCTTCGTCGGCTGTTGATGGTACAATATTGCCACTATGATCAGCAGAGGCGGAAGCGGACGAAGCGCGCAAGCAAGCGACCATCGAGCGGAGCACCTGCTCGTGGAGCTGTGGAGGGATAGCGGAGAGAACGAAGATCATGCTGATCGTCGTCGGCGGAGGGATGGTTGGTATTGATGCTGGTGGTGGTGGTGAAGACACGCTGCCAACAGACATCACGAGTTCTACAAGCGAGGGTGGACTTGTGGATGTGAGATCGTAAACGAAAGCATGCACACGCTCGGGTGTGTAGGAAGGGTGCGACTTCACAAAGTCCACGGCTCGTTTGGAGAAATCGCACGCGTGGCATTTGAGATTTGGGTAGCGCTCCAGTAGCTACGATGCGGTGGAGTAAATGCGTCGTGGAAGGGTGTAGAGGGCACAGCAAACGGAAATTCACAAGTAGATTGAGCAAAATGGTCATACATGTGACAGCGAACTTGGTGAGGACAGCGCTGCTAGCTTGGTGCGACCATGTGTGTACTCACTGGATACAGCATGTTGCCTACACCGCAGCCGACTTCCAGCAGCACAGGTTCAAGTTGCTTTCCCTTTCCTTTGCCACTATGAGCGGTTGTCTTTGCAGTTGCGTCCATCAGCTCGCGCGCGAGGTCGTTGTCATCATCGTCGGCCTCATTATCATTTTCTCGCGCCTGTCTGGCCTCATCGGCGCTCCTGCTGCTCGCGCTTGCACCGATGCCGAGGTCCTCACCCCACTCGCGTTGCGTCCAATGCCGATCTTTAAAGAAGCGCGTTTCGTTGTTCTTGTAGAACACATCCCAGTTGCGCGCTGCCTGCGCTTCGGACTTGGCGACGAGGTAGGCGGAGGCTGTGCGCTGTGCTGCTTGCGTTTCTGCTGATTTTGGTGCCGGCTGCATCTTGGCGGTCACACCATCTCCACATACAGGCCGCACGCTTTGTTTTAGGGACAGGCCACACGAACTGAGATTCTTGTGTGACAAATTGAGAAGCAGCTCCCCCCAAAAAACCGAACATACCTCCGCGCTCGCGTAGACGAGAATCAAGTTAAAAGATGTCCCTTTCGGCGGACTGCTGGTTGGTGGTTGGGCGTTGGATCTCTAAATCGGTGCAACTCGCAACTCTAATGCAACGTACCAGGCCATGGTCACGGCCTCACGAGAAGAACACTAACTTTGATGCGCAACTCCCCGAGACGATCAGGCCGTGACCGATCCTGGACAGCTCACAACTCTCAGACTGTGGACTGGCATGTTCATGCAGGCGGTGCATTGCTTCGATTCGATGCTCGTGCGCCATCCTTCTGTCTGAGAGCTGTGCCAGTTACTGGCTTCCCAGCTGTCTTTTCATTGCAGACTGTCGGAAAAAAGGCGCAGCAGTCTCCCGACAACAGCGACTCGGATTGACCCTGACAGTGGTTAATCGCTAGGGGGATCTCGTTTACAAGGCCTGCGCAATCATGTTCTCGACACCCAAACAGCAGTCGGCTTCGACGCGCCGCCAAGCAGGGGCAAGCGGAGGTACAGGCGCACTCGCCTCGTTTGGTGTGATGCGAGACAGTCGCTCGGGCACACCAATTGTGACAGGAGGGGCAGATGCGTCCTTCGCATCCTACTCGTACCAGCACACCTCGCCACTGGGCGGCCAAAGTCAGAACCAGCAGCAGAGACGGAGAACTGCCCGCAGAGCCCGTACACCGCTCCTTCTGGACGCTTCTCAGCAGCATCACCGGGCCCGCGGTTCTCGAAGCGGCACACCTGGCCTGCCTAGCGATCGAGCTACGACGCCAGGCTCGTACTCTACAGAAGGAGCGTCAGGATTGGGAGTCGGCGCGCGAGCATATCTCTCTTTACGGAAGCAAGGAGAGGAACAAGCAGAAGCAGTTGATGCAGCTCAGTGGATCCAGCCCGGCACGGAGCTGGTGCGCGATGAACTGCACGCTGTCACGGCTTACTCGCGCTTGCCAGAGCAGGTCGAGCACGTCTTAGCCGAGTCGGGTGAGCGCCGATCTCAAAAGCAGGCTTTCTGGCTTTTCATCTCATCATCATTTGATCATTCCCTTCCTGCACAGACCTGTACTCCACATCGCTGGGTGCGCATCTGGACGTCACGCTTGGCTTTGCCGTCCTTTTGACACCGACTGAATGCTACGCGTGGAACTTTCTGGCCGTGTCCACTTCCAGCAGTCACATGTTGCCGACTTGCTACGTCTTCTCGCTCCCGCCGCCAGCACCATCTTTGGTGTCCTCAGCTGCTCCCAACGCTGCCGAGGGGGCCTACCTACATGCACTCGTACCATGGTCCAACTCTGCGCAGCGCGCTGAGCCGGGCCTCGTGCTAGTGCACAAGCGCACCGGTCATCTGACTCTGATCGCGAGCATTGCCACGTCCTCTACGGATGCAAACTCACTATCACAGCAGGGCACGACGGCGCGAATGGCGCTCGCGCCCAGCGAAATCGTGACCGTTGTCCACCGCCTTAGCGCAAGCAGCAACACGCTCGTTCTCGCCACGTCGCACGCGCGGCTCTTCCGCGCGCACGTCGTCTCGCAGGGTGGACGTGTGCACCTGCACCTCGAGTCGCAGCCACTCGCATCGTCGCGTAGCTTGCTGGGAAAATTGTTCTTTGGCGGCGTCGATGTGGGTGCAGCCGCAGCTGCGAGCGCCGCAGGAGCGGATTACGCCGGTAGCATCCGCTCGCTTTCCTCTTGCGCACTCTCAACAGGCGTGGAGAGCGATGGCAGGCACGAGCTGCTGGTTGTCAGCGGATGCACACTGCAGCGGTGGCTCGTCGATGCAGGGATTCGAGGGAACAACGACGGTTCGGCGTTGGCCACGGCATCATCGTCGGGGGACAAGTTGCTCGGCTCGGTTGAGGTGCGTTCACTGTTCGATCAGGAGCCAAAGTCCAGCCCTGTTCCGCAGCTTGAAGTGCATGATGCACAGTGGCTGCTTGGCGGGGATGTAGCACTGCTCTACAGTTGTGCGGCCTCGGCGACTACCACGCCAGCAAGGCGTTTTGGAATACTCATCGTCACCACTGCTGCTCATTCCGCACACTCTACTTCAAGTAGGGTGTTGACGAAAGCAGCAACGTCAAACACCAAGCAAACCAAGGTAGGAACAGACCGTTCTTCGTCCACCTTCCGAATTCGCACCGATATTCGGCTCGGCAGCGGCGGCTCGGCCGACGGCTCCTTCTCGATGGCGGCTGACCCGCGTCCGAACTCAGCACCGCGACTCGCAGCCCCATTCGGCGGGCCAGTCCTGTACGCTATTTGGCCCAACACCGTCATCAACGTCATCCTCGGTCGTGCCCTGTTACCCCGTGGCGATGGCTTCGAGGACGATAATGGTGACAGTGAAATGCTCTCAAACTTGGTTGCGCGGGGCCCAAGAGCGGAAGCAGGAGCAGAAGCAGAGGAAGAGGTGTTCCAACATATCATTCATCTCAAACAGGCGCACCAGAACAGACTGCTCGGCTTCGGTGTCGAAGGCGTGGACATTATGCCCCCAACACAAGCAGGAGGCAGGAGCATCGCTCCTCTTCCTGTCCTCACCGCACGCAGCGGTGCGTTGCTGTTCGAATTTGACTGGCTTCGCGCCGAAGCCATTGTTACATCGAAAACATTAGGCGAGAGGGGTGATGTCCAAGGCGAAAGGGACAGAGCGGGTGAGCGACTCCAAATGAAGGTCGGCAGGTGCCAGAGCCAGCTCGAAGCCGCCGTCTTCTTTGGAGATCTGCCCGGGAACCCACTCGAATTTAGCATCCATGCTGGCTCTCTCGGGTCATCTTCAACAATCGCGAATGATCAGCACCTCGCGATTGCAATCGCAGCGACGCAGCTCAGCGCCTCGCTGCTGTCCTCCAGCTCGCCTTACTTGCCGCCCATCTTGGACACACGCGCGCAGCTTGCCGAGCGCCTGGCGCGGCATCAACGGCTCCTGCAAGTGCTCGGCGACGGCGGCGATCGTGAAGAGGGCGCAGTGGTGTGGGCCATGCTAGATGCAAGCACCAAAGACCAACTGCGCGACCATGCGTTGCTACTTGCTGCTGCGCTGGAGATTTGGGTCGAGAATGAGGCGCAAGCTCGAGGACGCAGTTTACACGTGCTGAGGCAGGCTGTCAACACTGTCCTGAGCGAGGCAAGTGTCATATCCGAGCATCAACAGGAAGACACACTACGTGCCTTCTTCACGCATCATCTCCGGCCTCTTCTCACGCAACTCTTTGCGCTGTTCGCTGCGCAGCTCAAAGCGGGAAGCTTCCGCGAGGCGCCACTGGGGAGCAAGACGGACGTGCTCTTGCACGTGAATCGTGTCCTTGTTGCTGCGTTTCAAGGAGCCAGGCGGTGGGTCGAGGAAGGCGATCAGGAACAAGCACAATGGCCAGGACCGGTGCCGGCATCCGCATTCGAAAGCTGGACGTGCAGCTCGGCATCGCTCGATGCGCTACAAAACTCGTTCGACGCAACTGAGGCGCTACTGCGCGAGCGTAGCCGCGAGTTGGGCAGCGGGATAGATATTGATGTGCAAGGTTTCATCTCGGAAGGTACACAAGCTCAGCGCGAGCAGCACGAGCTGAAATCCTATTTGGTACAGCTAGCGCACTTCACCCTGGCCGCTTACGAGCAGCGCTTGGCGTATCTGTCGCTCATCGTCGCTGACGAAAGCGATGCCCTTGCACAGCAAGAGCGCCAGGCGCTCCTTGCGCGCTTCAAGACGGCACGGCCACAGGTCATTCACTCCCTTTCGCGCATTGGCAGCGGCGACCAGGCGTTCAGTCTGGCGGAGCGACACCGCGACTTCCAAGTGCTCGCACAGCTCTGCACGGACGACGAGCGCGTCGGCTCCGCGCAGAGTCTCTTGCACCATTACGTCGATCGGTACGGCCAACCTTTCGCTTTCGAGCTGTATGCGCACTTCGTCGCGAGTGGGCAATATAGGCGTCTGCTCGAGCAACATAGCAAGTACATCGATCATCTGAGCGCTTTCCTCGCTGCGCATCCCGAGCTAGACTCCCTTGCTTGGATTCACGAGGTGGGCCAGGCGCGTTTCCGAGACGCATCGGGCACACTCGCCTCTGTTGCCGTTTCGGAGCGCGTGCTTGTCCGCGAGCAGCTGGAGTTCAGTTTGGCGAAACTGGCTTATGCCGCCGAACTCAGTGAGGAAGAAGTTGCACAAGAAGGTCCGCAGCTAGAGCTCCAGCGAATCGACGACATGCTCGATGTCGTCTATGTCCAGACAAAACTGAGCGAGTGCTTTGCCAAGCAGATGGGTAGCGCTCAGGCGCCCGCGTCGCATGATAGCGATGCAGATGCGTACATCGCTCTTTTTGCGCAGAGGCTGCTGCAGGATGCATACCCGGCTTTCCAGCAGCATTTCAAGGAATGCTGGGAGCTGTGTGCGACTGGACAGGTACTGGGCGTGGAGGATCTCATTGATGTTCTCACGCTCAAGGACAACGTCGACGAGCTCTCCGAACCACACTTTATCCAGGCTTTGCAGACCTACGTCCGTGCTCACGAGGTGCGTCGTGGTAAAGCTAATTCTCTGCTTTGTAATGCGATGCAACCTGACAATAACTCTTATCTCATCGATCTCCTACAGAGCTTACCGGAAGCACGTCGCCTCGCAATTCTCCGGGCATATTGGCGGCGCGTGCTGCTGCATGATGCTTGGGAGGATGTGTCTAATACGGCTGGCAAGAGCGATGCAGAAGTCAAGCAAGCGCTCCGCGAGACTGAGCTGTACTGCGCAATCGCGAGCATTTCTCCAGAAGGCGAGTCCAACAGGGTCCTGGCCGCGAAATGGCGCGAAACTGATTCGGTGATGATGCCTTTACAGACCTAGACAACGACGTACTTCTTCCTTCATCCGCCCTGCTAGAGCCGCCCTCACGGGAAGTGCTGCAGGGTCGCTTTGAGGGCAGCAGAAACGATAAGTCGGAGGAGGAGCTGGACAACCTGTTAGCGGATTTTGCCACCGAGATCTCCGAAGTAGAGCAACTTCTGGAGAGCGGGTACGGAAAGTGGTTCGAGGAGACAAAGCGCGTTGCTGTGGAGGACATCGCTGCAGGATGAACGCGATCGACCTATGGATCACGACTTGGATGGTCCAGCGCTGGAACATGAGCTTAACAGGGAATGATGAGCCAGTAGATGTTTCTCACTCCCTCTAATTGACAACTTTGGCAAACGGTCGTTGATGTAGCCTTTTTACAATCATTTGGCCAAGCAGGCTCAATGCTTCACTGTCTTCATGCTCTTCTTCATCGCCCTCTTGCGCTCGATTTCCTTCCTCCTCTCCTGTTCGGCAGGACTGAGCTTTTCAAACTTGGCCTTCTCCGCTTTCGCTTTGGCCTCCGCTTTGGCCTCCTGCTCCGCTTCGCGCTCCTCGCGTGTGCTCTCCTCTTCCAGCTGCTTGTCCACCTCGGCGCGCGTCTTGCGCAAGCGGGCCAACGTGTCTTGCCTTATGCGAAGAGGCGGATTCGAAGATGTCTGACTGCCGGTCGAGAGAGCGATGCCGTCGGCAAGGCTGAGCGCAAGGCCGAGTAGGGGAAGTGTCTCGCGTGCTTGCGAGGCGCTCCGTGGCATTCGAAGCGTGAGAGTGATTTTGCGAGGGCGGTCTTCAAGGAGAAGGGGCCTGAATAAGCACATCATAAGAGCAAGCGTCCGTTAGCGATCGAGGTCAAATTGGATGCATTCAGCAGTCATGTAAGGCTCTGCACGTACCCTGGCGGCTTTTCCGTCGGCTGATCGCTAATGACGAGGCTCTCAAGCCATTTGCCAGCGGGTGAGTCATCGAGCAACTTTTGAATGCCAACTTTCTGTCTCTGTGCCTGGCCTTTGTCATTGATCTCGCCAAGCCAGAGGTCCGTCAGATCTCCGTTCTCACTCAGGATAGCCCACTGGTTGCTCAGGCCTCGCTGTGTGGCAGCATTCTCAGCCTCGATGAGCTTCGTGAAGGTGAGGTCGAAGCGCTTGGAGGTGCGCGTGGCGCGCAGGACCGACTTGTCGACGAGCGCGAAGACGCCAATAATATTGTCTGTTGTTTGCGACAGCGTCAAGGTGAGCGTAAGTGTGGACCGGTCGTGGGATAGGCCACCGGAAAAGTTGTCATAGAACGCTCGGCCGATAATGAAAAGCGGGTCGTGCAGGGGCAGGAAGTGGAAAAACGCCTGGAACCTACGTGTCCGCACGTCCATATCAGTCTGAATGCTTGCACTTGGTGGGAATGGTCACATAACAGCGCCTCACCGATCTACGCCACGTCTCCCGGTAGCGTACAGAGCGGCCTCGCCAGCGCCATTCCAGAGCAAAGGACCCCGGGAGTACGGATTCTGGTTGGCAATGAGCGCAAACTCTTCCTGGAGCTCCGGCATAGCTGTCCGGACCCAGGCGTACGCAGCTTTGCGGTTTCTCGCCCTCATTACGGCGAAGATGATGATATATGCGATCGCACCGACGACAAAGATGCCTTCCAACTTGAAGTCTGCAGGGTTGAAATAGGCAGCGCCGATCAGATGGAACCCTTTACGGGCTGTGAGGGTAGGGCCGTCCGCCGTCGCGGCTGCCGACGCCCCGCCGTTGAAGGCGGAGCCGAGCTTAGTAAACCGGTCCATTGTATTTGCAGCCGTGCAGTCCTCGCGCAATTGTACATGCGCAGCGTGAGGGGGGGCGGTGCTATCCTTGCTACCTCTGTGTGAGAAGAATGAGGAGCGCAGGAACGTATGTGGCTCTCACTTGACAACCACACGCAAGTCAGTATCATGTCTTGAGTAGGGTTACATCCAGCCCACCTTCCCAACACATCCGGGGCCCCCGGCCGGTGCGAACATTTTGACTGCACTCTCAGGGTAACATCTATAGATTGTGCAGGGAAAAGGTTCCCCCTCCAAAGCCTTCATCTCCATCATCCGGATCTGCACCTTCACACACTTCGAGTACAATTGGGTTTGCAATAGAAGTCAATCCCCCCTCCCCCCCATTTGCTCCGCACATGTCATACATGCAATTTCGACGAATTGAAAGCATTTTTCAGGGGGCCTGGCACGGGGAGGAAGCAATATTCATTCACTTGAACCATCTCATCGCCGCAAGTCTGACAATCTCCAGCTGTTTTCATGATTTCCAGTCTTTGCATGGTCTCCTATTATGTGGAGTGGATCGCTACCGAAGGTATTGCATGGTTTCAGAGTTGCTACTTACGGAGCTCAAAATTCCATTTGATTGATTCCGGGCATATCCTTGATATACAATAGCAACTCGATCCTCATCCAAGACCTGCCTTCGGCCTGGAAAGATCACCGGAGCGGCCTCACCCTATGCTTGCCCATAGCCAGATCATCCATCCTGGGAGGCACGAACTGTGCCGTTGTGGCCGTCCTTCTGCTTGGAGCAGTTGCCAAAAGTCTTCGTCCGGGACAACCAATCAAACAGCCATCGCTTCCTTTTGTCTGCGGTGTGGGTCATCCACATTTGGATATTGAAGCATGCCTGAAGGTACATAGGATTGCACCTGATCGTCGCTTCATGAGTGGAATCTGTGAGTAACAGTGTCCAGTGATGCCGATTGACGTGCATGGGCATGAAAGCCATTTGCGCATCGGCCACAAAGAGTCGCCTCTTTCGATCAAGCAAACATGCGCCCGCCAGTCAGCCAGTTCCCTCAAGCTCACCGTGACATCAGATAAATCAATATTAAGCTGCACTCGCTGCCAAGGCATGCAACCCTTCCCAATTCTCATTGGACACGAACCGCCAGACGTAGGCGATGATGGAGGAGGCCTTCCGCCATGACTCACGATTCTCTGCTCTCAGGCGCGCAAATGCCGTTTTCGAAGAGCACCCCACCGAAGTTCATCACATTTCCGTTGAGCGATGCTTTATGGCCCCCAAAGCAGACCCAGTTCCGGGTATCGGATGTATTCAAGCTGGAAGTACGACGAAGGACATCATTCTTCAGATCGAGCTTTGGCCTTGTTAGAGAGGCTAACACGTTACTTCTCTGCTTATGTCACATCCACCCCTTTTGTTTCTTCTCACTCATTTCCACCCTGCAGCTAGACACATTCCCTTTCCATTTGGTCCCTTCAGCTCTGCTGCCCCAACGAGAAAGAGTTCCTGTCGTCAGTGCAAGTGTTGCACGTGGTCCCAACACTAAGCTCGGCACAATCTCGTCGCCTTTCAATCAGTTTACCTACCTCAACCCACCTGTTCTTTGTAGCTATCAACCTGCGAAGCTGTCAACTGCGTCTACACGCAATCAACAACACGCTACACCGGAGATATTCGAAGCCAAAAGTCTACGGGCCTTTGCAATGGGGGCTGATTCATGACGGGCATCAAGCTGGATAGACAGGAAGAACGCCAGCAGTCGGAATTGCACTGAAGCTTGGTGCGGAATTCTGTTCGACCTTCAATGCCTTGATGGGTCCAGATTTTCCATGTGTAAAAATGACGTCGTCCGGGGGACACTCAGGGCTGGTAATCCCAATCACGGGTATGACACGACACAGGCATACCCTGGGCCTTGTAATGCAGGAAACGAAAGATTTCAGCAAGCCACCCGTTCCTTTTGACGGACTCATTGTGCTCGCGAATATTGGGCTGGAAAATCCCAATATGATAACCCCGATTAATCCCCTGTGCCGGGCAGGCCTTGTCACAATGCCCATCGTGGGCCACTAGGGTGGTGGTGGTGGTCAGACATGGAAAAATACCTCTGTAATTGGCATTTTCATACCAATAGAGAGTTTCTTGAGCTGATTCTATGTCACTGCAATATAGCAAGCACACGATTATCATGGAGATCCCTTTGCCCTTGCCACCCACCCTCCTATGTCTGTGTTGGATCTTCGCTCACTAGTCCGCCCGAATGAAATGACTTTAAAAGACAGACGAGCGAATATAGGTAATTTGAATCCGCACCCATTAGAGACAGGGAGCAAGCAAGGTGCCTTGGGTAATGATGCGGACGATCTGTGTATGGCAAACAACAGTTTCCACTGTGCAAGATGCAGGTTGGATGGTGGAAGTGAGGGATTTGGAGGCGACGTTTTATTGGTGCACAATGTATATGTTACGAACTCATGGTGTGATGCCGACTTACACGTGATATGTAAGTTGCACGTATGTCTGTACGTGGTGCCCCTCGTCACTGATGGAAGTTTCGGATTGCGGTGAGGGCGCACGCGCGCTCTTTGTTTCTTTTTCGGCTTCTGCATAATTTTACAAGGAAAAAGGGGGAACCTTAGCTTTCTTCTTGTAGTGTGTGCAGACTGCAACAGCCACGATGCTCGCGCTCGACTGGAGGGAACAAGGAGCACCGATAGGGATGATGTTGGTCATACAGACGGACGATGAGTGGTGTTAGAAAGCCCGGAATGCGATGCGAGTGGTATTACAAATGCGTGTGGTGGAGTACAAATACAGCTCCAGCCGGCAGAACGCTTCCGCCGACGAGCAAGGGCATGCCCGCGATGTATTCCCTTGGAATCGGCTGCGCCTAGGTAGACGAGGTCTGGCTAAGGCACATCAATCTGCGATTCGTAGCAGTGTGTGACAGAGCGCCACATACGCGCGGTCTTGCGCCTCACATAGGCTTGGCGGGGGATTGGGTGAGCAGAACGCCGAAGCGCTTTTTGACCGTCACGCGATGCCGGGAGAATTTGTCATCGGGCGAAAACCGAGCTGCAGCGAAACGATAAAAATACGGCAAAGCATTGCAGAACAGAGGGGAGAGGATAAGGGCGCGAATGCAGGTGCGAAGGGAAGGAAGGAGCGATGAGTTGCAATGGACATGAAAGAGCGGCGGTGATGTGTCCCTCACCTGGATGTGCGCTCTTTGTGATGACACCGGCGGGTGTGACCTTTTTGAGAGTGTAGATACGGTTGCCCGCCTGGTAGAAAGGCGAAGCCATGGTTCAGTATGACGCTGCAGGCTCTATCTTCATGATTGGGTGCGAGGAGAGCCAGAACGGGTGCAGCAAGCTTTCGCCGCGCCGGACGTCTGGTCTTCGACTATTCCAGATAGCAAACCCACCTCATCAAGAGTGTACATGAGATGCATGCTGTATAAATCCCCGGTTCTACGTAGCGCTGGAAAGTTTCGCAAGATCACGGTGCTGAGGACGAAGTTGCAGATCTTGGACAAGCTGAAAGGTAACAATGACCCAAACGTCCGACATCGAATGCGAAAGGAAAAAAATGGGAAGGAGGAAATAGTGTATCAGCTTCTGTCTTTACAGGGGATGTGAAGAGTTAGGCACATGGCACACCATATAACCCTACTTGAAGGTCAAACAACAGTTACGCAGAGAATGTGACTTGCTTGGACTCGTTAACAACCTTCGGCCTTTTCTTGATTTTCCTTTCACCGACCTCCAAAACGCAGTTCGACCATAGGCCCAGCTGACCACGCTGAACTCTGACAGTCGCTTCTCGAACATGCTCTGCTTGCCCAAACGTACCTAAGGGTGCAGAGGCTCAAAACGCAATGCTATCTCCGAAGTCAGGAAGCAATGCGCAGCACTCGGCCGAGTGACGACATGGTAGCAACATCCATCTGAGCAAGCACGTTTGCATGCTTTGGACAGTAGGACAGGGTCACGAAGTGATATTAGATCTATACGTCACGGATGACTGATTATCATTCTACGAGCGGCGGTGACGAGCCGCTTGTGCTTGCAAAGCGAGTCCAACGGAAGCGAAAGGGTCCCATCATGGCCAAACATGGCCCCACGATTGCGTAAAACTTTGACGCTGGAGATTTCTCATAGCTGAGCGCCTCATCGAAGGGCTATGTGACGTGAGATGACATGCTCGCTCGGCGGTTTAAATAGGCGTGCTCGGATTGTGCTATTCGCTCGGTTTGATGCCTCTCACCAGCAACTCGTCTACGTTCGCACTACTCTTCTTGGACCAGACTTCCCAAAAAGCCAAAATATATCCTTCACATATAGCTCGCCCGATCAAAATGTCATCCAACAGCAACCCAGGCACTTTTGCAAACCGTCCACGCGAAGAGGTTCAGGATATCGCGTCCAAGGCCGGCTCTGCAGGTGACAAAGTCGTGGGCCACGGTCAGACCGCTGCAGGGGGACATACCGGTACCTTGTCTAACAGGCCCCATGAAGAAGTGGTGTGTATCTTGCTCTTTAGTACAAATGAACTTCTACGATGCAAGGAAGTTGACAACATGATGCTGAACTCCCATTTCTTCTTTTCATCGGTGCAGTCTGAGATGGCTAGTAAGGGAGGCCGCAGCTCCAACCAGCAGAGCAGCTCTGTTGAAGATGACGAGGCGTACACCCAGTCAAGCTGAGGTAGTAGGCAAGTGGGCCAGTGCAGCGTGCTTTCTCAAACTCTTGATTTACTTTGCACGCCATGTGTACCAAGGTTCTCTGTAATATCAGCTCCACATCACTACTTACGCTCCTCACAGCTTTGAAAGAATCAACGATGGGTTTGTGTGTCATTTGGGAACGCTTTGCGGCATTGCAATAATGTCGGCTTCCTGATCCTTAACGTCTACTCACACCGTCCCACCGTGAGACATGGTCGGTCCTTAACGAGCGTGCTTTCTCAGAGCTACGAATACTCAATTCCTATGTGGAGCTCATACAACAAGCCTGAACGCGATCAGCAGCCATCCAGCTTGGCTGTTTTGGCCCAAGTCAGCTCAGTTGATTCGAGGGGGATTAATGAATCGGATTTTCTTGAGCGAATGCAATACAATGATGTGTTCGTGATGGATCGGCGCAAAACTTATCCATGACACTCTTCAAGTTCTGACGGAGGGGAAATCGTGCTACGATAGGGAACACGGGCAGACGAAGACAAACAGTCAGCTTTTTCGGAAATGGCTCTTTGGTTGTGCGCAGACGCGGGTAATGGGGCCCACCTTGGGCTGAGCATAGTCGTGGTTGGCGGACGTGAACATGTCGGTTGCCTTCGTCACAGCAGCGGCGGCTTTCTGGGCCATGCCGCCGCCCTGTGGAGCTTCGGGGTGAGGGCGCTCGGGAGCCATTTTCTACGAATGAACAGCGGAAGGAAGCGAAGAAGTAGCACCATTGATTTCGTTTCACAAAGGCTCGCTGAGTATAAGGGAAAATGCTCACCCTGGCTTTCAGGAACTGCTCACCGATCTCAGCTGCCCTTTCGTCAGAGACCTTGTTGCGCAGCTGGACGAGTGAGCCGTGCACGTTGGGGTCCTCTTCGTCGTCCGCATGCTTGATGAACAAATCGCAGGCCTCATTGAAGAGCTTGTGGAAGTGTTCGAGAGAGTCATTGATCGACGTTTGCTCAAGCTTACTCATGAGCTGCTTGACGTGTTGGTGGTCTCGACGGTCCTTGTCTGCCTGCTCCTTAAAGCCGTGCTGCTCGAGCGCCTTGTACACACTTCCGAAGAAAATGCGACAGTGAATTGCAGATCAAGTAGCCAAGTACACTCATCATGTTGAGCGAGGTGGAGCTCACCTGACCTCCTCCGAGTCGGCGTGCAGAGCTGCGCTTCTGATGGTGCTGTTGGCGATTCTGCTCATCTCATCCCTGTCTTTCTTCTCGAACGCGGCATTGAAGCGGTGCTTCCAGTCCTTGATGTTCTCGTGTTCATTTTTGATCATCTTGAGGAAGTCCTTGAAGGGGACGTTCCCGTTGCTATGGCTGGTGCTGTTGTTAGCCATGATCGAAAGATTGAGGGCTTGGTACCGTGCTTTGTTGCTGCTTTTGGTCTCGTGAAAAACGTTGCTCTGAGGGAAGGGGCTAGGAGCTTTTTTGCATGAGCGAGAAACGCGTGATGCCTCGAACATGGTCGCTGCCTGCAAAACGGACATCTAGCCTGAAGGGTGGCGCTCTTATAAACCATGTTAAGCCCGGACTTTCATGGAGGGCTTGGCCCTGCGATTCTGCCAGCGAGCTTACATGACCTTACCAATCAGAATGATCCCTTCCGCCATCGAACAAAAGAAGACTTAGCTTCACTGACGTTGGAAGTGATGAGAGCTGTGTTAAGCATGCTCCCTTATTCTTTGTTGACTTGGCCCCACGAAAAGGTCCCGCTGCTATTTCGCTCACTCAGCTCGTGGGCCAAAATGATGGAGCGAGTTCATCGGATCATGTGAGATGACGTGTGGCTCACCGCGGCTGGCTTCGATCCTCGGCCGGATGACACGGTATTAAGGGCGGAGGGAAGAGCCTCTGCAGCTGGAGGAAAAGAAAGAATGGGCCATGCTTCCAACTAAGTAGTGAAATCATCTACCGATGCAGTCAAGCTATTACTGATTTTCGAGGGGACTGCCAGCGAACGATGGCTTGTTCTTTCACCATCTCCGTTGAAGCTGCCATCCCGGGTCCTATATCACAGCCTTGCGATGCGCCCGCATTTTCTACAGTTGAAGCATCGGATACTGGACGGTTTCCTTGAGGGGCGACGTGCGTTTGTGACCTCCGGAGCGTGCGGGTTCCCCACCTGATCCCTATCCGTCTTGTGCAACAAAGCGTCCCACTCCTCCAGCTCGACCACTGCTTTCATGCACAGCGCACTGATTTCCTGTTGCACACTGAGCCAGTAATAGAAGGCATCTTCCTTTGCTTGCGCGGCCACCTTGTCATTGGAGATCACACCAACCAGTTGACGCTGTAACGCAAGGGAACTTCTTGATTCCTTCTGACATGTTCGGGCACATGTGTGGATAGGGTTTTGCGCAGAGAGTAGACAGCTTTGCTGCAAAGTCGAGAGGAAGTGCGAATTTGGCATAATGATCAAATGCAGCGTCTAAGCGCGCAATGAAATCTCCGAACGATCAAGTCTCTTGCTTTGCTTTTTCGAGGCGCCGTCTTCCAGTGATAAAAGCAAGACAAGTTATCTTCCTGTAGGTGCATAGACGGGCTTGGTTCTGTTCCGTCGCGGATCCGCAACATATGCTTTCTCCTGTTCCATCAATCAAGAGCGGATGGCTGCTCGTATTGCTGTTGCGAGGACTGAGCTAGATTGTGAGCTGACCTGTTTCTGATTGAACGAGGTTCTCGGCCTGATCCTTGCAATCCTGTTGCTTGTATGAAAGTGGAGCATGCAGCATCAGGAATTCAAAGCTGGGTGCAAGCCGAAGCCTGACAAAATTGCAACGAGTATGCGACCAAAATATTACACGAGAGGGAGCCGTCACGAGATCTGCGAGGGAGTCTGTCTGCCAGGTTTCAGTGGAAGGGACTATTGTATCGATCCAAACGAAGCAGGAAAGGTCAGCACGGTTGTTCAAGCTCTCTGCCTGCCTGCCGATTTGCGGGTCGAACACAGCATACCAGGATGGTGTCCATTTTGCACAAGCTCGCAACTGTCCGGCAGCGGGCTGCAGCGAGTGCCCCATCAGTGGTGGTGCGGCGCAAGCGCTGCAGGCAGCGTATGGGACGCTGGCATTAAGGTAGGCGTATAGGTTGAGCAGCGGCCCGGTTCAACCACGATTCTTTCCTACGCGCTTGATGTGTTCA